TTCATGTCTTCATCGCCAATGATCAGCTCCCAATACCTTCGCAGTGACAATGTACCTGTACAGCGCGGATACATGAGAGCGTCGGTCTCCCCACTAGACCCTGGAATCTGCTTCGACCAAGATGCTCTTGCAGCCTCTGCGGCCGTCCTCCCGGGTCACGTTTATAGGTTCCAGGCCAAGTGCTTAGAAAGATGCTCAACCAAGTACTTCGGGTACATTTTAGACAGACTCCGAATGTCTACTCTGATCCGAGCACAGCTGACAGATCCTGAGTACGAAGTCGGAGATAGAGTCGAAATTATCGGGAAACAAAATACTTGGCAGCCAGCTATAATTCGGGGGCTAAACGTAGGACTCTTCAACAACCGAGTACTGGTCTCTACTACCACTGGTGGAGCCGTGAAGACCAAACAGAAAAACCTGACTCGGCGGACCAGAGACGACTGCTCACTGTTGGATCTGCCAGAACTTACGCAAGTAACTGTCCATAACGTCAACGCCCTACGGAAGAAGCGCAAGGTGGCACTCAAAGGCGCAAGTAGTCTTCCACACAAGAGAGCAGTAGTAGCAACTATCTCTACAGGCTGCGGTAAAGTCGTATGTGGGCGCTGCTGTAAATTTAGGCTTCTGGACGAAAAGTCCGCCAAAGAGCATCTTCATCTCCACTTCGGGGCACGCGCGGCAACAGCGTTCCGGTGCTCCATGGTCGGAGTCGAATGTGAAGAAATCTGCGACATGCAAGCAAGGGGGTACGGACTAATCGTGCCCTCACGAACCTGGCACAAAGAACAAGTCCCCACACGTCTCTTAGACACAGTTAAAACCAACAAGGAGGGTGTACACATCATCAGAGACGGCGCTGCGCTCTCCTCCAAAGGGCCGATCCAACATCTGCTGCACAAGTATCTCAATGGTGAGATGATTAATACGCTCAAAAACAACTTTCACTCATGCTCGTTAAAACTTGTCCCCTTTCACAACAAGACCCACAAGGCGCACAAGCACTGCAACGCTGCCAAAGCCGATGCAAGAGTCATTGTCTTGCTCGACGACCGCGATGCGGACAACGGTAGAGTATTAGAATCCGTTGCCATCGAACGACTCCAAGGTCAGTTAACCAGGACGCTCTCTAAGAATACAACGTTTCTCGAAATCCTCCTCTTCAAGCAAGGCAACAACAGCCACAGAATACCACAACAAGGATGGCATGAACTCGAAAATTTTCTGAAATCCTGGTTGACGTCTGTGCACCCTGCCCTTTTTGACACAGACAACACAGCGAAGCTCTTACAAATTAACAAGTACTCGTCAGAATCAACCAGCAAAGAAGTCAGTGTGGACATGAGTCATATTCTAGACGTACATACAAGCGACGAAGCCTCTACAACTGCTGTTAACTCCATCAGAGTTAATGACAAGAACGACAAAAACGTAGACCATCTGCAACTTGATAACATTCAAGCTGCCGCCAAAATATTAGGAAATCGCACTGCCATCTCTGTGCACGAAGAAGAATTCAAAACCATCAACAACTCCTTAGTACATCCAGAGTTTTCCAACTTGCTGAAGGAAATTGTTACTCAAAAGACATTTAGAACCGTTCGGCATTCTCCTGTCATCCCCGAAGGGTGTAACAAGTATCTTCTCTTCCGGGGGGAAGGAGTCACCCCATCGAATGCCGACGAGCAGAAGATCGTGGAGGGATACGGGAAAATTTTGGCTGAGAAAGGTGGACTCCAGGTCTACGAGGTCCGGGAGCTACAGCCAAAGCTGGAGGGGGGCCACGTGCTGGTGATGAGGTTTAGACCTGTAGTGGACGCATCCATCGAGTCCCAGCACGACGGAACTTTTCTCTTGTCCAGGTTGCCTCCCGACGTCAGAAAGCGCTTCGAAAGCTGCGAAAAAGTTACTGACGTGGATGAATCTTTTCTACTCCGGTGTGGCTTAGAGCGAGCTATGGAAGCAGCACTTCGAAAGGAACTAGAGGGAATCTTCAAAACGGTGCAACGCACTGGCAAAACTGTCGCGAAGATCTACGAAGACGGTGACGAGTACGATGTCAAGCTGAACTCACTTAGAACAAGAGGGATCTGGGACCTTAAGAAATCCTCACAGTTTCTGGGCAAGGTCGCCTGCAGGATTGTTTGTGATGGCTCCTCAGTCAAGCTAGCGCCAGGAGCAGACACCTCTTCTTCAGTTGTGTCACAAGGCGATGTTAGACTCGTCGCTAGCTCAGCAGGCATCCTCGAGGAGCCGGTGACCGTTATAGTGGACGCGCCCCGTGCCTTCAATCAAATGGGCGAGCTCCTGCCCTCCGCGCGAAGAAGATTTCGGCTTCCAATGAATTTCCGGTCGAACTTCATATTCACCATAGCAGCCGAGTTTAACTTCTATCCGAGCTCAACAGGACTTTTCTTCCTTTTCCACTACGGAGACTCCTGTGGGTCACTCGGATTCTATAGGACGGTAGAAGCTGAACTCAAGGCAAGGGGGTACACGTCTTCCCCACTTGCCCCGGCTCTGTTCTTTCTCAAAGGCGGCACCGAAAAAGCCAACAGCCATCTGGCAGGCTGTCACAAACAGGGAGACCAGGAGCTCCAAGACGCCTGCGACAATTGGTACTGGGACAATTTGAGAGAAGAAGACAAGCCAGCGGTCAAGAGCTACCAGGTCAAGCAGATCGTGCCCAAGAAGAACCGCCCCTATGCAATTCTGCCTACCACTGTTGACGATTTCATCATGATAGTGGAGCGAGAGTTCGTGGGAGCTGTTGCGGGCTCCTTCTTGTCGCGCTTCGGCATTAAGGTTTATGCGATTGGAGAAGGGATCTATGCAGGCAAGAGAATCAGGCACCTCTTGCCCAAGAAATGCTTTGAATTCTCGGTAGCCCACAAGTTCGAGGACGGACTCCGAGACTTAAAAGTTGCTGGAGCCGACTCAGAGGCACCCCTTACTCCAGAACAAGTAACCAACATACTCGGTGTACGTGGTGAGCTAGGTTTTAGTGTTAATGCTTGCAAGCCAGATTTGCTCTATGCTTTCCGGGAAATCAGTCAGGGTTCTCTTGTAGGAGCGACGCAGGAACATCTCAAATTCGTGAAGGTATGTGTGGACAGAGCCCGCACCCAGAAAGATGTTGTCCTCTGCATCTACTATGACAACAAAGACTGGGCTCTAGTAGTGATCACCGATGCGTCATTTCAGGGAGCTATCGGGCCTAGGACAGTTACAGACCCCGCCATCCTGCACGACATGCAAACTGTGGCAGACTCAACATCTCTGAGCAGTGTGGAAAAAGACGATAGGCTGGCGGAACTCAGTAGAGAGCGAAAGACCAAGCTGATGCCCCTTATCGCCTGCTTGGTCATGCTTGTAGATGTTGACCACCCCCTCCCTGACGGGTATCGAGCCACGTTGATCGACTGGCAGCTCCAGCAATCCTCTGCCATCTGCCCGTCGAGCTTCAGCGCAGAAGCAGAAAGTGGGGCCCAGCACCTACCGCTCGGCACTTTCAGGCGTGAAGTGTTCGCACATCTAGGCCAAGACCGCAGAATGGCTTGGGGATCAGACAACGACGGATTGATAAAGCGCATCAACAAGCGGTCCTCCATAGAGCCTACTAGGGACTTTAAAAGTGTTTGCCTAATAAAGCAGGACAGGGAAAGGGAGAGCCTCGGGATCGGTTTTATCACCGACATAGCCAACCCTTGTGACACGGCAACCAAGAAGATCGCCTTTGACAGTGAAAAGCGTCAATCCCTAGTGCGACTTATGCAGGACGGGATCTGGAAGACCAAGTTCAAGGGTGATAAGAAGAGCAAGGGAGCCGAGGGCGTACAGTTCTACTGGAGGGAATACGATTGGGAACGAGACAACTGATCCTTCTGCATCCGCTAGGAAAGTGGGAGGTATCTGGGGTCTCTGCTTCTGATCTCATTCTCCCGCTAGCGAAACATCAACTCTGCATGGATGGGGGAAAGCATGTCGAAGAAAGAAGGAAAGCGAACCTGAAGCAAGAAAGTGACCGACATAATACAATCTCCATTCTCTACATCAAATACTGTAGCCTTTTGAAGAAACAGATCAAGTAGTCAACTCCTCTCAGACACAACTACTACTCCCAACATTACTAGTACCTATTGAACTACAAAAACCAGTCATTCTAGAATAGCTACAACTCATGCTTACAAAATACCACTCACAAGCCATTAGTAGTTTCACCTTACTTCAAACTAAAAATCTTACCCGGGGTATTGATACTTCATTAAGTTATAATTGAGTAGAAGTAGGACAACGTACTAGTCAGTGTTCGTGTTATAGAAACATGGTGTTGAAGGCCGGAACAAAAGAAAGTTCAAGAAAGAATCGTTGCTGTCAGCTGTGAACTCTAATGAGAATGAAAGGATCTGAAATACAACTGGAAGTCAGAGAATTCATCCAAACGAGTCAAAGGAAGTGACGAGAAAGAAGCAAGCTTTGTTGCAAATATAGCGTTGACAAGCAAGCTTTCATGGATTGACCAGAAACATCCTCAAAGACCTCATCGACAATGTCAATCCCACCTTCAGGCTTTGTTTTGAGAATTGAATGACTTCCGACCAAGAGGTCGCGTATGTTAAGACCTCGGCGGTCTGCCAGACTTCTTCTCAGTTTCCACGGTGTTCTCCGCTTACTTTCATACAACAAGTGGAAGAGAAGCAACTTACTACAACAAGTGGAAGAGAAGCAACTTCAAGTGATGGAAGAACAAGTGGGACTAGTGTTGGACAACGGACTTCCATTGTTGATGCGGATGGTACGCACAACAATTCTGGTGGGCACGAACGAAAGATAAGTAGTACTATTGCTGATATTGAGACAGCAACTATGAGTCTACCAACATCTCCGACATTTGATCAAGAAGACTCGTATCACTCAAATGCCGCTCTTGTTTCCTCCCCCTCACAATCACCCCAAGCCCCTTCCTCCTCTCGCGGCCGTAAAATCAAAGTAGTATGGAAGCATGGGAGGGCGCATTTTATTAACGCCCACAGTATGCACATGCAGTTACATGACATGTTGCACTGTTCAGAGATGTTACGCGATCACGAACGCTACTCACGGAATGGTGTGGAGTATAAACACGTGGTCATCGCCAGAATTGATGTCACGCTCTTCGCTGCACATCCTGATTTATTGGGTTATCGGAGTACCCGGATTACTTCTGGTAGTAGTATGGGAATGAACAAAAGGAAATTGGATTTGACGCAGGATAAGGAAAATCATTTGGAGACGGAGGAACAAGACACTGTTCCTGCTGGAAAACAGCCAGGATACTACAGGACAACAAGACATCGATATTGACACAAGAACTACCACCACCATAGAAAACCAAGATCAAAACACTATTCCACGTGCCCTCACGTTTGCCAATCTGGGCTATGACTATGGCGACCAACGAGCACAACTACTACGCCCGTTTAAATATGGGTGTTTTGTGCCAAGAGGATTCGATTGGTCGCAAGGATTGACAAACATATTCGCCATCTGTGAACGCAAACTAAGGTTACAAGAAGAGGATGTGTATCTACCTATCTTTCAAAATATTTGAAATAGCCTTGGTGGGTTTTATTATCTTGTGAGGGGAAAACGGCCTAGCCAAGGCCAAGGTTTTGTTTTTTCACCAAGGTCAACAAAACTGTAACCGATGTAAATAATCACGATGCTTTTGAAAGTAAATGGATTGAATTTCGGATAGATAAATTTACTAGCTCTCTAAGTAAAGCAGCCGATGTCTACATGCGTGAACGCGTCTCGCTTCTAGGACAGCCGATGTTGATTTCACAGTGGCTTCGGACAGGGACAAGGCGACTAGGAATCTACAACTCAGAAATGCTTTTACGTTTTACGAGATAGTCTCATGCACTTCGGAGTACCGATTCAAAGATATGAAGCAGGGTATTTCAGGACGTGCTATGAGAGTAGTGTTAAACGTAGTGGCGATCGTCGTGGTGCTGCTGGCAGTGGCGGAGGTAGTAGTGGTTCCCGTAGTCGAGGGATTCTTGGAAGAGATGATGATCTTGCTGAGAGTGACAAAAACATTGCTGTTACGACAACGACATCTATACAACGAGATACCCATGGAGGATCGAGATCAACTAGTACAAGAAAGCAGACTAAGCGTACAAAGGAATCTAGTAGCCGAGCGGAAAGTCCTCCCGGCGATGGTGTTACTACAAAACAAGATGGAGATTTTGATTTTTCCGGGGGAGACTCAGGGTCCCCAGTAGAAGACGAGGAGAGTCCTTCTTCTTCTTCTTCAGCAACGTCGTTATATGACTTAGAAGATGGCGCTTTTCTCGGTGCTACGTCAGCACAACTAGACAAAGGCACAAATTACGCAGGTCGTTGTCGTTACATGAAAAGATAAGGCGTTTTTGGTAAGTTTGAACGACCGGCAAAACAAAGAGACCCTACCAAAGATGAAGATGTAAGGGATTACTCGGAGCTGTTTTCTGTGACGACATCTTGGGAGTCGATTGAGGCGGACTTTGAATTCTTCAAAACGCGGGTAGAGCTAGTGAAAGACTATGGCATTGAGCCGCATTATGTATCGAAAGCTCGACATGATATAGAACGTGCGCACCAAAGGTTTGATGCAGGAAGAAATTCTTCAAGAAAAGGCCTGACAACTGGAGGATCTACAAGGAAGCCAAAGTCTAGCACTGTTAACACAGATGAGGACACGCAGCAAAAGTACAGTACTCGGAATACAGCAACAGCAGCAATCGCTTTGGCAAAAGGCGATCAGAGAACAAACAAGCCACACGTTGTTCAAGCACCTCCTACCATGAAAGAAACACAAACGCGGACTCCGAAGACTCCACAACAACAAAGACATTTCGCTGCAGCCCTCCATGCAAGTAGTCTTGATTTGCAGAGAAACGAAAAACAGAAACTACCGTCAGCAAACACGACTATGACATAGCAATGTGCACTCATACTCAAAAAAGTATCCAGTTTCCGCCTCAAATTCTTGTCAATTTTTTGCGTGTGAGTGCACTTTTTCCTTTCATAACAACTGCCCTTGCGACTACACAAGAGCGTGATAGAAAATCAGTCTTCAAGGACACGCCAGATTTCATACCACACTGGGAAAAATACGATGGCGCCGCAGGCGAGAAAAATATGGATAAAGGCAGAGGTAGTTCTTCTGGTTGGCGTGGCCCATCGCGTGATGGGCAGCAGATAATGTCCATATTTGCAAGAAATGTGCGCGAATTAGATGCAAGAAGATTGTTGTGGAAGAGACATGAACGACTGAGGAAAAAGGGAAAGGAAGATGCTGCTCGGGTAAGGCTTCCGGAAGAGCAAGGAGAAGGAGCATCACTCCCACTGAGCTCTGGTACTGGTGAAAATGTGTCTCCTGAATTTTCACAACAACAACAAGAAGGTATACACACTACCATTAAGAAATCAAAAGAGTCCATTACGCCGACTTTGAGACTCTTAGATTCCGAAGAGCCTAGTAAGGAGTGGAGAGGACATCTGAATGGGGACTTTCCATTGCCGTTTGAAGGCTCAAGTCCATTCTTCATCGATCAACCGGTGAACATTTATGCTCAGTTGTAATTAGTAATCACTCTATTTTCCTAATGTCCTAACGAGGTTTTGGTCGCGGATGGGTAATTAGACTCTTTGACAGAGAACTCCCTCTAATTTCCCATCCGCGACCAAAACCGCATGTCCGTTGCTGTGTGTCAAGCAGTAAAAGAAGAGGAGACGATTTTTTTCTACCAACTCCGAGAACTCCAGGATCATTTACAGCACTACACAAAATATCTTCTCGACGGCACATCTGCGCAGCATTTGTTGCAGGTGTTGTTTCCGTACTTCGACTTGTCCAGGTCAGATTTTGGTGCGAAATTTTGAAGACGAAGTTTTGGGTTTTGGTCCGCAGTCTTGAACTAGGTTACATTTTGGTTAATGACGTTTTGGGGAGAATTAGGGACATTTGTTTTGGCTCTTACGGGTGTTGTTGTTTTGTCACATTCACGTTTCATTTTCTAGTGGGGAAAGAAAAAGATCCATCTGGGGGGAAAGCCTATGCGCGTAGAGTATATTGAATTTCTTTTGGGGATAGACACATGGAGACATCACGACTTCGGAATCTAGACTCATTCAAACTGAGAAGCCGATCTGGGCGCGACCCGACGACTATTGTTCTTTGATTGTACCTGTGAAATTTGTTTTGCCTGCACCAGGGCGTGGAAGTACCGGGTGCGCGCAAGAATAGGTGGCGTTCAATGCGCCCATTTGTTCCGCGTGAGCGACAAAAATGCACACGATTCATGCTAAACAAAAGAATAACTCCGTGCCTCATTTGAAATTATGAATTCAAACTGAGGTACACAACAATAAAGATCCACATGGGTGAACTCCGTTTGTGTGCGCTTTGTATAGTGCACTCAGCCCTTCATTTACCCAAGACTGAGTCAGCTCCTTCCTATCTCGCATGTCTTGCATTGTACAAGCGGAGATGATGTAATGGCTGTACACGCTTTTTCTCTAGAAGATTTAAGTAATTTCAAGAAACTAAACGACAATGAAGGATCCTCAAAGTTCTCATGATGACACATCGAGTTTACTAACCCATGTCAACAGACTCCTTATATGGATTGGTGAAAAACACTTGTCTGCGTGTGTGCTGAGCTGAGCTATTCGACTTGAAAAATTTAATTGTTGTTGATCCTGGCTCCGATCTGTAGATCTTCTGTGGCACTTTGTTCCACCAAACGCGCTACTTCTTCATGATGAAATTTAGCGAACGGGCGGACGGATTCAAAAACGTTTTTTACGTTTTTTGACCTGACGATTGTTCGAACGTGTACTTACTTTTTGCTGACTTCTGCGTTGGAATTGGTGCCTTAGAATAAAACAGTAAGCTGCTCTACTTGAAGATTGAATGCAGCTGACCTACTTCAATAGATTTAGTTGAACGTTGATCATCTGTACATCGTATATCCTGCTTGAATTGAAAATCTGTAGCTGAACTGTGAATTTACATCGAGGTTCGGTTAGAAATTAATTCGGGGAAGTGATCACGGATCTGTTGAACGGTTTGCGAACGAGAGGAAAAATGTGCTTGCGCATTTGGATGTTAGGGTTGAATCTTTGTCTGGAAGTAGGAGTCGAACTACGTCAAGAACGATTGCAAGAACACAAGGATAATTAATTCATCTGCGCAGCGAAATTAGTAGCGGTGGATACTACCAGATCTAAATTGTATTTTGGTTTTTCGACGAATGTGGATTTTTTGACTTACAACGGCGAGAACTACTTTTCCACCATCTCCGCATACTACTTTTTTGACCCGTATCACAAGAATGAAGAGAACGTGCTTCGTCCCTCCTTTTCGCCTACTATAAAACGCGCGTGTTGTGATACGCTGAGACCGTTTGGGAACACTTAAATCGCATGCGCTGTTCCCAGACGTTAGCTATCTTGCCATGACGATCTCTCTTGGCAGAAACTAAACTGCTTCTTGGGGAAGGGAGCTGTGTTATCCCGACACCTTCAACCACGTCTGTCATAGAACAAAATGGAGGACCAGCCTCCAACGAAGAAGGCCAGGCTAGTTTCCAAGCAGGACAAGCAAACTGCAGAGAAGAGTGCCAATGGAAATACGAAGCCTGTGAAGCCGAGCCCACGGGAAAATGACGCTGCAGCGTTGAAAAAGAAGAAAGAAAATGGTCATGTGGCAGCAGGTCCTGGGAGTAAGACGAAGCCCGGCGGCGCAGACGAGGATAAGAAAGGAGATGCAGTGAAAAAGTAGAAACTTGTTATGATTTTTGACTGTGACTTCTTATTCGATATTGAGTAAGTCAAATTAGAGCACGAAGAGAGCACATTCCGGCTGATAACAGCCTTGGTCTCCAATTTCTATGATTTCATGTTTCCTCAATGATCATTCACTTTCCCATCTCAGATCTGCGTCCCGTACAGAACAACAGCCTGCCACAAATGGAAAAACTGCTGGTACAGAGAAGGAAAAACAAACTTCAAGTAATGCCACTGCTGCTAAGAAGAAGGATGCCACTGCCACAGGAGATGGTAAAGATGGCGCACCAGCAAAGGCTGCTTCGAAGGTTCCCGTGCCAAAGCGGACTTTTTTTGGAGAGAAGAAGCATTTTCAGTACTTCCGCATCCCTGACGAACTGGAGAAGCGGACTTTCCGCAACGAGCGCGACGCGTGGCCCGACTTCTTTGCGAAGCAAAAGGACTCGTTCAACAGTACTTGTACCACAGAAGCACACGTGAACAGTTACTGCTTAGAAGTAGTGAGGGCAGTGGTGTTTGACTGGATTCCAGTATGTTGCGGGATTCAGATGCTCCTGTTCCTAGTGGAGCATGAGGCGCAGCTGAAATGGACCTGCAATCCCCTCAACGACGAGATGCAGCCAGTGATGAGCGGGAAAAAGGGAGACTCGCCAGGTATAGTTCCCTAATGCCTGCTTTCTGTTTATGGTCACCCTCATTTTGACCCAATTCTTGTTTTGAAACTACTGCCTGACCTAGTTTTTGCACCGCTGTATCCACGGGATGAAAAACATCATTGATAGTATTAGCTCTATCTGATCGTTTGTGACGATAGACATGACTGTGGTTTCTCTGACGGATCACAGCGGTGCACTTTATTTAGGGTCGGTCGATTATCGCCTATACAATGATCGAAGAATTCTACCATGATCGAAGTTAATCATCTGACAAACAAAAGAACCGAAGTTGATCATCTTTCAAACACAACAGAAAGATCCTGTCAAAACAAACACTTTTTCATTTGCTGAACGTAACCATTCATAACAGCCTTTGCCGACGAAGCAGAGACGCTGGAGGATCTTTACAAGAAGGGCTATGTCGTCGGCCTATCTCGGGAAGATAAGTTGAAGTGCCTCAGCAATGTTCTATTGATGATGTCGCAGTTTTTGCCGGCACCTGTCAAAAACGAAGCTGGAAAACAACTAAGGGATGCTTTTACAGCGAATTTCGATGCTTTGGCTGTGGCGCTAGTGAGATATCGGGTACTTGAACCTGCTTTTTGCAGTCCTTGAACTTGTATTTTTGAGTCGTTCTTGCTGCATCAGATTTTCTTTGACCTGTCACAGACGATTATCACGGACCTTGCAACTTCAGATTTTCTTTGACTTTGCAATTTCAGATATTCTCCCGTTCCGAGCTGCTTTTCTCGATTGAAGCGCCTGAAGTTTTGCCAGAAAAGATCGGACCGGACAAGCGGAAGCTGGTCACTAGAAAAAACCAGTTGCGGACAAAGGAGAAGTTCACGCACATCAGATTTAACCTCCTTCGGGAGAATCCGTCTGGGTACGCCGAAGTTCTGATCTTGATGAGGCAGTTACTACACGCAGGTGCAGGCCCAGTGACGGTTCAGGTAGATGGCATCGCGCATCAGATCCGGAGACAGCTGAATGAGCAGATTTTAGCGGGCATAAGGGAGAGAAGAGAAGCCAATCCTGACCTCTACAGCAGTCCAGAATTGGATAGGAGTCTCGAAGATGTAGATGCAGTACTAGATCTTCCGAAACATCTTACTGAAGCCGAAGTAGTGGATCAGATCCACTCCCTGTGTGGTGCACAAAGTTTGGATTTAGGCAGGATTGCGTCTCTGATCCTGGACCACATGGGCTTCATCTTGAGCAGATACCGTTTGCCAGTCGAGGTGTTAAGCTACGAAATTAGTGGTGCAGGCGGGGCAGCTTCAGCAGATCAGCAAGCGTGGTATTCGAACCCTGTGGTTCGGAGCGTCAATGTTTTAGCACGCCTGTTGCGGAGAGTAGTCCCAAGACAACGTGTCGCTGAGGTGTTGCAGTACCGACTGGGGCACGTGTATCGAGAAAAAATACCTCTGCTCGAGAAGGACTATGCGGCGAAGGTGCAGAAGTACAGGGACACAACATCTAAGGTGGACGAAGCGAAGCAAAGGTGGGACAAAGCAAAAACAGACCAGACGACAGCGGAAGACAAAGAACGGCGAGAGAGAAATCACGTGTCTCAGAGGATGCATCGCGCAGAGCAAGATCGAATCCTGAGGCCACTCCAGAATGCGGTACTGTCTTATTAAAGATTCAGATTTCAATTCGCTCTTGGACTTGGAAAGATTGGATCAGATATGAATTCTCACAACCTGAACAGTCACAAGGATCCTCTCGGCTCATGATGACAAAACTTTCATGCATGGCTTGCTTGAGGCTTGCCGGTGTAGAAAACCGAACAGAGACTTTTTTATGTCTGATAGAGGGCTTCCGACTAAATCGATGATGATGTCTTACCTGCAAATGACACTCTATTATTTGGTGCGTGTCTCGAAAGATGACAAAACTTTCATGCATGGCTTGCTTGAGGCTTGCCGGTGTAGAAAAGAACTAAGAGACTTTTTTATGTCTGACGGATGCTCTACCTGCACCTGGTGACAAATCGTCAACTGGAAAGGTTAGGAAGATCGTTTCCTCTGGTTATGTAAGTACACCTCTGGTTATGTAAGTACACCTCTGGTTATGTAAGTACACCTCTGGTTATGTAAGTACACCTCTGGTTATGTAAGTACACCTCTGGTTATGTAAGTACACCTCTGGTTATGTAAGTACACCTCTGGTTATGTAAGTACACCTCTCCATGTAGGAAGTGCAGACGGTGATCAAATCTTCACTATTCTCCAAATTTTTCGTAACGTCAAACGCGACATACTCTATTTCACCTTTTGTCCTACCGAACGAAAACCACTGCCGAACAATCTCAGGTTTCCCAGGCCCAGAAAGACGCTAGCTCGAGATTACAGGAGGTGATGCGGTATCGCACAGAGCAACTCGAATATTGGGAAGAGATGTCTGCTGCTCGCTCCACCATCTCTCGAGAACGCAGTGGTATAGATTTCCAACTTGTAGCCTATCTTGTGCATGTTGGACTGCTAGACGCGGATAGGATATGGAGCCAACTGCCAGCAACACTGTGGAGGAGTAAAGAACTAGAGGGTTTCTGCACTTTGGATCCGGACTATGTAGGAGACGAGAACGAAAAGCGACATGCCGAAGAGCGGATGGAGGATTTAGCGTGGTTGCGGAACGTGTTGCCTGGCAAATTAAGCGCAGCACACAAAGCCGCAGTGCAGCATGTGCATAGCATTGTGCAAAATCCAGACAAAGAGCATGGCTACGAAAAACTCTGTTCGCAAGTCAACGTCATGGATTCCCCACAACTCAGACTTCTCTCTGGTCTGCTGTCGATCAACGCTTGGCGAAGAGCAAGTAGTATATTGCAGAACATCGGCAGGCATGCTGGCATGATCCATCGAGTGCGAGGAGAACTAGTTGCTTTGGTAATGTGGGTTCTGGATCCCTTGATTCGACAATATGCCTTGGATCCGGCATGGGAAGAGGCAGCGCCAACGGAGTATAAGCCGACATCAGCAGGATCGAAGACGTAGGATATTAAATTTTTATACGTTCATTATAGTCACAAACTCGGTGAAAAATAATCATGAGGATGTTTCAGAAAGAGTGTCTTTGGTGTACGAAAACAACTTTGTTCTTGTTGTGGTCCTATGCATATTTCACGTCGGCATCACGAAAAAATGATTCGAACACCCAACAAAAAACAGTGCTGTCGCCCACTACGACTGCCAGTGGGATAAGGGAACCCCCGTAGCCGACAACGAGCATCCTCGTGGCTACGAGAGGTTGTTTCAGAAATTTCTGCGATTCGACGTTTCCGGCAGATCGCCCTTTCCTCTCGCGCAACCGACGGACACCGCGCCAACCAGTCCCAGTGGCTGCGTCGCCGAGAACGATGACGATGTCCCAGTATCGCCTATCATGCGTAGTGTCAAAGCCTCTTTTTCAGTGAAAGGCAGTCCTGCATCATCGCCGAACGGGAAAAGAGGTGGGGCTGTGGTGAATGGTAGTGATCCTGACAGTACGGGAGTATCGCAGCCGGAATCCGGCAACTTCCACATGGACGGCCTAAGAGACGGCGCAGCCACTGAGTTCGCCTACGCCCATCTACAACCACAAGCAGTTCCTAGTTGTACTCGTCAATTTAGTGGTCCTAGCGACTGGCACTTGGATCAGCGAGTCAAACGCGGAGTTTTGCCGACATCGGGGCAAGCCTACACCATCGACGAATTGCGATTAGACGGCGCTCTGCCCGCGCCGGACGGTGGCCATCTAGTCCAGTGTTTTCACATCCGGGATTTTCTGACGGCGATCGAGCCGTTGCTGTTTTACCTAGATAGCAGTTTACACCAAGAACCACGATTGCTGGAGGTTTTGTGGAAATTGACCCAGCACTACATGGCGGATCAACAGAGCAGTGGCGCTTTGGGCGTGCCACCGGGACATCTGCCTCCAGGAACAACTGCAGGTGCTGGAATTGTTGGCGACCCTGGAGCGTTGTCTGGTGTCACGTCACCTGGCGCAACAACTAGTTCACCAGCCGAGCCGGCAGATCCTAGGATACTACAACTGCTGACTGGCGTTTTGCTTCCAGCGATCGCGATGACGCACACAATATCGGAATCTATGGTTGCCTTGATGTGGCAAGTTCTGCAAACTCTGCCTGGCGTCACTCGATGGAAAGTGTACCAAGACATGTTGGTTCTGTACGAACAGAAAGAGCCACTACCTTTGATGAAAGCACGAGTGTCGAAAAAAGTGCAAAACGCATTGAAGCGAGCGACAGGGGCAGCGTCACAGGGAGGAGCTGGTGGAGAAGGAGGCTCTGGAGGAGCACCCGGTGCTTCAGGCGGTAGTGGTCCAGCTGGCGGTCCAGGATCTTCTTCTGGTGGCGGATCTAGCAGTAGTGCAGCAGCGGCAGCAAACGACGCCTTAGCACAGACGTTGCAGTTCCACATTGCGCGATTGTCGGACAGCAATCCACTGATTGTCTACCGCACAGTGGTGGAACAAGTTGCAGTCGCTTACAACGACAACATGATTGTTCCAATTTTGGCGTTGACGAAAAAGCTGTCCTATTTGGCGGCGGACGCAGCAAGTTTCAGCTGCATCCAAGAGTGCTTCACCCGAAGTCTCAAAGGCAGTCTGCTCTCTCAGGGCGTCAACATTGAAGGATGGCTCCAGAACTTGTCCAAGTGGATTTCGCTGTTCTTCGCTGTCCATCCGGACACGGATGTCAGTTTAGTCTTGCAGGCGGTAGCGGACTTTATTGAGGCACATGCGACTAAGGGTCTGAACGCAGATACGTTTGGGAATTCATTGTTGCAGGTGATCGTGACGAACCTGATCGCAAACATGGGAAGCTGGTCCTACGTCACTGAGCTCAGCGATTCACAATTGGAGTTAGGACGATTCTTCAGAAATTGATATCGATAACTTGGTAGATACGTCGCAGTGAAATAGATGAAGTTGAAAGAGCTCGTGTTTCCAAAAAAGATCTAGATCATTCGATTTCTATACCTCCTTTTGTAACGATCCTTTCTGGATTTATCTTTGTCACGTAGTTGGCAAATGAATGAATGAATGTCTGCTTCTAATCTGCATCCTTTCTGGCGGTGTGCAATTGCGAACCGAGCAGATCTACGCCAAGAACGCCCAGTTCGAAACCAACGATACCATTGCCCGTGACGCCCGTTCGCAAGAAATCCTCCTACGAACATTAGAAACCACCGATGTCGTTCGCCGCTTCTGGCGCTCACTCGGTCTCATGCGTCGTGCCAGCACCTCTGACGACAACCTCGCCAACGTGTTGCAGCAGATGCGTGGACCAGCAGCTAGTCATCTGAAGAAAGTCGGCTACCTCTACGACCAAACGCATCAGTGTTTGATGTCCATCACGCAATTTTTGGGTAGAAGCTTGCGCCCGCGACAATACCACTCTCTATTGCCACAAGACATCAACAGCATCTTCAACGATTTCGAACCAGCATTTGCGTACACGATGATTAGGCCAGCATTGCCAGCATGGCACGAGAATGTGACGGACGAGACGTTCTTGTTAGACTCTACAGTGTCGTGGAACACGGACATAGCGGGTGTCTCAAATAGCTTCCGATACGCGTTTTGGAGGCTGGAGCTTGGGGATATTAGCTGCCCGCCACAGTATTTGAATTTATACTACATTTTGGGAATTATTAAGAACGTGTTTCATCAATATGACTTGTCGACCAGATGACAACCAAATATTTACAACTTTTCGGCTAATCCAAAAGGTGTATTAAGACTTGCTTCTCAAAATTCATTTCCAAAAATCCAGGTACGATTCCTGCATCTCTGCTCACGATAAAGTCGTGAAGGAGGTCAAAGAGGAGATTGAGAGGCTTCAACTGCGCGCTTCCACCAGTGTCACGGCGCGCGATTACCTAGAGCAGAAGAAGGCGCTGCGCGACGAGCGGCAGGACGCCAAGCAGCATCTCAAGGATGAGCGTGATGGCCAGTTGAAGCGTGTGCACCTCACTCTCCAAAGAATAGAACGGGAGAAAAACACTTGGGTGTTGGAGAACAGTGAAAGGACGTGTAAGAATCTAGTGTCCGAATTCTTGGCCAAACGTTTTTTGCTGAGTTACGACGACGCATTGTTCTGCAGTTACTTCACATTTTTGCTAGTGAAGACGAAAACAAAGGGCATTTCGGCGACTGATTTGGGACAGAAAATCGTCGACGCTTTATCAGCAAAAGTGGACGCTTGCACGGAAGATGAAGCGAGAATTTTGGGTGTCTTCGTCGCAAACTTCCTCAAGAACATGAACACGATTGCCGAGGATAAGAGCATGTACTTACTAGTGTTTTTTTTCAGAACATGAGCACGATTGCCGAGGATCAGAGCATTTACTTACTAATGTTTCTAAGTTGTTTTCGATTTTCAAGAATGATGGAAGATGTTAACTTCATCCAGTTTCCCTTAGCATTCGCGTTTCGTCGGTGGACACAGAATATGAGTTCTTGGATTTGATTCTCGTCTCCTCAACAAAACAAAATTGATTTATGTCTCTTTACACACAGGTTCCAAGGCGAAAACCCGTGCATGCAGAAGCAGTACTATTTCGCCGATACCCCAGCGAGCGAACGCGAATACCTGAATGAGGAGAACTTCAGATGGCACCTCGAACGATGGGAGAAGGGGCTTTATCTCGCATTGAAAGGCAGTTTGGAATCAACAGACTGGATGACCAGAAGAAACGCTCTGAACATCCTTTCGAAGACCCTGAACGTCCTCCCCTTCACCAAAGAGGTTGGTGGAAAACTCCTCCGCCTAGTCCGTCGTATTGGCAGCACCGATACTCGTTCCGACATGAAGTTGCTAGCCCAGAGTCTGTGCAATGGTCTCCGCAAAAACGAGAAGGGGTGGAAGAGTCGCGAAGGCGTCTCGGTTCTCGAAGAAGCGCGCTTGCTACTAGCTGCACAAGCACAGAAAGCTGAGGAAGAACGTTTGCTGGAAGAGAAGCGTTTGTTGGAGGAGGAGGCAGAACGTCAACGCCTTCTGGAAGAGGAGCAAGAAGCGGAGAGGAAACGTCTGCAAGCCTTGGCGGAAGAAGAACTGGCAGCACAAAAAGGTTCACCCGAAGATGCTGCTGAGGGTAGTGAGGATAAAGAAGGCAGCAAAAACAGACCTCCTCTGACGACACCACGTGCTGGAGGCCGTGGCGGGAACAACAAAGATGGCAACGCCAGCAAAGACGCGCCAGATCTGCTGGATCAAGAACATCGAGGAATTGACAGTCCTGAAGACGACTCCGACGCGATCCTGCCTGCAGATGACGAAGAAGTAGCGTTCATCAGTAGACCTCGCAGGAAAAGCAGAAGGTCAACGGGAGAAGATGGAGCACGAGGAGACGGGCGGAAGCGGCCGGCTGACAGTGCGGAGAGCAGTGCGTCACAAGGAAGCAATTCCAAGAAAACGAAGACGGGATCGTGAACTTGAGTCAGAACAAGTTCGTGAAGGCGATGTAGAATTCTCCTACTCAGTATACACACTCATGAATACTAAAGGAGAATGCAGTTTTTAATCGTAGTCATACAACACCACTGGTACTAAGAGGCCGATATATCCCTGTGGTATCCTCGTATCAGCATGGAAAAACTAAAGACATCATTTTTATAGACATCTGATCGATTCAGAAGTGGAAAATTAAGTAGAGGATAACCGATCCATAGGATTAACTTCAAATCGAAACTAGCATCGTACGGTCTACTATAGTGGACAAAATGTAGAAAAGAAAAGGGATTCATTGTCATAACACTTGTACCTCGCTATCGAGGGAGTCCTACATCACATGGCTCAACGACCCGAAATTCAACTGTGTATGTTATATTTCTCAATTTTGTTGAGATCAGAACTTACGTTTGATATTACCCTACCCCTAACCTAAATCCCAACTTGAATCTCCCTAATGTACGAATTCAAACCTACGCGCTGAAAAACTTCAATGTTCGGGCAACAGCGCCGCGGTAAGGCTGCTTGATGTTCGCTTTTGAGAATGTCATCGCTGAGATGCAGTGGTAATACGCGTGTGTGATGAATCAGATATAGAAAACCATTTTTAGCGCAAAGTCCGATCGACGATCCTGTGAGAAAACAAACGATCTCATGATATGGTTGATCTGGTCCTAGGAACGCTGTCGTAGCAGATTTGCTGTATATCAAAGATTTTTCGGTTTCTTACTCGGTTGAGGTGCATGCGTAGACTTTCAATTGTGATTGGTTACTCATGGTGCCAGGCTGTGGTGAGGTGGTTACGGCGACCTGCGGAGTTTCAGACTCTTCCCGTCATAGTCTGAAAGTAGTCACTAGGTAGAATTGCAGTGTGTACCGCGTTTTTGTCAGTTTTTGAGTATTCGAAGAGATTCGTGAAGTTTGCTACTTAATTCCTTCCACGACATCTAGATCTACGTAAAACCGCTTTTCTACTTACTTAATTCCTTCCACGACATCTAGATTTACCATAGTAGTTTGGGTCAGAATTAAGCGCACTCACATACCACGTATTCTTGACCAGCTGTTTTTCACACATGTCCTTTGCCGAACGACCTCTTCTCGTTTGCCTTTTACTGACGTTGTGCTTGGTGTGAGCTGCTGTTGGCGAGCGAAGGAAACGATTCTACTGTGGTGCGGAACTCTGACTCTGGATCATAAGCAGTTTGCGACTTTTCTTTACGTAGCAGGAACCGCTTTTCTACTTACTTAATTCCTTCCACGACATCTAGTTCTACCAGTTGTACACCGCCACTTACAGTTACAAAGGTCACAAGATGAATTTCCAGCACGCACAAGCCGCTATGTCGGCTGCATCTGGCGGCAAGGGTGATAAGGAGAAGATCAGCGGCAGTTTCGATCCTACAGCTCTTGAGCGTGGTGCCAAAGCCCTGAAGGAGCTAGATGTTAAGGGTTACCACATTGCATTCTTCACTACCATCCTTGACTTTTTTTTCCAGTTGGAAAAGGGGCAGGGATGAGCTGAAGCGCGCAATGTCGCAACCTCTAAAGATGCCTCGCAAAATGCCACCAAAGCTTTTGAGCTGACAAAGCTCCAGGAAACTACCAAACAGAAGGAGATGAACCTTCAAATGGAGCAGATGCGTGCCCAACAAGCAGAAATGGGCTTGCAACGGGCTCAGAAGGAGGGTGAGGAAAGGCGTAAGACAATTGCGGCGCAAGAGGACCAGGAGAGAAGAACAGCGCAATACAAAACGCAGTTGGAAAGCGAATTATATCAACGTACTGAAATTTTTCTTAAGCATGAGATCTCCATATGGGGTGTTGACACTGATTTTTCCATCGGGCGGATGATATTGTGACATCAACATTTTCAATCGTTATCTTGATTCGATTCCCTAGCACCTCTCCCTGTATTTGATTTTTCTAGTAGTGTAAAAAATCGTCCTTAGGACCTTCGCTTGCACAAATACACAGACAAGCTCGAGGACCAGCAGAAACAAAACGAGGCCTGGCTTCAACAGCAACATCAGAATTTCTTGAGGCAAGAGGAGATTCGTAAGGGCAACGACCGCGAATTAGAGGAGATGCGTCGTAGAACGATGTCCGAGCAAGCAAAGCTAGATCGCGAGACTATGCTTCTCAAGGCACAAGCAGAGAGTGAAGCAAGGGCAAAAACGGAAAGAGAAAACGTTGATGTCAGAATAAGGGAGATGCGAGCGCAAGCTGGTACGTGACTAACAAGGTTCTTCGTCACGCTGTTGTTTCGACTAAGTGTCTGAAAAATTTTCCTGCTGGATGCGCGACAAGATTATCACGCAAGACGCTCATTCTCCTTTCAAGACAATACTACCATCTACTCAGGCGAGGAGCGAAGCACACGGCTGCAGTCTATCGAAGCATACTTTGGAGGCTTTAGCGGACTATTGAGTGATAAGCAGAAAATTACGACCCTTGTGACGGGACTTTCCGCGTTGGCACTAGGTGTGTACGCAGCTAGGAATGTGACAAGAGTTGCAGGAAATTTGGCGGAGAAGAATCTTGGGTAAGCACTTGTGAATCTTAAGTTTTGTTACAGTGAAGACAAAATTATTTCCATCGTCGTTTACCAGCCCACGAAAAAAAGCACTAATTTTCAACAACTCAACACCTAACACAGCAAACCATCTCTCGTCCGCGACACTTCTCGATGGTCGTGGAAAAAGAGCTTCCTCCCTATGGGTTACTCCGGTGGAGCAGCTACCCAAACAAACGGCAAAATGCTTGACAAAATTGTCTTGCAGGATGAGTTGTCCGAGCGCTTGACCTGGATGACGAATTCATTGGTGAACGCAAAGAAAAATGGAACTCCCTTCCGACATATGCTGTTGCACGGTCCCCCAGGAACCGGTAAGACGCTATTTGCCCGAACATTAGCCAAACTTATGCCTTCGCCTAATCCATCTCTTTGAAAGACATCCTGAAGAGTCTGCTTTTCAAGGGGAAGAGGCTCGTAGGACGCATCTGGAGATGGATTAGGGTGAGTTCTAACAAACGATCAGGTCTGGACTACGCCATTATGAGTGGCGGTGATGTGGGTCCATTAGGAAAAGACGCAGTGGAGGAAGTCAACAAGCTGTTTACCTGGGCGAATAAGTCGAAGAAGGTATAATTTTCATTTTGTTTTCTCCCGTTTGATCTGTGAATATTTTATTGAAGAACATTCAAGTCGTGGATTATTGAACTTTGTTGTCCTTGTCAAAACAAATAGGATCAACACTTCGGTCTTCAGACAAATATGATCACCTCCGGCTTTGTTCACACAAAAAAATTCTACCGTCCCTGTCTATGCACTACATAAAATCAGGGCATGGTCCTCTTTATCGACGAAGCTGATGCTTTCTTGCGCAAAGGCAGGCAATCGAGTGATGGCATGTCCGAGCACGCCAGAAACGTTCTCAGTACCTTTTTAGCGCACACGGGTACAGAAACAGACAAGTTTGCGGTAGTCTTGGCAACCAATGTGAAAGATGTCCTCGACAGAGCCGTGATGGACCGTGTCGATGAGCGATTCTTATTCCCGCTTCCGGAATATGATCAGCGATTGGAGATGGTATTTACACTGTGATATGTGCTATTTTCGTGATTGGGATCAGGAGATACAACGATCAACTCTTGTCATGAAGCATTTTGAAACTGAAATTCAACCTGGATTCTCGTTGGCAATTTTTACAAATTCGTTCACGATCCGATCAGGCAGCGAAATTTTGAAAACTTCTCTCTGTTCGAAAAATACACAGGTGAAAATGTTTATGGATCAGCACATCCTCTCGCCTACCAAGACCAGCCAAACGATCGAAGTAGAAGACGCAGTTAAATCTGAGGAGTATATGCAAGAAATGGCTAAGCGAATGGACGGCTTTAGTGGTCGTCAGGTGGCCAAAACTATCCTGGGACTCCAAGCTGCTGTTTTCGGTAGTGGTACAAACAAGTTAACAAAGGGATTGGCCGACGCGGTGTTGGACTGGAAAATCGCAAACATTGGCGAAGATCAAGACAGCATTGATCGGGAAGAAGCCGAACAACTGCGATTGGAGAGTAAGAAGTTGGGAACCTACTAGAAGATTCGACGTGACAAACTTCTGAACAAAGTGAGGTGAACAGAGGTATGAGGTAGTTGGGGTTGTACCGGAAAGAAGAGAACCAGCAAATCAATACTACCACGCTTTATTGGCAGATCGATTACTCAAAGCGAAAGGATGAATTTTTTTGCAGAAGAAGAGTAGTGCAGCGTCTTCAGCTCTTGCCTGTCGGCATTCCTTTGTCTCAGCCAGTCGTGAACTCCCGCCAGCGATCAGGCACCTGAAATCAAATAGTGAATTTCTCTTCATGCAGTAAAACGACATGAACACGAACCAGAAATGCTTTCTAATGTGATTTCCTATCTGATAACTTTTTCGACGCCCGTCTATTTTTTGAAGCCAAATTCCCTACCTTTCCCCGCTCCCGTTGAGAACCTCAGTTTAATTTTCCTTCCCCACATTTAACGACCTTTAAATTTCCTGAGTGGTGTAAATTTTTTTGTCCAAAAAATGTACGTGGTTTAATGCAGAAGTCTCTCGTCAATGGTTCTTTGAGAATGCAGAAAAGTTCTTTGGGAATACAGAAAGAAATCCATGTTTGAGGCACCTGCTGACAGTGACGTCGCGCTGGCATTGTTGGCTACAGGAACGGAATCGTTGTTCATTACTGTGGTGTACGTACTCTGTGCTACTAATGCTCAATTTCGCTGGAAGATCCGATTCTCAACGACCTGATCTGACTGTGGTTCATTTGTGTGGATTTGTTGCAGGTCTTACAAGTTCGATGACGAGGACCGGTGTGGATCATGACATGTCGCGCCGGATTGATTCGGGGGTGGGACACGCGACGGACGCACGCCAGTCTTTCGGAATTAAATTTTGTTGAATACAGCTTTTTGTTCTAGACGTTCAGAAATCTAAATTATCGATCTGGCGAATTCCAAATTTTTATCTGATCAACCATTTGGAGTCGTTGCTGTCTCCCGTGCTTTGATGTGGCATTCTGGTTTTTTTCTGATGCAGTAGATTCAATTCTCAATTTTTCTATACAATTTTCTTCTTGTTTCCAGGACAGCTTAATATAGGAAAGATTTGTAATACAACGAATTTGATATAGGGATAAAATAGTACTATTTTAAGGTAGGATTTTGAAAATAGATACCTAAAGCACACATTCCAATTTCTTTACACATATTCATATTCCATATTTTGATTTACCCCAAGAACAACATACAAAATGGCCGCCACTCATGACGAAGATGCCCTTCCCGATTTCGAGGAAGACCAGAACTTTGCCGAAACCAACGGAAACGGCGGCGAAACGAAGAAGGGTAGAAATTCTAGACGACTACTTCATCTGCTTCGCAACAACTTCACAGCGAGAAAAGTAAGTAGCTCACCTCTCAACGAGAAGAGCAGGAGTAGCCTGTTGTAGAAAATCATTTTAGAAGCTCGTGTGGTCGTGACGAAGGTGCACTTCACTTCCACTGCGGCTGAACCTCACGGAATTTGTGAAATCTAAATGTGCTTCTCCGCCAACAAGAAAAAACTGCTTCAACCTCAAATCTAAATCCTCTGGCGACCCACTCAGAAAATCGAAATCAAGGAAAGCCAATTACCCACCAGCAACCACCCCACTCACTTCCAAATTTAGGTAACTACATCGGTATCCATGCTTCCGGTTTCCGTGATTTCTTGTTGAAGGCCGAGTTGCAGCGCGCCGTTGTCGACTGCGGTTTCGAACATCCGTCCGAGGTCCAGCACGAGTGCATCCCGCAGGCAGTGTTGGGTATAGTTGATTTTCATTTCTTCTTAAAAAGTTATTTCGACAGTTTCTGGTGGTCACTCTCATTGTATGTTGGACTAATGAATCTAAAGATTTGAAATCCATCGATTTTCTAAATCTCCTCCCATTTTTCTCACCTGATAATCATCACAATCACACCACCTTCACTCTCACAGGTACCGATGTCCTCTGCCAGGCGAAGTCTGGTATGGGAAAGACTGCTGTCTTCGTCTTGTCTACCTTGCAGGCTCTTGAGGAAGGAACCGTTGCCGTCGAAGAAGGAAAGGATGAGAAAAGAAATAAGCTCCAAGTCTTGGTCCTCTGCCACGCTCGTGAATTGGCCTACCAAATCAAGAAGGAATATGACCGGTATAGTCCTTTTGTTGTACTTAGATGGATCTTCTTTAGACTGCTTGGGAGGTATCCTTTTGTTGCAGACATGGATCTTCTTTAGAACTACTCCTTTTGTTGTAGACATGGATCTTCTTTAGAACTGCTTGGGAGTGCCTTTTGGGTAGACGGAACTTTTGGCACTTCAACAGCGTAGTCTGTAGTTCTAAGTTTTTCGGTTTAGATTCTCGCGTCTGCATCATTCGTAGTAGTTCATCCCAGCACATTCTTCGCTTAAAGGCTTACTCCTGAAAACATAACACACAGATTCGCCAAGTACTTCCAGTGGTGCAAGGTTTCGGTCGTGTACGGTGGTACCCCGATTACAAAGGACAAGGAAATGCTCAAGGGAACGGATTCCCCTCACATCATGATCGGAACTCCAGGTATCCTATAACTTTTGATGGGTTTTTTGACAAATACACATCTTATAAGTATTCCAGTAACCTCTGCATCTGACACCAGTAGAACCGACTTGTGACATTGCTTAGGTGTATGCGCAACATCAGGCTTTCTCTTTAGCCATAGAGCCACCTTAAACCAATGTAGCACTCCTCAGGTCGTGTCCTCGCACCACCACCTTAAACCAATGTACCACTCCTCAGGTCGTGTCCTCGCACTCGTCAAGGAAAAGGCACTCGATATGAGCCACATCAAGCAGTTTATCCTCGATGAATGCGATAAGTGCCTCGAGAAGATGGACATGAGACAGGATGTGCAGAAAATCTTCGTCCAGTGCCCAAAGAAGAAACAAGGTATTCGCGATATGGCTTGGAAATTATCTAGAATGCTCTTTAGGTTTTAGTTCACTTGCTGTAGAAGTTTAGTCTCACTTCATCAACGGATATGGTATCCTGTTCTTCGTCCTCTCCGAAATTTTACTCAAATACCACCTCCAACCCCAAACCTCTCCTCCACTGCAACAAACTTTCAGTCATGATGTTCTCCGCCACGATGACGAAGGAGATCCGGGACGTCTGCAAGAAGTTTATGCAGGAACCGCATGAGATTCGAGTTGACGAGGAATCAAAGCTCACCCTCCACGGTCTGTTGCAGTACTTCGTCAAGCTGGATGAATCTAAGAAGAACCGCAAATTGAACGACTTGCTCGATGCGTTGCAGTTTAATCAGGTATAAGAACAACAGAACATTTTTAGCTGTCAGTCACAACATCACAACATCACTTCTTGTCAGAGAAAACTCTCAAGAACTTACACAAACTCTCGACCACTCTCTACTCGTTACCTCGCTTTGACACACCCTGAACCATTCACCCTTCTCACAGGTCATCATCTTCGTCAAGTCCGTTCAGCGTGCTATTGCATTGGACAAGCTGTTGCAGGAATGCTCCTTCCCGTCCGTCGCTGTCCATTCCGGTTTGAAGCAGCCCGAGCGTATCGAACGTTACAAGATGTTCAAGGAATTCCAAAAGCGTATCATGGTCGCCACCGATCTCTTCGGTCGTGGCATCGACATTGAGAAGTTAAGGCAAGTGAAAATGTCATGTAGAACCCCGAAAACTCCATGTAGAAGTAGCCACAGGATTTTTTCGTTCCAAAATTTTGAGAACCAGAAACTCCATTTACTCTCCCAAAATTTTGAGAAGCAGCTTGAGACAAAAAACCGCATCCCCGTATCCGCCGAATTCCCCCCTGTCTCTAATCCTCGTCAACGTCGTGATTAACTACGATATGCCGGCCGATTCCGACTCCTACTTGCACCGCGTCGGTCGCGCCGGTCGTTTCGGAACCAAGGGCTTGGCCATCACGTTCTCCGCATCCGATGAAGACAAGACGGTCCTGGACGCCGTTCAGAGCCGGTTCGAGGTCGCCATCAACGAGTGCCCAGAGACCATCGACCCGACAAGCTACTTGAACGCCTAAACTTCTTTAAGGGAGGTGGTAGTAGATGGACCTCTTCTTCTGTGTACCAGTCAAGGGCATGGTAGTAGATGGACCTCTTCTTCAGTGTACCAGTCAAAGAGCACTAAAAGTGGTTCCTGGAAGCTGCTTGAGGAAAGACGAGCACGGAACAGTGAAGAAGGGGGAACTGGTGGAGGTCGAAAAAGACAGGTGGCTAGGTAGCTGGGGTTTAGAACACGAAGCAGCGAAAGCCGGAGTAGTGCTGTGTCGAGGTGCTGCTGTCTTCTAGAAAGAACGAAGTCGTGCGCAACAAGGAGAATACTATTGCTGCGATTGAGCACTAGGACTGCTGCTTTTTCGACGCGGAGGTAGTTCACTCTTCGTTCTGACTTCTTGACACCACCCTTTCTGACACAGCGCTACGAAGGTCCGAGTCTGCGCGCGCGCGCGTTCGAGCCCTTGAAAAATAATGAGAAATATGTACTCCGTTGTACTTATTATCTTCATGTAGTAGGGATTGAAATTTGGAGCACTTGAAACATCTTTTATTGTAGTATCACTCAGAGAATTTATGTCATAAATCTGTATTTGTTTAAAGAAGCACATCTGACTACGCAGCCTTGATTTACGAATCTATAATGTACCAAGTGTTTGTGATCACGACTCTATGGGTATTTTTTGTCGCTTCTAATACTTCTGAATAATAATGAAATAATTGATTTTTCGAGATGATGTGTACCAGACGAGGAAATCGTGGTCAAGAAGATTTCCTCGTCTCAAAAAGCTGATTATATGACTCTGACCTATGAATTTGAATTTGTGTTAGTTGTATCAAGAAATCATTATACGCGCTTCGACTCCCACCTAATTGACTGTGCATGTCTGCTAGGAAGGAGGACACCACGCACAATCATCTGGGACAATTAAACGAAACCTATTGTCATGGTGTTTTCAGCTTGGTGTGGCTCTCCGATGCCGCATGCGGACCCTTTGATCTAGAGACGCGCTATCAGTAGTACAATCTCCTAGAGAAGAGAGGTTTCATGTCACACCACGCCCTAAATCTCTTAAGATCTTCTAAATCGTGTTGAAGTTGAACGAAGAAGAAAGTGCGCATTTGATGAGGAAGGTGCTCACGCGCTCTCTCTCTCGAACGGCATTGACGCTGCCAGACGTGATGTGCGTGTGTGAAAAGGGAACCCAACGATGTTCAGCCAATCCACCTCCAGTAGATGTGCAAACAATCCACTTCCAAAAAGTAGTTCTAAAGGATGCTCAAACAGTAGTTCTAAACGATGCTCAAACAATAGTTCTAAATCGAAGAAGAACCTGAGTGAGATCCCAAGAACGTTCATACAGAACAGACAGACCGAATGTTCCAGCAACAGATCAAGATCCAAAAGCCCACGCGGTGTACCAGCAGAAGTTCCTATTATGCTCAACATGCTATTCTCCGATCTAAATCGACGCCCAGTGGGCAACTAACCAACGAAACGCCCTACAGAGTCGCTATTCTCGATTTTTGTTTACGATTGTAGCGCTAGTAGTGCGAAGATCGGATTGGCGTTTATTTTTCTCACCGTCCCTGTCCTCTCAGGGTTGGTGTGATTGCAGCGCCAGACAATCTCGTTTGGATACTTAATCTGATGATCCCAAACTCGTTGGAAGATCTGTGAGGTGAAGAAGGGAGAAGATCTTACGCCAGAGGCTGGATCTTTTTTCTACGGTCAGGAAATTTTAGATCTCGGAAAGATGGATCAAGAGGACGATCATTCTAGAAAAGATCTAAATTGACGTTCTCGAAGGGAGACAACTCGAAATACAAGATCAAGACGGGGTCCGACTTCTTGTCACGCGATCAACAAAAATATGACCGCCCATTTTTGAAACATGCGAGATCACTTTTTACTACCTAGCAATCCCTAAAACTTCACTCCATTGTCTGCATCTTCCTCATCTGAACTCAAGCTCACGACTAACTCCCCAAAACTTCACTCCATATCTAAGTTTCTATCATCTAAACCCACGACTAACAGGGGACCACGTATCTTTTATTAGTACTCGTAGTGCTAGTAAAATCTCCCACAAAGAAAATGGTTGCTCGTTCTGGTGTCGCAGCTGGCCGTGACCGCGGTCACATCACCACCGAGCGTGTGGTGAAGCAGCGTCCGTCCACGATGAAGGGAAAGAAATCCGCCAAGTACTATTCTTATACTTGTGTTTTTACAACTGACCATACTAAGCCTCTAGATACAATTACGCTATTTCTAAATTCGGAAATAGTATTAGATAAAGTTCACGTGTAGGGTAGATATAGATAGAATTTACGTTTGATTATGATGCTAGAAGACAGAAGGTCGGTGTGATTTGGAATGGTCGAAGAAACGGCTTTCGATATTCATCTCGAATATTCGACCGCCTTCCTGTAGGTAGCATGCACAATGATCCATCAAAACAAACTCTCACATCAGTCTCTCTGTTACGCAAAATAAACATCTGCACATCCAAAACAAACATCAGGGTTGCCCTTGTGCGTGAGGTGATCCGTGAGACCGCTGGCTTCGCTCCGTATGAGCGTCGCGTTATGGAGCTCATCAAGATGGGATCCGCCTCTTCCCAAAAGCGTGCTTTGAAGTACGCCAAGAAGCGTTTGGGCACGCACAAGCGCGGAAAGAAGAAGAAAGAGGAGATGACCGAAGCCATCGCTCAGATGCGTAAGAAGCATTAAGCAGCTTACCTCTGCGTGGAATCGAGCGCCATAAGGATGGGGACGACGATATAGGCAGCAGACGGCTCTACCTTGCAAAGTCTTCGATGGCGGATGAGCCAAATGATGGAGAAGTCTTCATGATGGAGAAGTCTTGATGATGGAGAAGTCTTGGAGGAGCTCCCAAATGGAGAAGTCTTCTGATGGAGAAGTCTTGTGTGAAGACACTGAGAATGACACTCTAGCATACTGCGTAAGACTCTTTCGTACGAAGTAGGTTTGTGATCTAGAGACGTCTGTGGACGTCCTGCCTGGGAGAAAACAACGACTTTCGAGTCCGCAATTACCTCTAGACCAACATGGTGGTGCGAGGAGTTTGAGACGAGGCATTGCTCGTGTTTGGGCCTGAAGTGCTTCTGATTCGGTAGTCTGTGCTCGCTCGGTACCAATATTCTCACTTGGGAACTTTTCAGATCAGTGACAAACTTTTGTGGGTTGTGCCATATTTACCTGGAGAGAGCCAGGAATGCCTCAGAGAGATGGAACCACAGCGGTCAGAATTTTCTAAGTCCGTATTTTCTAAGTCCGTATTTTGATACTACTCGCTGAACTCCCCGCTGCCGAGAAGCATCTCCCCGTTTCATCTATCAGCACCCCCGCAAATGGTGTCCCGAAAATGGTGAAAAAATGCACTGATTGAAAAAGGATGTGGAACAAAACGTGACGCTCGAAAAGGTGTAGTTGATAGAATGAAAATGAAAAGGTTCTTGCCGCGTCAGTTGAGCACAGGAATGCCCTTCATAATAAGTACTAGAGCCAGAAACAGAAGTCAAAACTGCGATTAATCTTTACCTATAACGGTCGCCGTAATCAACCGGAGCAGGAAAATCTAGTCTCTTTCAATAGGGACGTCACTGTATATAATTTTACTATAATAATATAGAGAAACAGTCAATAGCGAACTTTTTTCCACTTCTGAGTTCCCACATTAAAGGTCCGTGGAAGTCTTGTTGATTAGTAGAAGGATTGTTTGTACTATCATCTTCTTATGGCCTTCGAAGCTAGTGCGAAGTTGGTTCTAAAGGTGTAGACAAGATTGATCAGCAAACGCATGTCTAGGAAGTAATGCCATTAATCCGGTAGTCCGATTTTTGGTCTAGATTTGAAAGGCTACATCTTGGCTTTAGACTCTGTTAAACCTTCGATCGTCTGTCCAATATTTCTTCCTAAATTTTGCTGGTCTCATATCTCGATATCACTTTCTTTGGTGTTCTGTTTTTCACTGATTTCGACGTAGTCCTTGGTCCAATCAAAAATTTTCACGAGGTCGAGAGCTAAAAATGAATGACGTGTCCAAGATGAATCCGGGTGCTGACAATGCTTTTGCTGCTGTGCCTGTGCCTTTGCTGCCTGATGTCCTGCCAGCGCTGTCGGGCGGAGATGTTTCCCACAGAACTAGTGACGCGTCGGGCCTCGGGAATGTGTCTGGGGTCAATCCAGCTGCTGAGAACGAAGGTACTACGTGTGCTAACGGAAAGGCCCCTTTGCCGAGGATCCCAGGTCTTTGCTCGGGTCCTGGAAATCTTGGTACGTCCTGTGTCGGAAATTGTGCTCCGCCGATGCTGCTTCTGGGCATGTCTCAACTGAATCAAGCACTTTCGCCGCCACGGTTGCAGTTGAGTCAGTTGACGCCACCGAGCACGTCCCTGCTGCCCACTCAGAATAATCTGAGCTTGAATATCCAGACACCTCCTCCAAGTGCCGAGCTTTTACCGGGCCAGGCTAGGCAGATGAATGCGAATGGGTCGTCTGTAGTGAACAACAATGGGAGCAGCGTAACGCTGTGGGCGCCTTACGAAACACCGTGGGTGCCGCAGAACCACGCCGCGTCTCCTAGTGTGGTCGTGAATGTAAATATCAATGTTCGATACGAAGAGCAAGATGGAAGTGGTATGTTGATGGCCTTTCCAGAATTTCCTCATTCAAACAATGGGGCCGCCTCGTTCTCCCGTCACACCATGCTATCGCATCAGCGTCGTGGACAGGCGGCTACTTTTTCCAACTTCAATGACGCGCGCAACTACAACGGGCAGAGTCGAATTAGAGGAGGTCACAGCCAGAGGATGCGAGCAGTGTCTTACCCTGCTGGGCAACAGTATGGCTCTATGCGCAACCGTGAACATGGCATGGCGAATTATGAGTATACCATTGCTGAGATTAAAGTTGGGTATGACGCAGCAGAAGGCGTGGAGGTGGTGCCACCAGCTGGAGTCAACGGCCTTGACGCCCCCGAACTCCACGATACTTCGCTGCGGGACCTCACTCCTTTGGGCTTTGCAAATCCTAAGGGAGAGGAAGCTTTGCGCCTGTCCCGTCCGTTTGAGGAGAAGGATCCAACTTTGTTGCACGAGCTGGCCCGCTTGCCGATCAACGAGACCACAAGCATGGCAGCAGTGGTCGCAGTGACGAATCAGTGTAAGCTAGACCAGCCAGAACCTCAGCCACACCTCAACCAGTGTGAGCTACTCTTCCTTGTGGAAAGAATGACTGCAAGCGATCAGCAAGGTCACGACGAAAGTGACGCCACTGCCTCTACTGAGGCTTCGTCTGCGGTGGAGGTGGAAACGGCGGTTGGTGGACGTGACGCCACGGATTCCACTGAGGCGTCGTTTGGAGCGAGCGAGGAAGCGGCAGCTTCTGGAGATAACAGTGAAAGGGAAAAGGATGCTGGGGATGGGACTGGTGTCGTCGAGCAGCAAGATGAAGGTGTATCGCGCACTGGGGATGGGACTGGTGTCGTCGAGCAGCAAGATGAAGGTGTATCGCGCACTGGGGATGAGACTGGTGTCGTCGAGCAGCAAGATGAAGGTGTATCGCGCATATTGAGTCGAACAAAGTCCTGCCCAGGACGGCTTTACAAGTACCGCGAGAATGAGAAGGAACGCAACGAACTACGCGCGCGTTGTGTGTCGAACGGCTACGATGATTTTTTTGGTGACTCAGCGTTTTACATTCCACCAACTGATGAGGATGAAGTTCCCGATCGTCAAGACCAGCAAAACTGTAGCTCGTCTGTTGCTGCTTGTCCAAATGTTGTCGACAACGGCCTGCATTTGGCATCGCCAGCTGAGGAAAACATAAGCACAGGTCAGCTCACACATCCGATCACGGGGCCTCTTTACGCCCTAGGCTTGGTGCCACGAGCGCGATCTTCGGAAGAAGGCGGACACCAATATGGACACAAATTTTCTGAGATTCAAATCCAAGAGAAGCGCTACCTGGTTGTGCGGTCTCAACCTGTTTTGCTCTCTGCAGACCAATTTTGGAATGGTGTGGTCATCAAGGTCATCGAGGACACTGAGTGCGAACGTTCGCCTGGATTGCGGCTGAGACCAAATGGTAAATCTATACTGTACATATATGCTGCTTGTTACTAGCTGGATTTGTAAACGTAGTTGTGGAAGAAGCAGCAGATTCTCACTCAACACAAGCGTGAACTTCGGTTCTTTATGCTTTATATTAACTGAAGCGAATTTTCCTACAGTAACACTTCTGACTTCATCAGGCTTCCTGCTCTTCCGAAAGCCGTTACCTCACGGACTTTTCGAAGCGAATGAGCGGTCTGGCGGCACCACACGTGACATGTTCTTAAACCAAGTAGCTCTCGAGGCGCGCCGGAGCTCAGATTTCTTCAATAATTTGATTCAAGCATGGGAACGAAAGCACGTCTGTGGAGCACCGGTCTATCGCGAAGTACACTTTCGATCGTGGGAGAAACGAGAACGGGCGAAGCAAGTCTTGCACCATCGAGCGTGCCGTCCCCTCGAGATTTTGGGTTATTGGAAGAAGCCCTACTTTTGGCGAGGCGCTTGTATGGCATGGAAATATTTCTTACTGTTTACAAGTTAATAAGAATCAGTCATGCCGTTTTCTAAGGCTTTGATAAGAATAATGTACGAGGCCGCAGGCAAGGCATGCCCTACATAATATGTGTCATCAGAGCAATCTCGTCACAGACGGATATAAAATAGGCAGCCTCCTCCTACTCTAGTGATATGGTTTTTTGTGATCCTCCTACTCCAGTGATTGGGCTTCTTTGATCCTCCTACTCCATTTCTCTAAGCATATCGTTGCGGTTTTTGTTGAGGACGGGAGATATTGCAAAATGCTACGAATCGGCGAAATGCCACGAATCGACGGAAAGGGTGCTACACGAAGAGAATCTTCATGGCGACTGTCCCATTGCTCTCAGTATCCACAGCGGGGCTTATACGTCTTGGGGTTGGAAAGTACTCATACAATCATAGTGCGCCAATGTATGACTGGAATTTATGTCGAATGTAACGACCGACATAATAATCATCGTAACGACCGACCTAATCATAGTACTGTTGAGACTGCTTCAAATACTGACTGGCACAGCTAGCCCTTCCCATCTTTGGATCAACAGACTACTTTTACGATTTCCAAAATAATACTCACACATCAGAATCGTCGAGTCATCCGACGAAACTCACGCCAAAGAGGGAGAAGAGCGTGCAGGCGTAGGACTACTGGTAAAAGTCGTCTGCGTCGGACGTAGGCTGTTGTGTTAAGACTCTCGTGTCTTGAATTACAAAATTACAAGAGCAGAGATTGTTGTGTTTATAGGGTGGCTGTCCACCAAAGGAATAGTACGTTGCTATACTAAGTGTTATCCAAAGGAATACTATTCTCTTGCTAGGAAAATATTTCTCTTTGCACCAAAGGAGTACTACCCTCTTGTATTTCCTTTGCACTTAGAGCTAGGTCCTTGCTATACTAAGTGTTAACCACCCTATAGCAATACAAAGGAATAGTACGTATCCAAGTAGCAGTACCCAGTGGTTGCTCTTTGGATAACCACAAAGGAATAGTACGTTGTAGAGATTGATAATCTAAGAATTACAACGTGGTCCTGGTATTTAAATAACGAGTAGCGAGACAGGTCGTTAACAGGTCGCTTTTGTATAATTAAGGTTTGACTTACCCCACGAATGGGCAAACTACTACTACTACTACTCCGACTACTACCACTATCTTCGTTGCTTCTAGTGAAAAATTTCGCGGAGTTCGGCAGTATTCTTTGAACCGAGTAAACTGGAAAATTCTCGTATGATCGATCCATATTCGTCACTTTAGCGAGGAGTTCGTAGCCTACGTTATCACTATGGAAAAAAAAATCAATGTTATTCGTCAAAAATGATATACTTAATACGCGAACTTCTCATATAATCTCTCCCACTTTCGTCACAGGTATCTTATTGGTGGACTTCTCCTCTATAGTGTAAAAGCCCATGGATACTAGTGACAATCTCAAGCTGAAGCGTCTAAAATTTCTAAAACCTCGTCCCTACATCTCCGTAGAAGTTTTAGATTGCCAGGCTTGTGCTCTTGATGTGAAGACTCATGAACAATCAATCATCAGCCTCTACATAACAGTAAATAATCATAATGTTCGTAACAACTCAGTTCATAGGAAGATATGGGCTGTAGAGGAGGTTTATGATACCTTATATATTGCTATTCGCTGATGATACATACTTAATAGTAATAATATTCGCTGCCTAGCAGAGTTGAATGATTAGTGGTCCCGTTAGTTATTTCAATGATGTTGGTCGCCCCCCCGTCATCCCGTCAGTATCTCCAAAGGAAGCAAGCCCCTACCTGTAGAAAAGCGACGTACATCGCAGTGGGTCGACGCGGGTAGGGCTCTAGTTCCGTCTATAAAAAAGTAGCGAAATGATGTGGCAACTCTCTAAAAATATTTCGAAATGCTATATTCTGTTGAGGATCTCACGACAATTTCAACATCGGTGGTCTCGGTAGATCTCAATATTGACTTTGACCTTCGAATTATTAACAACAAAGTTCTTCAGTCGAAGCTCTTACGCTTATAGTATTTGTAGTACCTCTACGGCTACGTAAATTCGCTCGAGAAGGCAGGTAAAACTGTGGACGGCAGACCAAAATCCTAATCCTAATCCTAAATTGGGTTTTCGAGAAATCTCCTAACCTACAGGTAAGCTTCCGAGAGGCCTATAACCAAAAACTCTCAAAGTGAAACGATACTAGTTCATCCTGCTGGATGTTGCTGACGGCTTTAATCTGTTGTAATTCATTACCATTGATGGAGCCTTGATTCACTAACAGAACAGCACTGCAGAGCCGAATGGCAGCAGCGAACCTGGGCATATGTTGTTGTTGTTGTCGCAACGCATGGCGGCAAGTGTATGAAGGCGCGAGTGGGCAACTGGAAAAGGCGGAGGAAAATCAGAGAGTGCTTGAGAGAACCTGCAGTTGTGTGAGTCGAGTCTCGAGAGACGCCCTACACGGGTGGTCAACCCCCATTTCACCCACGCGTCCTCCTTGGGGCGATCTGCTAAAGCTTGCGGTCCCACCAAGTGTGGAGGCGAAGCGGCGGCATCCTATCCTATCCTGTCCTATCCTATCCTATCCTATCCTATCCTATCCTATCCTATCCTATCCTATCCTATCCTATCCTTATCCACTAACTTGCGCAAACCAACCCTGAAAGATGTGAGGAGAATGACAGAATTGATCAGAATGAGAGAGATGAAAGATGAGTACACACTTTCTCCCGGTCGAGGAACTTTCCTTCGTCGCAGCCTTCTGGTTCTAGCTTCGCGCATATTTCTAGTGGTCCTCTGCATTTTGGCCGATTTCGCAATCGGGGACCACGAACCCGATCCAAGTGTGCGGAGATTTGAAGGCAGAGATGACTTCTCTCGTTTCGCACGTAGATGGGATAGTGCGCAGTTTTTGGAGATCGCGGAAAGCGGTTACGAAGAGCAAGCACAATACGCTTTCTTTCCTCTCTTCCCGATCTTGGTACGGCATTTCTGCAGAGTGCTGACGGGAGGTCGTGTGGACGTAGCGTGGTGTGGTGTGATTCTGAACGCGATTGCAAGTGTTTTCGCAGCACATGCATTGGCAGAGCTGACGGTTTTGGTTTATTACTCGTCTTCGAAAAAGGACAAGGAGAACAGTGCTGTCGTGAAGAAAACCAAAAATCAAGAACTACTTCTGAGGGACAAGATATTCTTTCTAGTGGCGTTTAATCCAGCATCAATTTTTTTCCTCGTGAATTATTCCGAAAGCTTGTTTGCTTGCCTCTTCTTCACAGCGTTGTGGCAGCTGGAACGCGGTAGTTGGGTTTTAGCTGCAGTCTTCTTTCACTTGGCCTCGTGGACGCGCGCAAATGGGATTCTTGCCATCATCATTGTGGTCCTGCATGCTTTCACAGAGGCAGTGCGAATTCTCTTCCACGACAAAAAGGGCGTCGTGTGGCCAGCATTGACCCGGCTTTTTTGCAGCTACACCATTACGATTGTGGCCATTGTCACACCCTATGCAGCCGTGCAATGGACGGCGTACGAAAGATACTGTGCTGTTGATATTACTCCGAGGAGTAGTACTACATCTTCAGCGGCCACGTCGACATCTTCGAGAACATTCGAGACGCCTCCCCCCTGGTGCGACTGGCAGACGCCCAGTGTGTATGCCTATGTTCAGCAAAAGGTGTGGAACAACGGCTTTTTGGCATACTGGCAGTTCCGACAGATACCCAACTTTTTGCTTGCTTCGCCGTTATTGTGGGTGCTTGGCACGCACTATTCGAGATTATGGGCGGATTTTCGGATGGCAGCAGTTGGCGGAGAAAGCAGTCGTGGGACGAAAACTAGTAGTACGAAGTTGTCTCTTCTGTCAGCGCAGGTAGACCGATTACTAGCACAGAAGGAAACCATCCACATTCTGAGAAGAGCAGAATATGATATCTTCATGTTGATTTTCGTACTCTTCATCGTTACGACTGCTCACGTGCAGATCGTTACGCGTGCTGCTTTTGCATCATGCCCAGCAATCTATTGGATTTTACTGCACTTTGATGAAAAGAACCACAACATTTTTGGTTTTTCCGCAACCTGGTTCTGGACTGTCTTGTATATAGTCTTAGGTGTCGTGCTGCACTCCAATTTTCTGCCGTGGACTTAGTCGTGTCAGGACACTGGGGATGAACAACCACGAAGGCCTCGGGAGGTCACCATCTTATTATACTTTTTGGTGTGACTAATATGGAGTGATGGATCAATCTGATGTCGTCGAGATGCAGTTAGACAAAGGAGAGGGAATCAGGTATGCACCAGAAATAGTGAGTGACAGTAAAGCTTCTTCAATGTCGGTCGCGTGAAACAATGAGAGGTATTGAGATCGAGAGAGGTCCTTTCAAGAGAGTACCCTTTCCTGTTTTTCCCAATGTATCTTGCACCCCCGATTCATCTACTGCAGATTTTAGTTTTCCTAACGTTCCTTGAGTGTCACAATATGTAGTTGATAGTAGCCGTACTGGAATCTTTGCTCTTTATCAGTGTTGCATTTTTGTTACACTGGCAAGCGTTTTTCTACCAGAGCGCAGACACGGGATCTATAACTGAATAAAATGTTCGATTTTGCTGTGCCTTAGTCCGTCGTCACCAACAACCCTGGGAGTTTCGCTTATGGTTTAAGGAGCCAAGGGCGGTCCTGATTCGACGTTTCCGACACGATGTCGGCGATTCGTGGCGTCCTCACGAATGCTTGGAAGAGTATCCTGTTTGACGTTCGTTACGGTACGAATCTACGTCTGAAGACATGGCAGCGACGTGCGCCGGCTGTTGCTTTGATTATGGATGGCTTTGGCTTTGGTTCATCAATTCTGTATGTTGAGGAGATCATCTTCCGATGGAATAACTTATTAAATTGGTCGAGTTAATATTACAACTCGTATCTGTAGTTTCTGTTCTAACACGACATCCGGCGGTTTCCTGTTCGGTTTCCTTATGGTGAACAAGAAGGCAACACAGTGCGAAATGGGGGTACCGGAAGTGAAGAAGTCGAGTCTGATGTACGATAGAAGTTTCAGACCGGATTTGGAGATAAGCTTTACTCAACGACTGGAGCGTGCAGCCTCACTCCTAGCGCCGATCCAGCATCATATGTACTGTTGGATGCAGTCGAGGCTCGACCCGCATGCACGCGACAAATGGCTGGATTTTTATGAAGGACTGAAGAGTTAGAGGACTAGGACATTCATTTGGAATTGGATGTGCAATTGAATAAAGCAGTGGCAGATAGATACGTGGGATGGACATTCATTTGGAATTGGATGTGCAATTGAATAAAAGAGTGGCAGATCATACGTGGGTAGGGGGTCGTAGAAATCTGCTTTGATATCGTGCGTACCACAATGCTGGTGCTCGGTTTCGCAACGTGGCTGTCAAGAAATAGTCAGTATAAGACAGATGATCTACCACTTCTAATCGCCCACTTCCCTGCCTCGCCACGGAGAAGAGGGTGGAGAAGACAACTGCAAGAAGTGTGAAAATGAGGAATTGCGGGACGCCAACGTGCCCGATTTTCTGGCAAACTTATGGGTGGATCGCGGTTTCTTGGACCTCAAATTCCAGCACAGACCCAGACTTCCTTCATCGGTGAAGATATCACCACTCGAAAAAACCGAATCCTTCATTGAAGGAGTGACCGCGGGGATGGAAGGACGTACTTTTTTGATGGAAAATTGTAGTGGATGTTTGCTGTGTATTTGAATAGCGCTAAATGCAATGTTAACCTGCACGACAATCTCTACTCTAGTAGAAGTTTCTCCCTCAAATCAGCCGATAACTACGAGAAGAACAAGAAGATCGGGGAGCGAATCGACGTTATCAATCGGGGAAACGAGGGAGAAGACATACGAACAACTGTGGATCCGACTTATCCGCACTACTCGTATCCTTTTATCAAGCAGACGCATGATGCTGTTCAGACTCTGGGTGTAGTGAAGATGGAGGGTCTGCTGCCTTTGAACATTATACGAGAAGTGAGACGGAAAATGGATATTGCGCCACTGAGGTAGAAGTGTTAACTGTGAGTTCTTAGTTTGGATTGCAACTTGCTTGTTATTTTTGTCTGCATATACTAGCCCGGGGAAGGGCATCCTCCACAGGGGCAAGCGGGGAGTTGGTAAAGGCAAGGAACTAGGAATATGGCAGCACTGCCAAGCTCCGAGGTTCTTTAATTATTTTATGATCTTAGGTGGCTCAATTCCAGTGCGTTCAAGAGTGAGCTCATGTTTGGACGATAGTGCCAAGCCTTCCTGCTGGTAGTGCCAAGAGTCTATCTTAGTAGTGCCAGGAGTCTGTGCCGTTGCCGGTAGCGCCAAGGTTTTACGCTGGTAGTGTCAAGAGTTCAGGGCGGTAGTGCCAAGAGTCTACGTCGGTAGTGCCAAGAGTCTACGTCGGTAGTGCCAAGGGTCTACGCTGGTAGTTCCAGGAGTCTATGTTGCTAGTGCCAAGATTTTATGTAGGTGGTGCCAGGAGTCTAGGGTGGTAGTGTGTACTGGGAGTGCTGCGAGTCTGTGCTGGAAGTGCCGAAGGTTTATGCTGCTAGTGCCAAGAGTTCACGAGGCTGAAAAATGCGCGCTGGCTTTGTGGTGGTGTGGTTGTGGATGCTATCCGTGGCTGAGTCGGCCACTGTTTCTAAGTCTACGAAAATGCTCTAACTCTTGTGCATTTCAGCTTGTGTAACACCTCCATGATCAAAACCATTTCTGCCCAGGCGCTCACCCTACGAGAAGCTTCATTCGGATTGGCGGGAAGACGTGGAAGTAAAAGGTCTGAAAGAAGGCTCTAATAACGGAGCTGGCACATGGGTCAAGACACGCTCGGAGAAAACGGAAGAATACGTAGCAGAAGGGTCACGGAAATTGCAAGTATGGCTTGAGGAGGTGGATTAACAGCCAGAAGCACAACTGCTCCACCACCAGCACCACAGGTAGTTCCACCAGCACCACAGGTTCCACCACATCAATCTTCACCAACAGTATCATAGGTACAGTAGTCGGTAGGAGGGTCGGTAGGAGTTGTTACCTGAATAGGACAACGGTTGCGGTTGCCTTGCTAGTTCTTGAGAGGTAGAGACTCCCTTCTTCCAATCTTGTAGTTTCTAGAGTGCAATAAATCAAAATCATCTCGTTCATTCTCTCTCTACGACACGATATCCGAATTCGAGTGTCGGCGGTTTGATCCTCAGTATATCCTGCATTTCCCGTACGAAAAGCAGAGAGCTCGCGCATGGAAGGAAAAGCAAGCTGCAAAAGAGGCAAACTGTATGGGTGAAACTCAAGTTTTTTCCATAGTTACGACCAGCGTGGCACTCTTTTCACGGGGAAAAGGATGCCAGTATGGTCCGCCTAATTTGAAAATACTCCTTTCATAAACTGCGACTACATCGATGGCTCCGTAGACAGCGATATGATCTGGGCCAAGGGACCCAAGCCGGCCGCTTTAGATAAGAGTAGCACTAGGGACGCTTTTTCGGGAGAAGATGGTAGAAGAAGCGTCTCCGATAGTGCCGCTTTAGCAACAACCGAAGGAGATCAGGACAAGATGGACAATCCCTACACCAGGGAACGTCGAAAAAACTATTTGCAGGCGGAAACGAAGGGAAACGTAGGTTTCAAGGGTCGGAGGTGGGAGACATTCGATGAATTGTTAAGGGTAGGTTAAAGGTGCTTTTGTTACCGTTTGTTATGGCTCTCCTAAGGAGGACAGCCATAACAAGCGGGATAAACGAACGCCAAAAACCTACCTCTAAAATTGGCAGAGCTGTGGTTGAAAGATAGCGACCCGCGGGATGAAAATCCTATTTTGCCGAACAATACTAGCAGCATCGGACGGACCTACTTTTTCATCAAGAATACGCACTTCGAGAAAGTGGTACTAGATTTCTTAGCATTTACTGGTCTTTGCACATCAGCGATGTGTGGAAGAACAACACGTAACAATCTATCATTTAGTACTTATTCATTCTCATAATTTTTACCACAAATCAGACATCCTCAAGTCCTACTTATCTTCACCATCGCTTCGACACCACAGATAAGTCCAATCCTGACTTTCCTGACGCCGATGGTGAACACGTATTTTGAAACGAACGCTTCCGGGAAAGTGCCTTTTGTTTCGAATATAGCGTTGTCCGTGAACAACAGTCGATGTATGAGCGAAGCCTGGCATCGGGATTCTGCGACGCCAGGGGTCACTTTTGTGATTCCTCTGACCCAGATCCCGGAAACCTTGGGAGGCCTGGAATTCTTGTCGCATTCGCACAGGAAGAGGGAAGCTTATGATTGAATTTTTGGTAGCGCATAGTTGCTTTTGATTTGATAGATGAACCAATCAATCAATCAATCAGTCAATCAATCAATCAATCAATCAATCAATCAATCAATCAAGAGTACTGCGTAGAAGACCACTGCTTGCCTTTCCCTGATAGTTTGACTCAGTGCGTTCTCCTTGCTTTTTTCAGAGCCCTCCTTCCCACACGTCCCCTTTCATCCCTCCCTCTGCGAGACACTGAAAGCTGGCGTTATTGGAACTGAGCTAGAGGTAGGCGACGTCCTAATGTACGATCAGCGAGGTTTGAAGCGTGCACGGCCTAATCCCGCTTATACTTATGACCAGCTACTTCTCGATCAGCATCTTGATTCCGTGTTTTCCCCATGGAATACTAACAAGGGGAAAGGTATCAAGATGAGGAGACCGAGATGGAGTCAGGCACACTCTAAGGTAAAAGAACAACACTAGCACTTTTTGTGTCCTACAACATCGCAACGCCTCCGGGGTATAGCATACCTGGTATGTATTGGAACGGCCTTTGGGGTTCCATGGCAACGAGACTACACTCTTGGGCGACAAGGGAGAATATTCTCATTTTATGAAGAGAAGATAGCGATATTGTGTTGTTGACTTGTAGTAGAAGAGTGTGACAAGAACTACTTGACCACGTAGTAAAATGAGGGCACATGACATGACAAAAGTTGAACATTCTCTCAGCATAAACAATGATCACTCGTCCTAAGATTCTCCTAAAAACACAAGTTGACGTTGTAAGAAGTTCTTAGACTCACTTCTCTCTCTAACCCTTCGCACGATCGACCGCACTATCGAGTACATGTGGGATAGGTGGATCCTGCCAGTCGAGTGGCAGGGCCGCGACCTAGCGGTAGAACTCGGCTACTTGACAGATGGCAGCCAGTCCATGGCGCAAAAGGCTTCTTCCGCTTTTAAGGGTGGCGTGGAGTCTACGGATGCGACGCATTACGCACACGGCGTGGATCGGGCGACGCGGCACTACTGATGATGTGGTAGATCTGCAGGGGAGAGCGAGTGATTGTATGTAAATGATTGTATTGGTTGGATCAGTTTGGAAAAACGAATTTGTACTTACTTGACACTTATGCTCGCTTGGTGATAGGACAAAAAGAACGAAGCCGTCATTGGACGAACGGAAGCAACAATGCCACAAAGACCATTTTGAATCTTGCGCTGTTACTGGGATAGAGGGCAACTCTGTCATTGGATGAGAATACTGATACTCAAGGGACAGCGCCGTGGAAACTGCGTCTTCGCTTTGCGAAGACCCTCGTTAGGTTTTTTGCGGGAAAAGCTGAATGTCTGGGATGGGGCGATAGAAAAGTAACGTGACGTACTGACTCTAGAGGGATTAGCATCGTGTATATTGTCGTCTTTGAAATCGGCTAAAAAAATGCCCTACCTGTAAAAAAGCAATACCTCGATGCTCTACCACCTGTTAATTATAGCAGCAGCTCTACCTGTAAAAAAGCAATACCGGCATTTGCAAAGTGGATGTGATCGAGCATTTTTAACAGAGGAAAAGGGGTGATCTTCAATAGGCCATTGTAAATGGTGCTTTGCAGGAGCACATCAGATGACAATGACATGACAATAACTTCTTTGATTTGTAAAAACTAGTGCAACCAAACAAAAGCAAGACCATGGACCTTCCTCCGCGTCCGGGCGGCGGTCGGGCTGGCGCTTCCTCCTCCTCGACCTACAGCCTCAGCGTCGTCTGCCACCATCAGGTCGATGTCGATGAGGGCGCACTCGCTTCCCTCCAGACGCTGACGGAACGAACCAATAGAGAATTCCAATACCTCCTACGGCGTGAAGTCGGCAGCTTCGTTTTTACGGGTATCAGTGGCCATTCGAGGATACTGCTGGAGAGCGAAGATGACCTGCAGTTGTTTCTGAAAAATCATGCGACGAGGCAAAAAAGGTTGATGCGGGATGATCCGCATTTCAAACCACAACAACCCGCATTGGAGGTGCGGTTGTCGGTACTTATATTCGACTTTCATTAGAGCAGGGAACTACAATAACAGCGAGCTCTGCAGTAGATTTGACTAGAGTTCTTGTTCTTGTCGTGGTGCTATGTACTTTGTGATAACTACTTTCAACTGTTCTCTCTGAAGTCTAATCAGATTTCTCAGTACAACGACCACGACGACCATCTTCTCGTCTGAAACAAAAATCGCCAGCCACTCGAGACGCGGGAAGTGATGTCGTTTCTTTTTGACCAGTTAGCGCAAAAGGAAAAAGAAGTAGCATCCCTCGAGGCTCAGCTAGCTGCGGCTCGCGCAGGGTTGCCTCCGTTTGTCCAGGCAGTGAGAAGCGTACCGGATGCACGGATACCGGAATTGATACAGACAGTGTTTGGAGGGTCAAAGGAGCCAGCGTTGAACGCACTGAATTCTCAGAATCCAGAGTCCGTGAAACACGCAGCGCGGGTCCTCGCGCTTCTCGCAGCGGACAATGCGGCAAGCGTGTGGGACGATTTGCGGTCGCAGAAGCTGTTGGAGACGATGCTCACTGTCTTAATGTTATGATATGTGAAAGTGGGATTGAGTGGAAAAATATTCGATTTATATATATAGAGTGGGAGTGTTCGAAAAATATTAGATTTAGAGCATTAGATTTAGATGATGATGATGATGATGCTACTTTTGTGTTGATGTGTCTGGTAGAGACTCATCGAAGTTGATGATAGACGCTTCTTCAGACCTTTTTCTGATTAGGAGAAAAGCTTTTCTCCTCCTCCTAAAATCCCCAACTCCCTTTCCATGCATGTCCCACCTTCATCTTCCGGTCTTGGCCGAGGCGAAGTAACAGAAACCGATATCGAAGCCGGTGCTCATTTGGTTCATACTTTGGCTCGATTTGCGTCCGATCCTAGAGTGGAAGTGCAGCAAGCCCTATGCGGCACAGGGGCTCCGGACGTTATAGTAGACAAGATGGTCTCCCCGGCTGGGACCACAGTAGGGGCGCTAGCGTCACCATTGCTGTTTCAGTTAAGGCTTGGGCAAGTGATGATAGAGGGATCATTTTCGCAACGCATGGTACTAGATTTGACTGGAGGTCGTTGGGGAGTGAGTAACAAACAGTCAATACTCTTGAGTGAAGATGATCAAAACAGCTCCGAATTATTTTTGTGTTGTTGAAAATGGACATAGCTTTTCTCTAACTCCATATGGCTGTTGGTTTTTCGGACTTCTAGCTGCGAATCCAGAGACGAGGAGCTGGCTTTTGAACGGAAACATGAGGTTTTTAACGGGCATTGTCTTGGCAATGCAAGCCTATCCTTCAGAGCTATATGTGATAAGATACGGCGTTTCAGCTCTGCATAGCGTTTCAGAAGCGTCTGCCGCGAATATGCAGGCGAATACTCTCGGTAACCCAAAGGGCGACCCTGTGCAATTACAGCAACAACAGGCGGCTGCCTTGTTGCAGCGTGGAGGCGGTGACGTTTTGAGGTTAGCGTTAGAAAAGTGGCCGGCGGATCACTACATAGTGACTTCGGCATTGAAAGCTCTGTCGAACATCGCTTGTACAGTCGGCACAGCGCCAGCACTAGTGGCTGCGGTGCCAGCAGTGCTTCCAATATTGAAAGAACATGAGGTGCGGACAACAAGACACGCACTGCAGTTCATGGGAGTTTTGGCAAAGTACTCAACATTTTCTATAATGAAATAGAAATTACCATTTGTGTCAGCTGCCATTCTGTCTCTACGGTGATCAAGAATGGTCATAACAGGGACATACGCATGATTTGTTCAATATCAATTGACTCTAGACGCCATGATGGAAGTGTCTTTAGTCGTTTACCTGCACATTGACGCTTTTACGTCATAAGAAATACTGTTGGACATGCGCTGGATCTATGATTGTGATGACGATTGACTTGCGATGACTTGATATTGAATGCAGTTCCTGATCATTTCAGTTGCGCCTTCTTGATCAATCGCACTCAAGGATGGAGATTGATTTTTTTTCCGTTTCGTGATTTCTTGTGCTCAAGATGGAAGTGTCTTTAGCCGTTTGAAAAGTTTGACTACTCTCTCATGTTGAAAACTGCAGGGATTCTCTAGCCGCCCAAGGAGAGATGGCAGAGGAGCTTGGAGTAGTATTGGACACTATCCGAGCAGGAGTTCAGAACCCCTGCGAGGACTCAGAGGAGCATGCTCTTAGTTTACTTGCGAATCTAGCTAGGAATCGTGGACTCAGGGAGGATCTTGTGCGATGCGGGGTACTTATTATTCCTTTTTTGAGCAGACCGGTTACTTATAGATTAATTTGCATATCATGGACAAACAACTCCTGTTGTTCTTCTACATCGATTGAGCTAATTGTTCGACACAAAAACCATTCCCATCCCCCACACCAGATCGTGGATATTTTTCTCGTCGCTGTGCATGGCAGTCGCGGACGCGAAGCTACGCATCAGATTCTCAAGACCATGGCTGTTTTCACTGGCGACATGATGCTTGTCGCCAGACTAGGTGATACGGCGAGTGCTGTTTTGTTAAGGCTAGTGTTTCATCCATCCCACGTTCTGACTTTTGTGAGTGGCGGCCCCTCAGTTTCAGGAAGAGCGTGAAGGGAGCGGCATTACGCCGCGGACTCAGGAGAGGACGATGAGAAGCTACGTCTAATGCTGTCTATGATGGACAGATACATCCCAGACGAGAAGGTTCAAATGAACGGTTGTTACATCCTAGGAACCCTGGCTGTGGATCCTGTCAACAAAGAGAACATAGGACGAGCTGGCGGCATTCAGGGATGCTTGACGGCTTTGCATGCGCATAGTCAAGCGCTTGCGCAGAATCCTGGGGCAGCGACGAATGGGATGGCGGCGAAAGTATGATTTGATTTTTTGTTTCTGTTGATGGGTCTACTTCATTGAAATCTCTCTACTCCACAAGATGATTCTCCCTGCTTGCAACATACCCATCCAACAACCAGGTCCTTCTCTGAGCATATCTATTTACTGACTACGCCGACTTCTTCAACGACCAGGTCCTACTACAAGCTTGCGCCGCTTTAGCAGTTTTAGCAGAAATTAGTGCGCACAAAAAAGCCGTGAGGGATGGCAACGGCTTGAATGTGATTTTATCCACTCTACCTGCGTGCCTCGCGGATGCGGAACTGGCCAAGCAGATGTGCAAGCTGATCGCGCTACTCGCTTTAGATCCCCAGAATCAAGAGGTATTGTTGCAAAGAGGTTGCCCATCGGAAATCGTGAATCTAGTAATGAAGCATTCCACAGCCAAGGACTTTCTCTACTACGCTTTCCGCTGTCTAGCCAACCTCCTGAGCGAGCCATTGGGCAGTACTGCCTTGCCAGTGTTGAGGATGGACTTTGTGGACGTCTTAGTCCGAGTAATGAAGGAGCACCTAACCGAAGTGCGTGTCCAGGAAGGTTCTTGCGAAGTCATCTCCGCTTTTGCAAGATCCCAAGAGTATCAATCGGCGCTTCTCTCTCGCAGCGTCGTGCGCCGTATCGTCCACGGTATGGAGACGCATACGATGGCAGCAGACGTCCAGAGGAAAGCTTGTTGGGCGCTGGCGGCATTGGCGGATTCGGATACGTCAGGCGCAGACATGGAGCCTGCGTTTGATGCGGTGGTTCAGGCTTTGCGAAATTTCAGGGGCACTGTGGAAGTCGCAGAACAAGCTTGTGCGGCACTCACAGCATTGGCGGTTACACCGGACGCGAGACAAGCGATTGCAAGTTGCGATGGGATTAAGGGGGTACTAGTGAAAGTGTCGAGTACAACTTCCAACTTCCGACAATTCTTTGATCACCTAAATTTTTCACCATCTCTCCTTCAAAGCAATGACTCTCGTTTTCCCCCCCAAAGCAATGACTCTTTCAAATCCTTCTACAGATCCTGGACTGTCTCGAGGAAGTGAGAGGTCCCCTCGCCAGTGGCGTCTTTTCGCATGGTCTCGGCGCATTGGGTAATCTCGCTGTTGAGGAAAATCTGCGAGCCATTATTCTGGAATCTGACGGCATGCGAACTGCTCTTAGGATTCTGTCTTCGAGTCTGGCAGACGCTAGAGTTTGTCATCTCGCTTGTCTGGCATTGGCGAACTTGGTTCAGTCGCAGGTTGGACAAAATTTGCTCGTTGAGATGCGTGGAGTCGAACTTGTAGCCGACGCTTTGAGGAAGCACATGCGTCATGCGGGTGTGGCGGAACAAGCTTGTGCGCTATTCTGCAATTTGGGTCCGACAGCGGGAGCAGGGCAGGGGGCTTCGGTTATGATCAGGATTCAGCATTGATAGATATCAGAGACTCTGTACTTATACTCGTAGAATACGCATCAAACCTTAATCTCGCTCCTTTCCTCCCGGCCGCGCTCCTCCTCTCCAGCACACTTTCATCTCCCGCGACCTTACGCGTACCATTGCAGAAGCTGGTGGTTTAGACTTGATGCTTGCTGCGCTGAACACCCACATGCAACAGAGTCCGGAAGTAGTAGAAGTAGCCTGTTTCGCTTTGACGAAGTTCGTGAACGTGGAAGGACAGAGAGGGGATCAATACTTATGGAACATACAACTTCTCACAGTGAGAAGACCCTCAGCTAGAAATTTGTAAAATAGGATATCCAGCAGCTTTGGAAAACCGCGCAGGACCAAGAACTGTTTTGTTTCTTATCTGTCCTCGATTTTGGAGGAACCAGGCTCTCTCTAACCCCTCGACGCCAGATGACGCGAGAAGTCGAAGCTCTGAGACGTGTCAACAAAGCTGCAACGACATTCGAGTTGCGCGTATGCACCAACGTTTTGTTGCGAAAACTAGTCGGCGACGCGCCAACGGGGATAGATCAATTAGGCGGCAATATGGGACAGCTTGGCGGCGCTGCAGGAGGCCCTCCGGGACGCGCAACGCATAAACAGACTGTAGTGGCCGAGCCGGACGTGATGGACATATTTTATGGTTGGTTCTTTCGGATACGAGTGAATAAGTCACTAGCAGTGTAAGTGCGTACTCGAAATTCTCCAAACAAAATTGCACTTCATACTTGAAGAATATCGACGTAATCAAAAGTTTTCGCTTTCATATCGGGAACGCGGAAGCGGCGAGAAAAAACCTGCTGCAGGGCAACTTTAAGCGCGCGCGATGAGGACACTCTTCGGCGATGAGCTTTTTTCTGTTCTTAAAGATAAAGATCTGCGTGATGTTTCAATTGAAGGACTTTCACAAATTGTTACTGCCTTTAGGATTTTCTACTCTCACAGACTAAATGCGGAGATGTACGAAGAAATTGTAGATACTTAGAACTAATTACTCGTACGCATGTTGAGATGACAACTCACTTTCACTTTTATTCTCTCATTCATTCGCTAAGTAGAATAAGCCAAATTCCAATTCTTTCCAGTTTTTACAAACGGCAGATATCTGATTGACGACAGTTTCACTTTTGAGTATCTACTACTAGTTCTTGTGAATGATCGAGTCAATTTTGATGACATATCGTAGATGAAAAGCAGAATCTTACTTTGGACCAGTAAGCGCATGCGCAACGAGAAGTCATTTTTATCCGTTTCAGACGAGTTACAAGAGAAGTGAATCCTTTCCCAGTGTGTTGCAGATTTCATTTCAACTCCTACCGGATGCATTGTTAGAACCGAACTTTTGAAGCAGATACGTATTCACCTTTGCAAAGGGTGTCCGATACTTCTTTGCCACAGCGGCGATCCACCACATTAGTGGGGGCTTAGAAAGTGTTTCTGTTCTACGAGTATCCAATCCGGCAAAAAACGTTAGAGTTTTATCATGTAGCGGCAAAAATGAAGACACGCGTTGGCGCTGAAGAAGATGAGAGATACTATTGATGCATTCAGAAACTAGATTCGCCTTTTACTGAATGGTGTCGATGAAAGCACTTCAACAGAGATAGGGTGACTGCAATTCAGTCGCGCAGACATATTTGTTGCGCATTTTCACTCGCATTGCATAGCAAATACAAAACGATGGCCTCAACCGAAGAGCCTCCTGTGGCGGAAAGCACTCCCGTCAATGCTCCTCCATCTACCGAAGATGGACGTGCGTCAGTAGAGAAGTCAGCGCTCAGTGCGATGTTGACTGCTGTGAAGACGAAACGCATACTTAGCCCGTCTAAGAACCTGCGTGAGCAGATGGGCGGTTCGTCGGGTAGCCGATCAGGGTTGTCGGGCCGTTTTTTGCCACCATCCCCTCCGAAAGGCACCACTATGTCTGTATGACTCACTATGACTGATTTGATCTATGCACTAATCGTAATTTATAGTCAAGCTTTCCCCTTGTAATTGCTTAAATGCGGGTTCTAGGAGAGATACGTGAAGTCTAAGTGGATTGGTCTGTACTTCCTAGCGTAACATCAGTATTGACAGATGAACAGACGGAACCTTCCCAGCACGTTCCCTTTCATATTCTGGCACCGGAGGAGCCCTGTCCTTCCCGAAGAGGGACAATTTAGCGGAGCGTTGTCGGCTTTTGTCGCCTCCACCGAAGCGCAAGTTGGGACAGCTGCCTGAGCCAGCAGTGTCATTGGATCCTAGTGGCCGTATAATAACTGATACCGTATTAACAGCTGAGACTACAACTACAGCACAGGAAGCTCAAGCCGGCACCATTAAGACTAGTACCGCAGTCGCATCCTCAACATTGTCCCTGCCTCCCCTTTCAAGTAGGAGATGGGCACGGGCATAGTTTCAAGGGTGCGACTGCAAGGTCTCTAACACCATTTCCGCTGCTTATGACGATGCTGCAAGAGCATCATCGAGAACACTGTTCCAGGATGAGGTAATTCGTGAATCAGAGATAACCTCCAAGAAGGGCATACCGCAGTCACCTTCGAAATTGACGTACACTGATCTACGAGACAGGCTTCAGGGTGGTGATAAACTGGGCGTCACTGCAGTGGCCGATAGGCATCGAAATGCTGTGAAATTATTGGAGGATTTGCGGCAAGATGTTAGCAGCCTTGAAAGCATGGTCGCGGAAGTGTCAAATTTTTATGGAAAGACATTTAGTTTTTCAGTTATGAAGATGGGGCAACATGGAGTTCTTATAGCTTTTTCAAATTGAGGTAGTACTGAGAAATACCTTTTAGTCTCATTTTCATCTACGGACGTTCATGTTGACTAAGAACTGCCTCATTTCTTGTTTGACTTTACTACCTCTTTCATATCTTCAAAACGGACCATATCGAGCAAAGAGTTGCACAGCTTAGGCGGAAACAGGCGACTTTACGAGGTTGGCGGGAGTCTTTCAAGGACTTCTTCGATGAGAGGAAAGTTGTCCTGGTCAAACAAGCGAAAGAAATAGAGGAGAAGCAACAAGCGGAGGTATCATAACCAAGTGGATTTTGAGATAGTCCACCTTTCGTGGTGAGTTACTGTTGTAACTTCCAATGTACTTCCTCCTGGGGATGCTTTTGCTTGTATTTAAGCTCTGGTTGATGAAGACTTACATTTTCAAAAAAACTAGAGAATAAGAGATACAAGAACTTTGACTTTTTTTTTTCTAGGTCCTCACCTCACGAGAAGAGCTGATTGCAGCAAGAGACGAAATTGAGAAGCTGGAAAGCAAGCTTGCTGCAACTAAGCAAAACTGGCAAGTGGCGAGAGAGAAAAGTACTCGTCTTTAGATTCAGTCGCCATCTATGGAGTTGGACACTGACGAAAATTTTCATTTTGTAGAGATGAACGATTTCAGTAGGGGTTCATCTTCATGTTTTGAAGAAAATAACTTCTTACTCATTCATACATTTCTTCTGGAGTTAGAAGTCGTACACGAAATCATCAAACTAACAGACTTTGCCGAGTCTACGCGTTTGCGCGAACGAGAACAGCGATTGCGAAGACAGATTGACGCGCTAGCTAGTAGCGGGAAGACCGGGAGAGAGAACCACGAGGCAGCGGTAGCAAGGTTTGAGACTGTCATAGCGGAGTTGGAGGAAAGACGAGACCTGATGGCGAAAGAAAAGGGCGATCAAACCAACCTCTTCGAAACACGGGAAAAGCAACTGCAGGTATTAAGAATAGAGGGAGTAGGTGGTTGTAGTCATACATATTGAGAATAGAGGTACTTCCACATTTATAATAAGATAAGTCGTTGTAGTCATACATATTGAGTAGTGACTGAGAATGATAGATCAGAAGGTATGAGAGAAGGCGTTGAGATAGCTATCATGGATTCATCTCCTGTGACAACAATCTCAGGAACGAATTGCGATGCTAGAGGCCGATCCTTCTTTTTCTGGTAGAGGTCTAGCGGCAGAACGAGAATCTTTAGAGACGACAGTTGAAAAGCTTCGCCAATGCCTACAGAGAATCACTCAGGAGTGGCAAGCTTCGGGCGGTTTCTCCGATCTTATGGATGATGTGCTTTTTTTCGGTTGAATGAGTTCTGGTACCTCTTCATTTGGCAAGTTGGTGTTCTTTGATGGATTTAGACATAGGAATCGCAATGGCCTCACTTATCTGCATTGCTTCATCAAATGAAACTAGTATGGAGTAGGTAGTGTCTGGTAGTTTACACTTTTCTAAGACGAATATGGCGAAAGGAAGAGAGGAATCGAGCAAAGCGAAGGCGAAAGGTTGGAGTGAAGTGGAGAGGCTGGAGAAGGAGATTGCATTGTTGGGAGCCACCAAGCCGACTAGCTCAGAGGAGGAGCAAGTTCTACAGCTATTGCAAGAAGCAGGCACACTTGCCTCCGGGCGGACCAGGGTGTTACTCGGGGAGGTAATCTTAACAGTATATTGACTTTTTTTTCCTTTGTCCGGTATCGGTTTGTGATCGTGCGGGGAGTCGCGCAGGGGTGAGGCCCCCGCGTTGCCTGCACTCGACGGTTTGCATTGGTCCACCCGTGTGCGCTTCCTCCAGGATGCTTCTCGCCTTGTTCTTCGCTTGTCGTGGCTCCTTGCGAATTTTCCGGCTATGCGTGTTCAGTAGCTTCGACACGCCTGCCAGGCGTAGGGGTGATGGGGTGCACGATCTTGGGGACCGACGCTCGGCGCGATGCCTATTCGGACAGAGTTGGGGCGGCCTAGGTTGGACTTGGTCACACGTACCCCGCCGCCGACTGCCTTGGGCCTGCTTCCTGGCTGTTGCTTTTATTCAGTGCCGGAAGGAGTGCGGCGATTGCTGGCCGAGCACAAGGGCGGCGCGGCCGAGGGGGGGAGGAAGGCATAGAAAAGCGCGAGGGAAATCGCCCGCAGGATGAGGGACCAGGGGGAGCCCCCTGGAGCCATTCCAGGGGCAAACGCACCGGCATGCCGTGGTTGGCTGGAGGTCCAGCTGCTGCCTGGCCTTGATGCGGGGCCTCGCTCCATTGAACGGCAGGCGCAAAGAGGGCCAAGCGAGCACCCGCGAGCCAAATAGCGTCAGCCCCGAGACGCACGGCCAGGCCCGAGAGCGCGCGCAGCTGTCTGAGGGAGCGGCCCCCCGCGTGGTGCTGCGCACGTGTGATCTTTCAAGAGGCTGGCCCAGGGCGCACCCTTGGAGGGGGGCCTGGCAGTGCGGTGGCTTCATTGTGCAAGTTTTTTTGCAAATTTGCGGGGCTTTGCCAGGTTTCGCGGCATGCACGTGGTGACGACAGGTCGGCCCATTGATTCGGAAGGGTCAACTCTATCAGACGCCCTAGAGGCCGGCGGCGTCTCTAATTTCGACAGGTCAAAGCTTTCGGACGACGCGGGTCGCCCGCGTTGGCTGGAGGTCCGGACCCCCGCGGAGGCGAGTGAACGAAGGCGCGCGACTGCTTCGTGAAGGGCGCCCCGTTGGTGTATCACGAGGCCCGAAATACAACGGAGCGCCGGCGCCGGCCAGGCGCTTGTCGGTGGTAGTAGTTGCAATGCCGTGCTTGTTGGGTTCGGTGGTGAAGGCCCACGGCGCCGAGGCGGGCAGGCTGCGGGCTCACTTTTGACGTGGAGCGAACCTCCCCCGCAGTGCTGCGGCGTTGTTGTGTGTGTGCCTTGTCTCGTCGCTTCTCTCCGTTTGTTCTGGCAGGACGCCCCCTCTGTCATTTGATGCACAGCCTGCCCTGTATGAACGGGCCACGAGCATTGTCAGCAGCTGACTGCCCAATCCATTTCAGGTGTCTTCATTTTTCTCGCAGATCTGGCTATTAGATCGTCGCAACCGAGACTTTGTCCATGCCCTCATGGGTTTGTCGTTTAAGTATCCTTTTCACTGTCCTGGTGGGGAGATATACGTTGCGGGTGCCCCTGCGGCCGATGCTCTTGTCGATGGAAACCATTATGAGAATGAATGATGCAAATAAAACCCCATTGACTTTTACATGTATTGTAATGTAAAAGGATTTCGAGAGAGTGATCCCTGGAAGTACCTACCCCGCTAGGACTAGCCTCTTTCATACGCCGAGCAGCATACTGGCGCGCAGTCCCGGAGACAATACTCCGCTAGCGTTTTTGAAGAATTCGATGCAAGAACGCTTAGACACCAGTGCTGGAGATATTGGGCCTTTGCTCGATCCTATTGACCTAGCGTCGCCTACAGGCAAGGTGGCGCCTCGCGAGTGGACAACGTTCGCAGTGTAGTTCGCGACTGAACAGCGTTCGCAGAGTAGTATAGATGAGTGGACTCCGGAAACCACATGACGGATCGTGAAGTACAGCGGACTGAAAGTTATCTTCTAGCTATCCGAGGGAACCATGAGAACACACTGTTAGTTTGAAACATTTCTGTACCTAAATCGAATTGCTTATTGATTCTCTCTCATCACAACGGGAATGAATTCCGCATAGTTCATTCTCATTGTCTGAAAACTTACTTGATAATCCGAACAACGCAGACTACGCATAAGAATCAACATGAACATTATAGAGCCTGTCATATGCGGTACAAACTTAAGAAATATGTTGGAAGAAATATAACTGAAGAACAAACAAATATAGCCAAGCATCAGCTGATAGGTCTTCACCTTTTCTCTCACAGCAAACTGTGCATTCGATACAGCATCCTTTACAAGATCCGCGTTATGGGGAACACTTACTTCTTTGATAGTTAGACTACAATCGTCATCCCATGTTCGGTTTCCAATTTAATACCCTTCCCATTTCCACAGAGACAAGATATGCCTTGAATGTACAGCTTCAGATCGAAGTCGATGAGGTTCGAAGTTATGATCATACGCTCGCTTTAGCTCACTTCTTAGGTGAATGTGAAAAACGATAAGCACCACTTTTAGAACGATCGTGCACAGGGTAGACCCTGAAAAGAACCAAGATTGTCTTTTGCAGTCGACAAACAATTTTTGAGGACCACAGGTCATCTTCAACCTCTAGTATTATACGGTAGTCGCATCTTCAAGGTCGGTTTACGTGTTTGAAATTGTCGGACTGATGTGAGTGTGTCGTGCGTGCGCGGATCGAAATGGAGAGAGCTGTCATTTCTCTCGAGCCGTTCGAGAGTGATATCCATCGGTCCTGGTATCGAGACCTCCTTTATGTCATGATCATCGTATGTGTTTATCATAGCATCTTTAACGAGTGATGGTATAGTATCTTCTACGAGTGAGGTGGAGTTTGTTGACGATACATAGTACAGCTGAGCGGAAGGACCAAGAAATCAATATCGAGAGCATTTTGATACAAGTTCATCTGTCTGTGAACATGTTACGACAACTTTTTTGAGTTTCAAAAACAATTCTAGGTTTTTTCGCCTCTGGCAGGCGTACGATCTCCATGGGTTTAGAAGGCGATTTATCGCCGTTTTCGCGATCCAGATCAATTAAAAGATTCACATTGTTTCAGGCGATTTTAGACATAGGATCTATGGCTGAGTAGAACTAGTATGTCTTTCTAAATTGAAATTTTTTTATATAGGGGTACGGTACAACCCGACCACTGAATGATTTGTATTGCTGACGATTGCTGTAGCTGTTGTCGGAGAGGTCCTACTGTTTCTAAATGAATGAGCTTGATGACTGACTTTGTTATCTTTCCTCTCTAGAACTACTAGGTAATACATATGTTTGCTCGCTGCTGTCTCCACAGTCGATAGAGATGCCTTCTTTGTGAACCCTATGCGAGAAAGGGGGGAGACGAGGTTGACCTGGTGGTTGAATCGTTACTAGTGCGGGAACACCAGCAACGTCAACAAGCATGGTGTGCGTGAATAGTCCGCCGTCTGGCGGAGGTTTGCTTCGGCGCGGTTCCTGGTTAGGGCGCGGGAGTGCTGGCGGTTCACCATCTAAGATCCTGGAGAGGTTGCAGAAAGAACAACCCGCTGAGGAGAAGACAGCAGCTTTGCTCACATTGGCATTCGACTTACACCAGGTACCAGATGATCAAACTTCTGGCGGCTCATCGTCGTCACATGTGCTTAAAATGGTGCAGCCACGAGGCAGCTCGTTGGATCTAGGAAGTCATCTGCAAAGCGGTGGAGCAGGTATGTCGAGTATGTCCGGCGCATCTGGTTCGACAACAGGAGGGGCTTTTTCAGCCTTTCTAGGAAGTGCAGGTAGCTCATTTGATGGAGGTGTAGTTACCAACACCGGCGGTTCGAACAGGAAAGGGTCTAGTTCAGCTACAGGCATGTCATGGTCCATGCTGGACGAAATCAGCGACCGTCGGACGCCTTCTTTTTCCTCCTCTGGTGCTTTCGGTGCTCTCACTAAACTTCTGCAGTTTCTCTCGAGGTGTAAGAAAGACAATGCTCAGCGATTGGAGTTGCAACGAGCGAGAGGCGGCGATGTTTTCGTGGCTATAGCGGCTGACCGTTTTGTTTCGCTGTTGCATGAGGTGGCTTTTTTTCAGCGGATAGGAAACTTCGAGAAAAACTTCTTCTCAGCACTGCCAGACAAACTGTGTGCGCGATCGGACAGTACTATTGAAACTAGATTGTGATGCTTGTTGAGAGTTTGCAGGTCCGACATTTCAATGGGGATGATTCAGAGTAAGTATAATCGTCTTTCACCACCCTTCTAAGTATTCCATTTCGAAAAATCAGATCTCATAGCCGAGCCTGACGCTGTCATGGGCCTCAGATGGGACGTTGTCGAATGCATCCTCAACCTCGTATTTGCTGTCCCGATGAACCCTGAAGTGTCGCAAGTCCGCGAAGCCGCAGTCAGAGACTTTTTGCCATGTTTGTGCGCTAAAGTTCGCAGGTGTTGTGACATGCTACTAGCTGGGCACAAGTCTGGATCCTCCGGGAATAGAACTAGAGCCGATCATGGAGGTGCAGGGGGACATAAAGTTAGGCTGAGGAAGAACAATAGGGTGGAATGTTGTACGTAGCTTTCAGTAGTACTTGGCTGTAACTACCTCAGAAAATGAGCATCACGATGGAAAAACGTAATGATTTAATTAGGAGTGCGGCGCATTGATCGTCTCAATAATTGAAGACTCAATTATTTGAACCAAGGACGTCGTGATCATGGATGATTTGAGGATGCGTTGTTTTCTGCCTCTAACATCCGCGGTGACAAAGTTAGCAGAGCATTAGAGGACGCAAGCGATCGCGTGCTTCGGATGCTACGGGTAGTACGCCTTTTCCCGACCCTCGAGCTCGACGATGCTCCGAAAGAGCGTGTTCGCATTCTAGCAAGAGAGCTGTGGCCATCATTGCGAGACGTTTTAGGCCAAAAGATAGAAGAAGGAAGAGCACAGCTAGCGTGTCCTGGTGGGCTTAGCAAGAGAAGACTAGAGCGGAAAGAAAGTAGCGGCCCAGATGTTGATCTGAGCAATTATTCTGGAATCGCGATGGGAGACGCATCCTCCATGAACCCTAGTAGTGCGACTCCTTGTTTTGGGGGAGTAGCGTTTGGTGGAGGAGATCAGATGAACAACAATTCATCAGGTCAACTACAACAGTTGACGCCGACAAATAGTACTCCAGGATTTTCACCGTCAAGTAGTAGTTCAAGCGGCGGTGCGGGATCGTCGCTGTCTCAGAGGCTGAAGCGAGCAGGGACGCAAACGCAGAAGTTATTTCTTTTAGTGGAGCATCGATGCGGGTGTAGGTTGTGGGACGTGGTAACCGAAGTGTTGCAGCTCGGTTTGACTGCGTTGCCACCCTCCACGGAGCGAAGGGCTCTCGCGGTGGATTTTGTGAGTCTGTGTCAGGTACCCTTGAGACTCCACGTGGCTGAGTCGGATGCGCTGGAGCAAGAAGTTTACAGAGACTTTGCGCGTGGTGCTGGCTACGGAGGTACTAACAGAGGAGGTGCTCAACTACATGGTTCGAAACTTCTGTATGGCGGAGCCAACACTGATGTTGGGGTTGGACATGGAGATCCTACTAAGAGAGGCCGTCCGTTGAGGCGTAATCAAAAGGTCGTTCTCAGTCCCGAACGTTCCAACTTACGAGACAGCTATGTTGGTGCGTGCTATTGGCGTCACGGCAACGCATCGTTGATGCGGGCTCTCGGTTTTTTAGACTATGGTGGATTAACATATGGTGGTTTGGTCGCAGATAGCTGCTTAGCTGCGGAAGAAGACGAAGAGGGGAGTTTTGGTGGGAATGAAGGAGCTTCGTTTAATCATTTTGAGGGTACTACTTCTGGCAGTTTGTCGTCGTCATCCTCTTCGCAACCGAGGCCTGAGTGTCTATCGGATTTCGTTTCCGGTGACGCATTACGTGAATTCGTAGGAAGCTCCAGTCCCACGGATGAAACCGATGACCGTCTGTTCGATCTTTTAGGAATAGTGCGGGCTCCAGTGGTTAACAAGATGAAAAGTAGTAGTAGTTCGTCTAGTGTTGCTACTACTCTAGGCGCTGCAGCGTCATCTTACCCTCCTGCCACGCCAGCAGCAGCAGCTGCGCCAGAAACGCCAAGAAGAGGGGGAAACCGTGGCACAGTGTCGCAATCTGAAGACGGGATTCTAGGACACGGCGAAGCAGTGACACCAGCGAGGCAAGCAGGCAAAAGTAGTACGCCTTTTGCGGTGCGAGCTGTGACCAGTAATTGGACACCTATAAAAGGAGGCAATGTTTTTAAGGCTCACAATATTTTTTCCCTTTCGCAGAGTCTCTGTCTCAGTTTCCTGCTTCCATTCTGAGACAACTATGAACGTACTAGAAGATAGTGAACTATTATGTTGAGCGCTAAAAACAGTGCTGATGCGGGAGATGGTATTGGAGGGAGAGGAGGTGCTTCTCGCAGTTCCCAAGCATTTGCGTCTCGTATCATGGGTCGTTCATCTCTTACGTCTGCCTCGCTGTCACGACCAGGAGGCGGCGCCAGCTTACAAGCTCTGCGCAGTCAACTCGTAGCCGGACGCACACCGGCACGGCCACAGCAGAACAAAAACGCTCCATCGAGTAGGTTAGGTCGCGTCTATCAACATCTCCTACCCAGTTCAGAATTTGTGGAGCTGTTGCGTCAATGTTGTTTGATTCTAGCAGATGTTGCGCAGAGCGTCACAGATAGCCTCGATAGCGCAGATGCAGCTTTTAGTAATGCTAGGATACGCATTTGTCCTGCACCCACTGGAACAACAACTTCCGTAGAATCCCCACTAGATCCTTCAACATCCGCGTCGAATCTGGCCTCCATATCTGGAGTGTGTCGTCAACCAGTGCATCGACAAAGCTGTAATAGACGGTCTTCTATTGGCGGCGGTAGTGCTGTTGCTGTTGCAGGTGGGAATCTAGCAGCAATGGATGGAACAAGTAGTAGTACAACAACAATAGGTGGGTACTCGTCCTCAATCTCAACATCAAATGACGTAGACCCGGTTGCTGTGTTGAAGAGAGAATTGTTCGGAGGAGGTGACTCATCTGGTGGATGTACTACCCCTATTTTTGGCACACCGTCGCCTTGCCTGAACAAAAACTCCTTAGCACTACTAGGGTCGTTGCTGGACATATTACGTGCGGACGACGCTATTGCTAAATTTCATGCGGAGTGGAACCCACGGCTGTCGGGATCTGCATTACTGTCGGGACCAGCAGTGTCACAGCCGGTTGTGGCTGTCTTGGAAGCATTAGCGGCTGCAGCGAGCACGAGTGAGGATTGCGATGCATTGATGCGTACGTGTGGTGTTGTGCCTGGGGTCTTAGGAAAATGCATAAGATCAGGAGATTCTTCTGCGATCGCTGCGGTTTTGTCGCGAATAGCCGTGGCGCCTGCGGGTGCAGCTGGTTTTTTTGCAGATACGAGACGCTTAGACACTCACGGCTATTTGTTTTGCACAAATACGGAGGGGAACGGATCTTCACCTAATAGCAGTAGTAGCAAAATAGGAGCAGCAGGAGTCGCCGGGTCTTCGATGATCCACAGCAGTGTGCCTGGAGTCGATCAGTCAGATTACTTGTTGCAGATAATGACAGCAGGTCGTAACGAGCAGTTTGGTGGAGCAGTGAGTAGTACAGGAGGTGGTAATTATCCTGGAATAGGAAGTTGTAGTTCATTTTTTGGTGCGAACCAGCTGTATCCAACGGAAAACATGGATGAAACCGCAGCCATGCCGCCACCCCCACCTCGTGCCGCAATCTTGCGTAGTCTGTCAACGTCGTCTACCAGAAATCAACATGGTACTCGGAATTCTGTTGGTGCTGGTTCTTCACTGAGTCTTGGTGTATCTACCACTTCCTCTTTCGGAGGATCTCCCTTGGTATGCTGGGCAGACTGGTTACTCACTTTATCGAGTGATAGCTATTCTCCGACGATAGGGGTACTTCTTCAAGCAGTAGCGAATCCAGTACAACGCGATCCTTTTCGATTCGATACGTGGATTGCAGATAGCGGATTTGTAGCAAGACTCACGGGATGGATCAAGTACTACTCTGGAATCTCCTATGTTTTGTCTCGTCTTGCTCTTCTTTTTAGAAGGTACAAGAGGACTGGATCACCTCACAACTGCTTGACCACGTAGTAAGATGAGGGCACATGGCATGACATAAACCCAGTCGTGTTTGGTGGTGTTGAGAGACCCCTAATTATGAAGTTGAAGGAGAGACACTGCCTATGAAGTTGAAGTTGAGGATTCTCGACGATGTGTAGAGTCATGATGCTTGTAACTTATCGATCACGTCAGCCCCGTTTCTACACACTTCAGGTCTCAGCGATTAACCCTGCAACTGCAAGGCGACGTTGGCGATCGATGGCGCAACTTGTATTGGATGCTAGCCAGTGCCTCCGCTTGTCTCGAAGTTTCTACTGATCATCCTGCTTTGCTTACTGAGCTCCAGTGTCTCCTTGCTCGCCTCTCCCGACCTCAAGGTAAAAAGAAGACCCTTCGTCGCCAGCATGCGATATTAGTCTCTACTGGCGCGTCTAGCTGTTCTGAACATGACCCAAATAATCCGGGGACAGCTTCTAGGTGGTTGGCGAAAGCCCAAACACTAGGTCATATGCAAAGACGGGAGCATGAAATGTCATTGAACGACGACATGACTCGGAGTAGTAGACTTATGGGTAGTGCCAACCCACCTCTTACACCATCTTTTAGCCAATTCCCTCCTGGAACAAGCTAAAAGGTGTTCTAAAAGATGGGTTGTCCGTACCTCTAATAGACCCTTAGCAGGTCTAGCAGGTCGTGATCGTCGCGTGGATTTGACCAGTGGGCCAGGAAGTGAACTGTGGTCAAACGCCTCAGTGTCATCGACGAGTAGTGATGTGGGGTCGGAGGGGAGTACAACTGCGGGAGCAAATAGCCTGATGACCGTGGAGCAAGGAAATAGTGCCATGAATGGTGCGGGAGGTGCAGTATCTGACATCACAGGAGTGCCTCAATCTGCCGACCAAGGTACTGTCACATCTATGCTAGAGCAGCTCGTGCGAAAATACGCACCAGAGGAGGGTGCCGGGTATCGCCCGAAAATGGCTCGAGCGATTAGCTGTAGGCCGACGCCTTATATGTAAGAGGAGGATAGATCCCACCTTGATGTCATATGATCGCGATGCGAACATGAGAAACAGCGCATCGTAGAAAAATTAATTTAGCAGTTTTACGTAGCAATAGTTATTGTGAAAGTGAAATGGGAACAACTATCAAAGTTTAATCCCAGCATGCAATTCCAAACATACTAAGAACTTCATTATGTCCAGTACGTGAAATTATGTTATCAACAAGAGTTTGAGTTCATTGCCTACATTGTCTTTGTCTGTCTCGTCATCTCTGTCATTTTCAAGATTACTCAAAAAAACAGTCTAGAAGTAGAAAGATCGAGATCAGGATCCACTGTACTACCACGCGTTAGAAGCGCTCCTAAAGAAGTAGGAAAGAGGAGGAACAGCGCGCTTTGAGTGGTGATGAATTAGCTAACAAGCACTCTTAAGTATAGCATGCAGTGTATGTTGAACGAGCAGCAACAAGGAAGAATATAGAACTAAGACACCGAGAGTAGACCAAAAAATGTGATCTCGATTCTGTTGTTCATTGTCGACGCATGGTTTATGTATGTAAAAAATCATGCTTGTACAGAGTCATGTCTAGTTATAAAACTATTATGCCGCGTTTCGAGTCATCATCTCGATACCTTCTTGTTAAAGTTTTTTAAATACAGCAGTTTGCTGTCCCCCTCGAGGACCCCACCGCCTAAAATTAAAAGCTTCTAGCCTAGTTAGTGGGCTAGCTAGAAGTTTTCCTTTGCCTTGACTGAAATTCGAGTTCTTTCGAACAGAGTAATCAAATGATTTAGCTGAAGTGATTTGACAATCGACGAATCTTTGCTATGATAGCAAATCAATCCTCATAACAAGTTAGCTAGACCAAAAATTAAAAGCAAATATTTAAAGCATAACGAAGCTTCGTGTATTTCTCATTGTCCGATGATGATGTTGTCCGATGATATGTCCATAATGAGCGCAAGAACTTGCTGAGAAATCTAGTACAATGTACCTCTTCATGTCATGTTTTGATCTATCTTTTCCTGTATTGAAAGTATGCATCAGAAATTGAAGTCACTTGCTGAACATTCAATCTCTTACTCGTTATTTTGGAAATTTGAACTCAGGCAGGAGGATTATAAGCAAGAACATGTCTTTCTTTATAGCAGCACTAGGCTCACTCTAGTACATTCCTGTACCATATTCTGTAACAGAATTGTTCACCATACGACACTCACTGATTTCCTGTTCGTTGCCTCGTTTCCCTAAGCTTGAAACTAAGAAAATGCTAGTAAAAACCGTCCAACCACGATGAACTAAAAGTGAGAAATTGCTAGCTATGATTGCAATTTTCGTTGGTATTCAGCCTCGTCAAATACTTCGGTTTGCTGCCAATCGTCCGTGAAGAGTACGACTTCTCTGCGCCCGCCCCAGCTGGTGCGCTGGTCCTTTGGCCGAAGACTTTGAAACTGAAGAAAATCACTCGCCGTGTTCCTGCGCATACTAGCATCCGCGGACGACTTTTATTAGAAAACTTTCATCACCTCAATGAAAACGTTCACGATTTTTGGTTGCAAAATGGTTTTTAAAATTTGTTTTCTCAAATGCAAATTGCTTCTTCCATTTATGGGCGCAGTTTTGAGTTTTCCTTTCAAGGTGAATTTTGACCAGGTTTTCGTCTAGTTCTGTCACAACCAACTAAGCAGGATCAACAATATATCACTACGTTTTCTCCCGACGCTGACGGAATACCATTACCACGCTAGTATCCTCTTGCGCCCGCCGACACGATGCCTCCAAAATCCACGACTTCGCCTAAGACAAGCGGTTCTTCCGCAAAATCGAAGGCGAAATCGCCAGAAACTAAGGTTAAGGCTCACAACAATTCATCTTAAGAAGCATCTTTGAGCCCTGTCTTAAGGGGAGCGAGCCCTGTCGTAAGGGGAGACCACGTCAAAGATGCACTCAAAGATGAATATATGTGAGATCTAATAAAGACAACGAAAACGGATGGGACAAGCAGTTCCACATACCACGAGATGTTGTCTGGCTCAACACTGCGGGAAGGGGAGTGTCGCCGGTGAATGTGATAAAGGTACTGGTAAATCCGTTGCAGTTTTTATGTCGTGCTGTGCACTAGATTAGCTGCTGAGCCATAAGATTAGGATAGGTACTTTTTGATAATCGAATTCAACACATCATCATCATCATCATCATCATCATCATCATCATCATCGAAACTACTTACTTAGGCCGCGTCCGACGCCGTCGCACGGAAGCAGAAACCATGGGAGATGCAGGAGGATGATGAATTACCTCTGAGAGAACAATTCGCGCGGCTCCTGCCTAGTGCTGCTGCAGATGAAATCGCTATTGCTAGTGCTGCGTCGACACACTTGAGCGCCATAGCGTGGAATCTCAAGGATACATGGACAGATGATAACATGTTAAGGCTAGTTTTTCACTATCCCTTGTAGAGTAGGAATATGCTGAGTTGTGGAGTCTGCTGAGTGGAGGCTCATCCTTTGAGTTTTTAGAGGTGGGTATAGAAACTAAGGGGGACGTGGGGCATCTCACTCAACTGCGGATCATAGTGAAAACCTAGCGTTAAGCATGGACCACCAAGATGAAACAGAGACGGTTACTAGAGAAATCTTAGTCCTGGAGAACCAGTTCACTAGTCACGTTTATCCATGGCAAGAAGCGCTGGTTGATACGAATTTGGCAAGGTTTGTCGTTGTTCCACACACCACTGAGCTGAGCACATCAGTCGATCTGACCGACACGGTTTTGAATGTGTATCGACAGCGTCAAGATAAAGTCGCATTGGTCGCTTTGCCGCACTGTCTCTGGTTAAGGCTACCGCTGAAGCCTGTCCTCAACACCATCATCCTTGGATCTTCTTTCTCTACTTGTAAAAAGAGTCAGGGACGATGCTCTCTTCAGGGATACAAACGCGGTAGCTCTAATTTGGATAGATGGAGCGTTATTAGATCTCGAGAAGATCGCTGCGGAACTAGACCCCGCATGCCTTTTAGTGCTGGACCTAACGCAGTCTTTAGGCGTTTTGCCAGTGAGCGAGAAGTTAGTGCGACGTGCAGACGCGATTGTGGCGACTACGCATAAGTGGCTCTTGGGTTTGTACGGAATCAGTTGCATGTACGTCAATGGCAATTGTGCCGTTTCCCGCATTGTTCCGCGAGGTGCTTCTGGACAGGCCAACCGATTGAGACCGTTAGACATTCACGAGCGAAACCGCGTAGGCTGCGAAGGCGGTAAATGTCTGCCGTTTCTGCTGGAAACTGACGTAAGAAGAGAATGGGCATCCGGGACGTCACCTTTTCGGGATAAGGCTGGTGGAAGTTCATCTAGTACAGGTCGTGGCAGAATTTATTTTACGGCCAATAATTATCGTCAACCCATCTTCTACAAGAGCATCTTCTGGCCGTTTCTTCTCTAGTTGAAAACAGCTCAAATTAGATGCTCGGAAAGATGGGGGACCGGTTTTTCTAATGGCGGGAATTTGGCGTCATCTTCAACGAGTCCAAGAGGAGTTGGAAAGAGTCCTATGAGTCATGCAAAGCGAGCCCCTCAAATCGATGATGAAGACGAGGAGGAACTAGCAGCAATGTCACCTGCAAAATTTAGAGCGATGAGTATTCTTTATTCGATGAGTGCGAGTTATTTGATGTCGTTCACTAAGTGGTTCACTACTTCAAAATGAAAAACGTCCGGTGAAGATCGCTTCTTCACTTTTCTCACTACAATCTATCTGTCTTCTTCATTTTTCTCACTACAATCTGTCCTCTACAGGCGTGAAGCTCCAGCCTAAGATGACTGGTAAATCGCTTGCAGACGAGGCGCGTATGTCTCTGCTGGCAGTAGGGTCAGGTCCTAGCGCGACAGGATCATCACCAAGTCGAAAACGAGCTAAGAAAGAAGAGGGGGTTCCCCAAGCTTTGCCTCAATTGAAATTATGGCCCTCGTCATTTTTTCACAGATCACCTCTGTTCTTCGTTTCCATCCTCACTGGGATGGATTCTTTGAGGATGAACCAATCTCAACGATGTTTAGGAAAGAAGCTTTTTCTTGCATTTTGCGAGCTGCTCTAATCGTAGTAACTGCTGCACATTCCAGCTACGGGAGTTCTAGTGCTTATGCCGCGTTAACCGAGGACGAAGCGGACCACGACTTCAATGTACGAAAAATGAGAGTTTTGGCGCCTAAAGTCTACAGTGGGCCATTGTATGAGCCCGCGTTTCGCGGAGGCAGTGGCGTAAGGCTTGACATGGGCGGACGACCTGGCAACCCAGTGCTTTTGCCTGCACTCTTAGCTTCTTTGAAGTTGATAACTGAGGTTTGGCGCGTACCTGACATCAAGAAGCGCTGTGCGGCACTGATGGGTCAGTTAGTGGAGGAGTTGGAGGACCTAAATCATGAGCTAAAGAAGAAGTCTATAGAGCAGACAGGAGCGGGTGTGAGCACGCTTGCGACGCACTATCTCCAAATCGTCTACCCAAAGACTCATGCGCCACATTTGTTATGAACAACAGGATAAAAAACAGTTGGAGGTTGTTGATTCAAATGAACTTGAGTTTTAAGATTGTTGTAAGGGTGGACCTACCTAGAAATTCAGTCCATGACATGAGCATTTGTCTCTACTAGGCTTTTTCGTCTTCTAATGCATATCGGTTTGAAGTTTGCGGCGTTTGCTACGAAGACCGACCGGCAAGATTTTGGTGTCGCTTTATCAGCGGAGAAAGCCTACGAGCGTCTGTGCAATAGCCACATCTACACTTAAGGCAAAGGCTTGGTGACGTTTGCGCAAAGCATCTCACTTGTGCTCACAAGAAAAAGCACTGGGGCTACTCACCTAGACGGTCAGAAAAAAAAGCCTCCGGGGTACTTAGATATACAACTATCGACCACGGAGTACTACATCATCCTCTTCTAGATTCATTCTATATTTTCAACTATGACGGAGTACTACATCATCCTCTTCTAGATTCATTCTAATGAAAAAGTTGGCGTGCAGGCTGCATTCGCGTTTCGGTATATGCGTATAATACCCCTGCCGACGTAACCAAGCTTGTCAGGTGCCTCAAAGTCTATCTTTTCGATGCATTGATGCTCAGGTAGGAGATTATAGCCGTTTATGACAAGAAAACACTTCCTTTATATTGGGTGTTGTACATGATACGGAGGACGAACACGCGCTTCGATTCTCCTGCACTAGTAGTGCGAAAGTATTCACCTATCAATCTCTATATTATCTATAAGCATCAAATCGAAACCTGCAGAGAAACTTCTGGCTGGTGTTCAGTGGAGCTTCTGGCTGCTGTTCAGTGGATGGATATCGACGTTCTCATACATATTTGGATGGATAGCGACGTTGTCATATTCGGAACTAGATTTGATAGTTGAGACGGGTCCCGTTGGAGACTGTCGGTTTGTGTTTATGATCGGTTTTTACTTGGTCGGACCATTCACTGCGCAGGGCTGAGTACTCATGAAGATGTAACGGACGACATCGGTTTCTATTTTTCGAAGATACCCCACCTCATCATGACGACATCGGTTTCTATTCTTCGACACTGAGATACCTAAAGGTTTGTCGAGCGCTGCCAGTATCATAGAAATACTGTCAGACCACGTCTCTACGGTCATCATGAACAATGGCAACAGGGGCAACAGCATGCATGCCCCACCTCGTCATGCTGCAGAAGAATAGAACATCACACTACTGAAACAAGTGCACGCACTTACAGCATTTCAGCAACTGAAATTTCTAAGCCCTTTCTTATATCCATTGTAATTTTCGAAGCACTGCTCATTGGATTTCTAGAATACAGTGAATTTCTACAGCGAAACACTTTTACTACTCCAAATGAGTTCTGGAATAGATACAAAAATATTTCCTAAACGACTGAACGACTGAACAACTGCCACAAAGCCGAATATACAAGATGGGTGTCGTTTTTGAAAGTCTACACGGATTGACAGACTTCTTTCGAATCCCGAATGGAGCTACTGCTAAAAATGCAGGATATGGTGCCTGCTATGGAGGATGGCTGAAGTTAAGGAACCCATGATGAGCCTAAGTTGGTACCGTTTGAGTTTGAGTTCAGTGGCTTTTTCTTTAACTCGAGTTGGTTCTTGATGAAACAAACTTGAGGAGAGTTGTACTAGTCAGCACGAGTGGTCTCGATTATAAGTTTTCATCTTGTTTAATAGAAAGAAAACTAGAGTTCTTTGCAAGCGGCTTGTAGTTATTGGGCTTATTGTTGGTTCTTCTAATGAAGTCTGAATCGACGATGATGAAGTCCCAATCGACGATGATGAAGTCTCGATCGACGATGATGAAGTCCCGATCGACGAGCGCTCCTTCTTTAAGGCTAGCAGCACTGGAGCTTTCCCCGTATACATCACGGTCAGTGTGATCCTTGGAGGTTCTTCTTTTTTTATAGTTGAAAAAGAAGCCCCCTTCTTGAAGGAAGGGTAATAAGTAGTATTTAATACAACTCTCAAAGTTGTAGACGAGGAAGACGCGACCTTCACGTTTGTAGCTCTAACTTCTATTCCTATGTCGACGAACGGGGTTCGAAGAAGCACTGCTTTTATGGGCGATGCGAGTCGTGAAGATCGCGATCGGTCTCCTCACGTAGAAGCATTAAGGTTGGGTTAAAGGTGTTCCTGTTGCCGTTCGTTTTGCCTGTCTGAAGGGGGAAAGGCATAACGAACGGGGTAAACGAACACCAAAAGCCTATCCCTAATCGAAGACTCTTCGCAGGCGGACGTCGAGCCTGCTGCTGTGTCACCAGGGAACGAAGACCTTCCTGCTGAAGAGTCCTCGCCGAAAGAACTTCCTGCTGTGCCGCCACCGGTTCCGTCGTCGGTGCCTGAGCCACCGCCGGGCGAGCTATCGCCGAGGCTCCATGTAGTTGATGAAGAATCAAGTGCGCCACAGCCAGAGCATACTGATGTGGGCGAGCCACACGTCCCTGAAGCTACTGGTGAGCGGGTTAATACACAGGATGAACCACAAAAAGAAGTAGACGATGAAAGAGACGAAGCAGGTTCCTCATCTCACTCAGGAGATGAAACACATGCGAGTTCTGCGCACGTCGACGAAGAAGCAGACGGTACACCGCCCGAACACGAGGCAAAAAGAACAGGGGCTCCTGCGGAAGAAGAGGTTAAGCTTGACGAGGCCTCTGCGACAGAAGAGGTTCTTGGGAGTTCTGCAGCCACCAGCCCTACGGCCCCCGACCCCGACGACGCTAGTGACGACGTCTCCTCCTCTGCTGCACCTCCACCGGCACCAGCGGATTTGTTACGGCTACCGAGAGTTGATGGATTCTTCAAAGGAAGCAAGGAGTAGGAGATGATTGATTGAGAAATTATTGATTCTCCAAAGAGATTGACCTAGAATTCATAGTAATAGTTATTCTTCAAATAGAAATAGCTCACGGTTCCTTCAAAGGATCTTGACTCAGGAAACCAACATCCTAGATATACGTAGCTACCAACTCTTATTCTAGCTTTTTTAGATTCTGCACACCTACCTCTTCTTCTAACTTTTTTGGACTCTGCTTGCATCTATAGTACTTACCAGATAGATTCTAGATCTGCCACCTCTTCTAATCCTAGACTCCGCATCTCTGGATGACGAAGGGGAGACTACACTCAGCGACGATGTGAGGAATCCGACACCACTAGGGCTCATCCAAGATGAGCGGGCTATTGATTATGAAAAACAACCGCTTACTTTTCCCTCACCATTATAGGTTAGTCCCTTTACCTGAAGATTTACGGGATCAGACATGTTTTCTGTATCTATCATAGTATCTTCTTGACTCTTACTGTACGTACGTATCATCTAAGTACCATTATTGCACAAAATAGAAGATAAAAGTGAACCAGCCCCTAGTGTGTGACATCGCGCTTTTATTTGCTGCAATCAATCGACAACGCCATTTTCTCCCTTTTTTTGTCTAACTCCGACTCTTGGTGCAAAGAGCAAATTTCGGGTTTCAAGAGCTCAATCAGGTGATCAACCACAAGCTGAACAATCCGGACGTTCAGCTAACGGCAGAGGATCTGCCTGAGGTTTTTGCTAGTCTCACTACGACCTTGACGAAGGTCCAGAGGCTTCTAGAGGAGCTACAACAGCGCATCGGAATTTTGGGAGACAATGCAAATACACTGCTGCAAAATGGTACTACTCTTGTTTAGAATTGTTGATTTTGGTGTTGTTGTTGTTGTTGTTACTCTTTGATATCTTCATGGTTCTCACGACAACTTTAAAGACTAAGATTGTTCTGTTCGATTTCTAATAACATCAGGTACTGGCGTATCGAAATCAGCAATAACACCAGAATTCCTGTATTCTTTCCTCGGATATCTTTCGCAGTCCCACGCTGAAGCGCCTTTGAACGAGAAAGAACGACGTAGTAGAAATAAAACTGCACTTCTGAGCTATACTAATGAATTCTTGTAAGACGACTATGAGTACTAGTACTGCGGAAAAAGAATAACAATTCTTAAAGAATACAACATTGTCTCGAAAATACGAAACTGTAGCGGACGTGCAAGAGCATGACCTGTTTTCTTAAAGTGAACTTTTATTTCCATACAGCACAAGAAGTTGTAAGTCAGACTGTTGCAGAACAATACTAGTACTGGGTGCTGGAGGGGGTACATCTGGTGGTTGTGGAGTAGAACAGAGCTCAAGGGACGATGTGGTGAACTCGGAAGTCAGAATATCTGCTATGTACCATGTGGAGCGGGAAAGAGCGAAAGGAGAGAGAACGACCGTGATAGAGAGGAAGGAGAGCAATGTGAAAGCTGAGTGTGAGCATTGCGGATCTAAAAGTAGTCCTAACCAAGAAGCTAAAAGAAGCCGAAGATTGAGAAAAAGTGGAGTAGTCACACTGCGTGTTGCTAGAAAAGGTATGCATCCAGTCTTGCATGCATTCAAGGTTGACTTGTTCGTGGGCAAGAGGTAGAAACATTAGACTTTTTTCATGCTTTATTTGATTGTACAATACTTTGGTTGGTTAGGACTAAGCACGAAAAAATAACATGCAGCCGATGAGCATCTGTAAACGACCTGAGCCATTGCTGTTGCGGCTGGAACTCTACTAAAGGGTCGTGCCCGAAAACATGCAGGCCCTAGAGGCTGTGCGTCGGAGTCGATGCGAGTACCTCTAAGGGACCGAGCCCCTGCTCTACTTGGAGTGTAACTCTACTTGTTAGAGTTGTGGCACTTTGAAGATGCAGCGCAGTTTGGGGAGGCTTTACATCCTCGTCACTGCTGCGGAGGTGGCGCTAGGTGGAGGACAGCTCGCCGCGGCCGACACTGTATTGAGGGGAGCTTCCGGTATCAACGGTAGAAACTCTGTCCTTGACAGAAGGAAGCAGATAGAGACAGACACGCGTAAGAATCGAGTTGCTGGCGTTTTAAAGAGGCAAATCGAGGAAGCCGCAGCGGAAGAAGGAGATAGGCGCAATACATCCTCAACAACTACTTTATCTGAAGATGAAGCACTGAACCTGAAACTACCAGAACCACCAAAGACAACTACTACACAAGCAAAGTTTCAACATCATCTGCGTGGAGAAAACGTAACACAGGAGGAACTAGATGAAAGAGAAGCGTTGAAGAAAACTGCAGCTTACTTTTTCGAAATTCACGCTGATGAATTGGGAGAACGACGTCAAGATCAAGGGGGAGAAGTTCTACCAGACGAGGACGACGATAGCGACATAGAAGAGTCTCAAGATCGGTCCAGCCCTAATGTCGACGAATCCCCATTCACGAGGCCTTTTGCTTTCGACCACCATGGCAGCCACAATGGGACCCAGCTGCATCATGGAACTCAAGAACTGCTTCATCTGGAACAGTCCTCGACGCGGGATAAGCACCTTGTGCAAGCTGAAATTGCCAAGGCAAAGATGTCCTCTTCCAGTGAGTTGTTTCAACGATTTGAAGCGGAAGCAGCTGCGAGGCGTGCGGTTCTTAGTGCTGATGAACATGGGCATGGCGTAGATGATGATGGGCATGGCGTAGATTCTCATGCTGCTGACCGACGCCGACTTGGTAATGGCGCGAGGTCGCAGCTCTTAGGTCTGCAATTACATCCCAGGAAAGGCGTTCATTTAGTTGGTGGACAGTTTTTCTCGGATTCGACGTTTTACATGATCGAAGCTGAGTATGAAACGAGCTACGTGGAAATGGATTTTGGGGAGCCGCCGTCTTCGACGGTCTACCTCGACGGCTGGTTGCGGCCACTGCGTGATGGCTACATGATAGTAGACTTGCCCGAACCAGGAGTTCCGAGGAAATTATGTTGCACACTCGTATAGGAATAATGAGGAGTTGTTTCAATGATCATTTCAGGTTTTTGTTTTTTCTAGTTAGATATGCTCCACCAATATCATTAGATCATTTAAAGAAATAAGACCCTCATTGTACCAACATTCGCTTTTTTTTTCTACTAGCTGTAGGTACTAGCTTCTCTAAGAGCAATCAACGTCTACGCGTGCGCTGCTGCGGGTGTTAGCACAGCTGGCGGAATCCCAACCTTCGAGACCATGTTTCAGAACAAGCAACCTGAGTTGTCTCCAGATGAGAAGCGACAGTGTACGCAATACGTGTTTCAAACGATGCGACTGCCGCCACAGGGTGGGACTGTGCTGGAATTTTTTTTATGGTCTTCGCTTCTCTTTTTAATGGTCTTCGGGACGTAGAAGGATGAGCCTCGTAAGCTTAACATTTGTTGTTTTTACCACCTTTTCCACCACCCACGTCTCCGGACCAACCTCTCTCTAATCCGAAGCGTGAACCTTCGCCACGATTTCGCTATGCTGACTCCACCCTTTGAGCCTGCAACGAAGAAGTACGACGCCTACATCCTTACCGGTGAGGAGTTTGTGTTGTCTGCTGCTGCAGCGGACCCAGCTTCAGTCGTAGGCCTGGAATTCCCATGGCACATGCAGGAAAGAAGCAAGTACGTCTCTGAGTGTGCTCCAAGCGGCGAATCCGTCCGACGGTGGGTGTTTCCGAAATATACAGAAGCAACGGGACCGAGTGGCGATTTGTATCTTAAGAAGGCCTTCGATTGGATTCAGGGTGGACACAATGGTTCGCGGGGGATCCATTGTGGCGCATCAGGGTGATCATGTTTGCATCGTAAAACTAAAAAACGAACCGCTTCCTCTAAAGTTCGCATTTGCCTCTTCGCCGGACCAGCTGGCAAAGCCATCACGTACGATCTGTACCTGCACGTCGAGGAGCGGTTGGATCTAAAGCTGAAATCGCTTACCGTCAGCGGTGCTAGTGTTCGTCTAGAGCCTGACTTTGACCCTAAAGTGCGCAGCTACGTAGCCTACATTCCGACGCACGGCAAAGGCATTACCGTGGCTGCGCGAGCCTCTGCTAGTCATGCACGAGTCAGGCTGAGGGACCAATACGGTTTCGACACAGTATCGAAGAAGAGCCTATTGAAACACACAGTGAACCTGCCGAAAAACAGCAAGAAACGACCGCCAGTGTGGGAAGAATTAGTGGAAGTCTCAGTGCTGGCACAGAAAGATATGATGCGACGTTGAAGAGAAGCTCTAAGTCCAATGTAGGTCACACCACTTGGACAGAGACAGAGTGTAGCTATACTAAGCTGTTAGTTGCGATTGTTCACTTGTTTCCTAACTCCATCTGCTTCCTGATCATTTCCTTTTTTTTTCATTTCCCGCGGAATCGCTGCGAAGCAATTTGAGCGTGAGTATTCTTACCAAATCAACGTCAGGCGAGAGGTGAGCAAGTACGCACAGCTGACTGCGCTGAACACCGGGAACACACCTTGCGTGATGACACCTGAGTTTAGTCCGAATATCACAGATTACTCCTGTAGTTAAGGGTCGATACAATTCATTTTCAGCGGTCATTTTCTTTGGTTTTCTTAGGATTCTGAAGAAATGAAGGCAAGAAATGAATTGCTTTGCACTCTAATGTAGTTGGTGGTGGGAGTTCTCCCAATATGCGGAATTGGAAGCGGATATCGACGCAGACGGAGGCTGTTCGAAATGTAGTATCAATTATGGCACGACTTCTAGACTCAGAAGGATGACTATTTCAGTTTCTAAGAACAATCTAGAAGTCGTGCCATGATTGACACACAGAATTCCTGAATTACAGAAACGTCGAAACAATGCAGCGTCCTATTTCAGTTTCCGAAATAGCCGACCTCTTCGATAAAGACCCCGCCAGTTCTGTCAGACTAAGAAGACTAGCTCCCTCCACGCTGACGATTTATTCTTCTTCATCTTGTTTTAACGAATGTCTAATCCCCTATCCCGCCAGTTCTGTGAGACTAACACTCGCTCCCCCGCTGACGATTTATTCTTCTTGTTTTAACGAATGTCTAATCCCCTATCCCCGCACCGGATTCGAATTGGTACGGTGCCACACAGATCAATTGGCCCGCACGCAAGGTTCACAAGGTGCAGTGGGGAAGACGTACGACTTGGACCAAGTTTTTCCTCTATGGTGAGTATCACACGGTTCCTATTCTGGTCATTTCCGAAGACCGCGTAACCGCCAAAGAATACCGCATTACCTTCACGCGTCGTTGTCCCTGGTGGATGAAAACTTCCCTCACTCGTGGGGTGTCGAAGTCCGCGTCCACCATTGCCCTGCTCATGTCCGTCGCATCTGCGGGAAACCTAATGGCTTTGGCGAAGCAGATTCAGTTCATGGATCTGGCCGCTGATATCCAAGGGTGTCCGAAAGTTTTCGTGGATTTTGTCAAGGGAATTTCGAATTTCAACTTTGATATCTCCCAATACACGCCAACGTGGGTGACCGACTACGGTCCAGCTGCAGTGGAGAAATACAAGGAGAAGATGCTTGGACAGATTAAGTTATGGTGGCAGGCATGTAACTAGAACTCTGTAATATAAATTTATGCGGTAGATCTGGAACTCGATTCACATCAAAGTACGTAATCACTTTCAAGCGTTAAAAGTCGGAATTACAGCATCTAAAACTTGAACCTTGTTGAATCGGTGTGGTCCTTTTCTAATCTCTGTCACAACCGAGTATTGCGTTCGCTTGCACCATAGCTCCAAGAAGGCGGCGAGAGCATATTTGCGCGAAGCAGCTCCTGATGTCTTTGACGGTGCTGAGGAGGAAGGCGAGGAAGGAGAAGGAGAAGGCGAGGAAGCTGGTGATCAAGAGGGACAGGAAGAAGAAAGGCGAAGAATGGATGCAGTAGTGACAGATTCTCGCATCTCAGGAATGTCTTCTGCAGTTCCATCGGGTGCAGGGTTTGGCGAGAGTGGTGAACTGGTCGAACCAGAGACGGTTGTAACGGATGGAGAAATGACACAAAAGTCCTCTTTGACGATGGCGTCAGATAGCAGTACATCCATGGAGTCCACTTCTTCAATTCCTAGTACATCCACACCTACTTCTGCTCGCCCACAATACCGCGTTCGCACCCTCAAGTGTCCGTCCGGTATCATTAAGTGGTTGTGGGATTTCGTGAATCCACCGCCAACAGGCGTACAGGAATATCTAGATCGAGGAGAACTACTAGTGTTGGACGACGGTCGCGAAGACAACGAAGATTACGACTTCACGCCTGCAATCGAAGGCATGCGACGTGTAGTGGAGAGGGAGGAGAGAAAGAAGAAACTACGTCTACGTAGTGGTACAGGAAAGAGCGAAGTAGTGGAGCAAGATCTCAATGGCCATACTCTATTTGAAGAGCAGAATTCTCTTGGACAAGATCATCGATTTGATGAAAAAGGAAATCTGGTCCTGTCTTCCAGCAACCCTTATGGTGCTGATGGGGAGGAGAGCTATTTTGGCCCAGCGGGGATCGTCCCTGAGATTTTCAGCGATGCCTACAGTTACGTAAATCGATTGTTCGGATTTGGCGGAAGTAGCATATTCAGTAGTGGACCGGTAATATCCTCAATTTTAGGGGTGACTACCTTTAGAACAAATAGTCCCGCGGGTAGCAGTAGTACGAGTGAAGATCGTAGGCATGGGAGACATCATCAAAAGGGTAAAGAACTACACGAGGAGGATCTAGGACCTCTTGCCTCTGATGGCGTGACGCGATTGACGCATTCGATAAGGAAACAATCCTATGCAGAGCATTTAGTGGAGCAGAAAAGGAGAGCGGAACAGAAACAGGCTGCAAAGCGAGTAGGAAAAAAATTCTTTCCGAATCTGCGACCGAACTTGGAGGGTGATACTAGTAGTGCTGTAGCATTGGTCGAACAGCAGTTTGAGCCTGCCATAGTTAAGGGTTTCGACATTGCATTCATCAGTACCATCCTTCGTTCGTTTTCCAGTAGGAAACGGGTCAAGGATGTTCTGAAGAATGTAATTCCGTAACCTCTAACATAGACGAAACAACTAGTAGCAGTCCCACTCTCCCACTTTCTTCTAGGAGACGTCGCTTAGACTTAGCTGAGATGTTTGGGCAGGGCGTTGAGTATGACAAAACGGGTCTGCCGAAGATTGATTGCAGTGGTGCTGCTTCAGAGCTACGAGAACAGGCCTTGGACTACCTAAAACGCTTTGCCGCTTTCCAGGATATGCTAGCAGCGATTGCTTCCAACACCATAGTGATCATCATCATGTCCATCCTCGGCTTCATCGCATATTGGGTGTACTTCTTCATGGTTTTTACGAAAAAGCAAGTCCGCTTTCGCATTCTAGAAGCGGGACCACTGTGGATTTTTATCCTCGATTACGGTCTGATCAACTTCAGTAAGGACACCAGCGATTTGCTGTTCTCCGATGGCAAAGTCGAGGTTTTGGGGCTGCATCCGAATGTATACTTGGTGAAATTCTGCTGTCTCATTGGTTTAATTGGCTATCCGTTTGCGTTTCTATTTTTCGTCATGTACATGATGATCTACCTGCAGCGACCAGAAAATCCGCAGATGGTGTGGAACAAGAAAATGCAAAAGTACGTCGACGTTGAGTGTCGCGAGATGAAAGTGGATGTACCTTCACCCCTTCCCGGCTTCATTCCGATTGCATCGATCGCTTTGAGGGGGCATGCGAGGGGAGCTATTCCTGTGCTTATGGACGACGGTTATTTACTTAAATATACGATATTTAATGCATCCGCCCTGAGCTGCTGCTGATAGTTAATGCATCTTTCTTACAAATTTACTCCATAGAAATACTGACTTTGAAAAGTCCTAGGTAAATCTCATTAATGCGTCCGCCCTGAGCTGCAGTTGCATCCTTGACGTTGACCCTTTTTCTTTCTATTTGTCATTCAAAGTCTAAGTCAAAAGGATGCAATTGAATTCAACGCAGAAGGCGAGATGCAAGAATCAATATAGTAATAATAAAGAACAGGAGCAGGAGGACGATCCCTATAACGACCTAAAGAACGAAGGTCTCTAAGTGACGCGATGACGAAGGCAAAATGATGTACTTCGGCAAGATGGAAACTCTCTCGGAAGAACATAGGTTGGAATTGGGCGACACAGCAGGCGGAAAGAAGGGAATGAGTGAGCTAGACTATCGATATTCAGAAAAAGTGCATAGAATCTTCTGCGACGTGATGAAGAAAGACGAAGCGGCGTTTCGCGCCTACAGGGACCACGAAGCAAGAAAGGACGAGATGAAGAGGGAGAAGGAAGAGGCGAGGAATAAAATCAAAAGAGAATATCGAGCCAACTTATGAAAGGGTTCCATGTAGTTGCTTGTAAGGGTTCCGTATCCGTTATGAAAGTAGTTGCTTGTAAGGGTTCCGTATCCGTTTAAGGGTTCGCGTTTTAGCTGGAACCTGCAGGTTCCACTTTGGTATCGATGTGCATCCATACGTTAGATGATGGTAACTTATTTTGGACGCCTAATATTTCAGCTAGTATTTTGCAATTTCAAGAACCCATGACAGACACAAGAAATAATCTCTCCTTTGTCTAAACCCCGTGAAAAAAATCGAAGAGACGATGCTTGCGGAGATGAAAGCGCCAGGAGCAGCGAGGGGGCCTAGGTGGCTTGTAGAGGTCTTCATGGAGGAGCCTGATAACTGGAATTACATGAAGAACATGAAGCCGTCGGATAAGAAAAAAGCCTTATGGCAGCTTTACCTTTACTGTAGATGAAAAAAGCCTTATGGCAGCTTTACCTTTATGTGGGCAGCTATACCTTTCCTGTGCTATGTAGATGTGTGGCATGATCCTTAGATAGAAGTTAGTAGTATCCCACGACCTGGGTCTCTAATTTTTATCGAGTCGATGGAAGTTTGCCAATCTTTAGACGACTTGCGTGACGACTGGATTTCTAGGAAGCACAGAGCAGACGACGAGCGACTCGAAGACGAAGAAAAGTTTGCCTTGTTGCAATGGTTTGATGCTTCTATGCGCAAACAAAAGCGATTAGACAAGTACAACATTCTGAAGTTCATAGCAGAAGCGGGTCATTTGAAACCCCATGCTCCAGATGACGATGATTTCAGGAGAGGCTTGCACTACATCGAAAACGACTTGCAGCAACGACTGATCTATCCAGGAGATCAGCCAGGAAATAGATGGATTCCGGGGGGACAGGAAGCAGGTGTTTAGGATCTTTTGCTTTTTGTTTTTTGGGCATTGATTGACTCATTCTGATGGATCCATCCTGAGGTCAAGCATCTTTTACTTTTTGTTTATTGGGCATTGATTGACTCATTCTGATGGATCCATCCTGAGGTCAAGCATCTTTTACTTTTTGTTTATTGGGCATTGATTGACTCATTCTGATGGATCCATCCTGAGGTCAAATTCCTGGTTTGCGGACCTGATCAACCATCATGTAGAGGTGAGCAGTGTAAAGTCATGATTTGCTCGTAGGTAAATCTTCTCTTTCTCCTCCCACCTCACCGCAGCCGAGTTGATATGGTTGAACGAACCGGGAGAAGGGTGGGATGAATGGGAGAAAAAGATCAAGGAAGAAGCGAAGAGTAAACCTGCAGGGAAATGCATGAGGTTATGACGTGAGGCCTAGTAGAAATAGTATTTCAATTTCTCTATGTGCAGTTGCATCAGAGGCGATATACTGCCTTCATCGTCTACAACATGTTCTCAATACCACCTTATCTTGTTACCATTCCTTTTTCTCAGCATCTGTCCCCTTTCATTCTCCTACGCAACCAAATGGCAGTACATTTGTTTCGACTACGCGGACAAACCCTGGTTTGCGGATGAGGCTTCCGACGAGGGCATTGCTTCGCAGGTTATTCCAGGTTATGCCCAAGTCGCCAACTTTTGGCGAAAACGGTATGCTGGTCGAGTGCCTAGGGAAATTCCAGAGGTTTAAGGCTACTCAGTTGTTACTATCATGAATGTGTGAGGTAACCTCTTTGAGAAGTGGCTTGGAGTGACTACTTTCAAAACTTGGATTTATTTTTAGGGAAAAGCAAAGCAAGGAAAGAAGGCACCTCACTCAACCACGGGAGATAGTGATTGGCTACCTGTAAGAGATAGAGAAAAAGGAGATCAAGAAATGGCTTTGGGTCGAACTACAGCCGTTCTATGAACGCAAGATGAAGCTGAGCTATTTCGCGGATCAGCATCCGGACTATTTAAGACCGAGGTCGCTGGCAGATTTGGTGTATCTGGATTTTCAATCGTCCTTGCTCGATATTAGGAACCCGCGCAGGTGGTTTCAGCAAGAAGAAGCGGCTCGAAGGAAAGAACTGGCTAGGATGGAACAGGCGAAGATTGATAGGAAAGTTCGAACTGAGCTAGCAGAAGTGGAGAAGGAAATGGCGAAGATGGAGGGCAAAGATGAAGTGGCACAGGCACACCTATGGCTTACGATAATTCATCTCCACAGAGGAGCTGCATTGCTACTTTTCTTCTTGAAATCTGAAACTATGATCATAACGTCAGAATAGGAATCACTTTGAGCTCTAACACATCTGCGAAGAAAGAAGGCGCAATTGCAGAAACAGGTGAAAGACTTCGCGTTTTCGCAGATGGGGAAAGAGAAGGGTGCTGATATTGAAGATGAGCTGACACCGGAGGAGAAAGATTTATTGTTATGAAGAGATGCGTCTCCGGTTCTAATCAGGAGCTACTGTTCCTCTTCAAAAAATTGTTATCATTTGTGTAGGAGACATGCAGAAAAGATTTATCGGAAGGCAAAAAATTGTTGAGAGAGCGCAATCCACTACTGCAATCAGTGTTTCAAACTGACCTCTCGTTCTATGTCCTCATGGTCTTCACACCCATGATACACTACCACTTCTCTAACCGGCGACTACGCCCTGATGAAGTTGGAAGATACCTATCCAGAAGGCGAGGAACCATGGTGGGAAGGCTGCGATATGCCTCAGAAGGGAGAAACCAAAGTAATGTTTGACGAACACGCCTTTTGGCAGGAGATCAGACGCGATCGTGTCAAAGAAATGCCCCATCTGCCACAGCGGGGTTACTTCACAAGTCCGGTTTTCACCGAGTATCCGGATGTCTTCGTGGTTATGATGAGACTCCTTCAAGAAAACAGATTTTTGCTGCGGTAGCGCTTTGCTTTTTTAGCTGTTTGGGATGTAGAACGCTATGGTTATCGTCACAGTCAATATAACTACGAAGTAGAGCTGCACGTGTACTGCATCAGAATCAATGTCTTCATCTTCTAACCCGAGTTACAAGCGCTACAACATCGAGAAGCCGGATGGCGCGCGAACCAACGTCGAGGTGCAGGTGCAATTACAACACGTCTATCCGATTATGAAGTACGTGCCTCGTTTTAAGGTGAACATCCCAGAAGATAAGTTGGAATTTCCGACAAGGGAGAGTTGGAGTATCGTGGTTGGCAGCATCTCTGAAGGCCAAGAGTTCGATTACGTTGTGGACCGTTTCTCGACTCTGGTCTCAATTGCTGTCCTGGCTGCGAAAGTGTCGGGTTTCTATGCAGCAACGGTCTTTTTCACCATGAAGTTGTTGGTGTTGTTCAATCAAGCTAGGTCGGATTACAAAACAGTACCACCTCGAAGGGAGTTGCAAGACGACCCGGCTACAGGGGACAAGGTGGAAGTAGAGTTTGCACGGAAGCTCTACGATCCGGTAGTGATATCGAAATACGTCAATTTATGATGAGATGCGCGTCAGATTCCTTTCTTTTTGGGAAGTTTGTAGAGATCTTCGTTTTTTCCCGATTATTCTACTTACCGTGGCATCTATTTTGAGGCTCAGGACGAACCATGTAGTTCTGGGGATACCACGCACAGAGAGCATTGCAAATGCACAATTTCAAGTACTATTCATCACTACTTCTTCTAATACCCGGCGACGTGTTCATTTGGTTCATGCAGAGTTTCACGCTTGGACTGCTCTGCTTCGGCTTGACGCAGTTGATTCCGCCACCACTGACTGCGCTTTTTTGCATTATCGTCTGTTCCAGTACGATGATCACGATGAATGCGCGAACCTTCAAAGACGAGTTCCGCAAAGCTGTGGCAGAAGCAGAGGACAAATTGAACGAACTGAAAGGGAAAATCGAAGGTTACCGTTACTGGGTTCGTGAAACCTTAGCCTCTCTAGTAATACCTTTCTCCGGAGGCCAGTACATGTTTCCGAAATTGAGGAGTTCTTTGACGCAGAATGCAGTCCTTTCAGCGATGCAAATCGATATTGTGGTGCAAGAGATGGGCGTCAAATTCATTGGAGAACCCGAGATCGATCCGAAATTACCACCAGAAGAACAGAGAATGGCGGGATTGAAAAGTATGGCAGAGAGTCTGATTCAGAACGGGTATTTTGGTAGATCTGATTCAGAACGGGTATTTATTAGTAGATCTGATTCACAACATTGCGGTAGATCATCATAGCGGGTTCTTGTTGTATGTCTGGACGTACTCCGAAAATCCAACATCAGGCTTGTGTTCACTATTATATGTTCCACTGCCTTTTTCATTTCCCAAAACCTCCGGTTCTACACTTCGCCGCAAAGACACAAAGCCAAAGTCACATCTGTCCGTGCCACAGACCGGTACGAAGACGACGTGAAAAGCGGCATGACAGTCGGATTTTCCATCGACCAGTTGACCTTGCGAAGGAAAGTGCCAACGATTTGTGCCACTATTCAGGTGATCAACCACTACGGCACCGACTACTGCGATCCGCGCTACGACTCGTATTTGACGCTGTTTAAGCCCATCAATTGGGAAGAGGAGGACGACGATGACCCAGTCAAGATGGAAGAACTGTTGGCAGTGTGGCATAAACAGGTGTATGGATTTTTCGTCACGGAGCTGGGAGGATTGGTATATTGATCGATTTTTGGCCGGTACGAATTTATTCAGTTCGGTTCTTTGATCGATTTTTGGACGGTATAAATTTAGAAGCTGTTCTAAGGAATGCAAGGTCATAGCTCGTGATAGTATGCATGATCTGTATCCATCAAATCGAATATCCTTCATGTGGTCTCTCTCGACAATCCTCTTCCAGCTAACCGAGCGAACTGGTACCTATGAGATCGTGCAGCAGATCGATCAGATGCTTGCCAAGGAGTTCGCTGGTGGTACTAGTACCAAAACGATTGTTGTCCGCTTAGTATCCGTAGAACATGTGAAGACCGACTTGATGGAAGCCGGTAACCAAGATTTCTACGCTATAGTTCTCCACGAAAGTGAAGATCCAGCTTGTTCGTTCCCTGACGAAAGGATGACGACTGTTGTGGAAGGGGAGTACGAGGATGAAGATTTGAAGTTGTATGAGGGTGCGACGTGGAATCAAGAGATCATGTTGGAGATTGCACCTGGGGAAACGTCTATCCAAGTTTCAGTGTGGGACGCGGATGCTGGTGGTTTGGATGATATTATCGGTTTCACGCAGAGCTTGAACATCGAAGCTGTCACATCGGCGTGGAGTAAGCCGATTCAAGTGCCGCTTTAAGGATCGTCTTCTTTCACTAGTGAAACTCCTATCATGCATCTTAACGGGAACAAGGCGGTAGCTCTCAGACTCAGTGTAACCCTAACACTCTTAGGTGGTCCTGAGTAACCCCACTCTTAATAGGTCCTCTTGAATGCTTCTAACCACAGTGTGCGAGAAGAACACGTACAGACGGCAAGGTAGATTTCATACCCATCATAGGTGCTTTCAACAACCACAAGTTCGATGAGGCAGAACACACAGAAGATGAACGAAGAACAACAACGTTGTGCTACCAAATCCGTTCTTTCACAAAGGCAGAACAAGCAAAGAAAGCAAAAAGATTAAGGCTGTTTTCTAATCCATCTCGTGAAGCATGCTGGGAAGGCTTTCAAGGGGAAAAAAGTCTCTTCAGGATGATCTTCAGGATGGACTATTATGGTGAGCGCTAAAAAGAGTCAGGTATGTGAAGAACATGCTGAAGAAAGGCCAGTCGGCTTGTGGGTACGAGTCTCTAGTGATGCTCGCACCGAAGACGTTGAATCAAATCGCTACTGTAGTGGGAGAAACGCCTCGACCGGTTTTGGACGTCGATCCAGAGGAGTTGAATAGCTCCGATGACGATGATGAGGACGACAAGCACGCCAGCGATACGAAAATCAAAGATCCAGTGTTGTCGCAGGAATACGAAGCACTCAGGCTCAGCAAGGGGGTGATGACCTATGACACAAAGACTTACCAAGTAGCTGTTGTTTGAATCTTAGAAGCGGAAGTCGAATGTCTTCTAACCCTGCTGAGTTTTATAATAAATCCACCGTAATTAACAGACCACAACCTAACCTAACCAACCTCCTCTAGAGTTCCTCTAACTTCTCTTCGCCGAAGTCGCAAAGATCAAGAGTTTTGAAGTGCGTGTTGAGGAGAAGAAGCGCACAGTCAAGTTCTACAAGCACGTGGTTGCCGACGAGAAGGAGAAGAAGCGGTTAGAGACAATCAAGGCCAAAGAAAGGCCAGTGGCAGTGACACAGCGAAAAGTCGGAGATCAAGTCGTCTCCGTAGAAGAGTACAAGAAAAAACATCAAGAGGAGAAAAAAGAGTTATGAGAAGGAAGGGAGTTTTTTCAGGTTGGTCATCTGGTTTAGGCAAGTCGTAAGTACACCTCCATCATCTACTAGTAGAATAGGTGCTCTAGCACTGGTGCTCTAGTACTACACTCTATTCTCTCTCCACATCTTTTCTCTGTTCTCTCTCCCTTCTAACACAGGCCCTCGGTGAAGTCAAGCGCTCCGCAGACTACGAGCAGCAAAGGCAGGTCGTTTTAGAGGCTTTTGAGGCTCAGAATGCGGAGAAAGGCGAAGACAAGCTGCGAAAATTGGGCAGAATAGAAAACCACGGAGATTTCTGCGCACAGTTGGAGGATAAGCTGGAACTCTTCAGCAAAAAACTCTACGCCGAGTCAAAAAAAGTGGTCCACTATGTCGCCATGTCCGAACAGCTGAAGCCGAACAAGATTTGGAAACCAGATGCCATTCCAAATCACGTCGCGGAGGTGATTATCAAGGAGTACACCGAAATCGAGGGCATCGAGATTCAAGATCCGACTGGAGGTTTGATCTACCCCGAAATGGCGGGAAGGTATTTGAAAGCGGGTAGGTTGAACGAAAAACTCTATTAAGGGTAGTTTATAAAGGCTTTCACGTTGCCGCTTGTTTTGCCGCTCTTAAGGGAGAGAGGCAAAAAAAACGGGGTAGCCTAAAGAAACACCAATAAACCACCTCTTTTAACTCTACTTCGCACACGACGAAGACGATTTGTTCCTTTACTGGGATGGTCGCGATAGATGGATCTTGTCTCCAGAACTGGGTGCGAGCATCCACGAAGCCAAGTTCATCGGTGGTCCATGGGCTTTTTCGACGGATGCGGTGGCTACGCCGGACATGATCGATGAGCCTTTCTCCGTGACGGAACCGGGCAGTGACGGATTTGGATGGTTGATAGATCCTCGCTTGACAGTCCTGGATACGACTACAGCAGAGCAACAGAGGCAGGCTGGAACCATGCAAAAGATCGTTCTGAGCAGTAAATTGGCGATGCAGAGGCAGTCTTTCGACAACGAGTATTTGCAGCAAGCGCAGGATTTGTATTTGAAGGCAGTGACGTTCATCTTTCCGGATAAGCAAAAAGCCTCACGGACGTTCCGAAAAGACGTTTTGATCTCCTTAATGTCCAACTTCGTCCAACTGCGATGGAAGGACCAAAACATCGAAGATTTAGCTTCTTTTCGGAAGTTTTTGTTGCATATCTTCGAGTCCTACAATGGGATCTGGACGTTCTTGACAAGGGATGTGAAATTCTCAATGGCAGATATTAAGAACGGGATAGAGGCGCTGGTAAAAGAACACCAGATATTTCCGGATCAAGAAGACCATGAGGAAACAGCGAAGAAGATATCCGATGCATGGGGTAGCGAAAGGAACCTGACAGGAGTGGGGATCTCTGTTATGATGGGACGGTAATGACATGATTTACTACCACTGAGTAGGCAGGTGTCTCGCTGTAGCAGTGGCACAAGAATTGGGAGCATGCGACTTTGTTTTGTACTGAAAGAATTTACTGCCACAATCACATCGATCCCACGACACATTCCTGTTCTTTCCACTTACGCGCTCTCTTTCTAAGTTGCACGTCCACTACCTGATCGACCACAAGCCTCGCAACCCAATGTTAGCGAAGCTACGAGAGTGGGCGTTGGACCATGAGGATTTCAACGAGATCCACGAACTCTGGTCAGGACTAACCCGAAATTGCGAGGTCGAAATGGATCAGTTCATCGATGGTTTCAAGATCATCATTCCAGATTTCGATCCAGGCTTGGCGGGGAAGAACGAGGAAATAGTGTCGTTCATCCGCAAGCTATTCCGGATGTTTGATGCCCAGGAGTCCGGCGGCATTTCGAGGGCAGAGATTGCACCAGCAACGGGCGAGAGGATGGAGGACAATGACAACGCGATTTTGGAGTACAAGGTCCCTCTGACGTATTTCACAACTGTAACATTGCTGAAATCGGTAAACAAGATCAGTTTCCGATTGGGTCCGCGCTTCGTGGACAAGAAAGAGTGGCGAGCACTGCGTTTAGCTCTAGACCCAGACTGGAAGTGCATGGATATCTACGAAGAAAGGCTAGAAGTGACCTGTCGAGAGGAATATTTCGAGTTGTGGAACGCTGTAGTGGAGGATGCAGATATGGAGAAGAAGCAATCATTTATTCGTCATTACGATGGCGCAGTCGTGGATCACAACTTTGTGGGGGGAATCATGATGCGACAGGGTCTGGGCGAACAAAAGTGGGGAGATGGACGCTTTTATAAGGGTACGATCTTGATGGATGGTGACAAAATTCCTTTCAATCCTGTGATTTCCGTCTGTCGTCATGTGTTCTTGCATAAAAAGCGGGGTAAGCGAGCACCAAAAGCCTACCTCTAAACTAAGTTGTTTAGGATGACCAGCGAGATGTTGGGAATACGAATACAGTTCTTGAAAGTAGTCGTCGAGCAGAAGCAACCATAACCACCTTTCACAGGTAATTTCGAAGCCCACATGCCCCACGGTGATGGCGACCTTTGGGTCAACCAAGAAGAGGCTGAAGACGAGGAGAAAGTTCCCATTTATCGTGGTGGCTGGTCGAACGGGAAGAAGCAGGGTAGCGGAAAGTACTTCTTCGAACAAGAGACCACAGATCCAGGCAAACGACGGTCTGTCATGGCTCTGTTGGCGACTACGCAGACCAAGAAGGGCATCAAAAAGGTGTACGAAGGCGGCTTTCGAGATGACCTCTTCCATGGACAGGGTAAGCTATATGTGGAAAACTCAGTGATCGCGAAAGTTCCGAACCTGGACAAAAGTGCAAAGGACAAGTCAGGCAAGAAATACCTGCCGTTGCCGCAGATCGACCCAGCCCAGATGCTCTCGTTTGTTATGCTAGGGAGATCACCACTGTTGAGTGGTAGAAGTGTCTATCTTAGCTGAACAAGAGATCTTCCCCGCCTGTGCACCAAGGTATTTCCCGTTACAACCTCTAACACCCAAGGAGAGTTCCGTTCCGACTGGCAAGAAACGCGCAAATACCTGAACGCAGAGTTCGGTCTAGAGTGGCCTGAGTCGAAGCATTACGATATTGACAAAATCCCAGATATGGAGGATGAAAATGGCAAGAAGCTGTTCAAGTTTTGGCGGTTTTTGCCAGTGGACAACCGCAACTTGCAGTTAGCCGGTGCGGCGCCGTATGAATTTGGTTTGGATGTTATGACAGAGGGAAACTATTATTCAGATTTTTGTAGTCTAAGTGAATGTTATGAGGTTGTACAACATCGCGGCATCGCTTAGAATGAGTACTGATTTAGCTGTTCTTGTGCTCTCCAAGTCCATTGAAGTAAATACTATGGCTCTTCACGGTCGTGTCCTATTAGACTGTGATTTTCTTTCTTCATATCCGTGTACTCGATGAAAGCCGGGGAAAAACTGCACATGTACAAGGGAACGGCGTTGTATGCGGATAATACGATCTACTCCGGGGAGATGAAAATGGGCAAGTTTCATGGCTTTGGAAAATTGACACAACGAAAAGAGGACGAACAATATCCTGGAGAGTTCGAGATGTTGTACGAGTATGAGGGCAACTGGAAAGAGGGCTTGCGACACGGCTACGGCAGTGCCAATGACAACACAACGAAAATCACCTACGTTGGGCAGTATACCACGGACTTGAAAGATGGGAGGGGGAAGCAAGTGATGCCGCCAGAGTACTTTTTTTCTGTTGTCAGGGAATGATTCTTTTTTAGTTTCTCCTCCAATCATTTGTTCACAAACAAATAGCATATGATATCAAGATCAAGTACAACCTACAGCATACCTGAAACGATCGTATGATCTCTATCCCAACAGCCGTTGGGAAAGCGCCGGTTATAAGTTTTATGATGGCGACTGGGTGATGGACCGGCGCGAAGGGTATGGCGCTATGATGATGCCAACCGACATCCTCTATCGCGGTGGCTACATCGACAATTTGCGTTATGGCTTCTACAAATTCATCTAAAAAAGCATCTTTGACACGTTTCCAAGGCGGGGAAAATGATCAAAGATGCGCTTCAAGATTGATGTATTAGGGAAGGTCTAACTTCGAGAAGGCCACGGCGCCCTCTACTTAGCGGAAGAACTAGGCCAGCAGGGGCCAGGGAAGGAGATCTCTGTATCTTACGAGTCATATGAGGAAGCCATCAATGACGTACAATTCGTAGGTGGAGAGCTCGGCGACGTAATCGTGGATGGGGTATTCACGCCAGGCAAAGGAATGGATAGAGGCGAGGTGGAAATAAGTGCAGATGGCGGTGGCACAGGGAAAGCAGGAAAAGCGGCGAAGAAGGCCAAGAAGAAGAAATTATGATAACTCATTCGCTTAGACTTGTAGATTGCTTAATTTGTTGTTGCTAAATTGTTCTGGAACCTATGATAGTTGATCCCCATTCTATGGTATGGCTACGTTCCTCCCTTTAACACCCGGCGAAGAGGAAGCCGAAAAAGCCGCTGCTGGCGCTGCTGTTGACGGTGGTGCAACTGCAAACCGACCAGCAAAAGCCCATGCGGCTGGCGTGCAAGTTGGTTGGCAATTGAGAGGCATAAACCAGGATAAGCGTGATTATCTAGACCTACCTGGAGACGAACTCTTAAGGAGATACGCTGACGAGAAGGACAAGCGAACGCAGGACCAGGTGTTGCAGCATAAAGTCAAGCTGATATTCAGCGAGCCAGACAAACCGATGTACAAGGGTGGTTTCAAAGGAGACAAGTTTCATTCGACAGCTGAAGACAGGTGTTGGTTTTTGTGCAGTGACAATGCGCTGTTCTACGGGATGATCTTGTCAGACGGAACTCGAGAAGGCGACGGCGTTTTATACAAGGCAGACCTTCATTAAGGCTTTCGATAATCCATCTTAAGTAGAGGTGTCCGGTATAATCCTACCTGGGAAGGGTTCTCAATTGGAAGATCCACCTAGAAGGGTGTATGAGTATCTCAAGATCATGGAAGATTTCTAGTGCGAGCGCTAACTTCGGAAACGTAATGTCTCTCTTCGCAAAGCCTGGTTTACGGGTGTGCCCTACAAGTGTAACCTGCCTGAAGACAGGAAACATGAGGAAATAAGCTACACAGGAAACTGGGTGAACGATGTGCAAAAAGGAGAAGGCACGTCGTATCACGACACAGGAGTATATACTGGCCAATTTAAGGATGGAAAAAGGCACGGTCGCGGTCGTTGGGAGACACACGGTGGGAGGTGGAAATACTATGCAGGGGTAAAAATACTTCTATATTCGATTCCTTTCTCATTTCGTGGCTACTGTTAGTCTTCGACATCCTTGTCCGAGAAAGTCCCGTCTGACCTATCTTTACCAAAAACTCCAACAATGCTGCAGCAGCTACGGAGACTTGACGGAAGTCCTCTCTACATTCTTACTTCATAGAAATACTGACTTGAAAAAGTCCTAGGTAAATCTCATCATTATTTAATTCAAGATCTCTTTCCTCACCTGCTCAGACCGACCCAACCCACACGAATTTCGACGTCGACAAAATGCATGGCATCGCAACTGTGGAGGATGACCGCTACATCCACGAGAACGTCATTTTTGTGAACGACAAGTGCATGATGCCCTTCACGGTGAAAGGACCGCCAATATCAGGCTTCGACAACCACCCACTCTTTGGAACCATCATGAAAGCAAGAGCAGGCATGAGAGCGAATGCGCCTGTGGTATTGTTTTGCCCTTGAAGATTTGGATGTCTGTTTTCTGTGGCTTGTTACTGACTTTCTTACTCAGGATGTCTTTTATTTGTGACTTGTTAGTAAGTTAGCACTCCCTGATGTTCAATTGAAATGTTCTTGTACTCATTGTGCATTCCTGTTATGCTTCTGCAGGCTTATTTTGCCCTTAATGCGCAAGCGCATGCTTATAGAGAAACTTTCCGCGCGCATGATCCCGTGATAGGTCCAACCCGACGAAACAAAGACCGGAGAGCAGGAACAGGTGAAGAATACCGGAAAATACGGCTTAGACAAAGACGAGACAACGCACGCATTTACACAGCCAGATGAAGCAGCTGTCATTCGAGAGGACACAGATTTGAGTCTGCCGGAGGACGATCTCTATATAGTTGGAGGTACTTCTGATGAAGTTTATGGAAGATTTGAGGACGATCTCTATTTAGTTGGAGGTACTTAGGATGAAGTTTATGGAAGATTTGAGGACGATCTCTATATAGTTGGAGGTACTTCTGATGAAGTTTATGGAAGATTTTCGTTTTGTTGATGGAAGATTGTCGTTTTGTAGCTCTACTTTTCTGCAGTGATTCCTTGTTGTTGGAAGTTCGCCTCACTGCTCTCCACCCACATCAACAAGGTTCCGGCGAAAACGAGTTGATGAACGGTGTTTATTGGCGTTTGTCGGATACACACGGAATACCAGTATTCAAGCACTATCGCGCAAAAATCGGCCATATGTCATCGACTATTTGCGAACGCTATTTGTTCATGAACGAAGCAAAAAACAAGTGGTTTATTGGTACTATTGTTGTGAACTTGTTTTCTATTGATCAAAAAGTTGTTACAGCTGAGCTTCTTCAGAGGACATGAGTCTTCCCTCACCACACGAAGGAGCTTTCCATCGATCCATCCATCCATCCATCAACCCCTCTCTTTCTGCTTCTTCCGCACAGCCGAAAATCCATCTGTCCAAGTATTACCGAAACCGGCACAGCCGATGACTGCGATGGCAGTGGACTCTGCTGCCGACCCCAGGGATATTGTCGCATCGTGGCAGATCTACGACCCAGCCACAAAAGCCTACAAAAACTTCCAAAAGCTAACTCCTCAAGAAGAGAAGAAGGGAATGCTTCCGGTGGATCGATTACTTATGACTTGTGTATAATAGATCCATGTTGCTTCTCTTCAGAGGCAGAGGCATTGTGACCGAAATTTGTAATTTTAGGGAAAAACTCTACTTGGACTTTGCTCTAGTAGAATGCTAGGACTCGTCCTTATTATACATAGTTGGGATGCAATAGCCTTGGCCAAGTTCTAACCTCTGCATCGTCGAGACCAGCGGCGTCGAGATTTCAGCATGCCAGAGTCCGATGGTCCTGGATGGGTGCTTTTTGCGACAACCGCAAGAGCTGTTCGGAAGACCTGTGTTCGAGATGGAGAATGGTGGACAGTTTCTCTATTGGGTGTCACCGAATGGGAAACCAGTATCCGACAACATCGTCGAAGGAGGTCTTGCTATGCAGGGCCACAAGCTGCACGAAGACTACGGTTTCTGTTAAGGCTTCCCCTAATCATGATCCACCATCTTCTACTCTAAAGTCTATAATCTTGGTCCAAGATGAAAAGATCTTGGTCCAAGATCCATCTCAAGATGGACAAGAATGAGGTCTTCTAATTCTGGTGTATCTCCGATAACCTGGGGTCATTGCCGAAAGACGCGGTTGATGGAAACAACTGGGCCTACATCGAATCCAGTGCTGCGACGCCTGACCAGATTGAAGGTACTCAAATTCATGCAATTCATTCATGGACTGAAGAAGAAGAAAGTACTTGGCGGGAAGGTGTTCATTTGATGCGGATCTTGAAAGTAGATCTGCTGATGAAAGTAGTGGCAATGGTCAGAATAGATCTGTCTTTACAAGCCTCTACAACATCTGTCTTTACAGGCCTCTACAATAGTATCTCTTACAAGCCTCTAGATTGTTCACATCTGTCTTTACAAGCCTCTACAATCAATCTCTCACTCAGGAACATGGCATACGTGGCAAGATAGTAAGGAATATCGGCAGGATGGCTTCTTGAAGGTCCTAGTTATGAAAGACTTTTTAAAGGAAGGCATGGACGAGGCGCCTCCCGTCAATGAGGAGATGGCCTTGGCTCTGTTGCAGAGTCGCGAGAACACGGCGATGAGCGGATATTAAGCTGTAGCTGCTGTGTGGAGCAGGTTCTACATTGTTGCATAGTACTGACACTGCTAGATGAGATTGATAATCGATCTAGATCCATCAAACATTATGTTGTTCTGCCAACTAGGTGGTGACATGTTGTGTTTGTAACGACAAATGTCACGATTGACTTGCTTGAGTACTAAGAAACCAATGATATTGTCGAAGATGAGTACTTTTATTTTTGCTTGTAACTATTCCTTTGATAATTCTGACCGCAATACAAATTAACTTCTTCATTCAAACTCACTGAAATCAGATTCATTGATATCTTCGATTGACACACACTGCTCGTATTCATTGTAAATTGCTGCGTACTTCTCACTACTCCTTGTGCTTTTATTTTGGTAAGCAAGAAACAGTAAGAACTGGGTTGGTTGGGTGATATGACTACTACGTTGAGATGACTACTAGTAACTATGTGGAATATCAATATTTTCCTAAGAGAACTATGGGCATAATTCTGTATACCCTAGTACCTTCTGTTATTCAAATGGTTCCTGGTGAAGATGAAAAACTTAGATGTTCCACTTATTAGACATACAAAAATCGATTCAAAGACACTTGCAAAGGTGAAAGAGATAAACTCAAATATGTGCGAAATTGAATAGACTGCGTAGAAAGAAACATATTTTGGTATGGTACTTATCTATCATCGATACTGTAATCTGGTCATTCCTTGTATGTTCAAATAGAAGGAGGATGATTGAAAACAGAAACAAGACTGAAACGAACAAGAAATATAGCTCATTCGTCGATTGCTCTAGACAGATAATAGTTTGAATCTTCGTATTTCCATTTTCTTGGAATCATGCTGGCTGGGATGCAGTAATGGTTAAAAACCCTTCCAAAGACGCATGGCAGAGCGGGGCGAGGGAAGAGCGCGACAAAAGAAGTAAGAGCATTAGACTTCTGGCAGAGCGCAGAAAGAGAGAGAGGTAGAAACGTCAGAGAAACGACTAAAAGGGACACTAGACCATAGCAAAAAGCCACTGTCAAACTAGAAATATTGCAGTGATCATCACGCAGGCGCGTACATTTATCGTCAGGTACAATCCACACATTTACCAATGTCCACCACAAACTGCTAACATTACACACTTATTTCGTACACACTAGTTACATTGGTCGTAGATTATACCGCAGCTCTCGTCAGCTTATCCAAAGTAATCACCGACAATGTCTGAGGAAAAAGATGAGACGGAGGAGGTCGGCTGGTCGTCCGATGAGGTCGACCGAATTCTGCTGGAAACATGCGACCAAGTCTTGTTGGTAAGATTTAGCACGTAGTATGATTGTTCCAGAGCAGTACAAGCTAGAATAAGATGAAGATTCTTTTGCACAACCTTCTAGCGACAAAGAACGAACCCATATCTGCTTATGGAAATGAGTCTCTGTACTTCAATCTTCAATTTTTACTCTTCAGTTACATTATTTCACTTGCACTTTCCCATCCCACACGGCAGCCTATCTTCACCTACTCTTCGTTTTCAGTTACACCACTTCCTTTCCTCTCCCACCTCTCCCAGAACGAAGTCTACAGTGATGCAATGGTACCTTCATGGGTGAACCTGATTTGCGAGACGGCGATGTTCAGACTGAACGAAACTAGAAAACCGTTTAAGTGGATAGTTTCCTGTCTTATCATGCAGAAAAACGGTGCTGGGGTACACGCAAGTACTGCAGCCTTTTGGGACGTGACGAATGACGGGTTGCTAACAACGGTGTGGCCAAGAGATAAGGGGAAAGATCAGGGTAATAAAACAATTCAAGCAGTAGTGTCAGTTATTGGGACTGAGTTTTGACGTCGAAGATTATTTTTGGGGTTCTTTTATGACTTCGAATTAGAAGATTAGGGCGTCATCCTGTGGTAGAAGAACGTATATTTCTCATGTAGCGCGTTAACGTTTACGTTTAGCTGTATTGATTCCTGGGTGGATGTAATCTATCATTCGTGGTGGTGGTCATTGTGGATGTTTCACAAGCGAAAAGTGTTTTTTGATCCACCAATTTTAGATTACAACATGATAAGACAACTACGTACAACTCATACTTTCACAGATTGAATTCTGATAAGAAGCGCAAAAATTGAGCAAATTCTATTCGCCTAGCTGATTTCTCCCTTTACCCTTCGCATAAAGAACACCCTAAGCCCTACTGAGAAAACAAAGCTTTTCCATCAAGCTGTTGTAGCACTGCACCGTTTCTGATCGATCCCTTCTCTCAGCTACCAAGCTGTATCCATGGCACACGCCTCGAGAAGGAAGTGCTACCTGCCTTTGCAAGAGGATTAGCAACAGGGGAGTGATGTCTGTGTCTGTCTTCAGAATCGCAATTCGAATTTTTTGACTGCGTGGTCTGTCACGGTATATTATGAAACAGCGTGGCTGTAGTTGTAGAGAATTTGTCGCTGTTGATCATCTGCCTCGGAAGGATTATAAGTTTTCATAACACACTCATCAATTGAGAAATTATGGCAATCAAACTGAGCAACAAAATGTCGACGTCTACCGTGCAACTTAGCTTGCGTTACGAGGCTACCCGTTCCGTGTTACTGCGCAGGGGACTCATCTTTCGAAAGCAGGCTCTTGCCAGCGGACTCTCTCATGCATTAAGGGTTTCCACCATATTGCATTCCCCAGTACTGGACCACCCCTGGCGAGGAGGATGAGCGATTCGGAGACTTATTCGCGGAAAAAAATGACGTGTCCGGAGCCTTTCTGGTGACGTGTCCGGAGGCTCTGCCCGTGCTGCAGCCGCATGGCTTCGCGATGGTGAGCCTCTGCCTTGCTTTTGGGGAGAAAAAGTCGCAAAAAAAGCTGGCCGCAAGTGCTTGGGAGAGGATGCGAGCAACATCGCCAAAGCATGCTGGAGTGAAGCTCTGCAAGCCAGAAAAGATCGTAGAGAAGCTGGCGCGCTGGGGGTCGGAGCGTGGGCCAGACTTCGGTGCGACATATGACGCATTCGTCACGCGCGCACGAAAACTCGGCAACATGTCGTAGACTTGGAGGCCTACACGCTTTTAGAGGCTTTACAGGTGACGAAAAGCCCCGAGGCTTATGCCAGCGCTATAGACAACCACGCCAAAGAAATGGCTCCTGACTCTGAAGGGCCAACGGAGTACAAAAAGAGGCACGCAAATGCGCAGAAGCTTGGTCATTGTCCTGAGGTAGAAGCATGGCTGCGACCATCGGCCTCGCCTCCGCTGTTTGAAGTACTGCGTTCTGCGTTCGAGTACTGCGATCTGCGGGACGCGCTCACCAAGGCGCTACATCCTGTGTTCGATAGCCTCTTTCTCCTTCGCTATGTGGTGCAGAAATGAAACCGCGAGGAGAGACGTGAGGCAAACCCCGGAAGGCCTCGATGGGCTTTCTATGGTTATGGCTGAAAAGATCCCATCTCCACGTGAATCGTCCCATTAAAGTAGTACTGCGCTGGCAGTGACTGGAAGAGTCTCGGTGTGTACTTCCGAGGAAAGTAGTACTGGGGCGAGTATTTTCACGGGATCTATTCGCGGGATGGGTTCAGGGTAGCTCTTATATGGGCAATGACGGCCTTGGCTGAGCAGCTGGACCTCTGTGGCGCTTTCTTGTTTTGTGCGACCCCCCTGAGAAGTTTGTTTTTAGTATCCCTGGTACGTCTTCATTCTCCATTGATTTCAGGATTTTCTACAATAACCGTACGCGTATCTCTAGAATTTACAAAACCAAAATGTTTCATATCCGTTGGCGCCAGGTCATATCCGATGCGATGTTCCTTCGCAAAGAACTTACCAAAGCGGTAGAAGTCAGTCGCCCTTCTATTGATTCTGTGTGAAGCGATTTTGTTAATGTAGATCTGAATCTCTTTTGCAACTGCTGATATATGCAGAAACTCTAGTTGCCAAAAATCAGACTTCTCGCTTGTCGCTGAGTCAGCAAGAAAGTGTTACGTGCTTTTACAGGAAAGGATTGACTCTAGCAATCGTTCTGAGAGAGTCTCGTCATTGTCGACGCCTTTTCATGGGGGAACGCACACAATAGATGGCAAAAGAGGATCAAAAAAGCAACGTTCTCGCAAACCCTGTTCCTGCAGATCCGCAAGCACGAACTCTCCTCACTCCTACCACACAGCTCACTGCAGATCCGCAAGCACAAACTCTCCCCACTCCTACCACAATAGTAGACCCTTGCCCTGCATCTTCTAGCAGATCTATGTACTTATTGAACAAGACGTAGATGGTGAACTGCGATTCCTTCATTGGTATGCTTTATTTGAAGCTGGGTATAAACGTGAATACCGAAGATGAAACTGGGTCTAGGATCCGTGGTCTAGCTTTTTAGAACATGATCAGCTCTTATCAGTCTTTTCCATCATCCACCAGCATGTTCGTACGTTTGATCATCATTTTCCATTGACTGATTTGTGCCTATCCTGTGTTAGGATGGCGCTCTGTAAAAAAATCAAGATGAAGTTTGACTTCGATTAAAAGAACGGTAATAGGAACTAAATGTATAAGCAAAGGGTAAGAAATGGTCATAATTGCGAATATGATCAGATGTGATACAAGAACACACTCTGGTCTACATGTTGTAGTAACTCTCTGTTTCATTAGCGGTAATCGTTCTGAAAAAATACTTCATGTTCATGCATATGCAGGTGCTAAACTACCCTTGCAAGAAGTTTGCGATCTGTACGACTATGTACTTAAGTAGAAGGTTCTATTGCGGTGTTTTTGATCTGAATGTGTATTAGAGAGAAAATGTAGTCGTCTCCTTCTCCAACGCATTCGGTGCCCCGTGGCTGAAGGTGCCGACTAACTTCTAAACTCAAAACAACTGCAGCTCTGGTTACTTATCTGCAGAAACAGAGCTTCGGCTTTGTTTCGCGATCATGGACGAGAGAAGTAGTGAAGGGGTATCGCGCTACCCGGCATTGGAGGTGGAGCTTACTGGCAGCGCTTTCGCAACCGGAAGTGCGGGAGCGAACTGCAAAGCCTTGGTGGTGGATCACAGGGGACCCGTTCTCTTTCATTTAAGAAGAGAAGTCTCGCTCTTTCTTATTTGATTTGATGATGAGCCTAAAAACAATGCAGAAATGTTAGAAGATGTTCAAGATGATGTGTGACTGCATGATATCTAATGCAAGCAGTACCCGGAGCAGAAGGACCTGAGTTCCGTCGATTTCCGTTTGCCTTGCGTGTGCGAAAGTCTAAGGACAGGAAACCTCGTGAAGAACTAAATGCAGAATACTCGCATCTGATAATTGACGGCTTCACTCTTCAAAGGGAATGGCTGAATTGGCCTGCAGCTGAGTGGGAATTGTGGGATTTGCAGCTTGGCGCTGTGCTGTCCAGGACATATGGCGACTACAGACTCCACGACTTGTTGGGGAATGCCAAAGGGATTTGGCAAGGTGGCGACTCGCGTACAATCCGCCTAAGGATGTGTGAATTAGATAAATCCATTAAAGGATTCGGCCAAGTCACAGGGCCGCCCCTAGGAAGAGCAGAAATACTGGTGGGCAAGATTAAAGGTACTTTCTTAGAAACTTCGATTGGTTTGTGTGGAAGTTCCAGGTAGGTACACTCGACGAAACAGTTTGTCAGAGGCTAGAATGATACTCTTCAAAATCGAAGTAGGTCTTTTGATAAGACTATCAATTTGACGGCGTCCTCACCTAAAAAAATGATTCAGATCTGCTGTGGTCACAACCAGAAGAAGAAGAAGTTGGAAAGAACTTCGTCGGAATCAGGACTATTACGCAGGAGCTAAAGTCTAACTTTAGTGGAGGTCGCGACTTGAGTCCGTTGGAGATCGAGAATTTACTACGAAACGAGGGTAAAGGTGTCTTTGACATCCAGCACAAGGAGGATGGAACGACAATCAAGGGGCTGCGCATGCGTGATACGAGTGTTCGCAGAGTCAACGGGATGGTGTCTTCCCCTTCCTTTGCATCGGCACCTTGTGGCGGGACATCTCTTCAGAAAGTAGCAGACAATAGGTTTCTTAATGATCTTCAGGACAAGAAGAGGCCGCACCTTGAAGATGGTACTAGGCATGACAATGACGAGAAGCAAAAGTTCATGCTTTCCGGCCAGGCTTCTTCTTCTTCCTCTTCGGCGTCGTCGTCAAAAGAGGAACGAGAGCAGAAGGGTGTTGAAAACAAGACACCCAAGGCCTCAACGGCGGCAATCTCGTCGGAAGAAGTACAGCGAGTAAAGCTTGTAATCAAAACAAAAACGCAGCTTTCTAAGATCCATTCTGTGGCGAAAATAGCAGAATCTCTGGGCAAGTCAGCGAATGACCTAGAACAAGTTGTTGAGAAACACCTTGCAGATGTATTCGAGCTCTACCATGGACCGCCTGAGCCTACATTCTCATCTGCTACAGCTAAAGCCGATGTAGAATCAGGAGAACACAGGACTGATTTGCAATTGTTGTGCATCCGAGTGAGGAGTCTGACTACTCCAAAGTCTGCTCCCTCTGGTCCTCGGAGTGCACAATTTATCAAATCTGCTGCTACATCAAATGGCCACGTGCTGAATCAAGAAGAAATGACGCGGACCGTTGCAGGCACAGCTTCGAATGGACTTGGAGAGGCTGGCACGGCAAACCGGGTTGTTCCGAAAACCTCTTCGGCAGTTATAGGGAAAGGCGCAGATGAGAATCGAAAAGAGTCGCAGAGGATAGTAGATCTACCATCGAAAAGAGTTGCATCTTCTCCGACAACTTTGAAGCAACAGGGAACATCTTCTATGATGAGCCCAAGTGCGTCTTTATTAGTAAAGGCAGGCGACTCTCCGGCTGCAAATAGCACCGCGAAGATGGAGTCTTTGTTCGTGTTGAGACCTCATCCTGCAACAAGCACTACGGCTACATTTTCTAATGCTAATAAAACTAGTATCAAAGAAGTAGCAGGTGAGCAGCCTGTTGTAGCATCTCTAGCGTCCTCGCGCCCAATGTCTTTGATAGAGAAGATGAGACGGCTGGAAGAAGAGCAGCAACGGGCTCGAGGAGCATTACTCACAGCAGCAGCAGAAAGCATAGAACAAGGGAAAATGTATCGTGTACCATCTCGCGGACCGCGTGTTCTTCCTGTATACCAAAGTGGCGATAACATCGTGTTCGTGCCAGAAGATAGAGCAGAGGAATCGGCAGAAAAAGAAGACACAGGAGACCAGGACCATGGAGGAAGCGCTTCTTTATGGCTGTTGTCGCAGGTGTAGGTTTATCATGGAGGTGTGTATTAAACAAGCGTAGATGTTGATGATAGAAGAGTAGACTTAAATCTATCGATTTAGAAGAAAGTACTTGAGCTTGTGATTACTTTTGTTTCTACCCGCCCATACTAAATAAAAATACTTAGCATATTTACAGGTAGTTCGATCATGATCCGAGGTGTTTGTAAGTCTGGCGCCACAAAGTATTTGATGATCCCACTAATTCGAACAACAAGCCGATCGACATCACGTGTCTTTCGTGTACTTCTTGACGAGTTTGACGGACCGGGTGGTGGCATTAATGAACCGGAGAAAGAGACAGGCGATTTTCCTGCCGAAACCTTAAAGAACTGGAGGCATGACCTGCCTACTCATGTTCGAAAGCAGCTATGGCTAGCGAGAATCTCTACGATTTGGGCAACAGATGAAGCTACTGCCTTAGCGAACAGCGAAGAAGAAGAAACTGGTGATCAGGAGGTGGAAGGAGGTGATAGCATGATAGGCGAATCGCATAGAGGACAAGTAATTTCTGTAGACCGTGGTCGTTCGTCTGCCTCAGCTCTGCGGAGTGTGGGGATGAAAGCGGAAGTGAAACGGGGATCCGCAACGAGTAACGGCACCAAAGCCCCGGCGGTCGTTAGCGGCGCCACGAATAATGCTACCACAGAGAAAGTGCCAGCGGAAGTTACAGCTGCGGCCAAGCTGAGAGCAATGCTGAAAAAGGCACAAGAAATGAAGCCTTCCCCTCGAAGCACACAGAGAGAGGAAACTGTCAAGTTTCCTCCTAGTCACAATAAAAAAGTCAGGCTTATTCCTTCTAGTAGCAAAGAAGTGCAGTCTTCGAGTAGCAAAGAAGTGCCACCTTCGAGTAGCAAAAGTGTGCCGCCTCCGTCTAGTAGTATTGAAGGAGCGAAGCTGCCGGCTTGTAAAGGCAATGCGCATCCCTCTGTCCGAGAAGAAGTGCAGCTTCCTGCTCCTTCTAGTAGCAAAGAAGTGGAGAAGCCTACTGCGTCTGCTTCTAGCAAAGACGGCGTTAAGCCTGTTGTTGAGAACAACCAGGAAGGGCTAAAGCCTACTACTAGAAGTAGCAAGGTGACAGATCCGGCTACGTCGAGTAGCAAACAGAAGGAAGAAACAGGGACTGCTGCTGTCGACAATATGGAGCTATCCCCTGTGAGTGGAGACGCGAATGCCAGCATGCTACTCGTCGATGAGATCCAGGCTTTGACTCCGGCTGGTGCGTATTCTTCGCCAAAAAGTCAGCAGCTGGAAAAAGAGAAGCTACTGGCAGGCGCCAAAGCGGCAGAAGCCAAGTCTCAAGCTTATCCGCTACAAGACTCGCAGTCGCCAACGCCAAGCTATAGCGATTATAATTTGCATTTGCAACAGTCTGATAGCGCCGGCAAACAAGATGTATCTGTACTAGCAAGTAGTACTTCTAGTAAGCCGCAGAGAGTCCATCTTCCAGGTTGGACACCATTGAAAAAAGGCCCGATATCGAAGCAGAGGGAGAATGAGCTAGGTGAACGGTTGAAGCTCACGCTGGAACAGCTAAACAAGCTTGGTGGAAGAACTTCATCACGAACCGGTAGAAGTGAAGCGCTCGACGCGCCTTTGTCCTCCAACAAGCGAGATTCCCCTTTGTCCTCCAACAAGCGAGATTCCCCTCTGTCCAGTAAGCGACCAAGGCCGGAAGAGACTTACACGCCACCAGCTCAAGCTCCAAAAGTACAGAAAAAGTCTCCAAAGTCGTCGACACCGAATTCAACGACGGACTTCTTTATGGCCAACTCAATAGATAATAGCTCTTCTAGTCTTATACTTGTCTCCCATCACCACGTATTTGAATCCAGAGCAGCCAGATCTTAGGTTACTCGTTTTCGAGTTTTTACATGCAGACTTCTCCTTTCATATATCTGGCTTCGCTTTTGCAAGCGCGTAGGAGTGACCCAACGTTTCAGCAGGATGCAGTCGGCAGGGGAGCGAAGCTGAAGGAGCTTTACCAAGTGCGTTACGCTCAGGTGCTTGCAGCAAAGCAGGACAGATGCCGCGCGGAAGCAGTTCTAAGATACTGTAGTTGAAAATTTTTGACTTTCCTTTTGTGGTTAGACAGCAAGTCATTCACAAAGGGGAGTGGATATTCATAAAACGGCTTTGATTTTGTGAGACATCGACTGGCTTCCTGAAGTGGGACCTTCTGCGTTGGTCGGAAAAATATTGTGGATGAAAAGATGATCGATATACATGCAAATCTCTAAAAGTACAGCTTTCGAAAGCGGAGCTTAGAAGCATTAGCCCGCAACCGGGTGACCAGTTGATGTACGTGGAGAGCACGGGACGGCGGAGAGGGAAACGCCTGAAGCTACGACTCAGAGACCCACCTCCTGTCATGGATGCAGCTTCGACACCTACGGGAAGTGAACAAGAGCAACCACAAAGAGAAGAAAGCCCCAGGAGAGCCCAGAGGTCAAGAGACCCAGCAAGTACGGCTGCGAAAGCGTCAGAAAAGCAAGGCGCTTCGAGTGGGGCTGCAGCGAGTACAGAGAACAGGTCGCAAAGAGGAAAGGCAGACAAGAAGATAAGTAGAGAAAAATCGAGAGAGCCTGTGCTGGGTGGCTTTCAGGACGCTGGAGAGTGGCGAAGAGCGCGACGGAATCGAGAAGACATGGACATGCGGGAAGGGAAGGCAGCAGCGGAAGCCCGAAGGGAAGCGCGGAACGCGGTCCGCGAACGAAAAAGAGGGCCATCTGTCAACAGCTCGTCTGAATCTTCTTCGGGTTCCTCCTCTGATAGGTCGGACTCGTCTGGCTCAGAGTTATCATCGAGCGAGAGCGACAGCGACAGCTCCGAAAGAAGAAACGAGAAGCAGGCGCCTGGTTTGCATGTTAAGGATTTGAAAGGACTTCGTTTTTTCGTGGTGTCGTTTGAAGTAGTGGGTTTCTCAGGTCGTAGAAATGAGACGTAGAATTTTCGGAAATAGTCATTGGAAGAGGCAGTCAAGATGCAGATGTCTGTAAATTACTAGAGTTTTGATCTACGCCTCAAGCATATTTATTGACTTACAAACAAACTTAAACTTTCTTCTCTAAATTGTTGTCCATGCCAGGGCCAGGGGGCGGCGCCATTGTAGGACGAGTTATTTCTATACGGCCGCCACCAGATGCTTGGCACGGCAGGAACTGCGAAGGAAGCGATCGCGCGGAAGATTCGTCGGCGCCGAAAAGCAAGGCAAGCGCGAGCCCAGTGGTGTCAGGCAGTGGCGAACCTCCGTCAGAAGCGGTCAGCGCGATTAGCGCGCCACAACAAGAACCCGAGGTAAAGAGAAGGGAAGAGCTGAAGCGACGGCTCCGGGCTTTGTGGGTTCAACGAGAGCAGGAGAAGGAGGCAGCCGAAGCGCAAAAGCCCGCGGGTGGTGACAGGCCTGCGAGCAGTGCCGAGAGCGTATCTTGTCTTTTCTGTGTTTTCTCCTTAGTGCCTGCCCCAGGCGTAAGCGCGTTCTCTGAGATTAGGCGCGCACCGCTGGGGGCTGGGTTTGTTTTTATGCGCGCTAGCGGCACGGGGTTTGTTCTTAGCACTGTCGACAAACGGCACAAGCCACGCGGCAGGTCCAGCGTGGGTAGCGGTGCACACGCTTTGCGCGCCAATGGCGTCGAATGGCGGCGGGAGTGATTAGACAGCCCAGATGGCTTCTTCTTCTTTTATTCTTGATTATCTCTCACTCTGGACGGTTTCATTTTTTTCGACTTACTATGCATCCAACTCAGGCCGCCTCCCCTGCGTCTGCTGTTGCAAGTTGTCCGCCAAGCGTGGTTTCCGGTGCGGCGGGCTCGGCGAGTGGAAGCAAAAGCGGCCCCGAGGGCGCAGGGCCTCGGGTGAGTCCGTCCAGACAATCGCGAGAGAGGAGCAGCAGCCGGCGAAGGCGCTCGCGAGACCGGAGCGGGCCGCTGGGCACCTTGTCGCGCCACGAAGGCCGCAGGCGGGGCGGCGTTCGCCCGCTGTCTCCGTCTCGGCAGCGACGTGGTGAGCGGGGCCGCAACTCGCGGACAAGACAGACAGCGAGGCGCGGCAGTGGTTATTCGCGTGGGCGTTCGCATGGACGTGGCAGAGCCGAGGGGAGCACGCGGGGGGCGTCTCGTTATGGTCAAAATTTGTAGCGTAGTGAGGCTGCGTAGAGGGATTGTGTGTGCTTTGTCGTTTTCCTAGTGAAACATGGGGTGAGGGGCGTCCCATCTCAGGGCATTCTTGGACACGGCTTTGCTTCTAATGTGAGAGACGCAGTGGCGATCGACGGGCGCGTGGGTCGCGTTCACGCGGGAGGAGTCGAGGGCGCCTGCGGTCAACTTCACGCCGGAGGAGTCGAGGGCGGACGCCGCCACGGAGTCTAGGAAGGGATGGCGGACTAGTAGAATTATGGCTAATACTAAATTCTTCCATGTAGTCTCTTGCAGACATCCCAGGTACAAGAAGTAGTGCCTGGAGAACTTATTATACCACATTGGCCTAAAGAACAATCAACTCCTCGCTTGTGATACTAGCTACGAATATTTTTTCCACCCTCTCCACCATATACTCCTAGTTCCACCCTCTCCACGACCCTCACTACAACATTATCCTCCATACTAGAAGTTCTTTCTAATCAAAGAGAGCCCGGCGATGTCAGATCGCTATGCAGCAGAGCGCACAGAACGAAGACAAGACAAGAAGGCGCACCAACGCAAAGCAGGAAAGCGCGTAGAGACTAATGAAGCGGATGCTTACGCGAATTTCAATTTTCGAGGAGGCCTGAGAGAGTGGGGACGTAGCCCAGCAGTAAGCGAGGACAGAGGACGCAGAAGCAGCCTGGCAGTTAAGGCTCAACGCAAGAATATTGATCTAAGTCATGCTCACCTGCACAAAACGTTTTCTCAGTTTTTCTAAAAAGTAGAACTCATTCTGGGATAAGGAATTTACCTAAAAACGAAAAATTGTATTCGACGACAGCCCTTTCTCTAATGATTGAAGGAAATTGCTCAAGCGTGCGAGACAGAAGGTAAGAGGCCTCGAGAGGCGTGCTAGCCGAGTCGTGCGACGTGAACGCGGTGGCCGCAACAAGAGGAGAGGGCGTCGTGGTGGCAGAGGCAGAGTGCGCCCTCCACCTGTTATCAGGGAAGAGAAAGGCCCAAAACCCGGTTGGAAAAGGCTGATCTGCGGTAAGACCACGGCACCAGAAGAAGAGAAGGAAAAGCCGCGGTTGATTAGTGGTAAGAAGCAAGAAGAAGTTGGACCAAAAAAAGCTCCTGGACTTGTTGCCAAGTTAAAACGTGTGATTCCTGGTATGGACTTCTCGGCTTCAGCAGTCGCATCATCTTCTAGTTCCATGCGTCCTAAGTCTCTGCCGCGGAGACAGAGAGGAATAAACTATGACGACCTCACTGGTGCTGGTGTTGGTAGTTCAAGATCATCTTCACCGTCTCCAGGACAGGCTCGTGCGTCCGGTAGCCCAAGTCCTGCACGTCCTCAGACACAGCATGTTCGCACAACCAGTAGTCCAAGTCCTTCACGTCCTTTTTTCGATTTTGGGCCACCTCCGAAGGGGCTCGGCATCACATCGTTAGCAGAAGCGCCCAGCCCCTTTGAACCGCCTCCGAAGGGACTCGACATTGCATCCTTGTCGCTGCCCACTGCTTCTGTTGCTGTAACAACTGTAAGAACGCAACCGGCCAGCTCCAGTTCGTCTTCCACAGTACAACCGGGGAACAGCTTCAGTTCGTCTTGTACAGTACAACCGGGTAGCAGCTTCAGTTCGTCTTCTACAGTACAACCGGGGAACAGCTCCAGTTCCTCCTCTTCTGCGGTTTCACATCCACTAGGGGCAGGAACCGGTAGTAAAAATAGAGCTGGAGGTTATAGCACATCTTCTCAACAAGTACTAGGGCGAGAGCAGCAACAAGTACTAGTAGGGCGAAAAGAACATGATGGGGACCGACCTCCTCCTACTCCTCCTCCTCCTCCTCCTGCATGGGCTATGCTACATCCTGGCGATTCTCTCACTATAATGGACTTCAGCAGCGGAGTGCCTAGTATGATGTTCACGGGAACGCTTGTTCTGTCACATGTCTCTAGTGGCCATGCAGTCGTCGGTTGCTACACCTCCAAGCTAAGCACTGCAAACAGCGAAATCCTACAGAAACCGGCTAGTAAAACAGCTGTAGACAATCGCTCCGCTGCGGCTGTGGCTTGGTCCACTAGTTTCAAGAAAAAGAAGCGCATTGCGATGTTATGATCAAAAATTCTCTTAGTAGTCCTGCTGGAGTATGTTTTTGACCGATGCAAGACTGAACCAACTAAAAACCCTCGCGACTTCTGAAGAAACTACTGATTCGCAGAACTGTTCTTCATGCGCACCATTTTTGAATTATAGCTAGGCGCTTGTAATTGTTACTACATGAGAAGTAATGCAGCTAAAGCACTAATTTCCAGCGACGGTCAGGAGGGATTTGTCATCTTCTTTTCGATACCATTCGATCGCTTCGTCCCATGCCGTATACCCTCAGACACGGATCCGGTGAAGTCCGGATGTCTGTCCAAGTTATGGCTTCTTACTGGTAGAATCTCTAACATCTGGAACATCTTTCTAAGTAGCTGGATAGTACTTCTAGCAGATTGTCTACTCCACATGAAGACTCCTCATGCAATCAGGTAATCAGAATAATGAGATGAATTTTTTTTTGAAATATCAAACCAGAACCAGCACAGCGAAGTGGTTGCTTACAAAAACAACAAAAGAGGCGTGCAGTATCACTCTAATCTGAGCCATGTTCGATAGAGTGGTCACCGATAAGACAGCCAAGATGATCGAGAGTCTTTGCAGGGATGAACCGTTTCCAACGAAGAGAAGACGAGTTTCGGTTTCTGGAACGAAGTCAAGTAAGTCTCCTGTTTCGGAGACGAAATAGGACTCTGATGATCTTTCTTACAGTTGAAGAAATTTTGCTCATCGTGGGCAAACTAACCCATATTTATTACAATACACGACATGTGTGTATGGCGCAGTTTTGTGCGCTTACTCACTCTTCTAAAAAGATCACATTCTTTCACAACATACAAAATACCAGTATCACCATGAATTGGTGTGTAAGACTTCAGTTTTTTCACGTTCATTTTCGGAATCAAATTTAACCATAACAATTCCCACTCGACATGAAGTTGACGTCCATATTTTGATGATCGCCCCCTCGCTTCCTTCATGGATTTTTTCTGGGCAAACTTTTCAACATTTTTCCATATGACTGCGTGTCTGGTGAGTCTTTGAAGATTTTGATGTCACGGATGCGTTGGCTGTAACAGTCGCCGCTATGATGCCAAGAAGGGCATGGCCTTCTCCTCGGAGAAAAAGTGTGTTTTTCAGCTTCCATAGGACTCGAACAATTAGACATGAAACACCAGCGATGTCACTGAATCACGACTCTGGTGCGTCTTAGACAAAGTCGTCACTCCGCGAAATAGGGGTGTTGCTGTTGCAATTATGATCCTCAAAACACCAGTAAAAAGAGATCTGTTGCGAGCATATTGTGATATATTCTTTGAACGTGCGGAAGAAGTGTCACAGATTTCTAGAGATCACATTTTTGCATCACCATGTTATTGCGTTATTCACTAATTTTGATTCGTTATTATGATAAGTAATTGAGTTGTGGATACGGAGGCAGCTTCTATTTCTCGTACTCAGCAAACATTTGGCTTGCTTCACGCTCAAGGATGTGCCCTTCTTGCTAAGCAAAACCTCGATGATAAACAATCTATGAATTATCAGCCAAATTTTCACAACAAATCCACTATAGGCAGTTTTATTGGACTTCAGTGTCGTCATGAGAGATGGTGCCATGCGCCTGCCCTAGATACACCCCTTCCAGCCGTGACTGAAAAGGCACGCTATCATCCATAAATTCTTGGTATATACGTTTGGAAACATCGAGTTGTTTGAAGATATCTATTCTAAGAATTATAAAAAATAGGGTTTCCAATTATGAGCAGAAAAATGTTGTTCGATTATCTTCGCAGTGGTGTTGATCCGGAGGCTCCGGCAGTCCTCGAGGATGCCAGCGGGAGATCCTGTACTTACTCCGATTTATTCGCTCGTGCAGAACAGTTAGCATCTGGATTGGAGAAGCTGTTTCATGACAATCATGGCGTTGGAGAAGTAGTTGACCATGTTTCCTCTTCCAATTTTGGTTCCGGGGCAATCCTCGCAGTGCACATGCATCGGGGCATCGACTACTACAGCTTGTTGTTCGCATGTATTAGCGCGCGACGTTTCGGAGTCTTATGTCTGTCTCGTGATATGGAGGATGCAACAGAAGAACAACGCTGTTTACACGCGACAGCGGAACTTGAACCTCGCATTTTGGTGACTGATGATCACGAACTATCGGAGGTGGTGGGCTTATTGGCGGCAAGAGGGGTGGCGGACAAGGGTGGTGGAAATGAGGAAGAGGCGCTTAGAGGAACATTTTCCAACTACAAAATAGCATGGGCGAAGCAGTTACTAGGGTTAGGTGTGCAAGTTTTAGGATTTGCAGACGTACTAAAAAAAGAACTATTAGGGGGGCAAAGACAAGAAAAAGAAAGTTCGTTGACACAAGTATCTCGGATTATGTTGCAACAACCACTCGACCAGAACCACATCAACTTCGAAGAGGACCTCCACAACATCAACAGTACTAGTAAAGCCTTTCCTCCTCTCCTAGGTCCAAGCGACATCCTTTATTACATGTATACTGGTGGTACGACGTCAGCCTCGAAATGCGTTTGCGTGACTTTCGCCATGGTGGAATTCGAGGTGATGCAGGGATACCCAGAGCTGTTTCGAAGGTGTGGAATCTCAGCAAGTAACAAGCACAGTCATAATATGGTGTGCCTCAATTACTTCTCCGCTTATTGGGCCGCATCTTCTCTCGGGGAATGGAGTATCGCTTTAGCCTGCGGTGGTTGCCTAGTCGTAGCTGAAATTCCGACAAGGGCCTCACGACCACAAGCTCTAGCGAGTGTTTTGAAGAGGCGGAAAGTTACAGTGTTTGGAGCAGTACCGTCATTACTGGAAGCGCTAGAACATGAAAATGTTTTCGAAGATGGTACTAGGACCTTGAAGAACGCTTTGATCTTCACGTGGGGAGAAGCGTTGCTAGAGCATGTGTCAAGCGCCTGGCGGAAGCGTGGAGCATTTCTGTGCGAACTACTCATCGCGACAGAATACTGGTTGTCGCTCTACAAGTTGCTACCGCCACTAGGTAGTACTCAAGGAGCCTTAGGAGACCTTGCAGTTGTAGAACAAGCATCCACGAGCAACAAGACTGTTGATAGTGAGAACTGCTACGAAGCTCTTTCTGCTTGTAGAATTCTCTTACGGCGCATAGATGTCGATGATGATGTTGCAGATGACGAATCAACGGAGATGACCCAGCAAAAGAAGTTTGTCTCTCCCGCACAAGCATTTGCTGAAGATCTCATCGGTGAGCTCTGTCTCGCAGGTCCGATGGTTGGGCGCTACGTTCGGCCAGACCTGCAGGCGAAGGGATTTGTTACCCTGCAGGCTGAAGAAGGAGAAAGCCACCATTTCTACAAAACTAGTGATTTGATCAAATTCGTCGGCTCGGAAAAAAAGATGCAGTACTGTGGCAGAGCTGACGACTTCGCCAAGATTGGAGGGAAATGGGTGGATCTAGGCGACATCGTGCGAAAGATGCAGCAGCACGCAGACGAGGCGGTTTGTGTCTGGGACCCAGAGAAGCGAATTCGGCATTTCTGCGTGGTGATTCGGGAGAAGGAGGAAGATGCTGTTGCTGTTGCAGAAAAGGCCATTGCGGATAGCATACTTTCGACGAATGCAGGACTAGGTCAAGGACTGGAAACAACCTCACCCGATATTATGGATCTGGAACAATTTGCGACTGCGTCTGCGAAGAAGAAACTGAAACGAAAGATGCTCTCGCCAGAAACCGCGCAACAGGACAAAAATGACACAAAGCGTAGTCGTGTGCCGGTGGAAGCGGGCAGGATTGTGAAAAGCCCGCAGAACAAGAAGTCTAGTGTGGTGGAGGAAAGTCTTCCGTCTAGCCTCGAGGAAAGGAAACTAGATGAGGGATGGGGGTCAGAGCAGAGACGAGAAGTAGTGGTCAAAGAGGTAGAAAAGGTGAACGTCGATGTAAAACTTCATCAACCATCATCTACAACTTTAGCATCTTCTGAGCCTTCAACTTCTAGTCGTGCCCTCGCTTGCGTGAAGCTTTATCCCAAAAAGGAGAACGCAAAGATCCATTTTCTCACGAGTTTGCCTCGTAACGCCGTTACCGGCAAAGTCGACCGCAAAGCCTTGCTAGCACAATTTTCGCCAGAAAAAGAAGCCTTACTACCTCACTATTGCCATTCGGCGAAGCTGTTTAGACGCGTTTTCGTGTACGCAAGATGGGTTTTTCTAGTACAGTTTTGGCTGCGATTTAGAAACGCTGGTTTGCTTGTGGCGCCAGCGACGTTGTCGAGATTGTCGCTCATTGGAGCACTGGACTTCGCGATCCATTTTCACAAAAGCGTGGTCTGGCCAAAAAATATTCGGAAGCAGTATGCGGAATGGCATGCTAGGATTCGAGCAAAGAAAAATCCGGCTTCTCCAATCTCAATAGGAGGTAATAAGCATCTTCAGAAAATAGATGCTAATAAACCTGCGCTGCTGTCGATGTTTGACACTCTGAGGAGTCGGGCCAGTGGATCACCCGGTTGTTTAGAGCAACTAGAAGGTACTTTGGTAAGTGTCGCACCTGGTTTTAAGTTGTTCAGGTACGTGGGACAGAATCAATGGTGGCGCAAACCTAATATTAAAGAAGGAGGTGAACAAGAGGAGGTTAGTAAAACAGAGGTGATGGAGCCAGAAGTGTTTCAAACTCTACTAGCATCACGTCGACAGCACTGGGCACTGCAGCAGCCATGCTATGGAAGTACGTATCAAGTCCCCTATCCCGAGGCAGTGCGATTTATTAGCTCTGGCGACTCAGACCCGAGAAAGATTATCACTCGCGCAGCGAAGAAAAAAGCACCGTCTGCTATTGAGAAAACGAAAGTACAACAAGTAGAGCAAGGTGGAGCAGATAAAGCGCCAGGTCTCACTACTATCAACGCAACTGACGACATCGTCATGGTTCATGAAGTTGAAGCGGACAACGAGAAGCCTCCCGCACCTCGAAGCATATCCACCCAGCACAAACTAGTAGAGCCGCACCTTCAAGCTGCCGCTGATGACGAACTATTTACCGGTTCTGCAGAGCAAGAAGCGGAGAGATACTTCAACTTCGCTGTTGACAGCTTGGACTGGGAGTACAGTTGGTTGTTGCAAGATGTAAGAGGATTGTCGAAGAAGTTGAGTGCTTGTGTTAGTCGTGGTGATAGCTCAAGCTTGTGTTCGACTTCGTATCCGACTTCTAGTACTTATTTCTCTTTGCTGACTAGAGCACGCGACTCCAGCATTCTTTTTTGGGTCCTGGTCAAAGTCCAGAGTGACGAGGAAAACGGCGACTTCGCACATGCTTGCGATAAGCGGTTCCCTTTCGGCTTGCTAGGGCTTTACGCCTGTTTTATGGCTGGATTGTTCCCACTTACGCGGCAATTGCTCGTTGCGTATGCGTTGACGAAGTACTATCGTGCTGCGGAGTCAAGTTTGTGGCGACGCCGGTATTTGTCAACTTTGGGACCAGAACAGAGTGCCTTAGAAAACGAGCGAGAAGCAGAAGTGTGGTGTGCTTTTCAGGAGAACTACGAGACGGGTGGTAGCAGAGGAGGTCTTCAAGGTTGGGTAGATCCATCAAAAGGTCCATCATTGAACAAATTACTGTCAGCGACGAAGGGCAAGGGAAGTATTAAATTATGTCCTGTGACGAGAATGAGCATTGCTGACGCAGTTACAACCACATCAAATGACAGCTCTCCTGCAGCTCTTGCTGCTCAAGCAGTTGCTGCTGCTCGTGATGGCGAAAAAACTATGGTCAAGGCGTTGGCGATAACCTCTAGTGCTATCGTGTCTTCATCAACAACGAGTTCAAAATCAAATCCAAGGAGTTCTCTCCTCGTTTCTCGTGAAGGTGCCAGAACTTCCATCTCATCCAGAGACACTACCACCATGACGAAAGACGTCTTGACACAGCACCTAGCACGCCTCTGGGCACCACGCAAACACACGCAAGCACGCTACAACCACGATTCTCACGAGTTCTTCTACCTCCTCTGTTTTTCACGGTATTGGCAGCGCTACTGCAACGGAGATTTTCGAAGGTGGCGGTTGCAAATTTTAGCTCTGGGTGTCGCGCACGATGACTTCCCCTGGCATAAGCTGGATCCGGAATTTCGTGATGGAAAGAGGACGCTGTCTTTGCGACTTCTCTATCGTAGAGCATGGCAACGCGCGTGGGGAGCACTCAAAGATTAAGGGTTACCGAATTGCATCCTTCACTACCATTCTTGACTTATATTTTCCAATAGGAAAGAAGTCAAGGATGATCTGAAGAATGTAATTGCGCAACCCCTAAAAAGAGTTCCGGTTTCAAAAAATGGGTACTCCTACTAGAAGTAGTGGTCGCGGTCGCCTAGTAGTGCAGCCTCCAGTCGTGCCGTCATGCGGACAGAACAAGCGTCCTTTTTCCCTAAACAAGAACAACATCCCTAGCTTCCCACAAGAGATGATGTACGGGCGTTGCGCTCGTGTGCGTGCGCATGGTAGCTCTTTCCCCACTCGATGTAACCGAGACGCATTGTGCTCTATCGCTTACCCATCTTCGGATTTTCCTGGTCTCTATACAACTTCTTCTAGTACTAGTACGAATACGACCGGACTGGGAGGAAAGCCTAAAGGAGCTGCTACTTCCAAGAAAAGCATTACCACCGGCTTTCCAGGACCGCTATCTAGTACATCCACGTCTTCTCCAAGGTCATGGCCATCTCCATCGTGGTCATACTCCAAGGCAGAATTTCGTTGTTTTGAATGCAGACTACTAGACTCGGAGGCATTGGCGAAAGCCGAAGCAGCTGAGAAGGAAAGGAAAGTAGTCGAAGCAGAACATCAGACAAACGCTCTACAACTACAACGACAAGGATTTGAGCAGCCGGGTTCTGGTGAGTCAGTGGCGACTATGGTCAGTACTGCATTGGATGTTGACCTAGGAGTTGGCGAAGACGGAATAAGCCTTCTGGACGCTTCTTCAATGACCACAGTAACGACTGATGGAGCGGTGACACCAAGTGGTACTGCCACAGCCGCGCCGCAGAGTAAACCAGAGAACAGCAGCGCTGATAAAGTACAGAATCTTCAGGATGGACAGCATCAACAAAATCAAAATCCGAAGAACCAAAAAAAGGGTAGTCGTGGTGACTATGCCTTTTTGCATTTTCCAGAAGTTGAGCCTACGGTGATTGCAGAAATGAAAGAGGAAGATAGGAAGAAGCGCGCTGCCTGGAAGGCAGGAAAGAGTCACCTTTTTTCCAATGGACTCAGTTTTTCTACGTCCTGTAGTACTGAGAACAACACAAGTGAAGGAGTAACAGCAAACTTACAAGAAAAGATTCTAAGTATAGTGGAACAAGTTTGCGGTTTCCGACTAGAGTTGCAAGCAGATCTGAAGAATATCGATTCAACGGCTCTGATATCATTGCAGACGAACTTGCAGGCGAAAATTGGACGCTTTGCACGAGTCACTTTCTCGGAGTTGCGGAATATGGAAACGATGTCTGATTTGGTGGAGTTCATAACCGACAGGGAACGATCACAAGCAAACTCGGAGGGAGAACATAGGGGTCGGGGAATGAGAGATGATGCTGGCGAGATGGTGGTGGGGATGGTTGGGGGACTGGAGGGTAAGCGAAAAGAAAATGAGGATGAAGAAACGAGTCAGCAAATTATAGGTGTCAGCGCGAAAAGAAGCAGCAAAAAGCGAAATACCAAACAACAGGTCTCTACTACTTCGGAAAAGGTGGACATCGACATATCCTCAACAAGTCCCAGCGACGTCCTCATCTATCCGACATCGTTATTTGTCAATGACGCAAGCGTCGAGGCGGTTTTAGCTTCACCAAAGTTGCTGTCTTCAAATGAAAAGCGGTACTGGGACAACCACTTTGAAATACGCAATGCCCCAGAGCTTGCACGTTTGCTGACATTGTTGCCGCGTGAAGAGGAGACCAGAAATCTGGCAGCTGCAACTACTGATACCCAACAAGGCACATCACAACGACAAGAATATCGTGCCTACCTCACACCTCGTTATTTCCGTGGCGGTGTCGCTTGGCAGTTTAACCTCGAAAGTCGTATCCCTGAAGACGCCTTTGATTTTGCAGCACTCACTTTGCCCTACTACTACCCTGAACTAGTAGCGGAATTCGACCAGGCTTGTGGTGGTGGGGATCGTGCGAGAGAGGTGGCGACCGATTGCTCTGGATCGATGAAATTGTTGCAAGAATTAGGCTTGGTAGACTTGTCGAAAGCAGTGCACGACAACTGGCCAAGAGCACATGTAGATGTTGATGGCGCACTCCGTTACATGCTGAGTCTGAGGGACAGGGTGGCTAAAGAGCAGGAAAAGGAAGAGGAAGCGAAGAAATTAGCTACTGAACAGGAGGAGAAAGAGAAGGAAGATGCTGAGGCGAAGAACGTTGAGGAGGCAGAAGTGTGGAAGGAGGAAGCGAAGAACGTTGAGGAGGCAGAAGTGCGGAAGGAGGCGGAGGCATCAAAACCAAAATCTTCTTCAAAACAAGGCACAACCACGAGTGGAAAATCGCAGCAGGAGAGTGGGCAGGTCGATGAGAGCAAGGGCACGATGAATAAACAGAGGAAACAAGAAGAGGCGAATGGTTCTGAACCCTCAGCCCCAAAGAAGCCTTCGGCAAAAGCAGAAACGAAAGCTGCGAGTCCAGCTGATACCTCATATAATCCAAAGGAAAGTAGTACTACTTCTACTTATCTTCCTACCCAAGAACACAAGCAAAATTCTTCTTCCTCTAGTGCTCGTGTACACTCGAAGACGAGACCAGCTCGCCTTTTTTTCGATGGTTCCCTCAAACGATCAAGTCGTCGGGATATTTTTAGAGACTGGCGACGCGATTGGGGACCTCGAAATGACTCTCCATGGGCCTGGAAACCCTACAGAGTCTTGCAGGTTGAAGATTGCTATACTTAAGTGTTAACCAATTACATCCCCCACAACCATTCCTCACTCTTTTTCCAGTAGGAAAGAGGTGAGGGATGTTCTGAAGAATGTAATTCTGCAACCTTTAATATACTCAATCGTTTTTCTTCTTCCTAATAGTGAACCATGCGATTGGGGACGCGAACACTATGACGCCGTTGGTAAAGACTTTCATGCAACTCGTGCAGGCGTTTAGTGCGGCTTTTCCTGAGGTGGTGGTGAAAGATGTTGGGGAAACTGAGGGGTCTGATGGTGATGACGGTCTTGACGGTCTTGATGACGAGTCTGATCGACGCAGAAGTCGACGGCATCGTAGTAGTCATACTGGTAGTCCGATTGTCAAGGCAGCGGAGCAATGTTTGAAAGAGCGCGCTTTACGCCTACCTCTTGGGCGGGACGCATCAACTTCGAACAAGGACAACCCTTCCCCTCTAGGTCGTGCACGACAGCTTAGCTGCATGATTGCAGAATTCTACTCACGTAACCGAAAATTGCTTCGAACAGGAACTACAACATCCTCTTCTACCACAGGTCCGACTACTAAGTCCAAGACCTCTAGTCGTACTGATATCCAGTTTTTTACACCTCCACCATTTCCAAGTGTCAGCACCCTATCTCTCCTTGAGCAGCGACTCCAAAAAGGTCTTTTCCTCGACCATGTGCGGAACTACGCGCAGATTGCTTTTTCAGATTGCGCCTCTGCCTTTTGGAACGGACCGCTTTTACAGCGCGCGCGTGGCCACAGTTTCCACTTAACATTGGAGAAAACAGCAATGGTGGTCCTGCAACTGATTTCTAGATCTATTCGTGTCCCTGTGGACCATATTCTATTAGGATGCTTGTTCCCCTAATCCTTCAGAATCAGAAGCATCCTGAACTTGTTTCCAAGAGGGAAAGGGCAACAGGATGCTCTTCGAGATGGATTTGGGTATTTGGGTGAGCTCTAATTTTATGTGCCGTTGGGGGTTTGGCCTATTATCGAGCAACCTTGTCATATGCAAAATGGCAACGGAAGCGATTCATCTACAATCGGCAGGTGGAAGAGTGTCCGAAGCCTCCGAGGATAACGGAGAGCAAGATGGAGGCCGAGAATAGTATTATCACAAGCACAACTGCAGGAAAAATTTCTTCGAATGGATCCATCAAGAAAATTGACGATGTTCATGACGACCACAGAAACGTCACCACCAATGCCGCGGTTCTTTCGACGTCCGATGGTCACCTTAGCACAGATCGAGGAGCATCAGGACGAAAAGATCAGAACCAGAAGTCTCCTATCTCTGCTAGTAGCAAAAGTGATACTTCTAGAACTTATACTAGCAGTAAGTACAAACGGGAGGGGACCGCGAGCGACCACTCCGCACCGGATCGCTTAAGGAAGAAAAAGAGAGAGAACGTTCGCACAGAAGAACAAGAACAGAATGATCTGGAAGTGTTGAGGGAGCCGAAGACTGTTGCCGTGGAGGCAACTGCATCAGAAACTTATGCAGTAGTGGAAGAAGAAAGTTCTACACATGATGTTGAAGCAAAAAAGGAGGAATCACAGCTACCAGAAGACAACTACAAGGACAACAAGAAGGATGACCATAACAAGAAAGGTGAGATGAAACCTCCTCCAAGGAGAAAAATCGACTACAACTACGCAGGAACTCCCCATCCGAAGCAAAGAGGAGACTACGTTACGTACTGGGTGCAACCACTGGAAGACTATCTAAAGCATGCAATTACAAGTGAAAACTTCCAAGAACGGCTGGCTGACGTGTATCTTCAGAAAGGACGCAACATTATGGTCAACATTATTAGTGTCCATCTTTCTCGGCATCTTGATCCCTGATAAGTGTACAGGTCAACGCCTAAACCGCTAAGCCAACTGCGTACTGTTCCCCTGTATAATTCTTCTCATGAATATTACAAGGGGATGAAAGGGGTCGAAATGAGGGGACCAAGATGGATTAAAGCTGAGTCTAATAACAACTTTTTTCCTAAGACGATCCCCAGGATTTGTCCGAGTCGAAGCATTCTACTGGGTATCATCCCGTTTAGGATTTTAGTGCCGAACCGAGATGGCCGCAATGAGGAAGAAATGGTGGGGAACGTGGTCGTGGACCGAACGTTTGAGATCAATGTGCAGAGGCAAAGTTTATGGCAATATATCGGAAGATCTCAACAATACATCGTCAATTTCAGTTTTTACTAAGTTTCTCAGCTCCTTGCCTATTTATTACAGTACCCATTAGAGGACTCGTTCTTTCTTCCATCTTCCCTTCCTTTCTCCTCACTCCCCTTTCATTTCTCTGTTTCGGTGCCGTAACGTCGCTATCCAACATCATGCGCCAGCGTGAATGGCGAGCACCTGCAGGTTCAGATCCCTGGCTTGCGCAGAGAATTGGCATGAATATTCGTCCAGCAGTGCGAGAGGCATATCCTGGTGTGTCGCAGGTCATCGAGTACCAAAAAATACAGCCGAATGAAGACCAAAGTCGCAGGGGAAAGTACTTCAGTCATGCTATTCTTTGTCGTTCGTCGCCTATTCTTGTTGATCTCCTTCGTCGTTCGTGCCTAATTTAAAGTGTTTCGCTTATAAGTACTTGATATGATAAAAATCTAGTTTTTGTTACTTTTCACCAAGCCTTTACTCTGAGCCGTTCACAATATATGAGTTATTAATTCACTTCTACTACCAACATCCCATAACTACAGGAATCTGGACGTTCCGATGGATGCGTTTGTAGACGAGCATGATACTGGAGAGTGGACCTACGGTTTTGGCTTGCAAGAACACACCTGTGCACCTGGGTTTGCATTAGCCGTTCATTTTTTTGACCTCCTGCAAACGCTGGCGACAAACCCTTTTCGACCTGTGTAGCTGATTCATCATGTAGTCTAGTAGTAGAACTCACAAGATTCACCAGTGTAGATGATTCAATCTACCTGGAAATCAAAGAGAGACTCACGTACGTAGTTGGACAAGGTTGCATTTGGAGATGATGCAAACGAAGTTATAAATATCTACGCGCATCATGATCCAAATGTTGTTAGAGAAATGATGAATGAAAGAGGGCGTCACAAGATCCGTTGTGCAGCTTTAGTTCATATCATCCAAAAGAACCGCTTTTGCTGGTCAGGCCACTCGAGAGCAACACTCGTGTTGCGCTCTCAAGTTTTGTGTGTACAATCTGTGTCTTCCGATACGGATCCGATCTCAAGGATTAATTACGATGTTGAGACAAGAATGAGACCAAGATCATCTGGAGGTGGCTATACTGCAGCGACAGTTCATCCGCAGCAGCAAGGATGTTCTGAAGAGAAAGTGTAAGCTACATGCTCTTTCTTGAATTTGAATGATGTAGATGTGACCCTTCTGATGTCGAAATTTGATTCTTGTCTACAACACGACCCGTTGCACCTTCATTCTTATTGCCATTTGTTATCTTACAGCTACAGGCGGGATCGATATTTCTTATTCCGAACTCCCCGCGCGACCGCGAGTTGGAACTATAACCTAGTGGAAGATGTTGTTTTCTTGAACAAGAGGTTGAGCTCATACCAGGAGAGACATTATCTTCTTTCTGAAATCTAAAAAGACAAAATGTCTTCGGCCGTCCAGCAAGTGTGCGAGCTGCTTGGTGCGGCGCTGAAGCACGCGGATTATGGCAAGGTTGTCCAGCTTGTTGGCGAACTCTCAGGAATGCTGAAAGAGCGCAGCCAGACTGCATCCCTGATCGATGAAACAAGACACGATTTACTCCTGCGGCTAGTCGAGGAGCTGCCTCAAGTAGATTTTGAGGGCAGGAAAGATATCGTTGCTCTAGTTTCGCTGGTGTCGAAACTGCAGGTTGGAGGCAGTAGCAGTAGTAGGAGTAAGGAAGCTGGCGGACTAAAAGACAGCTCCGTTGACGAAAACACACTTTCGGATTTCGAGAAATATGTGGTATTTCATCTATTTGTAGTTAAACCGGTGACGAAAACACATTTTCGGATTTCGAGAAATATGTGGTATTTCATCTATTTGTAGTTTCATTGCAATGTATATTAGCGTTGCGCCTCGTGACTTCATATTATTTGACGCTGCAGGGTGTCACCGTATAGTCTAAGGGTTGGCATGCTAGCCAATGATAGACTTCATGGAATGGAGTGGATGGTTGGTTGGTAGTTTTGTGAGGGGTCGAACTTTTCTTGAGATGGCATGGTTTTCGTGCAGTACTTTTCCCGCATTCACTCGTCACTGACTGAACCATCAAATTTCCATGTCATCACCAAATTCCTAACAGATCTCGAAGCAGCTAATCTCACGCCTGGCCAAACGCTACGCTGAAGTACCCGATCTCAGTCTGAACTACGGCATTTTACTCAGAGAATTTTGCAGGTGTCCTGGGATTAGTCGGCACGCTTTGGAGTCTCGAGTGCTCTACGACCTCTTTTTGATCGCCAGGAGAGGAGAAAACTTCGACTTGGCCTCAGATGCGTTTCTTTCAATAATTATGATTGGTTTTGGTTTACAGGCTGAACTAGTACTAGCATTTCTATATTACATTAAAGGCTACTTTTCAAGAATTTCAATTTGCTTTTCCATCGATCTTCACTTGAAGATGGGACACTGTGACAACGCACTTTGCTCTAGCAGTTTCAGATCCGCTGCTCCTCATTTCTAATCCAGAAGACATCCTCACACGGCAGAAGTCTCTTGGCGCCAGCTGGATTTTAGCGAATTTCGAGGAATTTTTCCAGAAATACCACGAAATTTTACTTGCCGAGAGTGACCAAAGAGCAGCCGAAGAAGACCTCTACATCTGCCAACGACAATCGCTGAAACTGTTATCGGACATGCTTCTGGACCGGACCTTCATGCAGATCATGCTACGATACATCAACTCGGATGAGTAATTTTTATACTTGTTCATTTTCTGCTTTTTATGAAGACGAATAATTTTATGTATGAGACTTGATATTAACTCTCTGGCTTGTTCCTTGTTGAGGACCTTGAGAGGTAATAAATGTTGTTACTACATCGATACCACGCAAAAATACGTGCAGGTACCTTAAAGTCCACATGCAGTTCCTGCGTTCCTCTTCTAAGACGATCCAGTTTGAAGCCTTCCACGTGTTCAAAATTTTCGCTGCCAATCCCAACAAGAAACCTCGAGTCACCCGCATTCTCTACCAGAATCGCCTCAAATTAGTGGATTTTCTGGGTACGTTTCTGGTACCCGAAAGAAATTCCGACCAACAGTTCTTGCAGGACAAGATGACGGTCATTCAAAAATTGAAGGCCCTACAACTACCTGACGACACGACGACACCCAGTGGAGCAGCCTCAAATGCGGGGACTTCTCAGGCGTCGACCAATGGCGGAGCAGCCTCAAATGCCGGAACAGAGTCGACGACTCAGGCATCAACCACAGGGTGATGGTTCCCTGAATCGCCCTCTGTTGGTTCTTCGGGAATATTGAAACCGAAGTACTCGAAAGATGGAGTTCAACTCCTTCAAGCCTCCAATTATACCCAAGCAGCCTGTTTATAAACGCGAAACTGTTGTTGATAGGAAAGAACTACTCCGTGAAACTACGGTCGTGGTAACCCAACATAGATATCGAGACTTCGCGCTAAAGATGAATGTCGTATTTTTTCAACAGATTCAACGAACCATTCTCTCTGTTACGCATGATCAATGTTGTGTCGTGGTGATGTTTTGAGTTCAGCCGCTCCTTGTCTATTTGGAGCTATTTGGCGGTTTCAAGAATCTGTTTTGATCGAAATCTCCAAATCCAAATCCAAATCGGTGTCATGTGACTGAAATTCGAGAACAGCTGTGCATCGGTTCAGACCAGATAGGACTTCCATTTGTCTTGCCACTGTCTGTTGTGATTTCCCCATCCTCTTGTCCCTGATGATTTGTACTTCCATACTGACAGTTGTCGTGCCTAGATAGTCCGAAATTTTGGAGAGAGACACAAGTCGTGAATGCATCTTGTGAACATTCTCAAACAAATAGCACATCGATGAATACTTCATATTAGAACGTAACCCTGAAACAACAAACTGCAGCCGAATCACAGGATAATAATAACGAGAAAAAATGGGAGACCCCAGTTTTCTTGTCCGTGGTCCTAACAAGGCAACTGCGTTTCAGCTTGGCACCACGAACAGTCCAAGAAAACGAACGGTCCCTGCAACTGCCTCTGCTGTCCCGGACGAACCTGGAGCCTCATCATCATCATCATTATTCTCGTCGTCTTTTTTTCCATCAGCACCATTGTCTTTGTCAAAACCAGCAGTAAGAGCGCTACAGAACTCAACAAGCTTCTCAGCGGACGAAGCATGTCTCTTGAATGGCGCGCAGTGTAATAAGACGGATGATGTGTTGTATGAGATTCAACAGGACATCAAGTCAGAAAGACTGGCAGCAGCAGAAGATACACCCAAATTTCATGCTGCTGCGAAGAGAACGGGGAAGAGAGTAAGTACCCGTGAACTTGTTTTGATGACTCTATTTTCAACATTCGGAATGTTGTAGTGTCTCTACGTTATGAGTGAGGATGAGAGGTAAGCTTCCTCATACTAGAATCCCCTTTATCCCTTCAGGTCCAGCAGCTCCATGAGAACTTCCAAGAAGCGCTCAAGAGGTATGATAAGGTCCGTGCAGAACTGGATACAAGCGAGTTTGATCGGGCAAATCGAGCGCTCAACGTAACACATCGAATCGCACTGGATTTGTACGGCGAAAGCTGTCAGCAGTTCAGCGATCCTAAAGCGGAATGCAGTCAGATTTATGGCTTCCTTGATGAATAAGAAACTGAAGAATCTTTACGCGTACAGTTTGACCTTTTATTCTCTTTCGTGAAGCACACGATAAATTGACATTTTTTGAACATCATTTACATGTTCTTCTATGTACTTCTGTCCCACGACACTGCAACAATCAAGTGCAAGATCTTCTCCTAAGACATCATGTCGCAGATGAATCAACGAAAGTGGGCACGGATGCCATCACCAGAGTGCCAAGTTGGCCTCACCACGCCTTGGGACGATTCGCTCATTCATATTGGAGCGAAGTACGCAGGAGGAGGCTGTGCGATACTATGAGGTGGGCCACCCACTGGTCGAGGAGGCCTTTCCCTATGATCATTGCTCGTTCCAAACAAGCAAAGTAGTGAAAATGAAAATTTTCCTTGTTGAAAAGATAATCGTTGTCAACAACGCGCAAGGTCAGGATCATGGTGAGTACTACGTTGCGATTTCAATAAGCATGATACACACAGCGATGTTGCATTTTTGTCGATTTTGATGTATGGATTCAGTCAATCACCATTTATCACTCGAGAATCTGAAATGAAGCACAAGCACCCGGTACGAGCAGTCCGATCAAAGTGTTGCTCACCCGAATTACTCAAGCAAGAAACGAGGAAAAACTAAGGATGAGAGAAAAAGGTTGTAATGTTCAAAAATGAGACGCAGATGGGACGACAACATGTTGAAAAAAATGCTGAGGTTGTGTTTCTGATATGGCGACTGTTTTCATCTCATCTATTTTTTTCCAGGCAGGCGGGCGCGCGGATTTTAGGAGAGCTAAGTTAGAAGTTCATTGTCGTTACATTGTGACAGTCGGTCTCACTCTCAAGTCGAGCATCAGCTGGGTCTACATATAACGCTGAGTTGTACTGCTACTGTCTTTGGAGGAAAATATGAGGTAGAGTGATCATGGAAAAGACCTAGCAAAAAGATGGAGCAATATGAGAAATTGGAAAAAGTCGGAAAGGGCACCTATGGCGTCGTTTTCAAGGCACGGGATAGGCAAACTGGTACATCAAACATGTGCCTGTAAACCAATGAGTGTATGTGCAGGCAACGTAAACCAAACGATGTTGGATGTTTCTTTAAGCCAAGTACTAGTGCTGTTGTCAAGGTCAACCAAACGAGTCTTCTGATCCTTCATGTCTTGCCATGATGAAAACTGCCATCCTTATCATCAAGCAATATCCGCTAAGTCTTCCTCAAGTAATATCTGCTCATCTGATTCGTCAATAACCACTAGTACAAATCCAACGCTATCAACCCACAGGTGACATCTGTGCCTTAAAAGCCATAGGCCTGGAGGCGGAGGATGAAGGCATACCCTCAACCGCGATACGAGAGATCGCCCTTCTCAAGGAGCTGCAGCATCCGAATATAGTTCGTCTCTACGATGTTATACACACGGAGAGCGAACTGACGCTTGTTTTCGAGTTCCTAGACCAAGATTTGAAGAAGCTGTTGGACAACTGCGAGAGGGGGTAATTAGTAAAAAGTTTAGATTGTGACTGACTCTGACAGTGGCTAGCACGAGATTTAAGAAACCTAAACAATTCTTTCATCAACCCTACAGTACTTGAAACCCTGTTTGCTTGGCAGATATCAGAACTGAACTTTGATGTTTCACAAAGTTCAAAACAGTTTAATTTCACAGGTTAGACGCGGTGACCTGTAGATCGTTTATGTTCCAGTTGCTGCGAGGGATAGCCTATTGTCATCAAAACCGCGTTTTGCATAGAGACTTGAAACCGCAGAACTTGTTGATAAATCGGGAAGGCGCTCTTAAGCTTGCGGACTTTGGGTTGGCGAGAGCGTTTGGTACTATTGCGTCTTTTTTGAGATTAATTTTAATTAATTACCACTAAATTACCACTAAAATATGAGCTCTAGATAACATGAACCGCCGCATGACGAACGAAGACATGGCTTAAGTGGAAAAATATGAGTCATATGGTGTCATTGTTTGCAGGATAAATCAAAATGGAAATCATGATACAGATACTCACTATGTATATACCTTTCCATATCATGTTGGAAGACTGACCAACTTCAACCAATCATCTTCGCACATGATCTACAACCGAAAAATTCCCATCAGGTATACCCGTGCGCTCTTACACGCATGAAGTTGTCACCCTGTGGTATAGGAGTCCCGACGTTTTAATGGGTAGTAGGAAATACTCGACACCAGTCGATCTCTGGAGTTGTGGCTGTATCTTTGCGGAGATGATAAATGGGAAACCGCTGTTTCCAGGCAACACAGATCCGGATCAACTACAGAAAATCTTCCGAATGCTGGGAACGCCATCGCCGCTGACGTGGCCGAGTACTTAGACTTTATGAATTACCTCTGCAAGGGTTTTGTTTGTTTTTTTGCTATACTTTCTTCCACATGCATCGAAGCCTTAAGAGGTAAAAAGAGTAGAAGTACAACAACTAAGCAAAAGCAGCGACATAAAACCACACCAACATAAAATCTCACGGTTCGAACCTGACTCAAATGCTCCCAGGCGTCGTCGAGCTTCCTGAATGGAAGAATGATTTTCCACGATTTGAGGGGAGGACGTGGGAACAGATAGCTAGTGCTATAGACGAATCAGCGATAGTCCTTGACGAAAACGGTCTCGATCTCCTATCCTTATTCCTCCAGTATGACCCCACAAATCGAATAAGCGCTCGCCTGTCTCTGGAACACGAGTACTTTAAGGGACTGCCTGATGCGGTGAGGTATATCCAGCAATGATGAGCAAATAAAAGCCAAGGAACTACGAAGAGAAAGATTAGGATTATTACAATTTTTGCGCAGCCACAGTGTTGGTTCTCTTTGGTGGCTGAGGCAATGATATCAGATTTCGCTTTGTTATAGGTATGACTTCTATTAGCCGTGGCTTTGATATGATTTTCGCAAACTGAAACATTTCTGATGATAAACGGTTTTGGTCAATTTTTTCACTTGTAGTTCATCATTTTGGAAATACAGTTTTTGTCTGCCTTTCGGGACCCCCGCTGAAGCAGACAATACGCACCCCTTGGCGTTCCAAATACCCCCCTTGTTCCACATTCCCCAAGCAGGAAAGACGATTTTGGGAGCAAACAGTTAAACACTGATTTCTTCACTGTACATAAGAATGTAACTATTTTCAAAAGTTGTATGCGACATGCTCACGTACAATCTGAGAGTGCCTCTGACTCTACAGTGTCCGGCTTTGCAAGGATAAGCTGATTTCCCAAATCACACCAAGTAAAAATATTGAAGGACCGACCACGTAGGACTGTATCCCCGGAATCGAGAGGAGAGCTGAGTGTGTCAGCAACCTGCTCAGTCATATTCCTCTGACATCTGTTTTGATTTTTCTCTGAACTGAGAGTCGTGGAGGGGCGTGCCGTGCTCTGCTGAGAGTCGGCACTTCTCATGTGATCACAGAGTAGCAAGTCGTTCTTGTCACGACCCGTTTTTTCCCCGTCGAAGCCAGGAATAAGACTCGGAGGAGGAAAATTTATCTAAGGTAGAATAGACGCCCTGCATGATATAGTGAGTGTGCCTACTTCTTGTTTCGCTTTTGCTGGACTTAATACTTTGATTTAAGTCTTCGAATGAAGAATACGAGTGACGATACGATATTCCGATACGACCACACCATGCCGGACTTGCTCGTGGTCTATAATCATTTACATCAGGGTTACAACTTTTATAACTATATTAAGTCTTCGAAAAAATGGCTTCCCACATCAACCCCTTCAAGTTTCTCCTCTCAACATTGAAGAATTCCTTGTTGTGCGATTTATGGTCAGCTTTTTTCCATCATTCTCGGCATCTTGGTCCCCTTTTCCCTTGCATTCTCGTGAAATACAAGGTAAAAGGGGTCAAGATGAGGGGGCCGAGGTGCAATCTAGCAGACTCTAATCGATTCTGCGACTGCTACGGCCCCACCTGTGTATGATGCTTTTCGAAGTTTCTCGGAGCGGCTACTTGGCCGTCAATCCGATGAGACTGGTCGTCAAGAAAAGAAGGGTGTCGATGATCCATGTGGCATCGCTACTTATCTGACTTGGCGTTTTTCGTACATGGTGACTGGGGTTCTTTTTTGCTGCATCCAACTCGGCTTCAGCTTCACGGAAATTAGCGACTTGAAGTCTGAATACGAAAAATTTCTGGCAGAACAAGTCGATTCGGAAATCCTCGATCTATCATCTGCAGGCTTGCTAGCTGCGTTCAAATCGTTTCTGGATGTCATTTATGCGTACGAACTAACCCTCTGGATATGCGGCATTGTAGGATGCGTTCTTCTGCTTGTGTCGGGTGTGATTTCGTGGCCGTGGTCATCTCTGGACGAGGGGACGTCAAGCGGAACAAACGTAACCCCTAACTATGCAGATACAAGTAGTCGTATGAAGACTACTACCACTATATCGTGCAGGCTGATGATGGTCGCATGGCTCCTGACGTTCCTTCCTCCGTTTATTGCGGTGATTTTCTTCCCAGTACGAATGCTGCTAGATTGGGATGCAGTTGTAGTAGGGATGTGCAAAGATGGGGTGACGTATGCACTCCTCTCCTCCGGCGCAGGGAGTTCTCTGATGCAAGACCAGATGCTTTTATTGAGTGAAGAAGCCCCTTCTGGAGATTTTAGCAACTTTGTAACAACAGTGACAACTTCTACTGGTGGTGGCAGTAGCGGGGTAGGGAGTGGCGCAATTGCAGCAGCAGTTGGCAGTGGCAGTAGCGGGATTGGCAGTGGGGCCATTGCGGCAGCAGTTGGCAGTGGCAGTAGCGGGATTGGCAGTGGGGCCATTGCGGGACCCTCCTCATCCTCAACAACTGTGGAACTAAACGGTCAAGCTATCGCATCCTGGTGCGAAGCAAAAGGTGCGGGTTGGAATGAACAATTTTTCCAAACGTTTGCGACATGCGCCAAAGCTGCAGAAGCGTCATGTCAAAGAAATACGTGTGATAATTCCCTTGTCACTGACGTTATCAGCGCGATTGTTCCCAATGCGACACTTTCTTTGCAGTTAGAGAGTAAGGTAAATCTGGCATGTTTGTCCAGCTGCGCAAACTTTGTGGCGGGGAGAACATCTAGCTTTTCCCCGGCTCTTACCGCACTACAGTCGCAGCGAAAGACTACGTATGCGAACGAGTTGAAGAATTGCGTAACTGCAGGAACGCCGACTTCCGCTGGAAGTGGCACTGCAACGACAGCATCTGCAAGTGTCGGTGGAGCAGCGCGGGAGCGTTCAAGGACAAGTCTGACAGCCGCAACACGTGACCTTTCAAATGACTTTAACGTAACTTCGCTCACTGAGGAACAGAGAGACGCTTATTATCAACAACTACAGACTCTGGCCGAAAAATCTAACACTGCTTTACACTCTGCTGACCAATTGATCGGATTGCTCGTTGGACTAGTCTTCGGGAGACAACTGCAAACAAGCGCCATGGGCCTAGTTGGAGGCATCGCTGAAGCTCTTTATAATGTCAAGTCCCTTTTTCCGGATGACAAATTTTCGCTCATCATACTCGTCACCACAACTCTGGAAGCGGTGTTGTTGATGGGCTCACTTCTCGGAGTGTTTAACCAAATTTTAGTAGGAGGAAGCAGTTCGTTGGCGTCGAACAATTTGGATTATTTCTTCACAATCGCGATAGTTGGGTTGGTCTTTTATGAGGGACTGCCTGCTTGGACTGGGTTTCGACTGTGGAGGAAGGCTGTTGAAGATGGTGCGGAAGAAGATGAGAAGAAGAAAATGTCCTCTGGGAATCCTCAGCGTGACCGATTATACCAAGAATGCAGGAACCAGTACTACGCCATGACCGTTTTGTTTCTCATTACCGGAGTTTCTCTCTATCTCTGGTCCCACCAAGACGACAAGCCGTTGTATGAACATGGTGTGACGGATTACGCAATAGAATATTGCTTGGATTTCAAGATGTATGTCGATATGGCCATAGCCTATTATGCGAAGAAGTGCGTGACTGCGGTTGCGACGACTGATCTGCTCTTGAGGGCATTCACGTCTGCTGGTATGGTAAGAGGGAATAAGGAATCGCAGATAAAGGTGGAGAATGAATTTGGTGTGCTTTTTGATATTGATGTAAAGGAGCAGAGGGCAACGTCTACGGGGAGGTGACGGGGCATCGTTTACATTATAAGATTTATACGCACGTTCTTAGTTGTTGCTTCTTGAAGATAGAAATTGTGACATGTATTTTTATCATAGCCTACATTCTGATCTAGAAAGTAGACATTTATGAAACGTGTGTTCAACTTTGGGCGGAACAGTAGGTGTGAGCGGGCGATATTTACTAGAGTGGATGAGCAAGCGCGAGTAGTGCAGATATGTAAATTAAGGTCGTAGCTCATCTCTTTTTTTGCGACTAAATCACTCAGCCGTTACCTTTGATCATCGATCAGAAACGAAAATGAAGGTGCCAGAGACAAGATTCTTCCGCTACCTCCTGCTCCTAAAAGGACTCTTATGCTGCTTCTTCCCATGCTTTGTTGACGCCAGCAAGACCCGTTTTGTCCATCCGATAAATCCTTGGGTCAAAAGGGATGCCGTCAAACTCTTCCCAGATCACGAGAGCGGACGCGCGCTTGTAGTTCGTGTGTTTCTTCAAGGGAGACGGGTGACAGGGATGAATGTTTTCGTTTGTCCAACAAGAAGCGTGGATGTGGATGGGTCAGACGAGCAGAGAGAGGAAGCTTCTGTGTATGAATTTTTCAACGTGCAGGAACCGGCTTGCGCCAATCCAGAGGAAGAACCATTAATGTCTGTAACACAGGGTACAAACTTGAAAGAGGCGCTGAAGAAATTTATCGATTGCGATTCCAAACTGACTTCTGACGGCCTCGCGACGTCATTGTCTATCGCGGCTGGTAGACGTGGTAGCAGATGGTCAGGCTTGAGTCAGCAGGATGTGGCAACTCGCGCAGAGAAAACAGCACAGAGTGTGCAGCGACATCGACTAGGATGGCTTAGAAGGTTATGGGAAAACAAAATTACGCAACCTCCTAAGTTGTGAGATGAATCGTGCCTGCATGCTACTACAACTGCAATTTTCATTCTCTTCATGCTAGCAATTCGCACGCGCCGAAAACGACAAACACAAAGGCTCGCTGCAACATGCGTTTGTAACGTGCCAACGCTGTGACAACCATGCATCCAGCACAGGCTCTATTCGTGTGGAACCTTTGCTCTATTTCCTCCAAGAAGAGTGCTTCATCAATGGCTTTTACCGGGAAATGGAGGCTCCTGGTTCTCCTGGAGGACTGTTTTTTCATGTGGATGACCGAAAGCAGGAAAGGACTCACCTTATTCGATTTTGGCGTGAATTTGAAGAGAAGCGTCGAAAGCACCGAGTAGGCGCATTTACTGGGGATGTGCAAAGAAAGAGCTATTTGGCGGATCTTCTACCAGGAACAGTGGAGTGGACACAAAATCTTCAAGCAGATAAAGATTCCACTCTACTACTGGAACAAGAGGATCCGAAAACGAATCCAGAAGCATACACTAGGAGACGGACCCTGAAATATTGTGGGTGGCTGACTGACGGTGAAGAAGGTGGCGAAAGCCTTAGCTCCGTTTTATCGACTGGAAAGCTATTGCACCAAGTGGCGACGAGCAACGATGCAAACTTTCTATTCGATCAAGAATCGACTTTTCACAGTGTTGTCGTACAAGGGAAATTTTTAGCTGCCGAAGAGGTCTTTAACAACATAGGCATCATTCCAGAATCATCGTCTACGTCGTCGTCTTCTTCGTCCCCTGCTGAAGTTCTTGTTAGAGAAGAAGCCGTAAAAAAAGTCCTGGCAGCAGTAGCGGATGACGGAGAGCTAAGCAAAATTCTGAAGGATCCGGGTATCAAAGTGGTACATGAAATCATTGCTTTGGGTTCTGGGCTTGAGAAACCTGATCAACATCGATTGTTGCTCAAGGACTTGCTGCCAGGTGTACAGACACGACTAGTGAAAGACTACAATACAGAACTAGTAGTCCATCTTCCCACGACTAAGCACTTGAGCACAGAAAATGACTTCGAATCAGTGCGCCAGTATGTGGCTGAGAAACTAAACCTAGAAATGGGTACAGGTGGGAAGTCTGCTTCCTCTTCTCGTTCACCACAAATATCGTACTTCCGCATTATGCCGGACCCAAAACGATTGCCCTGGGCATGTGAGCTTTATAAGAAGCTGTTTGAAGAGGATGGTTTTCGTCCGGTAATAGTGTCGACAACATTGACACACGCGATTCCACCACCATTTGAGTACACTGTAAAAACGAGAGCAGGAGAAGCTGGTCCTCTTGCTGGAGGAGGTGCATCTCCTCTGTGGAACCAGGTGGGAGACGAAACTGGGGATGCAGAAGATACCAAGGTAGTACTAGATGATTCGGCTCTGAAGAAGGTTCTTCAAGATTACACTAGTATGGATGAGGAGCATGATAAAACTTCCATGGAACAAGTGGAACAACAGGTTCAGGGCTCACCTTCAACATACACGACCCTAGAGGATTGGACTTTTGATTATCCTAGACCTGCCTTCTTACCTTTTGGTTTCACTGGCACCGCCTACACCCCTCAGAAAACCGCAGAGGAACTGAAAACTGCCATGCTGTCCAGACTACTGCCTTGTATTAAGGCTACAAGAAATCAATCTTCACAAGCATCCTGTGACCATTTTCAAGGGGAACAAGGTGCTACAGGATGCATTCCAAGGCGGATCTCTCTTAGTTCTAATTTTAGCGTTTCCTATTTTTTAAGACAAGTCTTGCCTGGGACTAGGAGGGGCAAATGGGTGGATTCGTCGCTTGGGGCAAAGGCGAAAGACCAAAAAGACTTCGTCATGTTCGTCTACACAGGCCAAAGTGGATTGTTTCTGAGACGCGACGTAGTGGAGCGATATCAAGAGAAAAGGAGAACTTCATCTGCAGCGATAGCGCGATATCAAGATGAAAGGAGAACGTCTACTGGTGCCTTCAAGAAAGAAGAAGAACAAGAGCCACAAACTCCTCTTACCACACTCCCACCACTACCTCAAACACTTGATGAATTTCAGTGCTATCTAGAAAGCGGCATACGGTCAGATGGTATAGTGTTTTCCTTGAGAAAGATTCGGGAGTGGTTATTTTCTGGCACCTCTGAGGTGGATATGGATGAAGCATCTCTTGGGAGTTTACTTCGTGGAAATTTGACGCAAGCTTTGGATTATTTGTCGTCAAAAAATAGCCCTCACTTTACTCCGTGGAACTCGATTTCAAAGTTGGACTTCTGTGTTGATGGAGTTTGCTTTGCTTAGGCGGGAAATTTACTAGGGCAATAGGCATGGCGTTGGAGGAACGATGCTGGTAATGCGAGGATCGTGTGTGTCCCTTAACCAGTGGTAGACATACTTCTTTGAAGGTTAAGGTAGTTCTGCTTGAGTGTGATCGGTACAACTTCTATCCGAGGAGAGAAGATCCTTCTTGATGATGTTCTGCACTGATTATCTGTGAAGTTCAAATTTCTCGGTTTGATACCTACCATGTTGTACTTTATGGACGACCTGTATTAATTGGCATTGGCAGACTATACAGCACTTCTACATACGAAATATGTTTACAACTGAATGAATGAATGTTAGTAAAAGACAGATGCTATTGTCACTTCTTGAGTGTAGTTACTTATACGTACTGTAGGTAATGATGTTATATAAAAATCTTAATCGCGTCGTGGCCTTTCCTGCAGCGGTTGTAATTTACCACACTGTGATTGAACTATCTTGTCTCGCCAGTGGTAGAAGAGAATGACCACCAGAGATGCATGACGATGATAAAGCTACTCGGTCGCTCACGCTGTCGGTGGCATGATTCCTCTGTGTCTTGTGCGAGAACGAAAAAACTACTCTTCGGTGTGAGCGTCTTCTAGAAATAGATACTACTAGCGGACGAAAAAAGGGGAAGTGGCGCGAGAATATCATATCAAACGAGCTTGAAAGACAATGAATTTCTCAAAAGGAGACCAGTAATGCCAAAAATTCAATGAAGAAGCACTGTTGTACAGAAAAAACCTACAACATGATTTCAAAGACTTCAAGAAAAACATTACCTCCTACGTAAAAGGAAGAGTCCAAACATTCAGTTGTTGTATCGAAAACACAGATAAAATCTAACACCATGCCGACTGCGCGAGGTCCGTTACCTCTGACCGAATTCTCTCCGATCAAGAAGCCAGCTCTGTGGGCTACTCCACAGAGCAACGATGGTCGTGCACAGGACGAAGAGGAATGTCAACATGGTTAAGGCTAGATTTTTAAGGGTATTTCTTGTATCTATAGCAGAGCAATTTATAAGGTTTCACAGCTCGCATGGCGTGGAGTGCATGGATCGCACGGAGTAGCATGGAGCTAAAGGGGGAGCTTCTTGCGCCCCTTAAAGCTCTGCACTCCATGCCACTCCATGCACTCCATGCACCACGCGCGCTATAAACTACTCTGCTATAGCGAAGTTCAAAAATGAAGGTCAAAAATGCAATTAGCGAAGTAGTTGCGCCATCTGTCATCTTAGCACCATCATGTGCTGAGGCTTTATGTATTTTGATTTTCCTTTTATCAATCTTTACGAAATGGACCTGTACTAGTCTGATGGTTGAAGAAAGGAGATCTGTAGTTCACTGGTGTAAGTACGTACCTCTCCTAAAAACATCAAAGCAGAGCAGCAGTCCGACCGCGCGGCGGAGCACCTCCATTAGCAGGAGAGTTGTTGGCCAATGTCAGGAGAGGTCACGAACAAGCACCTCCAATTCCACCAAGAAAAGGTGCTGGAACTGTTGATACCGCTGCTTCTTCCTCAGTAGGAGCTACTCTGTTACATGCAGGACAACATGTAGGGAGGAAAAACAACATGATCTCACCAAAGCGCCCTCTTGTGTTGGCAGACTACTGCTCATTACAGGATGAGCAAGCAGGAGAAATAAGCTGTACGAGTCACATAGCACACGACAATGTGGTAAAGATGGATCATAGTCTCAGTCAAGAAGCAGCTGTCTCTGGAGACGAGGAATCATGCACGGCGGACGAGCATCGAGGAGGTAAAAGAACGAATCTCGGCGCTTCTCGCGAAGATATCGAGGATGCGTCAGCGTCGCAGCACTTTATTACGGATAATAGGTGCAAGACTTTGTAACAGAATTCGTATTTTGTTTTTGTTTCAGAGTATGCAATTCCTGTTTTAGTTTTACTAGTTGTATTCGAACATCACTAACTAGTCCTTGTGAACTCCCTCTGATATCACATATGTTGAAAACTTCATTCCCACTGTCTTAACTTCATTCCCACTGTCCTCACTTCATTCCCACTGTCCTGACTTCATTCCCAATGTCTTGATGTCATTCACAGCACTGTCTTAACTTCATTCCCACTGTCTTGACTTCATTCCCACTCCTGTCTTGACTTCATTGCCACTGTGTTCGAGGAGCAGTCATATTCGTACGAACATATTCACGGAGGAACGTCATCCTGCGAACTGGACAATTCTACGTTATCACGCAGCTCCGATCCAGCACAGAGAAAGAGGGCATACACACCTGGCGTTTCGGAATTGGGCGTCCATCTACAGCAGTCTCCGCAGAAGCCGTCGCCCAAACAGCGACCGATGGGCAGCATGATCATCGCTACTGGGAATAGCGGAAGGAAACATCAAGGGTTATGATTGTGGAGTCATTTGCATTTGATGATCGTAAAGATTCTGATAAGGGTCATTTGCAGTTGGTGATGATGATGATGACACTTCTAAGAAGGGTAGCTTTTATTTGAGCGGGAGAATTGAGTGGTCTATAATGTTCGGAATGTGATTTCACCTGAAGCTGTAGGACGAAGATTGATTTTTAGCACTTTAGGACGATGTTCTTACTAACATTTAGACCTTCATCTAGTTCTAACCTAGAGTAACCCCATAATTGCGACATCAAGACCTCTTCCTCCCGGATCTGGACAACAGCACATAAGAACTGGCAGTGAAGTCGTTCTCTCCACGAGAAAACGAGTGAACCTCGGCGACGTGCAGCAGCATATCAAATCAGCAACTAAACTTGGAATAGACATGCACGATGTCCCGGCTGATACTCCAGGCTTACCGAACTGTAGGACTAGCATACGAGGAAGTGGACCAGCGTTTCAATTAAGGCTACCGCTGCAGCATTTCATTCCTTAACTACAGCATGATAATCCGTGGCTCTTCTTTTCCTACTTGAGAAAGAAGCCGCCAAGAATGCTGACGCTCTTAGGTAGCTCTAATCCAGCAAGCAACGCGAGCTTCGCAGAACAAACGGAAAGAACAGACCGATGCAGGAGGAACGCGATCAGCACCAAGTCGATTCCTAAGTTAAGGCTCAAAATACTGCATTTCTTTGCAAGGGTCATTTGCGTCGGTTTCCTTCTTAATCTGAAGAAATGAACTGAAGAAATATATTGTTTTGGGCTCTAACTAAGGGCTCCACGGATTCGCGCGCCGAGTGCTACTTTGCGGAGTAGGACGAATACTGCTAACTCAACAGAAGGAGATAACAGCAACAACATGAACTACATGCTGATGAATAATCACAATCCTCAAACTACTACCAGCGAAATTGCATCTGCCTCTACAACGTTTGCTCCCGGTCCTAGAGGTCCTCCAAGTGCTGTGTCTATTACTTCAGGAGCTACTGCTGGTGGAGCCTCTTCCCCCTCCTCTTCTTCTTCGGCAAATGCAACGGCAAATGCTGCTGATAGAATGGAAGTTCCGTCTGCGATTGAACGAGTTCCTGAACTAGAAGCTCAGCTAGACATACTGTTGACGAATGCGGAACAAGATCTTTTGCAGAGGCGTAGGCTGGAAGAAAGCGTCCGCGTGTTAACGGAAAGTGTGGATTCTTTGACTTTATGGAAAAATCTTTGTCAAAGAATCCACACTTTCCGTTAACACGGGAAAACTTGTTATTGTTGTACTACTCTCTATCACGTTGTGTGATATGCTCATCGGTCTGTTCGGTTCTGTTGGTTTCTCTTTCATTCTCTTTACCTCCGATCAGTTCCCCCTTCCTCTGGCTCTCTCGTCCACCCTCCACCACCTACACATTAATTAAATAATTAGAAATTACTTAAGTATAACAGAGTGTAATTACGGTTAACGGAAAGTGTGGATTCTTTGACTTTATGGAAAAGTCGGGAAAATTTGGTATTGTTGTACTAGATTTTTATTTCTTTTTGTCTTCATTTTCCCAAGAAAAGTCCGCAGCGCAACGTAAGTTGCAGATGCTGGAGCGGACGAACACGAAGCTAGCACGAGGTAAGGCGGCAGAGGCTGCTGCACGCTCTGACCGAGATCGGGAAGTCGAAGATCTCAAAGCGGAAGTAGTGAAATATGGCCTGAGTATAGACAATCGTTAAACGCTGTTTGTGATAAGCGAGAAGCAATAGTTAGGCATAGGCTTGATTTCGGCGTTGCATTTTCTGCACTAGAAATACGAAAAGTTGTTATACAATGAAAGCTCTGAGAATGCGTGTACTAGAAGAAGGATTCCGAATTTCTCTCACCATAGATTTCTTTCCTGTCTAGCTCTAAATTAAGGCAAAAGAGCTCGTCACCGATCGCCTATCAACACGCGCCACCGATGCAGCTTTATCGGAGAGCAAAGAGGAAATCGCCCATTTGCAAGAGCGCTTAGGATTATCAGACCGTCAAAGGGCAGAACTAGCAGATCAAGTAAGCACGTTGGAGATAGAGAAAGACGACTTACTCACAGCCAACGACTTACTGGAACAGGGCAAGCTCACTCTTGCAGAAGATGCTAGAAGGCAAGTGGATGAAGCTGCGATGAGGGAAGAAGAAGTGAATGCTGAAAAACAATCCCTGGAGACTTATGGCTTTAAGGTCTCAGGATGATCTTAGGGATCATGGATTAGTTTGTTGAGCTCTAAGATGTGAAAATTGCGAGTTTGACTGCAGAGATAGAAGCACAGAAAAAGCTAATCGAGGAAATCGAGCAGCATTCTCTAGAGCGCATCGCCAGATTACAGCGAGAAAACGAAAAGATCATCAAAGGTAGTGAAGTTTGCCTCTATTGCTGCCTCTTTCAAGTGTGGTAATGTTGCTCGTCCGTTCCTCACATTTTTACCCCGTGCCCCAACTTCTCCTCAAAGAAACGCCACAACTTATTAATTTATATTTGAGTCAACTACAAAAATTTGAATTCGTTTCACTTTCCATTTCCTCGCTTCTACGCAGATTTCACTGCAGAGCTGGAAGGGGAGGTGTCCAGACGGGAAAAACAAGAACGGGAGCACGCGGATGCTCTTCGGAGTGCAGAAGATGCGGCTTTTCAAAAGGGCGTTCAACAAGCTACTGCTAAAAACTTCAAGCCTTCATCGCTCGCGAAGCCGAAGAGTGTTGTTAGCAGCAAAGTTAAGGCATCATCCTCGAATCCACCTTCCAGAAGCAGAGCATCTTGGCTCCTCCTCCGTTTTTCAAGAAAGAAAAACGCGGCTCACGATGCTCTCCTGAAGATGGACCTGCTGTGGTTGTAGGTCTAACAAAGGCAGATCTGCCTCACCTACCAAGCAACAACCTACAGAGAGCAACACTACCAGTACCAGTTCATCTAAAATCGTCGATGAGGGTGTTTTCGTAGCACGATTTAAAGCGGCATTGCAGGAAGTGTTGTCGAAGAGAGCTACTGTGTTAAGGCTACCGCTGGAGCGTCCTCAGTGTCATCCTTGTTCTCCCTTTCAAGGGGAAAAGGAACCAAGGATGCGCCCAGGGATGCGACGCGGTAGCTCTAACTGTGGGTGTAGCTGGAATAGATCTTGATTTTCCTGTAGCCTTGTCAGAGGCCTTATCATCCAGTTTAGTTGTTGGCGATGGAAGCAACAAAAAGCAGGCTTCTTCAATAACAGAGTTGGTCACGACTTTGATGTCGGCTTTTACTGCTCATTTGGAGCACGTCGTGGAGAAGGAAAGTAGACTAGCTAGTAACATCAAAGCTTCTAATACAACCTCTCCAACCAGAGATCAGGCACTACTAGTCCAGTCCACAGATTCTACTACTACAGCATCGACAGCGTCTTCCTCATCGACCTCTTCATCAGCTTCGTCAGGTCGAGCCCTGCAACGGGCGATTGAGACCATGTACAATGGCAAAATCCACAACGGCAAGATGTACAACGGGAAACACTGCGATCTGTCAGCACTCGGTGGAACGGAAGATGAGGCATCCGATGTGGATGTGCAGACTTTGGTTAAGGGGGAGGTGTGTGATTGATTTGAATTCGTTAAGTGGAGATTATGATTTGAATTTGTTTTATCATCTTCATGATCACGAGGAAGTCGAGACTTCTCACAACTTGTCGTAGTCCCTAGTATCTTTCTGTGGAATTTTGGTGAGAAACATAAGCATTTACTTATAGACTTTTACTTACACGAACACGAATGACTACTCTATGGTACTGGTTGTACGGCGTGTGCTCTTCTTTCTCTAATTCTTTGAACTTTCTGCGTGAGCGACGAAATGAGCAGGAGAAACATCATAAGCAGCTTAAGGCTTTACGGCAGCTTGCGTGTACCCACGTGGTGTGCATGAAAAGTCTGGTGAAACGCGTCCATCGAGCACTGAGGCAACCGACCTCTGCCGCTGGGGGTGGTATATACCATGTTCTAAATATTTCAAGTATCCTTCTATATCATGTATCTATATTGCAAGTACACAGTTTCCTTCTATATTTGTGAGAGTCAAAGAACTCAAAGGCTAGGAGGTCTGAGTCATGTTTTTCTACTTACTCAAATTTTTCAAAGTTAGGAGCGAAGATTGATCCATCAATCTCCAGGTGGTATTCTCGACGGCAACAGTCCGAAGTCACCGAGTCGTCGGGGCAATGCAACAGCGACAGCGACAACAGCCGAGGAAGCACAAGAACACAGCGCCTCTTCTGGTTTTCGAGATGCGCATACCAAATCCGTCGATCCAAACACGTTCTACTCTCCGGCCAAATCATGCAGAGCTGTGTCACCGTCAGGGACACCACAGTCAGGGACATCGCAGAATGCTAGTAACGGGACGTTCAATGTTATGTTGCAGGAATGTTCATTTTGTACATTTATTTCAATGGAGTAGTAGAAATTGAAATTTATTGTACTACATCTAGCTCATGTAGTAGGGTTTTGGCCTGGAATATAGAAAGAAATGCTGTGCATACTAATCTAGCATGGAAGTAGAGTTCGGTGTTGAAAAATAGGCCTATCAGGAGGAGACACCCTTTATTGCAATTATCGAAGCGCCGTCCTCGGGCTCGGTACACCTACTTAGTACAACTATTGAGTCTTTTTCTGATTTCTGTGTGTTCTAATTCGGTGAGCGCCTCCAGTGCCGTGGCTTCAATTGATGAGGAACAGATCCGTGCCATCGTGAGCGAGGTGGACATGTCATTGAAAAACTTCCACTTAAGACTTCCGGAAATCTCCAATTTTGAAAGGCATCTAGGACCTCCCGCGTATAAGGGGGAAACGGGTCCGAGATGCTTTTCAAAATGGGAGATTCCCGCCTGGTCTAATCCACGCAGAGATTGACAACGTCTTGGAACATGAAGCATTGTTAAGGCTCCAAAGATCCCGACTTCTCCACGTGAGAGAGTCCCGTTAAAGTTCGTACTGCGCTTCGGTAGGGAACAAGGACTAGGCAAGTACTAGGGCTCCTGTACTAAGGCGAGTACTCCGGGGGCGAGTATTTTAACGGGGTCGATACTTTCACAGGATAAGTTGCTTGGGGTAGCTCTAACATTAGCCTGTGCCCGTAAGCAGCAAGAGCTGTTGGAAAAGGTAAGGGCAGTCTGTTCACCACACGCAGACCCAATTGGATAACGAGAGCAGTTGCTTGTACTACGTCGTCGCAGAAGTAGTCAAGGCATCGTGGAAACAAATGTCTATTGTTCTAATATTCATCATTATCTTTTTTGTTCATACTATACTACGAAGAGCTCGCTAGATGAAGATGTTTCATTTCATTTCAAGCCACGACTTACAAGTTTTGCCCAGGTGGTATTTTTCAGAGGAGTTATTATTACGAGAGTCACAGGAGTTATTGTGTCATGAGTCAATGCCATGCTAATGATTTCAATGAAACTATAACTAACAATTTAAGTTAGACTACAAACAACTCCAACAAGCAACTGTCTGATATGTAGAAGCTATAAGACCACAGGAGGTATTAGAAGATCTTAATGCAGCAGATCCTTTTTATAAGTTGTTGGTCCGATTTCATTACGCTGTTAGTAATAGTAGAGCTCTGATATTAAGGATTTTGTTCATGATGACTCTGTTCATGTCGTTCACCGTAGAAAGACTCCCTTCTGTCGTGGCTAATGGTGTTTAGACATACTAGATTTGAATGACTTTTATCATAAGAACGGCCTAAGTACGCCTAGGCCTACGTCTAAACCCTAAACCCTACTAGCTTACGATTATGATTTTTTGCATTTTCCTCAACATTGACATTGTATGAGTTGTCATTTCCTTATAGAAGAAAAATGCCCACCTTGCTGCTGTTTCCGTGCTACCAAGAAGTAAATTATAGCTAAAATTTCTTGTGACAACGTATTATTCCACGTGTTACATCCTTGTTTGTCGGGACAGCCTCAAATTTTTTTGCCGTATCTTCCGTCGGCTGAATATTGAATTATGTTGAGTTATCTGTTGTAAATGGAAATGAAATTGGAATGAGACCGACGACCACTTAAAAAGTCTCCTTAGAAACGACCAGTCTCGTTTTGTGAACCTTTCAGTTGGAAGAATGTACTAGGACAAATATTAATTATGGACGATGCAAATGTTTCCCGCCAGACGAGTGACGAGAGAGAAGATTATAAATATGCTTCTCAAGAACTTAAGGCAACGATCAAATTAAGGCAACGAGAGCCTCGAAGACGAGGGCCGCCCACGTCGCCGACACAAAGAAAGGCAACCTCTGAAGCTTCCGGACGAGCGCCATGCCTTTCTTCCGGACGAGCAAGTAAGCTCTTTCTTCATACATTTGCTTAAATTTGTGGTTTTGCAAAAATATGATCGATATCGTTTAGAGATTATCCCGAACTCCCAAATCATTGTCCGTCTAACGTCTCGTTGTTCTCCCTCGTCAGACATACAAAAAGCCGCTGTTCTTGAAATCGTGAAAAAAGGGAACTTGATTGCCGCTCAATATCGATAGATTCCAAGAGTCCTGACAAATCTAGTGTCTACCTTACGCTTAGAAATATTTTCGGAGAGGATGTCTTCATCACCGTAGTTATAACGCGTTTGATCCGATAGACTACCAGTGTCGTGTCACATCTTCCTGTTCACGACCATGAAGCGGCGTTCTTCTTCGCCGAACAAGGTTACGGGTACCACCAACCCATCTTTTACACAAAAGGACATCTTCGAGCTGCTTTCAGGTACTTCTTGAAAAGGGCTCGCTGCAGCTGCTAAAAGATGTCCACAAAGATGGGTAGAAGTTCGGGGTACCTCTAAGAAGGGGGGCGGCGTACTAGAGGCGGGCCTCATCTTCCCGGCAGAAGAAGATGCTACAGAAGAAGATACTACGAGTACTGACGAAGGGAAAGATATGAAGCCAGAATCTATTATCATTCTCACACTGAATGGTTCTGGTATTTGGTAACCTGATCGGGAGCATAAGGAAAACAAGAGGAGAGTCCTTGTGATCAAATTCAGGCTACCAAATACGAGAACCATACCCACACTCGTCTACTTGGGAAACTTGATAATGATAATAGATTTTCGCAGCTTCATGATAGAAGACTCACTCAGCTCGTCATCCGCAGACTCCTCAAATGCAAATCGAAACGGAACGATAGGAACAAGGCACAACCACAACCACCTTGGACATCCACGTCAAGCAGGTGCCGCGAGAACAACATCAGCTACTTCCACAGTTGTAAATAGTAAAAGTTCTTCTGGTACTGGTTCACGCAGTAATGTAATACGTCGGCCGGCGCATGATCTTCAACAAAATTTCGAACGGAAGCATAACGATGCAGTCAAGAAAAGCGACAATTCCACTTCTGGCAAGTTTTAAGGCAACCGCTGAAGCACCCCCTTAGATCACTATGATCCTTGGTTCGTTGGAACCTTTGGAAAATTCGAAAAAAAGCAAGGGTAATTACAGATGAAAGACAAACAATGTCAATGTCATGTTCTTTACAGCAATTTATCACAGATGACACACAACAAGTGAGGAAAAAGAAGAACCCAGCAGGGACATTATGACTCTCTTCAAGAAAGATGATGCGAAGAATGATCCTGAGAGCGCGGTACCAAGCTCTAAAAGTTGTTTCCTTGGTATACAGTACCATTGCGCGGTGGCTGGTACCAATTTTGTAGCATAACCATCATCTTCTTCAACAAATGGATTCTGCATCGGTTTCCGTATCCGGTGGAATTGACGTTATGGAACAACTTCTACTATTACGTAGATAGTACTAGGGTTTTAGGGTTAGGTGGGTTTAGGGTTTGGGTTTAGGGTTGGGTTTAGGGTTTGGGTTTAGGGTTGGGTTTAGGGTTGGGTTTAGGGTTGGGTTTAGGGTTGGGTTTAGGGTTGGGTTTAGGGTTGGGTTTAGGGTTGGGTTTAGGGTTAGGGTTTTAGGGTTAGGTGGGTTTAGGGTTGTGTCGAAGATGAAGAAGTGGACTCGATTCTTAAATCCTATCCACTCGCCGGGACGTCGAGGATCCTCATGCCTACATCTGCCGAAGTAGTAAGTGCCATATAATCCACCACTTTCGGATCAACCACCACATCAACCACCACATCAAGCTTAATGTACCTCCACATCAACCACCACATCAAGCTTAATGTACCTCCACATCAACCACCACATCAAGCTTAATGTACCACCACATCAACCACCACGTCAAGCACCTCCTTTCAAATCTTTCTAATGTCCATGCTGGGTTCCGCCATCCAGTTTTTCGTGTGCTGTTCTACATTCTTTTAAGGCTACCGCTGAAGCATCCTCAGCGTTTTCAGTGCTTCTTTTTCTACTTGAAAAAGAAGCACCTTGCAAGGATATTATGACTCTACTCACGGAAGGAGATGCGAACGCGGTGGCTCTAATTTTTCCTATCTTCCGGTTACCTCTTTATGCGAATGATGTTTATTCCATCCTTTTTACGACCATCGAGGCTCCCCCAAAGGCTCCTAAATACGCTTCGAAGGGGACGAAGAGGGTAGCCGCCCCCGCGATGGTCTGCGTAGATGGAATAGCCGCCATCCATACTCTTTTCCTGGGGAAGTGGGCGGGATGAGCCTTTAGCTGCATCAGAGGAGCCATCGGGCCCAGAGGATAGTGTGGAAGATGAAGAAGTGGAGTCGAAACTACAACTGCTCTTAAGGCTCCTACTGCTCTAGTACTTCTAGATGCTGCATTTCTTGTTGCAATGAATTCTAATCGATCCTCCAATAAGCCATAATATCAATCCGTACTTGATGATTTTTCTATGTTTCTCCGGTCGAACCTGATAGATAACCTTTTCTTTTTCCATATTTCCCCGGTCTTTGTATTTTCTAGTTAGGTCTGCGTGCTCCACCACACATATCAATCCGTGCGATCATCCTTCACGCCAATCCTAATCGGTCGTTGGCATTTTTTTGAGTACAAACTGACAAAGACAAAGTTGTAGCTATTAACAGGGATCCTCGATGCTGTTGCTGGCGGGAATGCGACTGCGATGGTGGTAGCTCTAACACTCGGAGATGGCAAAGAAGGCAAAGGAGATGAGGATCCTTTGGTGGAACAAGCAAGATCCGCGTCATACTTTCCTTGGGTGACGACGCAGATTTTAGGAGGTCCGCAGGCGATGGAGCATCGCCACTACGGAGAGATTGGCAAACGCTTGGTGGGTCTTGGGGTTTTCTTATGTTCTGGATGGAGTGTGGACATATCTTTCCGACAATGACATAAGAGGTGAGTAGAGGCTTTTTTTAGCACATCGGGAGTTTGTCTTTATACTTTCAAATGATAATACTTCGGAATCAAAGTAGATTGAGGATGAAAAGCTCGATTGATGCATCTGCGATCACATGAGAGAGCACCTCTTCATCCACCTTCACAATATATTTCTAATCTTCTTCTGCATCACAGTGATTCTATCAAACTCCGCTTACGCCTTTCTGCCCGTCGGCTTTATCCAGATCATGAAGCCGACTTGCTGTATCATAGGTTATCCGATGTCAGTTTTCCTCTTTCCGAGCTCTGGGGAAGACAGGTGGAACCCACACGTCGCACGCATTCTCTGCGCTATCATCTGCTCTTTTCTTTTATGGCGTAGCCAGTGTTTGTGGTCGTGGTCGTGCTAAGTAATGAGAATGAGCTGTGAGACATCAGAACTACCAACACTGCATTACGACACAGACGGACTCACGAGGACGTGGAAGTAGATACAACCGCAGCGACTCACTATAATTGTTCTTGAATGCATGATCTACCTATTAGGACGTTCTCGGATTTTTATGAGTATAGAGTTGGAGGGAGCAACTGTTTATATATAGGTATCATCCGCAACTGTTTAAGTATCTGAATTTCGTGCTTGTGATTTATATTTGTAGCGAGCGAGCTTGTCTAAGACTCCTCGTTGTAGTCTCCGCAGATTTCGATATGATGGTGCAGAACAGTGGTCAAGTCGGCAAAGCGTGGATCCTCGGTTTCGCGCCAAGTTTTGGCAACACTGGGTTATGATTTCATTTTGTCGGAAGACATGATGTTCATGAAGCTAAGAGGTGGACAGAGAAGGTGTAAGTGATTTTCTTACTTACTTGGTTGTACTTCTTGGAGACAAGTGTGTTCGTGTTGGGACATCATCGTGGTCCTGGTCTAACTGTATCTATCAAATGGAGGACTGAAAAAGTGTATCCTGTAGATCATGTAGATCATCATCCCTACAGAAGACCTGCTCAATCACTACAGAAGACCTGCTACTTCCTTCTAACCCCAGCATTGATCACTGCTGCAGTTCTGACTGCTGGGTTCGTGGTCCAAATGGCGTCGCAGATGTCTCAAGTCCTAGCTATTTTCATGCAGAAGTCACTAGTGCAAGGAGCCAAAGCACGAGAAACAAGTGACGACTTGGACGCAGCTAAGAAACAGACGATGGACAAGAATTCTATTCTTTATGGCTTGGTTAGAAAAATGAAAAGTTTCGAGATTGGATTTTTGCTGGAAGTAACACCCCTTCTCCATGGACAGATTAAAAAAGCTTTTCCCGCAGATTTTCCGCTGTCGAGAAGATGGATTTAAATACATTTACCTTTTTTTACAAGAAGAACGAACAAGAGTATTAAAGTTGTACGTTTACTTTTTTACAAGGAAGAAGAACCTACCAACTGAACATACAACAGAAGTAAAGTTCAAGTTCTAAATCTTCCTGCTCAGCCAACCGAGCGCCTTAGTGCTTTTGACCGCGATATCCTATGGAATGCACTCGAGTGCGTTATTGTTGCCTGACAGCGGAATGCTGCACCCACAGACGGACTTTCGAGGCTTCCTAGATTACAGTACGAAGGCTCATGAGGAAAACACCCTTACCATGTTGACTCGAACCCAGAACCGATTAGACCTTTACCATTCGCCGTACTCGCTGTTGTTTTTTCTACTTTATGAAATTATAGGAGTTATCAGCGCCAGCATATAATCTGTAGGTGTGTAGTTTCGCTGCCCTTTTTTTTCACTTTAAGTATGCTTCCTTGCAGCAAGGTTCCACTGCTCGTGGTTTCCACTGCTCGTGGTTTGTCAACTCATACGCAATTCAAAAATTCGAGTTCCTCTCTTCTTAGTTCACTTAAGTTGAGGGGCTAGCTTGGCTTCATTCACTCGTCAACAAGATGAATATTTTTATGATTGTCATGATTAGTTGTGGGCCCCCACTTCTAAATAGTACTATTCCCCCACTTCTAAGAATTCCTGGGTAACGCACTACTGGGGTTGATTTTGCAGCATTCCGTTCTAGCACTTCTAGAGTGCTCTTCTCCTCTGACGTACTTCGTGTTGGGCGTGATGAAGGACGTCTTCGTTGTGCAGTTGTCAGCGTTTTTTCTAGCGGAGACGCTGAATACTATGCAAATCGTCGGTTTCGTATGCGTGATCGTTTCGTTCAGCGCCTACACCTTCATCCGAGAGACGCAGAACACGTATTTTCACGCGGACAATTAAGGCTTGCTGTCTCTTTAATCGTGTACTACCTAGGTTCGTTTGAAATGCCTTGAGTGAGAAGCATCTAATTTGATACCTTGCCGTCTCAAGAATCGGTTAGGTTTGAAAGACCTTGAGTGAGGAGAAGCATCTGGTTAGTATCCTGGAAGGTTTTTTTATCAGGGAAACGGAAAGTGAGTGTAAGTATGACTACCAAGAAGATGCTCCCTCTCTAGGATGAAGCAAAGTAGGTATAATTTGAATTCCATCTAAGACAAGGAAAGCTTCTCAGGTTGTGTCAAGGATGCGCTTCTGGGGTCGGCGCCGAGAGTTGCAGATTTTCTCGGTCTCGTAGAGGAAGTGAAGTTTCTGCCGCACGATGACGTGAAAGGGGGGAAGAGCCATGCAGTCGACACAAGTAAACACCATTTAGTCGACAACAAGACGAGCCAAAATGAGAAGGCGTCCGTGCCACCAGTGTCATCGGGATCATCTAAGGCTACTTATCATGTATACTAAGACTGCTTGAAGATATAAGCATTTTACTACCCAATTTTCGACTTCCACTTCACTATCCACCGACTCTGTTGACATCCATGTAAAGACTGTGTGTCAGAGCTCTGCAGTCTGAGTCTTGTAACCAACGGCCTCCTCTGCATACTTCTAATCTCTCAAGAACTGTGACGAATGCAACCACATCAAGCAGTTGTACCAAAATCCGCATGGAAATCATGGATAGCAACACGAATGCGTCTGCGATCCGTCAAAGGTTGTGGACCGTTTTAGTGCCGTTGTTTTTAAGGCGTAGGTGCTTGAGAAGATTAGAATGAAACTAACACTCTGACTAATAGCAATTATACGGATCCAGACACATCAAGGGAAGTGTGGACCAAGGTAGTTGTAAAAACACATCAAGTGAAGTGGGAGCCAAGGTTGTTGCCAATGTCTTCGAGTACTACTTCTATTTCGCGGAGATTAACTAGGGTGAGGAAATCTTCGGCAGATTGAGGAACAGACCCACATTATCAAGTAGAATATATAAGAAATGAGGTGAAATTATGGAAAGAAGAGAGTGTGATGGCTAGAATTTAGAAGGCCGCCGCGCGTATGGCCGCGCGCGACAACTCTAAGATTGCTCATGTCTGGCCTCGCGCTCTTCATGGTAGTCGACATTTACGCACGCAGACTTTACGCCCCAGAAATTGAAGGAGCTGCCCAGCGGTCGGAGAAGCTATTACGACGACAAATTCTTTGAAAACCGCATTCTGTTCTGGTTCATCTTGTCTAAGTTTAAGGTGTGCCCACTGCCCGCTGAGTTCTTTGCGCACAAGAAAGCAGGAACATCTTCTGACTTCTTTCTTTCTAATTCTAATTTTCCCACAGCAACGAAAAGCAGCAGTTTTGACTCGCGAGGATTTGGAGGCAGAGGAGGCCCTTGAGGCCTTTGGCCCAAGTGCTCTTGCAACTGCTGGAGTAGCGCTGCCGAGTGACGAGTCTACAACTAGTCTCGTGGATCTTGGTTCAGGTGGACTTCGTGGTAGTATTAAGGTTTTGGTTTCAGAAAATAGAGAGAGTGGTCATTCCTGTGTGTTGTTCACTAATATCGTTCGAAAAGAACATGTTTGATAAGATATGTATTCATACCGTGGGATATAGATATGTCTTCATACCGTGGGACGGATAGTCGCCAGAGAGGAAGACGTTGAATTATTAGTCCCTGTCAGCATAAGACTCAGACTCTTCAACTTCGAGATTGCACTATATTTCCTAATATTATAACGTCTACATGCGCATTACTGTCGTGGAAAGCTCTAATGTCCTCGTCGGAGGCGCAGCAAAGCCGAGTAAACTTGGACTCATCTCCACAGGAACGGAAGGCAGGACGGACGTAGAGCCTGCGAAGCATGCTGCGAAGACCTCTGTGAAAGTGAATCATAGACATGGATATCATAGCAAAAGAGACTTTTCTGTTTTTACGGGTAGTACTTCTTCTTTCGCACAACGAAGCGAGAACAAGATATCAGCGCAGCAACAAGTAGAACGAAGGGGAGGCAACAATACATCATCTACATCTTCTTTTCAAGCAGTTGTAGGAGCGGAACAACAACAAGACGGCAAGCGTGTTTTTTGTTTTGTTTGGAGTTTGCTCAACAACGCGGCTGAGCGTAGAAGGTATGAATACACCCGAACCGAACTGGCGAACGTCTGCGACGGGCACATCTTCTTCTCACCAGCACACGTGCCAGGACTGTCATTATGGATTCTGCAACTTGACAGATGGCTTCAAAATCAAGCACATTAATTATCGTGCATATATTTATAACTCCCCAGGACATTATCGAGAGGTGCGCCCCGGGTAGGAGGCGGAAAGAGGGAACCATCGTGCGGGGCGGCGGTGGCGCAAACGCCACCGGGCTCCCCGGTTGAAAGTAACGCGAAAGCGCCCGGGCTGTTGCTTGTGTGTTGGTGTTCGGTTCTTGTGTATCTACGTCTAGCCCGTTCAGAATGATCCCGAGCACCGCCCAAACGCCTGGCGGCTATTTCTACGGTCACACGGGTGCCGTGGGTGTTCTACCGCTTTCAGCTGTTTGCCGTTTGTTGGTTGTCGTGGTTTTCGTGCTTACCTTGTCCAGAATGATCCGGAGCACTACCCAAACGCCTGACGGGTTTACCGTTGCGCGGGTGGGTCTGGTTTTCCAAACTTCTCGGCCGTCGCTTAGTTGCTTGGCCGTCTGCTTTTTTGTATGTTGTTCAGAGTTCAGCTCTGACCTTGCTTTCAGCTTCGAGCTTTCAAGCGGCTCTCTCTGGGCTTTCGATTCAGCTCCGAGCTTTCAGCCTTGGCCCCTCGGCTTTGGGCCTTCAGCTTTGGGCTGTCAGGTGTGGGCTTTCAGCTTGACACTTTAAGGCCCAGGGCTAACCAATTCCCATGCCTCTTTCAATTTTTTCAGTTTGTTCATTCAGGCTCTGGGGGCTTTGGCTTTATATTATCGCGTAGGTTTTGAATGGATTTAGTGCCCATCTGCGTGAAGTCAGGGCTAACCCCTTCCCGCGCCTTTCTTTCTTTCAATTTTTTGGCTTCGAATTCTAGAGCTATAAGCTTCGGCGCTATCGCGAAGGTTTTAATTTAACTTTCTTTCACACGCATCTGCGTGGGGTCAGGCCTAACCAATTCCCAAGCCTCGCGCGCAGGCTCATAAGCTTGCAAGCCCATAGGCTGTCCATAAGTGCCGGCGCCGATACTGGTGGCGATGGGGGTGGAGGTGATGCAGGTCCGCCGATCGGGTGGGGGGGGGTGCGTAGGCTCCTAAGTTCACAGGAAAAGTTGGGGAGAGTTGGGAAGGGTCGGGAAAAGTTGGGGAGGGAGAGCTGGGAAAAGTTGGGAAGAGCCGGGAGAAGCTGGAAAAAGTTGGAAAAAGCTGGAAAAAGCTGGAGAAAGTTGGAAAAAGTTGGAAAAAGCTGGGAAAAGTTGAGAAAAGTGGGGGAAAGCTGGAAGAAGTTGAGGAAAGCTGGGAGAAGCTGGGGAAAGCTCAGCGGTAAGAAGTTAGGGGAAGCTGGAAGAAACTTGAAAAGTTCGGGAAAAGCTGGGAAGAGTTGGGGAGAGTTGGGAAAAGCTGGGAGAAGTTGGGAAGAGTCGGGAAAAGTCGGGAAGAGTTGGAAAAAGTTGGAAAAAGCTGGGAAAAGATGGGAAAAGATGGAAGAAGTTGGAAAGAGCTGGGAAAAGTTGGGGAAAGTTGGAAAAAGCTGGGACAAGTTGGGAAAAGTTCGGGAAAGCCGTAAGAAGACTAGGGAAAGCCGTAGGAAGACTGGGGAAAGCTGGAAGAAGTTAGGGAAAGCTGGAAGAAGCTACAGAAAGCTGGAAGAAGCTAAAGAAAGCTGGGGAGAGCTTGAGAAGCTGGGGAAAGTTGGGAAAAGCTGGGAGAAGTTGGGAAGAGTTCGAGAGAGTTGGGAAGAGTCGGGAAAAGTTGGGAAAAGTTCGGGAAGAGCTGGGAAAAGTTGGGAAGAGTCGGGAAAAGTTGGGAAAAGCTGGAAAAAGCTGGAAAAAGCTGGAAAAAGCTGGAAAAAGTTGGGAAAAGTTGGAAAAAGCTGGGAAAAGTTGGGAAAAGTGGGGGAAAGCTGGAAGAAGTTGAGGGAAGCGGGAAGAAGCTGGGGAAGGCTCAGCGGTAAGAAGTTAGGGAACGCTGGCAGAAGCTTGAAAAGTTCGGAAAACCTGGGAAAAGTTCGGGAAAGTTGGGGAAAGCTGGGAAGAGTTGGGAAAAGCTGGGAGAAGTTGGGAAGAGCTGGGAAGAGTTGGGAAGAGTTGGGAAGAGCTGGGAAGAGTTGGGGAGAGTTGGGAAGAGTTGGGAAGAGTTGGGAAGAGTCGGGAAAAGTCGGGAAAAGTCGGGAGAAGTCGGGAAAAGTTGGAAAAAGCTGGAAAAAGTTGGAAAAAGTTGGAAAGAGCTGGAAAAAGTTGGAGAGAGTTGGGAGAAGTTGGAAAAAGCTGGGAAAAGTTGGGAAAAGTCGGGAGAAGTCGGAAAAAGTTGGAAAAATTTGGAAGAAGCTGGAAAAAGTTGGAAAGAGTTGGGAAAAGTTGGGAAAAGTTCGGGAAAGCCGTAAGAAGACTAGGGAAAGCCGTAGGAAGACTGGGGAAAGGTGGAAGAAGTTAAAGAAAGCTGGGAAGAGCTTGAAAAGCTGGGGAAAGTTGGGAAAAGCCGGGAGAAGTTGGGAAAAGCCGGGAAAAGCTGGGAAAAGTTGGGAAGAGCTGGGGAGAGTTGGGAAGAGTTGGGAAGAGTTGGGGAGAGCTGGGGAGAGTTGGGAAGAGTTGGGAAGAGTCGGGAAAAGTTGGGAAATGTTGGAAAAAGTTGGAGGAAGCTGGAAAAAGGTGGGAAAAGTTGGAAAAAGCTGGAAAAAGTTGGAAAAAGTTGGAAAAAGCTGGAAAAAGCTGGAAAAAGTTGGGAAAAGTTGGAAAAAGTTGGAAGAAGGTGGAAATAGTTGGGAAAATTGGGGGAAAGCTGGGAAGTTGGGGAAAGCCGGGAGGAGTTGGGGGAAACTGGAAGAAGCTGGGGAAAGCTGTAAGAAGTTAGGGAAAGCGGGAAGGAACTTGAAAAGCTTGCAAGAGCTGGGAAAAGTTCGGAGAAGCTGGGAGAAGTTGGGAAATGTTGGGAAGAGTTGGGAAAAGTTGGGAAAAGCTGGGAAAAGTTGGGAAAAGCTGGATAAAGTTGGACAAAGGTGGAAAAAGTTGGGAAAAGTTGGGAAAATTGGGGGAAAGCAGGGAGGAGTTAAGGAAGGCCGGAAGGAGTTGGGGAAAGCTGTAAGGAGCTGGGGAAAGCTGTGAGAAGTTAGGGAGAGCTGGGAGAAACTTGAAAAGTTAGGAAAAGTTGGGAAAAGCTCGGAAAAGTTGGGAGAAGCTGGGAAAAGTTGGAAAAGTTCGGAGAAGCTGGGAAGAGTTGGGAAAAGCTGGGAGAAGTTGGGAAGAGCTGGGAAGAGTTGGGGAGAGCTGGGAAGAGTTGGGAAGAGTTGGGAAGAGTTGGGAAAAGCTGGGAAAAGTTGGGAAAAGTTGGGAGAAGCTGGGAGAAGCTGGGAAAAGTTGGGAAAAGTTGGGAGAAGTTGAGAAAAGCTGGGAAAAGCTGGGAAAAGTTGGGAGAAGCTGGGAAAAGTTGGGAAGAGCTGGGGAGAGCTGGGAAAAGTAGGGAAAAGCCCGGAAGAGTTGGGAAGAGTTCGAGAGAGCTGGGGAGAGCTGGGAAGAGTCGGGAAAAGTCGGGAGAAGTCGGGAAAAGTTGGAAAAAGTTGGGAAAAGTTCGGGAAAGCCGTAAGAAGACTAGGGAAAGCCGTAAGAAGACTGGGGAAAGCTGGAAGAAGTTAGGGAAAGCGGGAAGAAGTTAAAGGAAGCTGGAAGAAACTGGAAGAGCTAGGAGGAGCTGGGGAAAGTTGGGAAGAGTTGGGAAAAGCTGGGGAGAGAGAGCTGGGAAAAGTTGGGAAGAGTCGGGAAAAAGTTGGGAAAAGTTGGAAAAAGCTGGGAAAAGTGGGGGGAAGCTGGAAGAAGTTAAGGGAAGCTGGAAGGAGCTGGGGAAAGCTCAGCGGTGAGAAGTTAGGGAAAGCTGGAAGAAGTTAGGGGAAGCCGGAAGAAGTTAGGGAAAGCCGGAAGAAGTTAGGGAAAGCCGGAAGAAGTTAAAGAAAGCTGGAAGAAGCTTGAGAAGCTGGGGGAAGTTGGGAAAAGTTGGGGAAAGTTGGGAAAAGTTGGGAAGAGCTGGGAAGAGTTGGGAAGAGTTGGGGAGAGTTGGGGAGAGTTGGGAAGAGGTGGGAAGAGGTGGGAAGAGTTGGGGAGAGCTGGGAAGAGTTGGGGAGAGTCGGGGAGAGTTGGGGAGAGTCGGGGAGAGTCGGGAAAAGTTGGAAAAAGCTGGAAAAAGTTGGAAAAAGCTGGAAGAAGCTGTAAAAGGTTGGGAAGGTGGGGGAAAGCTGGAAGAAGTTCTGGAAAGCTGGAAGGAGTTAGGGAAAGCTGGAAGAAGCTGGGGAAAGCTGTAAGGAGTTAGGGAAAGCCGGGAGAAACTTGAAAGTTGGGGAAAAGTTGGGAAATGTTGGAAAGGTTGGGAAAAGCTGGGAAGAGTTGGGAAAAGCTGGGAAAAGCTGGGAAAAGCTGGGAAAAGCTGGGAGAAGTTGGGAAGAGTTGGGAAGAGTTGGGAAGAGCTGGGGAGAGTTGGGAAGAGTTGGGAAGAGTTGGGAAGAGTTGGGAAAAGTTGGGAAGAGTCGGGAAGAGTTGGGAAGAGTTGGGAAGAGTGAGTCGGGAAAAGTTGGAAAAAGCTGGGGAAAGTGGGGGAAAGCTGGGAGAAGTTAAGGAAAGCTGGGAGGAGTTGCGGAAAGCTGGGAGGAGTTAGGGAAAGCTGGAAGGAGCTGGGGAAAGCTGTAAGAAGTTAGGGAAAGCGGAAAGAAACTCGAAAAGCTGGGAAAAGTTGGGAAAAGTTGGAAGAGTTCGAAAAAGTTGGGAAGAGCTGGGAAAAGCTGGGAAGAGTTGGGAAAAGCTGGGAAAAGCTGGGAGAAGTTGGGAAGAGCTGGGGAGAGTTGGGAAGAGTTGGGGAGAGTTGGGAAGAGTTGGGAAAAGTTGGGGAGAGTTGAAAAGAGTTGAAAAGAGTTGGGGAGAGTTGTGAAGAGTTGGGAAAAGTTGGGAAGAGTTTGGAGAAGTTTGGAAAAGCTGGGAAAAGTTCGGAAAGTTGGGAAGGTTTGGAAGTTCATGAGTCAGAAGCGGAAGGCTGAGAGCTTGGGGGGGTGCTGTCGTTTCTGTCTTCTGCCGTTGTTGTTTTCGTGTGGTGTGCTGTGCTCTCTTTGCTTTTTTCGTGTGCTCTGTTTGCTTTGCTTTTTTCGCGGCTCGGTTGTGCTTTGCTTTTTTTGTGTTCTGTGCTTTGCTTTTTTCGTGTGTTGTGCTTTGCTTTTTTTTTGTGCTGTGCTTTGCTCCTCTCGCGTGTTGTGCTTTGCTTTTTATTTTTTCCTGCTGTGCTTTGCTTTTTTTTCGTGCTGTGCTTTGCTTTTTTTTTGTGCGGTGCTTTGCTTTTTTTTCCTGCTGTGCTTTGCTTTTTTTTTTGTGCTGTGCTTTGCTTTTTTTTCGTGCTGTGCTTTGCTTTTTTTTCGTGCTGTGCTTTGCTTTTTTTTGTGCTGTGCTTTGTTTTTTTTTCGTGCTGTGCTGCAGTTTTTTTTTTTGGCCCGAAATGTTTAGTTTAGATATATATGCAATAAGCATAAGTAAAGGAAGATGTCATTAATTACAGGCTGACTTAGTTATTTACGTAGTGCTATCGCTATGCTTCGAAGAATGAACATGACGATCAATAAATGAGAAGATCCTCCTCGACTGGATGTGAAGAACCTTGAAGCTCTTTAAGGTAGATCGAGGAAAAGGATGCGGACGCGCTGAAGCTGTCGCAGCTTGAATACGATGACGCTGTGTCGATGCGCAAGCGTGAGATCTACGCACGCTTAGTGGAGTTAGGAGGACGAGCGGCCGAGAATAAGGATGCAGGAAGGAACAAGGACAAAAGGAATTATGGGCGTAGGGAATTTTTAGAAGAAGATATTATTTATTATTCTGTAAAAACATTATCTTCTTCCTTTGCAGGGAATTCATCATCTCCAACAGAGTCTGTCATATCTGAGAGAGAGAGAGAGCAAGACGGTGGAAAAAGGAGACGCCCAGATGATGCTCGAGATGATTTCCCTCTCTAACCAAAGAACAAAAGCAAGAACTACAAGGACCATAAGGAAGGGAAAAGGCATCAAGGCACCAACAGCAAAGATGGTAAGGCTAAGGAGAGCAAGAACAAGGATGTCCACGGTAAAGAAGTGAAGAACAAGGAGGACAGCAAGAACAAGGAAGCTCTTATGAACAAGAAAGCATCTTCTAAGATGAAGCAGACCACGATGAGCAGGCCTAGCACATCTAAGAAACTACAAGAGAAGAGTACCAGGAGTAAGAGCTCCTCTGGAGCAACTACTCCTCAAAAAAAGACGCTGCTTAGACACGATAATAACGCGAAGGAGAGGAGGCGGACGTCTGGCCAAGCGCCTCATCGCGAGTTCCTAGAACAAAAAAGTTAAGGCTGTAGACAGTGTTGCTTTTTTTTGTGTGCGTTGTTAGTTTGATGATCCTTGCCTATGCTGTCCTAAGGATACTTCTTCCAAGTGTCCTAAGGTTGTTTGATGATTCTTTTTAGTACCAATAATTCATCCAAGTCCTCGTGTCCTAAGGGTACTTTTTCGAGTCCCAGCAAAATGAAAATTGATCAACGAATAGGCGGCACTTTGCGTCCTGCGCTAACAAAGTCAGCACGAGAGCAAGGTAGTGAGTCTCGCTGAGGTTGAGGCGGCTGACGATGCTGACCTAGAAGAAGACAGCTTAGCACTCGAAATGGAGGAAGTATTGCAGGATGTTGACGCAAGACAGTATCAACTATTTGAGGATCATGCTGATCATGGTCATGGAATAGATGTAGGACTAGATGGAGTAGGAACAACGGGTATGAATAACCATGCTGCTGGAGCAGGAGGACCTACGATTTCCTTAGTACGCAGTGGTCAGGAAATGGAGGACGGGTTGCAAGCTTCTAGTAGAAAGAAGCGGTCGGCGGAGCAAGTGATCACATCTCTACTGAACAGTGTGACCAAAGCAGAAAAGCTCATGCTGAGTGACAATTATGACACAGGTTTCGACTTTCGATGTTGTAGCCTATCTTTTCATGACGATCGTCTATGTCTCCCAATGCGTGGACGCTACAGATTGCGGCGGGTTTTTTCTGCAGCCTCCTGGTTGCCTTCGTTACTGTGTAAGTAAGACGAAAGCGCGCGCTTTCTCTAGTTGGCACCGTCGCCATTTTGATGGCTCAAGGTATCATGTCGCGACCTGCTACGCGCGGTCCTCTGCTTTTACCGTGAGATGCTTGCGTCAACCCTCATCCTCTTCTATTCTAACCTCAAGTCCTGGAGGATCTGCGCAGTGACACCAACATGACGCAAGTGGATGTGACTGTCTTAGCAACGACGAGAGCCGCAGTTGCGAGGACGCCGCAAGAAGTCGACGCATTGCTTACCTGGGGCCAGAAATCTACAGGATCCGTGGAAAAAGACATCATCCAGTTGGACTTGAAACATTTTATGCAAGTAGAGTGGCCGTGGCCCTATGATTAATGATGAAAGAACCCTTTTTTTAAATTTCCACCTTTCAGGAGCAGCAGATTTAATTTCTCTCGGAATATCTTGAACTCGTCTGGGAAATCTTAGGCAGCTCGCCGAATAGATTCAATTCGTCATCTTGAAGATCATCATCTTCGTAGGCTGCTGCACAGTTGTAGATTAGACGTATCTCTATGTGCTGGGCCTCTTCCCCTAGTACTTCACTTACTGTAGCTTCAAAATCTCCACGACTCCATCCATCGTTCATATACCTGAACAACGATCCGAAGAAAATCACGGGACATCAGAATATGAAGGGGATTTGGCCGTCATTTGCATGGATGCTGAAAGAGAAGAAAAACTTTGCCCAATTCAGCCACTTCTTCCTAGTGGAGACTGATCACTTTATCGTCTCCCGTACGCAGCTCAACAAGGCTATTGACGCTATAGTATTTTTGTACTTCGTACTAGGACGTCCACTTCGGAGGATCATGGTTTTAGCTTTTTTATAATGCAGAGGACACAGACTGAAAAATTTCCACTCCTTTTGGTTAATATTCCTTGTGTGTCATGGTCATGAAACAAATAAAGCAATAACATCAATTTTTTTCAACTTTTGAGTTTGAAGATCAGCACAAAAAACACTCTTGTTACAGGAAGCAGCGGCGCAGAACGGGGGTGGGAACCCTACGGTAATGAACTTCGGGAATTCGGTAATCTTCAACGCTGGAAGCGTCAGCTGCATGGGAGACAAATGTTACGGAGGAGATTGAGTAGTGGTCAGTCTCAGGAGATTTTTGGGTAGTGGTTCCAATTTCTGAGTTGGTTCCGCTTTCTGTTGAGTAAATTAAAATTAAGTATATAATTTCTGAGTATATCAACCTACAACGGAGAATTTTCTTCTAACGAATGAGTGATGGAGTGGGTAAGGTCGCAAAATAGATCAATCTGAAAGAACCATCATGAAACTGAAAAAATCCCTTGTCCACGATTGCATTGCTTATAGATAGGTGAGGGTGTAGCTTTAATATCAGACACTCAGCATTGTGATCATGAGTATGGAACTACCCTCTAAAATTCGGAGAGCCTGGGCAAGCTTCATCCGGAAGCCACAGCGGAACAGGTAGCACAGGATGAGAGGTCCAAGGAAGTAGGTGGATGCCCTTTAAGAAAATGCTATATTCTGGCTTTATAATTTCATGTCTCTGTGGTTACAGTCACAGTCTCAGATTTGATGGCATTTTTCATACATGATGCACTCATGATGTGTACGAAGAATGACCGGCTGGTTGTGTGTTTTTTTTTACGGTGTCCAAAGAAAGATCCAAAGTTTAAAGTAGCAGGATGATGATGATGATGAAGATTTAGTTCTTTTCCAGATTGGTAAGCGTAAGCGGGAGCTCGACTAGATCATCTAAGAGCCAACTTGTGCGAGCTCTTCAAGAACAGGGTCAGTAATACTGTACCTTATTACTCTTAATGTGTGGGAGTGTGTTGAATTAATCTTTGCATGAGCTACGGGATGAACAGTGCTAGGAATACTACCGCTCCTTGACTTCGTTTCCTAGAATGTGCGCCTAGTGGCGGGGGGAACGGTACACCTCGACTTTTTCTTCTAATCCTCGCTATCTATCCTGAAAACATTATCAAGGCCTCGTCTCAGTGCCCCCAGGACACGTTTTTGCAACATCATTTTGACAACTGGTTGTCAAGTAACTGCAAGGACTCCAGACTCATCGGCGGGACCGGTTGCGGAGGTGTTAAGGCAAAGAAGACATGATAGACAACATCACCCTACAGCTGTACATCATGATGCTTAGCTTTTTCTTCAAGGAGAAATCCTCCTCCCGCAACATCCTACAACATCAGGACCCTCCTAGGGTTTGGGTAGAAGGGGAGCATCCTCCTGTTTCATCCATAATGCTTAGCCTCTTCTTCTTCAAGGGCAAAGAAGAGGCTACAACATCATGATCCTCAGCCTCCTTTTCAACAAGTACTAGCGAGTAAGAACTTATAGTAAATACTCATCGAACAAGTACTAGTAGCGAGTCAGAACTTATAGTATACTGATCGTCCCGCTGGTAGTCGAGGAGTACTACTAGGCGGGATGCCAATCAGTCAATAGAAGCAAGTACTATACTCATACTACATAGAGATCAATCAATCAATAGAACTATTAACTAGTTGATCTTGAATAAATCTTAGAGGTCTCCAAGGATATAGTTCTCGTCATCCTTAGCCTGTTCTCTTTCAACCTTTCTTCAGAAGAACTATTCAAGGATATCGCGTTGACTCTCAAGGAAGATGATGTGACGCAGATGACGCAGTACTTCCAGATAAAAACTCTAACTCTTATTTCTAAGAGACTAGATTCTAGTAGTGACGTAGATAGAAACTCGTCTAACAAAGCGGGTACATGTTTTCAGCTTCCGGCGCCTAAGGAGTGCAAGGCAGATGGAAAAGATGATGCCGATGGGTTTACCCTCACGAGGCTCAACGCCAAGGAAAAAGAGGGATCGATCGAGCAGGATGAGCCCAAATTGATGAACGAGTTATGGAAAAAAATTTGATGATTTAGATTGAACTCAAGTTCTTGATGAACGAGCTATGAAAATTTTCGTATTCGAGGAGTAACAGTAAGTGTACTGCCTGTAGTAAGTAGTGTTGCAGTTGCTATTGTAGGCAGTGTTACTATGTTGCTGCAAGAGTAAAAAATATCCGCCAGTCACACAGTTGTTACAAGCAACAACAGTATTGCAGCTATTACAACAAGTAAGTCAGCGGACTAAAATCGTTCTCGTATGATCCGTATGATTAGGTAAGTACGGTGAAACAGCAAACTACAAGGCCGGTCTCTATCTAATCGTCCCAGACGGAGCTGCGCGCTATTTCGAGTCAATCGCACGATATTTCCGTGAAGGGGGTGGCAGATATCACTACAAGAAGAGTCTTGTTGCAATGAGTACCTCTGTCGAGAAAAAACGTGCTTCGGAGGATGTTCAGGATGATTCTGAGCAACAAGCACAAGATGTTGTTCAACAACTGGGGCAGGAGCAAGCAGACGCAGGACGAGGTGGAAATGATAGCGACGTCGAGCAAGACGACCACGACCAGGACCTCCACTTGGAAGACACCTCCTCCGACTCTACAACTAACAAGCTTATCAAGCTAAGTGAGGCATCTAGACGCGTGATGGACGCACCAACGGACACGATGACGATTATGCATAACCTGAAGTGCGCCGAGTCGCATCATGGTGTAGCATTGCAGATTCTGCCATTTATCGAAGCACAGACAGCGGAAGCAAACACTAAGGCACGAGATTGATGCTTGGATCTTCTGTCTCTGATAGATTAATTTGAGGCAGTCGTCTGTCAGGCTCAGGATAGGTAGAGGTAGAGCTAGTGGTCGTCTTCACAAAGTCCTAACAACGATGATAGTTAATATACATGATAGTAGTCTTCAGATGAAAGGTGAAGTTTCGAACCCGCTCTAAAAACAAGAAGCCAGCTCTTGCGGAGATCGCACGGGCTTCACACGAACACGGCAGGGAAGTTTATGGATCAGAGTTGTATCTATTAGTTTGAGGATCAGCAGATTAAACGCAATAAGCTCTTCTAAAGAAGCAACCTTAGCTACTTCTTTTAGAGCACTAACTCTAACTTTGTTTGTGATTTAAATTTAAATTCATTTAAGTTGATCTTCTTCTTCATGCTTTTGCACACGCGCACCTCCGAGGAAGACGGGGGCTGAGCCAAGGGAGCCACACGCATTTTTCTTCCTGCAGATGCGAGAGCAAGTCAAGTGCAGAGAGCTCACATCCGGGACCGCCTTGTGTGCATCCCTACAAAAAATACCCGTATATTATGAACATGGTACAGCAACGTCAATCTCAACCTTTTTTTGGAAAATATGGTACTATATTTTAGTACAACAAGAACGACACCAGTACTCGCATGGATAGGTGTGTGTCTGTGCTCTAATTCGTCGTCGTTCCGTAGCTCAAAAGATCTGCTCTAATCCTCACACCTTTACGCTGTGGCGAGTTGCATTAGGCGACCGCATTCACCGCGCGATCTATCACCACACCTTGACGGAGTCTCAGTGCAACTTCAAAAGTGAAGACGGCCACACCGTTTGCTCCAAAGCGTTTGACAAAATCGAAAAGCAGGACTTTTTGGAAGCTGTTACCATTGGTACTTGTTGTACTTCCTCACTTTGTTTCTAGAGTTTCTTACATAGATGAAGCAGGTGTGCGTATGAGAATAGTATTTTTAGAGGATGAATAGCAAGACGAGGAATGATAATGAATGTCTTTGATGCCTATTCAGTCCATTGGGTTTACATGTGAAGTCCTTTTGTTTCTTAGCCATCTGGGAACACAAACAGCTAGGAGGAGCTGAACTAGTCTGGATGGCTGCTCGTTGAATGAGTTCATGACCAGCAGTCAACATACATCTCATCCTGAGGATCCTTCCATCCTCGAAAACTATATGGAAACAACTAAAAGACCTCACAGGTCACAAGGACGATTCGAAGGATCCGTGGTCAAAGTGGGTTGGCAAGTTTAGCGTCCCTCACAAGAACTTGGCTTTGCTAGAACACGGGAAAAGAGACAAGGGCATGCAGGTGAAGAGCCTATTCGAAGGCGCGAAAGCTCTTTCTCGAGTCGTCAAAATGAACGTAGACACAGCACAGGACTGGGAAACACTGGAGGAAAACATTGCGAAAGACGAAGACCTCCTTGGGAAAACGAGGTCTCTGGACTTGCAGGTACTTTGATAATACTAGTACATCGTCTTATTCGTGTCATCATTTTCCTATGTGATAGAAATTGTAGCACAGTGATATAAGTACCCACATCCACGACCCTAGAGTTTGTTTTTCTCTACTGACAATGACAACCTTTCTTTGCATACAAAAATTCAACAAAATTTCAGTTGAACTTTGCCGCACCGGGTAAGGACCTCAAGGGGTCCGTGCGTGACTGCTTGGAAAAGCGTGTGGCGTTGTTTGAGCGGATGCTCAGTGTTTTCCCAGTCGCAACGTCCAATCTCGAAGCACTGCGAAGTGAACTTATGACGGCATTGTGTGGCTGCGATCATTTTCATTTGAAGTAGGAGTTACTACTAAGATGAAGCTCCTTAAAGAAGTTCAACTTTTGACAAATTAGTAGTTCGGTACTTCGCAAGGGAGTTCCTAGCTATGGGTACTATCTGTCCGAAGCCGATGAGATTCCTCGTGATGATCTGACGTGGTGGATTCAGTATAGTTCATGTTTTTTCACCGTAAAGACGAGTAGCAGTGATTAGTTCTAATTTTGAGAAAGGAGACTTGGAGGACGAACCGGCTCTGCACCTGACGGGAGGCCTGAAAGTAGCAGCGATCGCCGTCAGTCTGGTCAATCCAAAGGCAATTTGAGGTCCTTTTTGGGTTCAAAGGCAGAATAGATACAGGAGATCGAGAGTGTCTGATAAAAATTGACATCTAGCGAACTTGATACAAACGTCGACATCTAGCGAATTTGAAAGAAACGACATCTTTTTAAATTGCGTTCAGATTACTTGAATTTTCAGAGTTAACTCAAATTATTTGCAGAATCTAGCACAAATCTGTAGGGCAAGAAACAAAGTCTTTTATGCTTGTGGGCAAGAAACAAAGTGGTACAAGAAACTCAAAAACAATTTCCATTTCGCATTGCAATTTATTCAGAAACTAAAACGTGTGTACCAAGTAGATAAAGAAAAAATGAGTACAAACTTATCATTTTCAAGAACTTATCAAGTAACAAGAACCTCAAGATAAAGAATAATCTGTGTACAACTAACTATCAGAATCCGTGTATGTGCCGAGGGACCACGGTGGAGGAACTCAAGACAAAAATCTAGTGATTTGTAAAGCGCAATAAGTGGCGTCAAATTGAAAAACGACGATGATGATTAAAACATGACAATGAGCTTCTTATTCTTTTCCTATCGGGGGCTGGAGTTTGAATTAAACATCTGCTTCACCTAGTACCTGCAGAGTCATCGCGCAGCATGTGATACATGTCTAGAAAACAAGTAATAGAGTGCGGCAATTGTGCCGCTCATGATTATGCAAGTATTATCCTACTGTCTCTCATGTCTGCTCTCATTTAAATAACATGTTTCGTGTGCATTTGACTTGCTCGTGTCGTATTCTGTGTACAGCTAAGAAAAGTCGTCGTGCGCAGATTCTCTGTTCACCGACATCATGAAGTAGCTGACAGTCATTTTTTTGTTTCCATTTTTTCGCTCGAATCCAACCGATCACAAACACATACATCAGATACAGATTGATCTTAATGCATCACTATCAAACCATTACTTTCGCATTACAGTAGGTTTCTCTATCTGTGCATTCTGTACCCAACTTCTCTTCCTGTCCGAAACACTGCTGCCAGGACTGCCAGCATAGATCAGAAATACGCAGACGGTGAGTGTGTTTGTTCTTGCATGGGATTCACCAACATACCGAGTCGATTTGAGGAATGGAAGAAGACTTTACTTTCTCGCCTGTAATTCATCTCAAGTACATCAATCAGGCACCCAATAACGGGGTTTCTCAGGGACCTTCACAACATCAACACGTCCGCGGTCATGAATCCTCATGTTACCGTTACGCGAGGAGTTCTTCTTCTAGTCGCTGTCCTTCGAGGAATTCTTCTTCTAGTCGCTGAATGTCCGCAGCGTAGTCCTTCCTGCCGACGACAATGTGCAAAGGCTCGCCAGAGAAGACAGAGCTCTGGCGGTTTTTACGGTGTTGTTCGACGCCAGCCAATATTTGCACCCACGATCATGGGCGCGGAAAAGTCCGCATTTAGCGGTAGGGCTTTGGTGTTCGTGTACCCCGTTCGCTATTCCTTTCCTCCTTCAGAAAGGCAACACGAGTGGCAACAATGAATAATAGAACAGTTTATAAGGGTTCCCAACATGGCTGGGCTGGGCACACTGGGTCGCTGGGCGACCCAAATGCGCCAGATCTGCCGAATTTTGCGCCCAGCGTGACGCTGGGCGTCTACAATGCGGGGCGCCCTTCGGGCGCCGGCTTGAGAACCCCACCAGCAGTGCTAGTCTAGCGTACGCCAAGGCCAACGGCGCTGGCGAGTTTACCGCTGTGCACAAGAGCGGCGCAGCATCGCACGCATCGAGCAGCGCAGTGCAGCGCGACGCAGTGCAAGCTTGAACAGAGCAGGCGCCGCGCACCCCGCTACTGCGCAAACTGGCGCAGCACTGCGCCAGCGCTGCCCTGAACCTTGAGGGCGGCGCGCCGCCTTTGTTTGTCCTCACGGGACGCGCTGCACCGCGTCCCCGCGGCGCAAGTAAATCCATCGGCCGCGCAGGCTCGGCATGCCCAATGTGTGGCCCTCAAGTCCGCTAAGCGCTATCCAAGCGCCCGCCCAGCGTGCCCAGCGTTGCCGCCCAGTGTGCCTCGTGTTGCCGCCCAGCGTGCCCAGCGAGGCCGCCCAGCCACCCAGCGTGCCCAGCCGCCCAGCGTCTATAAACTACTCTAGAACAATTTGCATAACTGCAGGTCAAGATCGCTAATTTGAATTCGTTTTCATGAATGTTAAATGTTCTTTCAGTCGCCTCCACTCCTCCCTAATGCTACAAAAGGTGGGAGTGTATGTCTTTACAATCAGACACACCACGCGGCCGTGCGTTCTCTTTATTCAATGAAAGCCATGAGTTAGGCTTAGGTCGGCTCCACCAGCTTTATTCAATGAAAACCACGAGTGCAAACTCGTCCAAATGCTGCCTTGCTCTCCAATTCTGTGTTCAGCCAACACCAGGAACCCTTTGCGCTTGTCCTTGCTCATGCTCCATCTCCATTACCCACTATCGGCAACGCCATGTCCTTGTGCGGCTGGAACGTTTTGATGATGTGCACTCAGTTCCCAATCCTCGTCTCCTCTCCCAAGATGAATTTGCTTAACAGCAGCTAGCCGTTCAGCTCGATACGCCGGCTCCTCGTTCCACGAGCTGCCGCGTTTGGGCTGCCTGACGTAGCAAAAACACATGCAGCGCAAGCAGCTAGCTATACAACTCGTACAGCAATCTTTGCAACCTTCCAGTATGGGTGAGATTCCACCATTAGTTCTTTCACCAGAGTACTAGAGATTGATTTTTTATACGTATCCTGTAGTTCTGCTTCTGAGTTCTTCGTCTTCCTTCACCTTTTGTGCCTCAAAACAGTCGAGTCTCTGAGTCCTGAAGTTCCTCGAACATGACTCGTCTTTTCTCGACACATGCACTTGCACATGACCCCACATTGTCCCAGTGAGAGTGACCGCAGGCACGCCGCGGTCGTGAACACCAAGAAGAACAACCAGCACAACTACGACACAATCAAATCTTTCTAAGCATAGTACAAAAAAGCACATCGATCATAACAACAACATTGACGATTCATTTTCATAATTGTAGGCCCCCCTGCTTCTAGAGAAAGAAGTCATGAACTTTGCGACATTTTTTGGAATCTGGTTTTTGCTTCGAGAGCAATAGTATACTTTCTCCCTCCAATTGTATGTCACCAGCAAAATTGATCGACCTCTTCTGCAATTGCCACGCTAAACGCCGCTTTTCTGAGTCTTCTGAGCACTCGGTCAACATGCCCTGCGCGTGGTTCTTTGAACTTCTCCTGCTCGCTGTGCTGCTTGCACTTTGTTCACCTGACGTACTAGAAGGTGGATCATCTGCTACGCGATGCTTTCTATCTTTGCATCCGAAAGTGATCCTGCCTTTTTTTTCGTCGATTTCAGAGTCCATCTTGCGATACATGGACTGAAAGACATCGCCTTGCGGTGCGAAGACGATCGATATCCTGTACTTGAGAGACCACAGGGCTTCTGCTGCAGCTAGAGCTACGGGGTCTGGGTCTGTTGTGGAGGCGTCAGCTGACATGAGCCACGTCGCTGTGCGACCACGCTTAGTCTGCTTGTCGGGACTAGAAGGAGATGAGGATGATGGGTCTGCTTCTGGTGCTGGCAGAGAATCTTCAGGAGCCGTAGAAGTAGAAGAAGTAGTTTCATCTTGTTGTACTGATGCTGTCTCTACAACAACTTTCGCCTGTTCCTTCTTTCCTTCATCCCGCAAGCTCGCTACTAGCCTTGTTGGTGGCCTCGTTGTGGTCGTCACCTCTGTACTGCCCGTCTTCATCGCGTCAATGAGTCCTTCGAAAATTGTCTCAATTTTCGCTGTCGCCACACAGATCCTTTCTTGTCGAAACAGGGTTTTGGCAGAAACCATTGCTGCTAGTTCACATCCTTGACAATGGACTTTCAGGTAAAGGATTTCTTGCTGTTGTAGAAAGAAATTCGATGCCATCGGATGTCGAAAATGCTCGTCCAATGTGGTAGCTGGTACTAAATCATATTCCTGGCATTGCTCAAATTCAGGATTCAGAAGGCACATGCTAGCGTCTGCGATCTTGCTTTTCGGGGAATGAAGGAGGTGTGAGCGGGAGTAGTTGGTGGGCGAGAGGATACATCAAATTTATCATTGTTCGAATTTTATTTTAATCGCCGCTTGATGTACTGACTGTGGTCAAGAATGCTCCAATTACCTTTACCGCTGAGTCTAAGCTTACTCTGCCAGAAAAACTTCTAGCTCACACTTCGCTCCTTCTACCTGGTTTTGCTACAGAGTCTATTCCTTCTGCTCGCATAATTCTTCGTCCCGAAAAAGGAGTCTTGTGTGACGAAGCTCTGCGCCGAGGCATGCGGATTCAGAAAAACCGTGTGCAAGTTGTGCTTGTTTGTATTTCGGTTTTTGATGGCGTTACCTACTGCAACGTCCACCTCTGCTTTCTGTATAGTGCCGCCTTTCGTGTCCAGGGTCTGAGCCGTAGACGTCGTTGTAGGTGGTAAATCAAATGAAGATGTTGATGAGTTCGTCACATCAGTCTTCTGCTCATCATCATCTTCTTCACTAGTTGTATCACTAGAAGTAGTAGTAAACGCCCTTTCTTTCTCCTTCACGATGATCCCCTTCACAATTCTAACGCGCGACTCCCATTTGTTGGCCCTCACGGTCCTCTCGAAGGCATCCACTGCCAACTGATTCGGCTCGAAAGCTACTGCATGTACATGGGAGAATTTGCGCAAAGCGTGCAAAAGACAGTCGCCTTGATGTGATCCAACTTCGACGAAGAGTGCGGCAGGGGAAGAGGAACTGTTGTCATTTATGTCCTCGCCATTATCTCCTTTGATGGAAATAGTACTTGAAGTTGAGGAGCTTTCGCCACCCTGACCCTGAGCTTGAAGAGAGTTTTGAACATCAGCATCATCCCTGCTCTCGAGGTCAAACGGCATGTGATCGACGAAGGAGAGAAACAGCCCATCTGTGCAAAAAGGTCGTTGCCCACCGCCAACGCGGACGTTGTTTGCGATACTGTCGTGAAAGTTAGAAAGAGGATAGTTGAAAGGCTCCAAGATCGTTTGCATATTAACGGAAAAAGAGGCTCCATGACACATGTTGACACCATGGAATTGGAAGTGGTGATGCTTTCTTGTTGTCATCCGAGACTTTCCCTTGATGCGCCGCTTATTTCCCTTTCACAGAAGGAAGATGCACAGAGAGAAAAAGACCCCTTCCTTGCTCCATCATAAAAAACGGTATCGTCCACAGGGATCCCATCCCCCTTGCCAAGTATAAACTGTTTGCTGCGATCGAAAGCGCGGTCAACAACCCCAATACCGGAAACGTGGGAAACGGTTTATCCTCGTGGACATTCCCAAAGAGTAGTAGTTCCTGCATTGGGTTTGCGCTTGCTTGCATTGCCAATTCTAGGTATGTACTAGCCACCTGAATATACGTTCTCGCATCGTTTTGCATCTGATGTCCCAGATCGGGCTTGACAGGTAGCACAGCAGGCACGTCGTGAGCGATAAGGCTGTAGGCGAGAGCAAGGCGTAAAGTTGCGAGACTTAGGTTAGAGAAATATGATGGAGAGGAAGAGGCTAGCTACTATTTTGGCAGTTACTGCTCTGTCCTAGCAGAGCATATGAGTCATGATGTGTGCCTCTCCCTCTACTTTCTGTGCATTCTAGAATCATGATCTTCATAAGTAAGCATGTGATTTTGTCTGGTTGCGATGCTGGCATATAGACTTTGACGAACTGTTTTTTTCCACCAACTATTCGAAATTTCGAAGATGCTAGTTCTGCTGCTTCCGGACTTAGAGCTCACCCTAAGTCATCTCGAGAAGCTTTCTGGCTTCTTCCCTTGTACTTACCACTGAGGGGCCTTCTCAGGAGGAAGATGATGCTTCCGAAAATGGATTAGCGGAAACCTTAAGCTTAAGAACTGACTTTGTTGCTCGTCCCCAAGAATTTCCGCTTGATTCGGCGTCCATTCTTTCCAGACCCAAGTCGTCGTAGTATTCGACCCCATCTCACAGGTCTCTCCTCGATCTCCGTATTTTAATAGGACGTCGAAGGAGATGCGTCGATTGAGCTTTAGCATCCTCAAAATGTGCAAGCCCATTTCTTTGTCCCTCCGTTTCTGCTCTGGCGTAGCCCACTGCGAAATGCGGCATTTTTTGCACGCCTGCTGTGAATAGGTCGCGACTCGAGTGATGTCGCTCAGTCTTTTAGCTTCGGCATCTTGCTCTGCGGTACTTAGCAGGTCCACTGTTGTAGTACCACTACCTTCCTGCTGCAAATCCACTTCTATGATTTTCTGGTCCAGTTTCCGTTTCAACGCTGCGTCATTCTCCTTCGGCATCAACGCGTCCCCGTTTGCTGAAGAAGAGGGCTCGACGTGTTTCACATTCTTAGAGCTGGCGGTAGATGTAGAAGTCCTCGTAGTCCATGTCCATCCCTGTTGTAGACAGAGTATGTTGATTATCCTAGTTTTCCACTTGAATCAAATTAAAAAATATGCTCAGATAAAGATAAAGGGATCATCCACAACAACATAGAGATTGATCTATTAGTAGAAGGAGCCTTAAAATTCAGACTGGCAGCACTATCGTCGCGTCCTTCTCCCAACCGCTTCGCCTCCCTCATTTCGATCGCCTTGATCTCACTTGGCCTTAGGCTGCCATATGGTCCCCAACCATATCCTGTAGGCTCGCCTACGTTGAAGATAGCATCGTTCCACGTGTTGGCCATGGCGTCTAGGATCGAGAACAATTGCCACTGTCCGCCGAGGATCAAGTCATAGAGGGTCAGACTTCTACTTAGACCTTCCGGAAATCCATCCGCAGAGTTAAGTATCGTAGACCCGCTTCCTCCTTGCACAGAGGTCCAAGATGCTTCTCAAAATGGGGGATTTTCGGAAGTCTTAATCTACTCCGCCAAATCGCTGCGAAGAGAACTTGGCTCGAACCGATGTAAAACCGCATATCCTCGTAGTACTTGTCGAGGTAGGGCAAAGGTGCTTTGAATTTGTAGTTGCCCACGGCCATTGGGAATTAGATAGATGTTGTAGCTGTGTCGATAAAGTCTGTTCCTGAAAGAAGCCGTAATAACCTTGGTGGCAGGAGTCGTTGTCAGTTGTACACCACACCCTTGACAGGAATCTACACACCCACTGTGAGAGGAAAATCACAGTGAGATATCTATTCATGTCATCCCATTGATCGCCTCTTGTATAGCATTGTGTAGCTGAAGTAGTACCTTCTAAGACAAGAGCTACGACGCCGATTGATTCCTACACCCAAGATAGCCTTAATGTAAAACCGAGCACGTTGTCATTGCTGCTATCAGCTCCCCCATCATGCATTTCTGGCGTTCGTGGTGCAGAAACACCTTCGATCCCACGGATTGCGATGTTGGTGTAGCAAAGATCACCTGCGTCTTCCAAAGAAGCCAAAAATCCTTGTCCAGTAGTTAGAGGCTTCAAACAGAAAAAAGGGTTCAAAAAGAACATCCCACGCTAGCCCTGGCCTGCTCTCATAATTGATCAATAGAGGGTTTTCACAGGTTAAAGCGCTTTGCACCAGCTCCTCACGCCAGCGATGGCGATCACAGCAAAACGTAGGCATGTCAGCGCAAGCATCCCGAATGTGCGCACGTGTGTAGAAGCGGACTAGTGTTTGCATATCTAGGCAGCAGATAGGCCATGCGAATTGTGCTATCAACGGATTGCGCTTGATTTTAGACGAAAACGGGGTCGCTGTTGCGGAAATCTTCCTTGAATCAAGCAGCTAATTCTCTTGGTGATTTGTAGTAGTTGATGGCCAAGCAGAAGCACTTACTTATACTTTTAGTAGTTGATGGCCAAGGAGACGGACTTACTTGCACGTCATAGGGATTAGAGGATTAGACGGTTCTTATTCCGAAACAAGTTTTTCCTTAACATTACTGACCACCCAATCAGCACTCCCGTGTACCGGTTGCCAATTGCTGGTGTTGGTAAGGGCATTGCGCCCACGTGGTATGCATACATCTCCTGTTTCGTGCGACCCTCCACGTATGATCCATTTACGGTTGTGGATGCCACCCAAAACGGCACTGGACGGCGCCAAGCCTTGGACGGAGACCAGGAACAAGCTCGCCAGGAAGGCTGGGAACCTAGCAACCTTTGGTACTGGGGACATTCTGCTAGTTGTCGTGTTTTTTACTTGGGCAATAAAGCCATTTTTTACTTGGGCAATGTCTGCTAAAATGGCCCATTGTTGTTGTACACGACGCCAACGCCATGATGCTTCTGTGATCTTGGTGGGATCCTTTTCTTTGTTGGTCGATGGTATTTTCCCCGAACCTACGATGCCGCGTACTACATAAGTCTCGAGGTAGGTCACTCCAAATCCAACCTCCGCACCTACTTTTCTCTCATGTCTCACGACTCTCTCCTGCGGCCGTGCTTGCCCCTACACCGGAATTTCCCATGGCCATTTATGCTTCGCAGCGTATGCCTCCGCAGGCATCAGATTCGAATTCTTCTTGAATGATACGAGGACATGCCGTGAGAGGAAAAGTGGAAAAACTTGCGCTGGGATAGTAGCATGAAAACAGTCTTAGCGGTTTTTCTAACATCTTTCTCCTAACATGCCTTTTTCCAACGCCACCAATTCACTAGCTAGAAGCCTTAAGGTCACAAGGTTTACTTCTAAAAGTAGAAGAAAGAAATTCGAGTATATGCTAGATTTTGGAGGAAGTGTGAATGAAATAGAAATTGCGGTTCAAATTCGATAGCGCACAATCAAATACTTCGCGACACAATCGTTTCCATGGATCCGTAAGGTAATAAAAAAGTCAAGAAAATAGTCATAGTGGCCTCCACCATTGCGTATGCTTGTCTTTAGATTGTGGCTCCTGCAGTTAGATTTCTGTAGCTGCAAATATGCTATGAATCAAATATGCTATGAATGAAGTAAGAAAGGAAAACAAGTGTTTTACTCTTTAGCTCAAGCAAAAGAGTGTTAGATCATGAGGTGAAATAAGGTTTCAGGTGAGTGATAATGTACATGTGAAGCAACAAGGCGCAGACAGGGCACGTAGCCTCGAAACAAAGTATTTGAAAAAAACAAAAAGACAGTACAGATGATATGTAATCATTGGAAGAACTAGAAGATGAAATTGATGAAAACAAGACTTTCATGTCATGAAATAGGGCTGTACGAGAACATGACGCGCTAGATGTAGATGATTTCTGAACGAACGCAGCTTGCAGTTTGTGAAAGGGTATTCTATAGTACCGGTGGAGCACGTCTAACTAGGAAACAAAAATACATAAAAAGCAAGGAGTCCAATTATTTAAAAAAGAACTATAGTGGCCACGTTTATGCTAGGATCCGTTTATTCTAGGCGCCGCGAGTTCGTCCAACTGCCCTATAGGGAATACTATACAGTCTCTATAGTATGTAGTCATTATTTTAGGTTCAGGCACTCTCTGCGAGTAGCTTAACCTTTAGTATAAGATCCGCCAGAGGCACAACAAACTCCAGACCTAAAAGATTTGTTTTGCTCCTGGAATTTTCTTGATGTAGTACGCCATGGGCCAACAGATGGCATTAACGAAGAAAAAGCAATAGATGAACCCCATGGTGATCGCCACTGAGTTCAATTCTGTGGAGGACGTCTGCATACCGTAGTTCGGCTTGCCTGCTGTCAGATATGGGTGTTGCTGGAAAGTCCTCGAAGTTGATCCTGTGCCTGATTCTCCTGGTACGCCTACAGCTTCTGGTCCTGTACCTCCTGATCCTCCTAGAGGTGAAGGTGCCACTAAGTTACTTTCGAAGAATTGAAAGCGTGTTACTGGTGTTTTAACTCCAGTTAGTTGATCACTATAGTGCAAGCCGTCTTCTCCCAGGAAGAGCATGTGCCACAGAAAAGATTTTTCATTTTCAAGATATTGTGCTCCTCCTCCGTGCGTTTCTCCTTCTCCAGCAATTTCTGCGTCTTGTTGTGCTCCTCTATTTGCTGCTGGAGGAATCTCAGTGTGGTGGTTGAATACTCGTGTACCTCCAATTGCGTTCGCTCGACTTCCGTTTGTGCTCGTCGCACCTCCGTTCATGCTCGCAATCCTTGTGTGTCGGTCGCCTCCCGAAGCTCCTTCATTTGCATGATTGATACCAGAACTACCGGATGCAGTTGCCCCTTGTAAATGACCTACAACACCTCCTACTCTAGATGCGCCAGTGTCCTTCGCACGCTCTTGGTACAAAAATCGAACAATAGATGAGGAATGCGAGGATGCGTCTTCATTCTGCGCTGATTGATTGCTGGCCGCGGATTGTCCAGTCCGAGCTCCACCATGGTTCTCCGCGTATCTTGCTTTCTTTCTCGCTGCTTCTTGTTCACAGGCAAGCTCGACGAGCAACATCCATGCGTAAACGACCCAATCGATGATGTACTGGTGAAAAAAGAAGACACCGAAGCTCGCTTCTCCTAGGATTAGCGGTCTTCACAACAAGAATTCATTTACATCCGCAGTCTTGTTTAACATAGTCTCAGATGAATCCTTGTCATGTTCTTAGTGCCCATGAAGATGGATTGACTCAAAGATGAAACTAACTCAGAAGTGAGACAAATAATGCTTGTACTCTGTGGTCGCGAAGATGAACGAAGATAAATTGCAATTATGTGAGCCATAATAGAAACGTCAACAGCCAAGAGTTGTTGTTACAATGTTGAGCGAAGAAACGGATCAAACCAACGGCCAACCAAACCACTGGTAGACAAACAACAGCGAAAAGACCAGCTGCCGTGACACGTTCCGAGAACGGTGCTGGGTCAGGAGGGATTTAGAAGATGAGTTGATGAAAAATAAATCTTTTTCTTCTGAGACAACAGAAGCAAATAAATTGAAATTCTGTTTTTAGTAGAAACATTGCAACCTTCTAGATCTAGATCTAGAATGAAAGCAGTGTTAGGGAGGAGGACTTCACAAGATTTCGTCTCTTGTCGACTCTACAACTACGTCATCCAGTGTAGACAACATCATATAGCGAAACTCATATCAACAACAACATGCGTTTTGAATTCCTCTGGTGCCATAAGCAATAGCTCCATCTTGCGGTCGCGTCGTCTTCCACTTGTCCTCGTGAAAGGGTGGCGCTTTTAGTACCAGCGCAATAATAAACAGAGTCACACTACAAAGCACTGATACGATATGTAGAGTCCAAGCCTCTCCACCACGGTAACGTTTCAAGGGGCTTCGGGTGGAGTTGGAGCTCTTTTGTTGTTGTTGTTGTTGCTGTCGTTTTAGCATTTGACTTCTCGGGCTTTCTGCTCTGCGTGAATTCTTCTTCAGACTCGTTCTAAGCACCGCGGTGGGAACATCAATGGCGTCAAAATCTAATTGCAGATGGCCTTCCATAGTTTCTGGTGGTGAAATATCCTTTCCCTGTTCCCGTTGCGGAGTATTGTGTCTGTCGGTCAGGCTGTCGTCAACCTCATCGTTTGCACAGCTGATCATCACTGAAACATCTTGTTCATCTGTAGCCATGTAGTTGTTGGCAGAAATATCAACGGTCGTATCAATGCGCTCTTCGATGTCGTCCCTCACTAGGAGGGGTTGTGTTTCTACGGCACGATCGCCATTCACCTCCTCGTCACCTTCCTGACCTTTCTTGTGGTCGACGTCCTCTACAAATTGCTGGCTCACGCAATCTTCAATCTCTCGTACTGCCGCAACAGTTTCGCCTGCTGCAGCACGTTCCTTGTGGCTTAGTCCCTTCTGAGCAGACTCTTGACTAGTTGGACTGGCTTCAACGTCTTGACACCCACTACATCCTTTTCTAATCGCTTCGGTAAAGGGAGGCAAAGGCTTCGTGATAAACGTGTCGTTCTCCGTCAGCCAGTTGTTCTTTTTCGCTAAACAACCTGCAAAAAAGAAACTAATCGCTGTAGGTAGCGCACTACCAGGATTGATACTCAGATTCCACAACAGGCAGTCCCACAAGTGCATCCACGCCTGACAAACCGCTAGACAGATGCTGTACCACAACATGCGCCAAAAAGACGGGACTTCTCGCATCACAGGCACATCTGCCAGACCTCTTGGGCAAATCAGTGCGAAGCCCAAACAAATAGCGATCAACAGCTGCAGAAACCAACAGAAAGCCGTGTCCGTGGTGAGGTGGAGGTTAGAGAAGGAAGTAAGAAAGCCGTGTCCGTGGTGAGGTGGAGGTTAATAGAGAAGGAACTAGTAAGGTTATTTCTTACATGCTCGTCCATTCATTCATTCTCATTTACCTGGTGTTGAGGTATATTTACCTTGTTCGAAAAAAAACACATTACTGAAAGTTGAATCCCGATCCTGGAAAGCTTTCTCATTCTCCTATCCTCCAGAATTACAAGTAGTTATGAAGATACGACAGACAGGAACTACTTTAACTGCTCACGAGCCATAGAGTCCTTTGCTGCCGGCTCTACTTGCTCTTTCATTCCTGGAAACAGTTGCTGGTAGCTCGTGAGGTCCATCCTAGGAAAAACGACCACTGTCAACACGAACAACTGGTGGAGCGGCCAGAGGAGGAAGAATGTTAACAGCAACGGGATGGCGTCAGTTAGAACTAGAACTTTTCATTCCGTACTTCTAGTACAATGAGATAGCATAATGCATGTTTCTGAAAGTACAACTGTCTTTCTGGAGCTGGAGATGCACTACCGAACATAGAGGTACTTGCAAAAGCAGGAGTTCTTCTTAGTACAACCTTCTACCAAAATTTCTGTCTTTTCTATAACATGTGCAATGACCACTCCTGTCTCCGAGAAGAAGTTGTAGAGAATACTATTTTTAAACGTAGGTACAGGCAGATGGATTCAGTCACAACTGTATCCCCGAAGGAATGTAGTGTATTAGCCGTAAATATCGCAAGAACCGCTTGCGTATGAAGTCCCGGACACCCTGTTTTTCGAGCGAAGAGGGGGTAAAGAAGCCTGCGATAAAGAAGAACACTGGCATGACCATCCCCACCAACATAATGATAATTCCAGACCCGACCCAAGCGAAATAGTTGTCCTTGAAATTGAAGAGGATCCAGGCTTCATTATTCCCCACGTTTAGAAGAGGAGCTACCGCGTTCGCATTCCTGAGAGCCTTCTGGGCTTCTTTTTCACAAGTAGAAAAAGAGACAGAGTGAGTAGATAACGCTCCTGAGGATGCTGTAGCGGCAGCCTTAACATGGGACCAAACGTAATGCCTGTGTGCGCCATCACCACAAGGAAGATCAAGAAACTCTTCAGATTATCGAGGTAATGAAGTCGGGGCTTGGCGCTTTGAGACTGTTCTTGAGGAACGCCAACAACTTTTGTAGTACCTGTACCAAGGTTCCTGTCTGGTCCTTCTTCGGCACAAGAAGTGGCTTCACCACTGTTCTTCACCGCTCCTGAATCTCGAGAATCAACACCTTCCTGAGAATTGTCAACATTTTTCCTGTTCAAATTGAGTCGCTTCTTCATCGCTAAATCACCAGGCAACAATTCCGGCAACTCGTCATCGCCACCTAAACGAACAAAACCAGTCGGGAGAGGGCTTCGCACCGCCGCAGCTTTTCGTTTTTGGTAACAGAGCGACCGTTTGTTTTTCTTGCGTGTCTTTTTCGTATGATGGAGGAACGTGGTTGCGTCAGATACGTCAGAAGCATAGTCGGTTGTAACCTGCTGATGTTGAAAGTCTAATGCTGTGTGCTGCTCCATATCCAGTTCCACCGCGCCCGCTGTGGGTATCACCGTAATATGCTCACTAACAGCACCAGGTTCGCCTGTACGATCAGGCGATACTTCTATGACGCCTTCACAAGAGCCGTTTCTTGGGTTTACAATGACAAACTGCTCTGTACCACAATCGTTAGGCCCAGCACCACCTGGAGAGGCAGACAATCGTCCACCCTCAAAAATATGCTCTTCGTGTTCCTCACCAGAAGACTCAGGCTCTGCATTGTCATCATCCGAGGTTAAATTGCGCCCGCTTTTTTCCTTTTCAGCCTCGTGGTCTTTGTCGGCCTGTGGAACAGGAAATTGCGCTGCAGGTCCATGATTCTTTTCATTACTCGCCCCATCTTCCTCGTATTAAAGATCAGCAGTCAGTGGCCATTGATTCTAAAAGAAAAGGGCCCCATGCCTCTCCCTTTGTTTTCCCTTCATTTTCCCCCGTTCTCTCACGGGAGCCCCTCTCTTCGATCTCAGTGACTAACCTCAATGACCAATGAAAGTTGAGCCTTAATCGTAAGTCGTGACCGGCCTGAGACTAGCACTTTTCCCTTCAACGAAAAGCAGACTTCTCCCAACACTCACATTCTCCTGCTCTTTTTCCCGAGACTCACGGTTTCCTCGTCTCGGGAAGAAGAGCAAGAGACAGAGAATCGTGATGGTGTAGGTGAACTCATGGTTCCGGTCACTGGGTTTTTCTCGTGTAAAAAGGTAACCATGACCGGAATAAAGGTACACCACAAGCAGAAAAACGGGGAGCGCGATGGCGGTTGGGATTAGAGACTAAGACGTAAGTACTATCACAAGTATTTTACATGATTGACATTCACTATGACTATGATACTATCCTTAGTATTGGGAAATCAGAGCTGCAGCTGTTTTTTGACACTACACTTATTCACGAGTCAATGGAGACGGAGAAAAGCTTACTGCTACCATAAGTAAATAATCTGAGACGGCGACCACTCAAAGTCGGGGTCTTGGTGGTGCTTCCTCGGCAACCCTTTCCACCGAAGCATGGTGCGACGAAAACGAAGCAATTTTTTCTTCAATAATGATGTTGATCGTCTTCGTTGTTTGTTAAAAGATGAAGAACGGTGGTCGTGACCTTCATTGTTGTTGTTCTCATTTTTATCATGATGTCTTTGTGTGGTAGAGCTAGACCTAGTAGATGGTCGTCGAGACAGTGTTTTCTTCATTTCTTTAGGGTTCGTTGTGCTTAGTCCCTCCTCTGTGATACCAGTTATTTTTTACTTACGTTGAATTTGTAACAAGTGTAAACAATGGCTCAACCACAACGTTAAGTAGAACCAATTTGTAGTGCGATAATTACTCCAGAAATGTTCAACAACAAGAAAGACCGTTGTTCTCACATTCGCAACAGGAATAAAGCAACCAAGGGTTTGCAAGCCAAAAGTTAGTCAACCTTCCTGGAAGTTTAGATGGAGATCTTCTAGTCTTCTCTTCTGATCGTGGTGCCATCTTCGACGCAACAGCATGTCTGGTGTGGTTCTTGACGGTATGAAATACGATCAGAACCAAACCTTCATACCCGACTCAGAGAGGTAAAACTCACTGCAAGCTTGGAGGGCAGAATCTACCCTGGAACATACGTCGGTCCAAAACGACTAAGTGAAGCTGTTATCACATGCTTCCTTTGCATGATCACGTAGCTGTCTCTTTCTGACGCTTCGATACGCTGCTGTTTGTTGCAATATCAGAAAAACGACGCGTCAACATCAACTACTAGAATGTGTTAAATAGTTAGCTATGGTTTCAATTTGATTGTTCATTAAATGCTTAATACAGGATTCATTCAACATTCACTGTGCATGGAAAAGGAATAACGCATCCTTAGCTGCAGTGAATTCTTATGCCTATCAGCGTTTCTTGTTGTAGTAAAAAAAGTACTCGAACATCAAATTCCATAGGGTGAATCTTGTTGGTCGGTGTAAAAAGTTCAGGAAGGGTGTTCATTGTCTGTTTTTATGCAAAGGTGATGATACAAACTAATTATAATGTGTATCATTCGCGTTAGCTTTGTTCATTTTCGATAGTGTGGTACAGAGATGATCCTTCCACGGAACCTCTGCGCACTAGCGATGGTTTGCTGCGTCTTTTCTATTTAATTTCATCCTACTTGACTAAGAAAGTGCGTTAATTATCTTTCCTGTTAACGAATAAAGGTCTTAACCTGGAACCGTCATTTCACTCTTGCTTTGACTACAAAGGCTTTGGTCGCTTGATGCTTAAATAGGTTGGTGTGCAGAAATTTTTCTAATCGTTTCCGTTGGCTCATCTAACCTGGTTATCATTTCAGTCTACAGCTAGACCTAGAGCTGTTGATATTAATTCCACTTATTGCGATAGTCCCTGGCACTGCTTAAACACTGTAATCTATGCTAAGATAAGTATATATAATTACTCAATTACTGACACGAGCATCGTTCCCAAAATACACTCACCCTATGTGAGCTCAAGTTTTGAACCCCAGCAGCGTGACATCGTTATCTCGCTGCGTCGCTTTGTAGCGGGTATCACGCTCAGACTGAAATTTTCTAGTCGACCAAGCCCTTTCGTCAGCTGGCGGTGGTTTATTTTCGACATATCGCAGGAAATCCTCAGCATCCGTGTCGTTTTGTGCCCTGTTTTAGTGGATAGGGTTAGGAAAATCCTCACCATCCCTCAGTGTTGTTTTGAGCCCTAAATAGTAGTGGGGAGGTTGTGAGTTTCAAGCAAGCTCTACAACACGTTCGCACGAAAAGCGTACGAGGGAAAAAGAAACCAGAATACAGAAAAAGAAAGATGACAAATACGATACTTAATAGCTTCAACACTGTTGCTGGAAGCATACTAGTACCGCAATCTCTTCATGACTCGGGCAATCTTAAAGTAGTACCGCAATCTCTCCATGACACGCACGATCGAAGGATAGGTCGTCGCATTCGACTTCCCACATCTCTTACACCTCTGGAAATCCAAATTAGGATTCTGCTTCTGCTTCCATCCACAGACTGGGGTTAGAGGTGGGATTGCGTTTGCGATCAGGATCATTGGCTGGTAGATGGCATACCTTAGGTACAGTACTACTTTTGAACTGTACATCCGCATTCATACTAGGGATTGACTCGTACATCCTCATCATAGGTAATTAGGTCACGTACTTAGTACTTTCATCAGTGCTTACTCGGACTGTAGTCGACCTTATCCTAAAGTCTAAACCAAATGAAAATGTATATCATTATCAATGTCTTTGTTCATTTCCGCCATAATTTACAAACGATGAACAGGTATTCTTCATCCTGTGTCCGGACGCGCTTTGACAACGCTGACATCATTTTTTTTCTGCGCTGCAAATCTGCAGTCGAGGATTTTGGACCGGTGGATTCTGAACCTTGTTTCAAAGGCGCCCCCGTATTAAACGCCTCATGGAAGATCGCCAACTCGTAGGGGACAAGAAAGGCACGCACATCGCCGGGGATGGGACCTTTGTTAGAGTAGTAGGATTTTTTTGCTGCTTGTGCTTGGATTATATGTTGCTGTCCTTAATAACATCTTTGGCTCATCTAGTCGTGATCTTCGAAGTAGGCACCATGCGATTCATTGACTCAGTCAAATATGAAGAATTTACTCTCTTGAAGAGTACCGACAGCACTTCTACTTTCTGGCTATGCTTGAATACTGTAAATCACTGTTTATTTTTGGAGCCTACTATTTCCGAAACCATAACTGTTCCAGTAGGATCACCTCCAGAAGTGCTTGCTTTACTCGTGTATTCGAAGCGATCCATGTACAGAAGCTGTTGCTCCACCACAGGGGGCTGTCCAGGAAGTGGTCGTTGCAAAGCTACGGCACCGCCATCTGGGGAATCTCCTTCTCCGCCTTCCTCTTCCATAGCACGCTCAGAGTGTGGTGGTATTCTCAAGGAAAAGAGAGGCACCCCCGGACTGTGGAAGATAAGCTCCAAATAATCGAAGCTTTTCGGAGAATATCGGAGAAAAAGCTGGTATCCTATCGCACTGTCGAAAAAGGATTTCAAATCCGCGTTCGCATATTCTTGTCCAGCAACTACGATTTTTTTGTCCGCTTCAGAGACCGAAATCTCCAACAAAACCGTAGTTGTGCCTTCTGTTGAGGGATCTTGCGGCTCCGCACTTTCTGCTGCGAATCGGACACTAGAGGCAGAGGCATTGCGACCTGAGGTAGGTGATGAACGGAAATGGGTCTCACTTGGATACTATAGGTAGGTGAAAAGAGAGAAAAGAGAAAGATAACTTCAGCAGAAGTTATCTTTCTGGGACAGAACTGATACTGACTTCAAATACGAAAAAAAAATCATACAAGTCACGCTCAATCTTGAAAATACCTGCCGTCATCGCATCCTGTAATTGTGTTGCTCCGACTATTGTCACAGTCCACTGACTCGGTCTTACTGCGCGCTCTCCCTTGACAGAAAAAGCCCAAGCCACTCTTGTTCGCAACACTGACTCGTCAATCCCAGCTCGATGCCAAGGAAACGTTACTGGATTCCAGCCGTTTTGTACAAATACATTAAAAGCCGCATCTTGATCCCAATCAATGGCCGCATCTAACGCTGACCAAACTACTTCATTCTGTCGTTCTTTATCCACGAATGTCCGCTCATCCTCTGCACTTCCACGAATAGGATAGGTGAGTCCTGAGGAAGCCACCACACGGATAGAGTCGTAGTGTCTTTTTGTTCCGCTTTTCTGCCTTTCTCCAACGGGGAAAACAAGCTCGCCAGTACTCGGATCTGGAATAGGCATGCCATCAGTGCGGATCGGAAACGGGACTTGAGTTTTTAGGAGATGCCACTTCGTACTTCATATTGATTTCTAGAATTAATTTTGCGCTCTGGTGCCATAAACAACAGTTTCCTGATATTAAGTAAAAATCACTTGCTTCCTTGTAGCGAAGATACTGTGATTTCTACGAAGGCTCCCTATGCATCATCACATTAAATATCAAGGAAGTCCAAGAAGTTCACCCTTAACTTTCTCCTCGGTGGATCTTGTAACTCCACATCAAGCGACTTCTGACTCCCCGTTGCGCGTCTCAACACCTCGTCTGTGACACGATAATGTTCTGGAGGCTGTCCGTAGCCATAGGAGTCCGGGACCATGACCACCTTTCTCTGAAATGGAAACACTTCTGGCACAGAATCCACGCCCAGAGTCTCCACTAATCTCGCGTCTTGGCTTCCTCTCTCAATGTCAGCACGTCGTAAAGCGAAACGCTTGGGTTAGAGAGAGACGAGAATGCTGTGTTTCAGTTGTTGTAAAACAATTTTAAAAATACCACAAAGGATCCATAATGTAAACTCGTCTGCGGTCCCTCGGCTGCATCCTCAAGTGCCTCTTGACCCGCTTCCTCTCCACCCGCATTATCCGCTTCTGACTCTACACTATGATAATTCGGATTCTGCTTTCTTCTAGTTGTTGTACCGAGACCTACTCCTCTCGTACTAGTACTACTTCTAGCCCGTCCGTCGTCCCTAGCGAAGTCTTTCATGAATAACCGGTAGGGTTTAGGCATCATGGATCGTGGTCTCAAGGATGAAAAGAGAGGATCAAACATTTTCTTCAATTTCATCCCGTCTGGACGGTTCACGACTTGAGACGTTAGCTCTGCCTCCCCAAAAGCGGCTGGAACTGGACTTCCGGATCGTCCTGGAGACCCGGAAAGGCTGGCTCTTGGGCTCGATGTGCTCCCATTGGGGAGGTTAGAAAATTCTAGTGCTGCTCGTGGTCACAACAAAGAAAGAATGAAATTGAAAAAAAAATAACTTCCCAAAGAAAACACTATTGCAAGGTGATAATCAAAAATGAGTATGAGAACTATGTCCTCGACACTCGCAAGACGAACTAGAAGGAACCCTTCCAACAATACATTTCACCTCACACTTGCCTCACCCTTCCCCATAACTAGACCTGCTGGATCCGCAGTCCCATGTCCGCTATGAGGTCCACCAATGCGTCGCATTTCTACTGCTGAACGAGCGCGCCCTGTGTCTGGGATCGACTCTGCTACTAGGTCGATAGGATTTCCCATTATCCCCGCTGGGATATGGATAAAGCCTTTGTCGAGCGGGAATTAGGGCTAGTTGGTTGCTTGAAGGTGCTGTAAATGCTAACATGAGTATGCTCTGATCCTCGAGTCAGAAGGAACCTTGTTCATCGTTATCCTTGTTGATGTACCAGTGCTCGAAAGTCTTTTAAAGCCTTAATCACAATGTATGCAGTTTCCTGCTGCCACGGCTCTGTCTCGGATCAAAAGCGAAGGCTCAAAACTAGGACTCCCCGGACGGTTACCGCCTTCCTGCGTTCGTCCCTCCATTGCATCATACTGCTCAATGGGTGATATACCCAACAATCTCGCTGCATCTCCATGGTCAGTATTGCGACGTGAGGACGCAGATGATCCGCCCTGCTGCAGTCTCCCAAGTTGCTCTCTACTTGCTACGAAGGAGCCTGTTAGTCTTGTTCTCAGTCTTGGATCGTCGTCTGCGCTTTTGCTACTCTGATGACCTCGTGAAGCACTGGACAATCCGCCGACGGCGGCCATAGTGCGGAGATTAGAGCATGCTAGATGAAGAAAGTTCGTTTGTGCAAGGATCTTCCTTGTGGTTCGACTTGTGTACTACCTAGTCTTAACTAAAGCAGGCGCCGTCGCTCCTCCGGCACTAGCCTGTTTTGTGCCAGTTCTACTTCCTGGGCCGCCACTAACCACACTCGCTGTTCCACTCTGTGACGCGCCTCGATGAGCAGGGTCATCCGCTTTTGAAGGTGTATCCAACTCCTAAAATTAGAGATCTGATGGATAATTGGAAAAATCACAACATACTAGAAGTTGTGGCTGATTCTCAAATAATATGATTTGTACGCTAGAAGCAATGGCCATATTCAAAAACGTCATCGTCATGCCCATCTCCAGGCGATGATATCAGACTGTGCAAATCCTCGTTTTTCTGCGTTCGGTCCATCCCAGACGGAGAAAAATCATGCTCCTGCAGGTGCACGTTCGGGATGATAGTAGTCGTACTTTGACGAGCTGCCAGCTCTCCGAAGCTTTTGTTCATCGCAGACAAATCTAAATGTTCTGCTCCTGGATTGCGTCTCGGGGCCAACTCATCCCGTCCCGGAAGTACTGGCATCCAATAGACCATACAGTTTGGCCTGTCTAGTGTGAATTTGACGCCTTTTTGTCCCAGGAACTGTAAGTTCAAAAACTTCGGAAACTTCGACAAAGTAGCAAACTCGAGTCTGGAGTAAGCGGCAATATTGGTCAGCGTCTCTGGGTCGGGTAACTTCCTGGAGTGAAATCCAGGCGGATCCTCATCGCCAGGAGTTTTCGGAGAATTGAAGGGCATGTGGAGGGAAACAAATGGGTTAAATAAGTATGATGAACACTGGTATAATTTACGGATCTGCTTCTAGTTGTAGTAGACGAAGCACGGCACACCTGCGAGCGAACAAGTCAGGAGCCCCCAAAAAACTGAAGCGAAGACTGAAGAACGGGGGAGAGTGCAGGTGTCAAACTGCTCACGATCACGAGGAAAAAGCTTCTGTCAATGTGAATTATTAAAGTGGACACCAATATTAAGGGCGTCTACGAATTTCCTTCTTACTCTTACTAAACTGAAACGTGATCCAATAGTCTGTAGATAATTTACGGAGCTGCTACTTCTCTATACTGGTAGACGAAGTAGTAGACGAAGCTCTGGAATTTCACTTTCATCTTCTACGTCTAGATCTGCTTACTTTATACCAAATTAGAATTAAATACAAAGTACAACACCAGCCATACGTCCACTCCCTCCAGCATCTCCTCTCCCGCCGTAGAAACTTGTCGCCACTACACGCGTCTTATCGAGCTGGATGTAGTAGGCCAGGGACTCACTCAACAATTCCAAATTCCAAGGTTGTGGTAGCTGGTGGATTTCGGAGTTGTTAGAGCTAGAGGCGAGGAAAAACATGCACTTATTTTGTTCTGTGTCTATAATTGCACTTATATATTATTATTTTGTTCTTTGTCTATAATAAATTACGACATTGAAGATTTAGAGCAGGGGAGTGAATGATTTCATGTCGGCGTAGAAAAGGCAACACTTTCACTTGCCTTAAGATAGAGAGGATTCGACGGATACGTCGTGTCCGATGGGAAGGGAAATTTCAAGTTCGTTTCTGTGCACGCTTTTCTGACCGTCTCCACACGTTTCTTTCCAGCCGCCGAAACGAGTTGCACAGGCACTTTCGGGTCCTTATTCGACTGCAGTGAAGCCCACGTGCCAAGAATTGTTTCGCGTATCATCCTTCGAAAAAAAGGAACCAGAGAATCTTCTATCACTGTAGCGAAAAACTCGTATTTCGAATCTGCGTCCAGACCAACTAGGGGTACGGTCTTAGGAACAAAACCTGCGTGGAAACGGATCACCTGTGGGGGTTTTTGGACGAGATAAAGATCCTATAATCATTGTCTTCCTACCTAATTTTTTGTGAGCGCCTAGTAAGTATAATTCGATTGGAGCTAGAAATCGTCCACACTCGCAGCTTGGAGAAGCTTTATTGAAACCTGCGGCGTGGTCCACTGAAAGGAGCTGAAGAATCGCGGTCTTGTGTGCATTCCCCTTGTGTTGGATTCGAAATTGAGCGTGGATTGTTGTAGGCCCACCCGCTTGCTCAGACTTGCGCGGTTTACGACGGGCATCGTTTTCTCACCAACCACATGCATCCCGTTCTCATCGACGTCAGAAAGGTCCTCTTCGTCCTCGTGTTTGCTTTCCAGTCTTTTCCTTGCCTTCTTTAGAGCTCACCCTTATCCATCTTGAGATGCCTCTTGCTGCTTCCTTCCCCTTATGAGCCAGCCGCGTCTCTCTGCTTCAAAAAATATCAATGTTTTTTTCTGTCAGTGGTAGATAGAACCACCATACCCAGGTGGACGAAAGCCTCTCCACCTTCATGCTTCAAGATGCCTCTTTCTCTGAAGATGACTACTTAATAAGCGAAGGCTTAACTTCTGAATAAAGACGTCTCGATTACGTATCAAGGAACGGACACACAAGCTTTGCTCCTTTTCGAATTGGCTATCTGCTAGTAGGTAGCCTTCATGATCACGCTCTACAGCCGGAACTTTGATGCTGCAATTAGAAGAAAAGGGTCGCATTAAGGGCTCTGTTTAACAATGTTGTCGTTTCCTAGTTGTTGTTCTTCTTCAACAACTACTTGGAAGCGATACTTGGCAGATAAAAGAAATCCTTCTTGCCGCTCCTGAGCAAGTTCTTTTATTTCATTTCATCTGTAATCAGATTATCTCAAGCATCTTCTTATCATCTTGTGAGAACCTCTTGACAGGCCTAGCTTAGAACTAACGGAAACCCATCAGCAGCAGCGTCTTGGGTCTCCTTTTCCCTTTAAAAACGGAACCAAGATGACAGTGAAGATGGATTTCTTGTACCCTTAACTAAATTGATAAACAACCGCTGCTGGTCGATCCACCATTAGTTCCATGGTTATCTGTGTAGTCGTCTGAAAAAAGATTCTGGGATAACCGGCACAAAAACGCAAATTGTCTCCGAAGTCGCGATGTCCGACTGTTGAAAGGAGTCGAAAGACACAGAGAAGATTGTACGGTAGTTGTTGTTGAAAGGAGTCGAAAGACATAGAGAAGATAGTACGGTAGTAGAATGCGTACTAGTAGATCATTGTATGCTTGTTGTACTATTAAAGAAACAATTTATTGGAACAAATATGATCCTTAGGATCGATCATAGGGAAGAAAAATGTGAAAAGAAAAATTATACCCGTATTCGTGACGGAGAAACTTTGACGTTCCTCGTGCCCTACAGGAGGTATCGCATGGGTCTTCATTTCGTAGCCCTTCGTAGGGCTCGCTGCCGTCGATGACGCCATCGACTGAGATGTCACGCTTTATTAGATGAAATGTTTAAACAAAAGTTTCTACAATGAATTATGAGTGATTGCTCGACGACGGATTGATACTGTGTCATTGATTGAGTCAAAATGCGACAACGCCTGGTCCTGGTGTTATTCTTTTGCATTTGATGTCTTAACTTGCAGTGTCCATTTTTCCTGAGCATGCTCTTGCACCGAAGAGGAACGCAGCGGCGGAATTGAAGACGACGTAAACGGAGCAAGGATGGTAGGTGTCTTCAAAATGTGCTGGCTGCCAAATTGAAATTCGTTCCCTCTACTCTTACTTATCGTGATTCGGTCATCAGAGTTGCAGCTATAGAATGAAAAAACTTGATGTCATCGTAGACCTACCGGTGGTTCCAAAAAGCCCTTTCGCTCTGTTTTTGAGATTGAATAAAGAGGAAAGAGGAGCTTTATTACACTTTTCATCGCTGTTCTAAGCCATTTTCAGTGAGATTGATACATTCTGTTTCTCGCACCAGGCACGCTCATGATATCACGCATTTAGTTCACTTTGGCTGTCGCTCCTCTCCACTGCGGCAGCTCGCATTTACAGAAGCTACGTCTGATCACGGGCGACCTACTACGATGTAGAGGCCGTTTGATCATGGACGACCTCCGTAAGGGTCAGCGAACGCCGCCCGCGGTCCTACTAAAGGCCTTATGCTTTCTCCCCCCGGTATACTACTTAAAACCTGGCCCCATCTTGGCCCGAGCGTTACAGCGATACATCTCCTCCTAAAGGTGTGTCCTCTTGGATGAGGATGTGAATGATGATCATCATCAGTAACAGTAGGTGTGTGCTGGTTGCTTGATTGTTCTTGTTGTAATAAAAGTAGTGCACTCGAGCTCGACATCAATCTCGCGGTGGCGGTCAGAAGAGCAAGGAGGTGGAACATGGACAAGAGAGAGTGCGCAGTCGTACCCGCTCCTACTGGCCAAGATTTGGAATTACCTTTTTGCATGTGTGCTACACATCTCGAAAGTATTTTTTCAACTCAAGATTCTCAGAGACCCAGAGAACCAGTAGAGGACTCTGACGTCAGGAAGTACCTACCAACACCTCACAAGACCATCTGTTAACCTCATCCATCGTCACCTGAGTCCCTGCTTCTTCTCAGCTGGCCGTCTGTTGAGACCACATGGACCAGGTCCACCACAACATGCAGCTGTCCATGTTGTGAAGATGATGGATCATCTACAACGTTAGTTGAGTTTTAGCTCCGAATTTGTGGACTTGTTCATCATCCTGCACTTGTTCATCTTCATTAGCTGCTGCAACTGCATTCGCAGCTCGTCCACCCCTTCCCCTTCCCTCTGCTTGCCCACCTCTTTCTTCTAACCCAGTTTCCGCTTCTGGTCTTCCAGGTTGCATCTTCGACAATAAAAACCAAAACGGTTCTTCTAGTAGGAAGACGTTCACCAAGCTGGTGTAGGTGTTCTTCTCGAACGGGTCCTAGGTGCGGAAGAAAGGTCAACATTTTCCTGAATCTTGGACCTAGAGGCCCTATGGATTATTTGCTGGAGATTTTTTCATATCGAAGACCTGGATCTGCCAAGAGAGACCTGGCTACGAAGAGTCCGTGTCCTCACCGCGTTTTTCTTACTTGGTTAGTACGGCACTAGGAAAATCCAAGCGCTGTACAGTCTGCCTGTCTGTGACAGACACCAACACGACGAGACAAGGATTGGGATTAGGATGTGATCCGCCGTCCGCAGGGTTTAGACAACATTCGTTTGTCGAAAATTGTTGGGATACGCAAATCCAAGGTTGCTCTATGCTCAGTAGGCGTGGTTGTGCCTGGAGGCAAAGGAGCCCTTTCTCCTTATCATGTCGCTGTGTCGGCGGGTTCGTAGATGAATCGTCTTTGCTATTGATCATAGTGAAAAGAGAAGCAGCTGGCAGCTCGTTTTTCCTGGCAGCTCATACATTGAGTTAATTTGAAATTTTCACTGAGTGCTTGAGTCTTTGTCAGCCTTCGCGCAATGGAGATGACTTTGTCCGTGGTCGTGCTGAACTTTGATAAAATTTTGATGAATGCTAGACTTCTTTCGTTAGATATGTTAGCTTGTTATTGTTGTGCTAGTAAGTACTGTCACTAGAAGTGGGTGTAGGTAAAAAAAGACTGACATCTTCTCTAGCACCATTTATACTGGCTACTCATTGTCTTTGTCCCTTACAGCACAAGAAGCGACATAAAATTTTGATGAATACTAGACTTCTTTCGTTAGATTTGAATTTGTTAGCTTGTTATTGTTGTAGTAAGTACTGTCACTAGAAGTGGGTGTAGGTAAAAGAAGACTGACATCTTCTCTAGCACCATTTATACTGGCTACTCATTGTCTTTGTTCCCTAGCACAAGAAGCGACTCACTATGTCTATGCTGTGCACAGCCACGTCGCCGCCCTACTACCTAATCCTATTCGTCATCTCCCAGTAAAAATGCCTCACTTTCTGGGACCCCTGGCGTGTCTCCGGATACGACAACCTCATCCAATGTGAGGCCTCCTCTTTCACACGCACTTTGCAAATCGAGCAGCCTTCTCCAAGATCCTTTGAGGGCCTCTTGCACACGCCGGAGCTTTGCGCTCAGTGTATCTTGAGGAGATGTTGGTATGGACCCAAAATGATCGACGTAAAACTTGAGGGCAGTGGTGAAATCTTCAGCATGCTCTAACAGGGTGACAGCGTGAAAGAGATCGCTTCGCAAGGGTGCAAGAAGATCTCGAACGCGAGCTTTTGCTTTGAATTGTTGACGAGATAAGTCGAATTCTTCATCTTGCAAGCCGTAGCCATCCATTATAGTTCCAGCCAATGGCGCTAATCTTGCTCTCCCTTCCAGATCGAGGAGCCCTTCTTTCAAAGTGATTGCGGCCGAACAGAGATGCATCGGCGTTGCTTTCTGCACTCTAAAGGCGTCCCTGACTTGCTCGAGCCAAGACCTCAACATGTCCGATTCGGGAAAGAGGGCCGCGCCTGCACGCATGGCCACGATGAGTGGCCTTGGTCTCACTTCCTGTCTCTTTGCGTGGAGAGTGTGCGCGATTTCAAGCATACGGGTGACAGGAAAAACAGCGGGGTCGTGATCTCCTGTTGGGTCACCATGACTTTGAAACGAGTATGCATTTTCTCTCATGTACAGTCCGTTCATGCTCTTGCCACTGTTCTTCATGTTGTGGCCATTCTCCTTGCTACTCGGAGCACTCTCGTCGCCCCTACTTTTTCCATGTGTCACTGCTTCGGCTAGTGTGCCACACCCTTTCATAGCCGCAACAGAGAGCAATGCAGGTAGAAGAACTGGGGAAACGCGGTCTACGTCAAGGCAATTCGTGATCCAATGACCTACGCGCTTGTGCGAAGAGTATTGAATGATAGCAAGTGCTATAGCGTTTGGAGATGTTGTTGCAGTGGTGTTTGATGAAGATGAGCCCTCTTCTACTTCCTCTAAAACAGCAAAGCGAATGTGATCCGGGACGTCATCCGAGCTGCTTTCCCTTATACGCTGTGCAAAGATTTCTCGCGCGTTCACTTCCGCGTCAACGTCTATCCAGTCCCTTTCTCGTTGTTGTAATGGGAGAACGTCCCTCCCCGACCCCTCTTTTTGTCGGTGTAATGGAAACACCCTAGCCAAAAGTTCAGAGACAAAAACCAAATCGTCTGGCTCGAACTGATATGTTTTGACCATCGTCTCGAGAACCAAAGGGGACACGCTAGTTCCACTTCGTTGGTCCGGCAACTGGGCGAGCACGTCTAAAACGCGCTCTCGTGTTAAATGCGCGACTTTTTCTTAGAAGAAGGTACTTCTAGTTAGGAGTAGTACTAGTACATACTACTTCTGGTTAATACTGGCCACACGACATCAAAATCGAAAACAATTGATGCAGTCAAAATTTTGATGTTTTTATGACTAGAGGTGAAAGCCAAAGCCATAATTTTCCGGCAGGACATGTCGGACCATTTCCCTTGTATATCTGTCGACAAAATCTGCTGCACCTCTGCCAGTCTGCAATGGAAGCGAAGAAGTACTAGAAGACGAACCATTCTTGCAGTAGTTACTTTCACCTAAGGAGCCCTGTGATCCTGCAAAATCAAACTGACGCCTCCTTCTTTTATCACCACCACCAGAAGCGCCCATGTTGGACCACATCAAGGAGCTTTTCTCGTGTTCTGAGATTTGGCGTAGTCGCTCCAGAGCTAGAAGACAGCGATTGATCTGACCGACTGTGAGTGCCGGCATCTTGCGGTACACAGCATTTCGAAGAGCGTGTATAATATTTGGTGTCTCGTAAAACCTATTTTGGTCGTAGGCTCGCAAAGGACAGTCTGCTTCTTCTTTGGTTAGTTTTCTTCTTGAGGATGATGCACTTCTTAGACCTTTAGTACCCTTGATATGCCTGCTTCCACTTTTATCAACAGGGCCCTGGAGATTGTGCGAGAGTAGATAATCTCTACCACGGTCGTCTTCACTGGAAAGAGGGAGGTTTCCGACCAAATTCAGGCTACGACTGGACGACGCAAAACCAGCACTGCCACCACCAATTCTACTCCTCTCCTCAAGGTCCCTCATCTCCGACCTTGCGACTCTCATCTCCGACCTTGCGAGTTCCGGTCCGGCAAGTTCTACCAGACTTTCAAGTAACACCGCTAGATGCATCGCACAACTGTCGGCCTCCCCTGTAGAAGCTGGCTGACTCTTAGAGCTTCGTTTCCTAATTCCCTTTCACCCCTGGTGTAGGATGAATTATCCCTGGTGTAGCGTAAGGGTCCCTCAAGAAGATGAATACTTAGTTACGCCTTACTAGTATGTATTTGGGAAGATCATACGAATGAAGGATCTACTTCCTTACAGGGATTGATTAAGGGAAGCCTTAAGAGACGCATTATGCGCTGTGGAACTGAGAGTCGAGTACAGCAATTTTGGCGCGCAGTCCAAGATGTCTGTGACGATAGCTCTTGGCAGTATCACGGAGTGTCGCTGATTGTTCAGATTCCGTGCTTTGGCGAATTGGGCTAAAGAGTAGACCAATTGTATGAACTGGTCGGTGTCTAACACGGAGACGACGACTTTTTCTCCGATAATATCCAGATAGGCTTGAATCACTTCTGCATCGATCACGACGGGTTTGAGGGCGCATACTGAAGGCGCTGACAAAGAAGCGGACGATGATGCTTGGGAAAAACCACGGTGAGCACTACAACCGCTATGATCTTCTACACCATCTCCGCCTCCCGCCCAAGCAGACGCCGAGTTGAAAAAATCGTCACCACTTGAAAAATCAGGCCTATACTCGATGCCAGTGGTCTCCATTCCTTCTCCCATTCCTATCGAAGATGTAGTTGCTTCTGCGCCATCAATTCCCGTACCACTTGTTGGCGTCAACAAGTGATCAGGTGTTGTGGAATTGTTATTGTAGTTCGACATGCTTGAGAAAAGACACCTTTTTCTCTCGGAGTCGCAGAGCTGTGCTACAGCTTTCACTGCGGGAACGTGGTGCTCACACCCATGAGGCCAGTTGATACGCGCATCTTCGGCTACACTTAGACCCTCCATATTAAATCTATCTTGTTGAAGCACAGCTTGTTTCTGGAACCGCTTTCCACTTCAGAATGAACGGTCTCAGGATCGTACTGACGCTGAAGATGGTTTATCTTTATTGTGGGAGCCTTAATATACGCAGGAAGAGACCCTTGTGAGCTCGTCCTAGCTTGGCGTAGGCCTGTAAAATAACCGCACAACCTTTCGGCGAAACAACGTTGGTCGTGCTCGTTGTGCTGGGAGAATGGTTAGAGGGGAAAAGATATTTATAAAAGGACAAGCACTTTTACTGATGTTGCTCAGCTCTAGTGCGTTGAGTATCTCCGTAAGGAGCGTGGTCACTCATCCTAGTTGTAGAACTCTGCCTCAAGACGACCTGTCTTGTCACTCGAACCCACGTGCGCCTTAATTTCTAGGGACCACGATTTCTACCTCGTATATATGAATCAGCATCAACAGCCACCATTGTTCATAATACTCGTTGTTGGCCCAGATGACGCCGAACCCGACGTAGATTTTAGTGTCCTCGCCAAAACACGCGCCGCCGCATCGAGCAATAGGTCATCACGATGGCCGAGCCATGACAAACCCTTCAACAACACTGCAAGATCGTTGGCGCGAAACAAAGAGACCTGTCGCAAACTTGCCTGACAGAGACTGCTCAGCAAATGCCTGTCATAATGCCTTCCTTTCTTAGAGTGTGCTTTGAATCCATCTTCTCGGTCCCTTGCTCTTGATCGTATCTTTTCTCTTTTAGTTCTACAACTTCGTGAGAAAAGGTCGTTACCAAGTAGACGATGCTGAGCGAGATAAAAGACAAACGCTGACCCCGACATAACTTGCATAAACGCATTCACTAGTGCAGTCAGTTGTTTCGGATTGAAAGATAAATGAGCACTGCGACAGGCATCGGCTGCTCGCATCCAAAAGTCTCGATTCGTGACATTCAACTTCGGCGCTCGGTCTATCGTGGCCACAAGCTCATGCGCTGAGTTAGAGAGAGAGAGAAAGATCTACTTTATCATCCCATGTCAAGAACAACCTCCGGAGTGCCCTCCATTTTCGGAGAAGGGATTCCACAAGTCAGCAGAATGGATGCCCCACAATCACATACATTGATCAAAACCTATCGCCCTTAACTGACAGTTCCGGAAATGGTGCTGGAAACCAGCCATGTGTAGAATTTTTCTGTTTCCAGGAACCGCGGACACCCAATCGATCCCAGAAGTCGCACTCATCTAGCTTTTGGGGTCTAAATCGCCGAAACCGTGGTGCAGACGGGGCGAAAAGTCCCCCTTTAGAAGATGAAGAAGGGATAAGCAGCCCCCTAGAGGACGAAGACGAAGACGATGGATGCAAGGTGTGGCGCATCATATTGATGACTGTGGATTTCTACTTCGGAAGAGAGTCACTATTTGGTCTCATGAAACAAGTGGATAACTGTAAACATGTTGTAACTGAAGAGGAACCGACGTCGGTCACATTATAGGGTCGCTGATCATACATATATCAATCACGCTCATGCCGTACCGGCAGCCCTTCTCCTCTAGTCAAGTTTAGGACAAACAGTCGGTCGTTCACAGAGAATATTTTTTGATCAGGTTTCTTCTAACCGGATCCAGCGAAAGGATCATGTTGCCTGACTCAGTCTGTCTCTCAATGTCTCCTCTCCATTACTCTTTCTTCATTGTCCTAAACAAAATCACGGAGACACGGGAACACTTCAGCGTTGGGCCGTGTGGAGGCGCTTTGGCTGCCTGGGGACGGACTCCAGAGCTACTTGGCGATGGCGCATTCAAGAATCGTGCACTTAGTTCCACTTCCATGCATAAAACTCTTTCTTGCGTTCATCTTTCAAAAACCGCGAGAAATACTCCAAGCCAAAAACAGTCCGCCTTATTCGGTCTCTATTGATCGTCGCAGGTAGGCATTTCCGAGATCCTTTGAATTGGAATCCTTCCGATTCCTGTCCTACCATAAGTCCCACCGGTCTGTCGTTCATGTCAGCATCCTGAGGAGAGCTGCTAGCAGAATACGGGAAAAGGTTGCCCGTCTTGTCAGAGGAGGAGTCTGCTGGTCGGAGGACGATGATGTGTTCTTGGGTCAGCGTCTGATTTATCATATTTCGACTCACATCAGCATCTTCGTTGCGATTCTTCCTTCGTTGTAGTACTTCACAGGTAGCGCTTCTTCTTCTAATAATATTGTTGGCGGAGCAGACGTAACTAGAAAAAACAAAAACCGAAAAAAGAAGAGGCAACCAATGTCAAGCAAGTACTTAGCTCATATCAACTAACGCCGCCAGTGAGTGCGCAGCTCTATGGTTGTGCGCGCTGGTTTATTCGCAATGGGGTACCGGTTCACCAAATAAACCTTCAATTTTAAGTACAGTTAAGTACTTCAATCATGGAGGATACTCGAAAACAGATCCAGATCCCAATCTACTTTGCACCTGCATAGAGTGCTTTCAATCCCTACGGGCAACCTGCAAACATTCAGGCATCTCTGTCTGTGCAAAGACAACGTATAAAGCATAGACACTCTTTGAAGAACTGAGGCCTGTAGTCTTCATGCTTCACTTCAAGACTTGACTCAATTTTATGCACAGATGAGTAGAGTTAGTTGTCTTAAACTAGACGCAGGTCTTCTATGAATACATGGAAGCGCTCAGATGTTCTAGAAGGAATATATCACCAATTTGCGTACAAGATTCTGTAGATTCTCATAGCAAATATGGATCACGAGGAATTCCAGGACATACGATTGATGAAGATGCCTTCAAGACCAGAACGAAAAACCTATTGATTCATAAACAAACTCCGGCTTCTAAAAGTACTAGTTGTAGTACTTCTACATAGTAAGACTTACTAAGTAAGTAATACTAGTTGTACTTATACTTCTAGTAAGATAATTTACTAATACTAAGAAGTAATGGTAAGTACGTAGGAGCAAACATAATATCTGCACACAAACATGTCAACTACATACTTACTAAAATGTACCAGACGACGAGAACATAGTGCGACGAGGAACAAGACGTCATTCAAATTCGATTTCCATCTCCTTCCCTTACTCGCTCCTCTGACGAACCAGTTCACTTGCTAATCGCAGAAGTTTTTCTCCATCGCGCACCTGTGCGATCCAGTCTAGTGGGACTGGATAATCATGTGCTCTATTTTGATTTCCTCCATCAGCAGCGCCATAGCATGCGCCAACAAGACCGCACCTAGATGCGGATCAGCCACCCGCTAACATTGCCTGTCTCACAGCATTTGCATAGCAAATTTTCTCCTTCGCGGTATCCTTGTAGTCGTTTGTGACTCTGAGACAAGGCAACAGGAACGAATTCGGCAGACCTCAGCTAACAGTCACAGCGTTGTAGGCTCCACCAGAGTAAAGTTTGACGCCATCTAGATAAGGTTCCTGGCTCAACTCCTCATCTAACTCCTGTAGTTGAGAAGCGATCTCCCTGTCTAACTTTGTTGTAGGTCTTCTTTGAGAACAAGGTGTGCTTGACGAAGAAGATGCTCTTGTCTTTGAAGAAGAAGATGAAGCCAAAACACCCTTTAACATGTCCAACTTGCCAGGTTCTTGTACTAGTAGAGCATTACTAGCACTACTTCCTGTGGCAGACCCCGAGCCCGTCAGAATCGCCTCTGCACATCGTTTCACAGCCTCGTTGCCTGAACAACCATGCAGGATGATCTGCTCCAAAATACGGGCTGCGGCGCAGGCACAAGCGACTGTCAGTGCATTGTTCTGCGTGACGCGGACCACCTCAGAGACGCGATCCAGCATAGACGGATCGCCCGCGTACCGAGCAACCACGGGCACTGCGCGGATAAAACAGTCCGAACTGCCGTCGTCCGTTAGAAACGAGTTTGATGTTCTTGAAAATGTCCGATTGATGTGTGGCTAGTAGTAGAACTAGAAAACGTCTGGTAGAACAATATGTGTTAGGTTTAAGTGGTCCTAGGTAGAAGTAAACAAATCGAAATCTACTCGCTCGTCTAGTACATCATAGTATTATTAAGGGTACTTAAGTAGTAGCATCCTGCACACGCAAACTATCCTGTACTGCTACTTTCAACGTAAATTCGATCCACATTCCGGGAACTTTTTTCGAGCAATCAAAACGTTTCTAAGAAACCGATCTAGGCTGCCATGACGCCACGGACCTCGTATCGGCAAGTCACCAGCCGACTGCACATTCGTATTGCCTAGAGGCCCGTAATTTGACGTGTCGGGACCAAAAGCGCGAAGGTGGGCTGCGACTAAGCTGTCGATGAAAGAAGACTGTTGACTACCTCCTTGTCCTTCAGAATCACAAGTCCTTACTAGTGTCTCCAGCACGACCCACGCTTGGTCCCCGAAACAGGAATTCGATCCGCAGGGTACTTCGTAGTACTGATTTTGCGTTGGACACAAGAATTCAGGATTGTCAAACCGGTGGATGCCTTCCTTAAAGGTTACCGCATTACATTCCTCAGAACATGGTCCCCACCTCTTTCCTACTAGAAAGAGAGTGCGGGAAGGTTGTGGAGGACGTAACAATTGGTTAAAAACCCTTAACTTTCAAGTACTGATGATAATAGGAAATCTTGTAATTCCAGTGTGTCGGTTGGGCAGCAGCATCAGCGGTAAGAAGACCCACAACGGCCCAAAATGCGCGTTGCTGCACCTGGGAAAGGCCTTGAACAGCAATTTGTTCTTGAAGTATCTGTGCGGCTCTGGCAGGATCATTGATTGCTGTGGTGACTTTCTCAAGATACGGTGGTCGCCGCTCAGAAGCGGCCCAAAAACGATGGTCTGGGGATGTGAGTGGCACCTCCACACTCTTTGCCCCTGTCGGCGAAGCAATGACACCAACAGTATGTTTCCGCACCTTTTCCATGATGTGTTTTCTTACCGAGTCAGTGCCGAGATCCGGACGGTGCACGGACTGAAGACCCATCGGTAAATTCGCATGCAACTCGTGAAACAGATGGGTGTTGTCGCGTCCAATGGCGAACACATTGCCTCCCTTGTGAGCGCCATCTTTGTCGTCAATCAGGGGACCGACGTCCAGAACGGTGTTGTCCACGATAATCCACTTTTTCCCCTGAGAGCCCTCACACGCACGGAATACGTCATGTGGGGTCAGGACTGGGAGGCTGCTCGTCGTTGACATTTTGCTCACTATTTCTTCACATGATTCGTCGATTAATAACTTTTTTGCTCTACTTGAGGTAACTTAGTAGAGTTTAGCTGACTCAGGAAAGTTAAGCTATGTCCTTGTGTTCCTCAAGCTGACAGAGGATCACAACAACAAGAACAAGAGCAATCCTTCTGGATCACTTGTTCAGTTTGAAAAAGTGTGTGACACAACAAACGGCAAATAGGTAAGAAAGAGGGCCGTGGGGTTCAAGGGCGGGGGCATATTATAACATCAATTACCAAATACCTTGCTGGAGTATCTGAAATAAGCGTGATGTAGAAGCAGGATCAAGCCGACAGCTTGATCGCAGACCGAGTCCTCTCAAATGCAATTATAGCACAAGCATTAACCCAGCAATTGTTTCGGTACTAGCTTAGTAGTTTAGAAGTGCTTCAGTAATGTCGTCCTGTTCCCTTTTAGGAAGCATACCACGAACACATGTTTGCTATAAAGTACCAGAGCAGAGGGTAAGACACTTCTCGAGTGGTTCGCTCTCAGTGGACGTGTTCGACTTACCGCACTTGCTTCTGCAAAACCTAGCTTTCATTCTCGTTCTTTCAAAAATTGAATTCCACGTAGTTGCCAATTAGGAATTAAAAAAATACGGTAGCTTCCCGCGAAAATCATATGTATCGAGGACGATATGGACGTTACAACACTAGATGAAGTAGGAGGTAGCAAAAATTCAGAGCTGGGAGTCTAATTTTCATTTACAACTTCAAATTCAATCTTCTAAGTTTTCATACTTACATGATCTGTATCTAAGTTTTCATACATATAACCTTCAACATAAACAACTCAGAGCCATTGCTCCACGACAGTATCGCTCGCTCTGGTATTGTCCATCTGTTCTGGTACTGCTGCATTCCCCACGCCCAACCACTGCTTCACTAGCGTTTTCTCTGTCTCACGGATAGCCAGGACGTCTGTTGGATCGTCCTTGTTGGGCAAGCGCAGGTCGAGATGATGCGCGCCAGATGAGGTATTAGCGGTGGTCATGTCATGTCATCTCAATCATAGTGCCTTTTTTATAGAAATGAGTGTCTATCTACGAGGCCATAATTCAGTGATACAGTACCTCCAAGAAGGAGAGCCCTAACACCGATTTTAGATAAAAATGGGATAGTGCAACCACAGTTCTTGTCTAAGCAAATTCATCGTTTACTCGTATGTCCTTTTGCTTGAGTGTCCCACACTCAACTCCGGAACTTCGACAAGGACAACTACGTTGCTAAGGAGGTTGCGTGAAGACGATTTTTTTTAACAATGACTTTGTTACTACTGCCTGGTAGACTACTAGTAGTCACTACTGCTAGACTTACTTCAATTATTTACTTATTAATATTAAACACTCTCCTGCTCAAGCTCATCTCTTAAGAATTTGCAAAGCAACGACGCTATCAGTGAGGTTCTTCAAGTAGCCGCCTGGATGCCAAGGATCGAGAAGGCCGTTCGAAAATACGATATTCGAAGTCGATTCCGGAAAAGCCTCGAATTGCCACCTGAAGATTGAATTTGATGATTTTGTTATAAATAAAATATCATGTTGAAGTATTTCTATTTCATCCACAGTATTTCTATTTCATCCACATTGTATTTTCTTACTCATAATTGTAGACGTAAAAGTAGATATTAGAGGGTGGCAGGACTATAGGTCGACGAATAGAAAAATCATCACTAAATTGAAAGCATGGAACAACTCTCATAGCTGTAGTACGCTCCAAGTCTGCCTGCCATTTCTGTAGGTCTCGGTTGCACGCCATATTTTGAGAGACAATAATCCGTCAAGTTCTTGAAGCCCCATTCTCTGGGCGCAAACATGTCACTCTTTCCGTTGCTGGCGACAATGATCGTCATATCCGCACACATTTGGTAATCCCAACTTGGATTAGAAGTGGACAAAGACAATAGACGAGGTTGCGCTAAGTAATCTTGTGAACCTAATAGAGGGTCAAAAATCTTAAGTAATAGTAATGCACTTCAGCAATAGGTATCAAGGGTTTACCTCTTTCTCCTCAAAACTCTCAACATCAACAAGACTTGATGATTCCTATAGTACTAATATCAGAGGATGAGAAAAACAACGAATTTCCAAGAACAGTCGTCCCTTAATTTTCGCATCGTTATCGGTTCCGCAGCCTGTTTGGTCCGCACATTCTACAAATAACGAATACATGTCAAGGCACGTAGCCGCGCCTTGGTGTTTAGTGCCGAAGAACTTCGTGGAAGAAGTTTTGTTTCTCGCAGATGAACCACCATCAAATTAGAGGTACAAGAACCTTCCTGCTTTCACCCGGAGCTAGTAAGGAGAACGTCGTCAACGTGCTGGCTTATACTTGATCAGATTTTAACTACCATGCACCCTCGACGAAAGATGAAAGTAAAGGCTCAAAAATGAATCTGTTCTTTATCTGTTCAACAGTTTCAGTTTGCTCCTTGCAAATTGTTGATGTCACAGTCACACAACTTCCAGAAGCCGCCTTAATACACCAGACTAACAGCCGCAGCCAGGCCTTCAATGGTGGTCTTCGCACTATCGACCATACCGCAGATCGTCTTGATAGGATTAGCAGGCAAGGGAGCCAAAAACGATGTTGGATACGGGTAATCACACATCGCGGCCATAGTCCAAGCGTTGCGCGCATACTGCATAAAATGCGACCATTCGGAGCTCTTCAGCTCTGCGATTAGAAGAGTGCGCATCTATATTTATTTGCATGGTTCTGGTATTTGGTAACCTGAGTTTGATCCTAAGGGTTCTCTTCTTGTTTTCCCTTAGGATCAAACTCAGGTTACCAAATACCAGAACCATTAATAATTACCGATAGAAGAGGATCGCAACTTTGTTTCATACTTTCTGACACAGATTGAACGTTTTGCGGACGTTCTCCAGCTCGTGCTCGTGACCACGACCAAAGGTGTCTTCCAACTTCTGGAACGCGTCCCTAACTTTAACTGGGCAGGTTTCACTTGCCATTTTCGCAGAGTGGGTAATCGATTCGTAGAAACTAGAAGAGGAAAAACCAACTTCGGAGGTGGACCACTTCTCAGAAGTCGGGGATGCTGTTTTAGAAGAATTGCCTTTTTTCATCAAGCACTGAAAGGGTGGAATTGGGTTGGAAGATGACTTCACCACAGCAGGAGTTGGACCTGAATCTATTCTTGTCATAATTCTATCACAGCATGATGATGATGATATACCCAGTCCTTAGACGGGTATGCACTGTATTTCTAATTATATGCATCCTTATATGCACATTATAGAAGTACTGTTTCTGTTCCCGTACTGTTCCATAATCATGTAAAATGCTTGAGGAATCGGCGCCGAAGCTGCGATCGCCGCGTGAAATAACGTCGGGTACTTCTGGCGCAAGAGGCTCGCTAAGATCCCGCCATAGCTACCACCAAAAACAACAACTTGCCGACAGGGAGGAAGATTAAACCTCCCTGAAGAACTTTTCAATTTCATCGTCTTCCCTTCAACAGAAGGGAATCCTTGTTCTTGACATCCCGTATTATACTTCATCATGAAAGCCGCGTAGTCTGCTAAAGCTTGCTCGACCCGTAGAAACCGCATCTTGTCTGGAGAAGAGAATGAGTCCTCTCCAAAAGGCAAAGACTTGCCATAGGAATTAGATACCGGATTCCGTTACTCATATTACCGCTTGATCAGTTCGCTCCTTATTCCAGTCTCCTGATCTTTATGATCAGGATGAGTACTTCTAAATAACAATCCCAATCTATGCAGATTCGCAAGTCATGAGATACATCTCTTTGTCCCTTCTTGAAAAGTTCACTTCATGGGTAGTATTTGCTATGCGAAAAACTGAAGTCAGCGACTAACTGAAGAGAGTAATCTTCTCAGATACTCGGCTATTTGAGTTAGCTACTCGATTTTATTATCAGCTTTCGAGAAGTACTTCGATAGCACTAGGGAAACCTGCTCCAACCCATAAAATACCGATGTTCCGCAAAGACGATGTCAGCATTGAAGTCAGGAGCCCAGGCAAAGGGCAGGCCTGTATTATCCCAAAAGCCATCGATAGGGCCTTCATTTCCAGCATAGAAAAAAATTGGACGGAGATTAGAGGCGGGAGGAGGATTTGAATAGCGATATAGTTATAGGATGCACTTATGTATAAAAAGTTGTTCCAGAAACCCCATGATCCTGAACTTGATGAGCACGTTGAACAGGTTATTTCATCTTAAGAGAAGGAGAGAGGGAAGTCGTTTGTCGTGAACGTGTAAGGTGACTGTGATGGGGTGGTGGTGGTAGTGCTAGTGGTTGTGCTTCTACTTGTAGTCGGGCCTCAATGATCGGTAACAAATGTGAGATGTAGAAGATATTGACTCAGCTCGACAAGTACATCTCAATTTTACTGTAACAAGAAGTGTCAGATCACACACTCAACGTTGGGAGCAGTTAGTATTTCAAATTGCAATTGTTCATGTTCACGACAACATCAACTCATAACATCCGGTTTGGAGTGTTTCCCGTATCCCAAGACCTGCATTTCAAAGGTTTTTCTACCCACTCGGTCATCAAAGTGATCGACGGGCATCGTGTACGCCTTTCGCCACTCAGGTGAGGGTGGACCATCATCCGCCAGAATGCCTTCAGGTAATATGGACAAGATGGCAGTTGTCGCGAGAAGGACTTGGTGGACTTTTCGGGGAGGTGGAAACATCGTCATATTTGTAGTTGTAATTGTAGAGGTGGACGTAGCTCCGTTTTGAAACCTATTGATGTTGACCTCCAATAAATCTAAAGCTTGTAGAAGTTGAGATCTGTTGTAATCGGGGTGGAGTAGAAGTTCCTGGAGTAATAAGTTGCTTTTCACTAGAATTACAAGTACTAGTCCTGTCACTAATAGAAGTAGTCCTGGTCCTGTGCTTGATTATTGTTTATGCGACTTAGTTGACAAACTACAAGATGGAAGAAGCTTGTTATCTCAATGGCCACTCGATAATTCTAACTTTGAGTCAGTTCCTCTCTCTCTTTCAACAGGATCACTCAAAACAGAAACGGAGACTGAGTCTAGCTTTACGTTTAGATTTGGTAGTGTTTTTGTTAATTTAAATATTGATTTTGATGGTACCCTCTTCCTCTTCGGTACTTGTTCTCCTAGCCTTCGAGGAGGTCACAAATCTCATTGGAAAAACTATCATGATTTTTTCATTTCCAATTCCGTGTAAGTAAGCGGAATCAATATGCTTTGGTAACTAGTACACGAGTGAGGACCCTCGTCGAGCACGTACCGGGTTCCATGATACGATTGGTGTCGCGTCGTGCTGCCCGTGGTCTTGACTTCTTTATCGAGGTTGAGGCCATTCAAGAACCTTGTAGTACCCTCAAAAGAAGAGCACGAAATAGTAGACAAAAAATATAGAAGTATTTGGAAGGAGTACTCTACGAGTAAATCGATCCCATGTCTACTAAATATAGAAGTATTTGGAAGGAGTACTCTACGAGTAAATCGATCCCATGCATGCATTTATGAAAAAAAAAATTGATCATGTACAGGGGGCAGTAAAATATTGTGTGTGGTGGACTAGACGGTGATTAATCAAGAGAACAATAGGAGCAGTACAATAAGTAGACAGTTTTCTACTGCACGTCGAGGCCCTTCTGAGGTGCGGCCTTCGAGACACACGACCTCATGTTCCTCCAGACTTTCGCACCACAATCTTTGTCTAGATGTTGAAGATCATGAATCCAAAGAAATATTAATATGATGGAGTCATACCTTCTCCTTATTCATGTGTACTAGTACCTTTCAGCGTCACATGGATGCCAGGTGTTCGCTCCGTGTTATACTTGTAGCGAATCTTAAACACATGGATGGCCGCATAATTGTGTTGCTTACAGCATCAACTTCATTATATCTCCTCCGTGTCGTAGTAGTATGTTCTTTTCATTTTCATCACGTGTATGTTAAAATACTTTAGTCATACCGTGTTGCATGCTTACTTACGGCATACCGTACAGGTACTTGCAAAACATCACATGGCAGGAATGCCAGAGGCCATTTTCATCCAGGTTGCAAGTCAATGAGGTGAACAGGTTGGGCGACTCGAGGATAAGGAAAGAAAGCTCTTTTGCGATGTTCGCGGCTTCACGACTATGATCTGTATGATCTTTATGATCAGGATGAGCTTTACTATAATTTTCACCCTTACTAGATGAATTTTCAACTTTATCCTCGATAAAAATATCTTGGTTGTGTTTATCCTCTTTGTCGAAGGTTTTGTCGTCTTCCCAGGATCGGAGGAGGTGGTCAAGACCACGCGTCGTATAACGGAGTAGAGGTGGATCACTAGCTTGGTTTGGAGCTACCGCGGTAGCATCCCTGCGTGCATCATTGCCCCTTTTTTCGAGTAGAAAAAGAGCGAAGGATGATGCTGAGGATGCTTCAGCGGTAGCCTTAATTTATCAACATCCACCGTCCACCTCCCAGGGCGACCGGTCTCGATAGTATACCCGAAAGTTGTGGTAATCTTCACAGAAATACGCTCTTCATCGGGCTGGATCAAACTTTCAAGGTCTTCGTCCTCGACTGGAGGTCGTGGTCTTGTGTTGACGTCCTCTTGATGATCTCGTAGATTGCGTTTGTTTTCCTGTCTGAAAAAGACCTTCGGGTAGTAGGCATTTGGTTAAAGGTCGCCGAGTTGCATTCTTCAGAATGTCCTTGACCTATTTCCCCCTTGAAAAGGGGCCAAGGATGGTAGTGAGGAATGTAATTCGGAAACCCTTAATTTGGGTTGTTTCTTTGAATTACATTGTCAAAGAAAAAAGCTCGCGCGTCTGGTCCTTGCTCGATGTGGTCATTGCTTTCAATCTCAATATCCATATCCAACGGAACGTCGGAAGATGCTGTGGCCGTTCTTGCTTCTTTTTCTTGCTCATTGGCAGACGAAGTAGTAGCCACCTTTTCAACATTCTTGGTAGGCGAAGAAGTCCAGGATGAAGTATACGGCTGCAGCTGCTCAGGAGTTGTGGTCGTACGCTGTAGCAATTTGGTGAAAACATTCTGCGAGAGCCACCCATGTAGCAGAAGAGGGTCACGAAAGTCTTTGTGTTGTAAATCGAAAGGGGACCAGGCTCTATCCTCCGGCGCGCTGCACGTAAACATTCCTTGGTTAGGGTGTGCTAGGCTGCATCTCGGTCCCCTGCTCATCTTGGCGCCTTTTAGCTTGTTGTATTTCATGAGAATACAATAAGGAAAAGGGTACCAAGATGCCGAGAAAGGTGGACAGTAAATGTTGACCTTAACATGGTAGAGCGGAGGGAACGTTCCACTACCGAACGGAAATGAATTTTCGTACCACTGCTTGTAGTACTTTTCTTTTCGTTTTCTGTTTCAAATTTAGCGAAGCCAAAGAGTTGTATCAATTCATCTCCTAGTACCCACAACATGTTCTGCTCAGAGTTTGAAGAAGAAACGTAGAACAGAATGAAGGCCATAATAATTGGCTGTGAACAAGTACAAGAACAAGTAACCAACTTAGAGGATAAATTATAACATCGTGAGCGCCTCTACTTGGCTGTGGAGTAACAGTTGTAAGATGAATTATTATCGTGAGAACGAGAAGTGCCTTAATTATTACTAGCGAGAAGACTGCCCGCAAGTTTCTCTACGGCCGCGGCTCCGGAGTCGGGGTGTTCCGGTCCCAAGCGGGCCTTGCGTCTAAGGACTTTTTGTAGCACAGTCTTTTTGATGATCTCAGAAAGAAGATGTTGTTTTTTTCTTTCCATCACCTTGGAGTTGATGGACGGTTCTCCTGCCCCCATCGCCGTGCTGGATGGTTCTCCTCCTCCCATCGCTTTGAATGGAGGTTCTCCTCCTCTTATCGCTTTGAATGGAGGTTCTCGTGCCCCCATCGCTTTGAATGGAGGTTCTCCTGCCCCCATCGCTTTGAATGGAGATTCTCCTCCTCGCATCGCTTTGAATGGAGGTTCTCCTCCTCCCATCGCTTTGAATGGAGGTTCTCCTCCTCCCATCGCTTTGAATGGAGGTTCTCCTCCTCCTCCCATCGCTTTGGACGGAGGTTCGATCTTTGCAACTCCTTCCGTATTGTTCGTTGATGCACACACAGACTCAGAGGACAAAGGCAAACGCTGTTTCAACAATTCATCAACTGCTGTGTACTTCAGTTTTTGATAGAACGCTTCTAGGTTTTTACGTGTAGTCTCCGATTCGCGAAGGAATTCGTAGTGGCGTGGTAACTCTTTGTCCGCCCCGAATATGGATGATATTTTCTCTCCCCTCTAAGGCCAGACGATCACGGCTCCCCTACTATTCCCTTCACTACATCAAACGCACAACCTACTTACTAAGGGAGGAGCCTCGATCATGGTCTGATAGAGATGGGAGAATAAACATCATCCATACCAAACGAGTGCACGTGCTTCCAGATCTCGGCTGGCAGGAGGATGGTGTCCTTTTTCTCATTTTTACCTTTGACAAAACTGCCCAGAACCGACTGGAGGCTGAGGGACGCCGCAGCAAGAACGAAACGATATGTCAACATCATGTTTGTTGATTTGCAAAAGCCAACACGAAGAATGAAAACTGATACTGAATAGTCAAAAATGAAATATTAATGCTCTGTTTAGTGTTTATTCGTAAGCGGCCTATCGGCTAGCTTTGTCCTTGAGAAAACTCCAAGTTGCTGAGTAATAAATGGCCAGGCCAAAATTCTATGCTTTCGCTTTGTTTTCATGTGGAGAAAAAGCAATATCGTCCTGTGGTTTGGAGTGAAAGGCGAAGTTCAAGTAAACATATTCATAAGTACTCCAATTTGCCATCAATACTCACCATATTTGTGGGATTCCACATACTACAGTAGTGGGCTGCCTCTGAGACGAGATAGTTTCTAAACACTAGAAGAGTTGTTCAAAACATTCACAACTACTGGGAGACTAGTTTTTCGGTATACTTATGCAGTTTTGCACATAATCGCGTCAGAGGCGTTCACAACCATGACAAAACTAGAAGTTCTTTTTTTTCACCGATAATTTGTTGGACGTCTGTTCCTTCCAGGCCTAAAGCCTAAGCCCACCACCATCATCATCATCATCACGTCTCAGGTGATTGTACTAAATCAACGTCAAGACGAAACATTTCCTGCGACGATAAATTGGCCGAAGAAGTGTATAACCCATACGGGTGATACGTGGATCAGTCACTATCTGACCTTCCAAAAGGAAGATGGACGTGAGTGGCTCCCTGGCCGCGGCCAAGAAAAAGAGCTTGGAGCGAAGATCCTAAGCTCACACCTATGAGAACTGGGAAGGTATGGCGTACATGATGCGAACCTTCGAGCCGTGTTGCATAAGAAGCAAACGGTATGACGATTTTGACATTCACTTCTGACAGTGGATGATTAATATTCGTTTTTGAATGGCAGTTGCCAGGATGAACATCGCTTCCCACTTTGGATCGATTATTTGCATTTGATCTGTCCAAAAAGCTGGATCGTGGAAGAAAAAGAAGGAAAACCAATTTGCAGAAAAAACTCGAGACACCCTCAGGCCATCTAAATGTCCGTTTTTGTACAACATAATGTTCATCAGGGGCACACTTAGGCGGTAGAGGAGGTGGAACCGCTAAGGCACTTCCATCAAAGTTCCTTTGCAGTGTGTCTTCTAGCATTCGCTGTGTCCTCCAACATGCGCACATTCGCAAACACACCCTGTAACATTCCTTCTCTTGTTAGCTGCTGTAAGTGGCGAGGTTGTCTCGTCCGTTTGTGTGGAATGGATTTTTCATATACTTACTTGGACAACGGAAATTATCGTGGAAAAGCATCTTGGGCCAACCACTGTGTCATATCGTGGAAAAGCATCTTGGGCTCACCACAGAAGATGTGGACGACAACAACAACATATGAGTATAGCGTGTACCTAAATGCTTAATTACTTTTTAATATAAAGTGTATTGGCAAAACATCACTTTGCAGGAATGCCAGAGGCCATTTTCATCCAGGTTGCAAGTCATTGAGGTGAACAGGTTCGGCGCCTCGAGGATGAGGAAAGAAAGCTCTTTTGCGATCTTCGCGGCTTCACGACTATGATCTGTATGATCTTTATGATCGGGACGAAAATTTTCACCCTTACTAGATGAGTTTTCAACTTTATGATCCTCGATAAAAGTATCTTCGTTGTATTTATCCTCTTCGTCGAAGGTTTTGTCGTCTTCCCAGGATCGGAGGAGGTGGTCAAGACCACGCGTTGTATAACGGCGTAGACGTAGAGGACCCCTAGCTATATTCCACATCTTTGGAGCTACCGCTGTAGCATCTTCCTTGACGAGTGTCATATCCTTGGTGGTCCGTTAAGTGCTCCTTTGTAGCCAAACATATGTCTATGTAAAGAATAAGTGCTCCGATCTACTCAAGTAGAAAAAGAAGAACCAAGGATGATGATACTAAGGACTAGGACATGCTTGAGCGGTAGCTGCCTTAACAAATCAAAATCTTTTTTCCACCCAGGACGGCCGGTCTCGGTAGAAGTATCCCTCCAAGGCCAAGTTTCGGTAATCGTGACCGAAATACGTTCTTCATCGGGTTGGATCAAATCTGCAAGGTTTTCGTCCTCGAATGGCAGTTCTGCGCCGTTCTCTTGATCGAGTTTGTTTTCCTGCCTGAAAAAGACCTTCGGGTAGTAGGCATTTGGGTTGTTTCTTTGAATTACATTGTCAAAGAAAAAAGCTCGCGCGTCTGGACCTTGCTCAATGTGATCGCGTTCAATCTTCATTAATATATCAAACACTACGTCGTCGGAAGATGTTGTGCTCGTTCTTGCCTCTAGCTCTTGCTCACTGGCAAACGAAGTGCTGGCAGACGACGAAGTGCTGGCTGAAGCAGACGGCTGCACAGGCGTTAGAGCGTTAGAGCTACCGCAGTAGCATCTTCCTTAAGAGCTGCACGAGTCATGATTATATCTTTAGAAACAGGTGCTTCTTCTATTTCAAGTAGAGCAAGATGAACCTCCAAGGATGATGAAGATACTGAGGACATGCGTTGAGGTCGTAGCCATAAAGTCGTATTACGTCGCAGTAGTAATTTGGTGAAAACATCCTGCGAGAGCCACCCGTGTAGCAGAAGAGGGTTAAAGTCTTTGTGTCCTGAATCCAAAGGGGATAAGGCGCCATCCTGCGGCGCGCTGCAATAAGCGCTTCCATGATTAGCGTGCGCTAGGATGCATCTCGGTCCCCTCATCTTGGCCCCTTTTAGCTTGTATTTCATGAGAATACAAGGGAAAAGGGTACTAAGATGCCGAGAAAAATGGATAAAGGCTGACCTTAACATCGAAGAGCGGAAGCGTAAGCGACGGTTCACGACGAAGCCTGTGCGGAAAGAAATATTCGCACCACTGATTGTAGTACTTTTCTTTTTTGTTTTGAATTTAGCGGTCACAATATTAATTCATCTCCTACCCACATGACATGCTCTCAGAGTTTGAAGAAGAAAACGTAGAACAGAATGAAGGCCATAATTGGCTGTGAAGTGCAAGAACAAGTAACCAACTTAGAGGATAAATTATAACATCGCGAGCGCTTCTACTTGGCTGTGAAGTAACACGTGTAAGATGAATTATTATCGTGAGAACGAGAAGTGCCTTAATCAATACTAGCAAGAAGACTGCCCGCAAGTTTCTCTACGACCGCGGCTCCGGAGTCGGGGTGTTCCGGTCCCAAGCGGGCCTTGCGTCTAAGGACTTTTTGTAGCACAGTCTTTTTGATGATCTCAGAAAGAAGATGTTGTTTTTTTCCTTCCATCACCTTGGAGTTGATGGACGGTTCTCCTGCCTCCATCGCCGTGCTGGATGGTTCTCCTCCTCCCATCGCTTTGAACGGAGGTTCTCCTCCTCCCATCGCTTTGAATGGAGGTTCTCCTCCTCTTCCCATCGCTTTGGACGGAGGTTCGATCTTTGCAGCTCCTTCCGTATTGTTCGTTGATGCACACACAGACTCAGAGGACGAAGGCAAACCCAAACGCTGTTTCAACAATTCATCGACTGCTGCGTACTTCAGTTTTTGATAGAACGCTTCCAGGTTTTTACGTGTAGTCTCCATTTCGCCGTAGGTGTAGCCGCGGGGTAACTCTTTGTCCGCCCCGAATATGGATGATGTTTTTTCTCCCCTCGAAGGCCAGACGATCACGGCTCCCCTACTATTCCCCTCACTACATCAAACGCACAACCTACTAAGGGAGGAGCCTCGATCATGGTCTGATAAAGATGGGAGAATAAACATCATCCATACCAGACGAGTGCACGTGGTTCCAGATCTCGGCTGGCAGGAAGGTGGTGTCCTTTTTCTCATTTTTACCTTTGACAAAACTGCCCAGAACCGACTGGAGGCTGAGGGACGCCGCAGCAAGAACGAAACGATATGTCAACATCATATTTGTTGATTTGCAAAAGCCAACACCAAGAATGAAAACTGATACTGAATAATCGAAAATAAAATAAAAATGCTCTGTTTATTTATAAGCGGCCTATCGGCCGCTAGCTTTGTCCTTGAGAAAACTCCAAGTTGCTGAGTAATAAATCAATGGCCAGGCCAAAATTCTATGCTTTCGCTTCCTCTGTTTTCATGTGGAGAAAAAGCAATATCGTCCTGTGGTTTTGAGTGAATGTGAAAGGCGAAGCTCAAGTAAACATATTCAACATAAGTACTCCAATTTTCCATCAATACTCACCATATTTGTGGGATTCCACATGCTACAGTGGTGGGCTGCCTCTGAGACCAGATAGTTTCTAAACACTAGAAGATTTGTTCAAAACATTCACAACTATTGGGAGACTAGTTTTTCGGTCTACTTATGCAGTTTTGCACATAATCGCGTCAGAGGCGTTCACAACCATGACAAAACTAGAAGTTCTTTTTTTTACCGATAATTTGTTGGACGTCTGTTCCTTCCAGGCCTAAAACCTAAGCCCATCACCATCAACCGCTAAGGCACTTCAATCAAAGTTCCTCTGCAATGTGTCTTCCAGCATTCGCTGGGTCCTCCAACATGCGCACATTCGCAAACACACTCTGTAACATTCCTTCTCTTGTTAGCTGCTGTAAGTGGCGAGGTTGTCTCTTCCGCTTGTGTGGAATCAATGGATTTTTCATGCATCCATTTATAAAAAAAAAAAATTGATCGTGTACAGGAGGCAGTAAAATACTGTGTGTGGTGGACTAGACGGTGATTTTTAATCAAGAGAACAATAGGAGCAGTACAATAAGTAGACAGTTTTCTACTGCACGTCGAGGCCCTTCTGAGGTGCGGCCTTCGAGAAACACGACCTCATGTTCCTCCAGACTTTCTCACCACAATCTTTGTCTAGATGTTGAAGATCATGAATCCAAAGAAATACTAATATTATGGAGTCATACCTTCTCCTTATTCATGTGTACTAGTACCTTTCAGCGTCACATGGATGCCATGTGTTCGCTCCGTGTTATACTTGTAGCGAATCTTAAACACATGGATGGCCGTATAATTATGTTACTTACATCAACTTCATTATACCTGCTTCGTGTAGTACTAGTATGTTTATTTCATTTTCATCACGTGCATGTCAAAGTACTTTAGTCATACCGTGTTGCATGCTTACTTACTCCATACCGTGCACGTAATCGCAAAACATCACTTGGCAGGAATGCCAGAGGCCATTTTCATCCAGGTTGCAAGTCAATGAGGTGAACAGGTTGGGCGACTCGAGGATAAGGAAAGAAAGCTCTTTTGCAATGTTCGCGGCTTCACGACTATGATCTGTATGATCTTTATGATCAGGTCCTTTACTATAATTTTCACCCTTACTAGATGAATTTTCAACTTTATCCTCGATAAAAATATCTTGGTTGTGTTTATCCTCTTTGTCGAAGGTTTTGTCGTCTTCCCAGGATCGGAGGATGTGGTCAAGACCACGCGTCGTATAACGGAGTAGAGGTGGATCACTAGCTTGGTTTGGAGCTACCGCGGTAGCATCCCTGCGTGCATCATTGCCCCTTTTTTCGAGTAGAAAAAGAGCGAAGGATGATGCTGAGGATGCTTCAGCGGTAGCCTTAATTTATCAACATCCACCGTCCACCTCCCAGGGCGACCGGTCTCGATAGTATACCCGAAAGTTGTGGTAATCTTCACAGAAATACGCTCTTCATCGGGCTGGATCAAACTTTCAAGGTCTTCGTCCTCGACTGGAGGTCGTGGTCTTGTGTTGACGTCCTCTTGATGATCTCGTAGATTGCGTTTGTTTTCCTGTCTGAAAAAGACCTTCGGGTAGTAGGCATTTGGTTAAAGGTCGCCGAGTTGCATTCTTCAGAATGTCCTTGACCTATTTCCCCCTTGAAAAGGGGCCAAGGATGGTAGTGAGGAATGTAATTCGGAAACCCTTAATTTGGGTTGTTTCTTTGAATTACATTGTCAAAGAAAAAAGCTCGCGCGTCTGGTCCTTGCTCGATGTGGCGACCATTGCTTCCAGTCTCCATACCCATATACAACGGAACGTCGGAAGATGTTGTGGTCGTTCTTGCTTCTTTTTCTTGCTCATTGGCAGACGAAGAACTAGCCACCTTTTCAACATTCTTGGTAGGCGAAGAAGTGCTGGATGAAGTAGACTAGACGGCTGCAGCTGCTCAGGAGTTGTAGTACGCTGTAGTAATTTGGTGAAAACATTCTGCGAGAGCCACCCATGTAGCAGAAGAGGGTCAAAGTCTTCTTGTCGTAAATCGAAAGGGGACAAGGCTCTATCCTCAGGCGCCTGGCACGAAAACGCTCCTTGGTTAGGGTGTGCTAGGCTGCATCTCGGTCCCTTCATCTTGGCCCCTTTTAGCTTGTTGTATTTCATGAGAATACAGAGGAAAAGGGTACCAAGATGCCGAGAAAGGTGGAGAAAAGCTGGCCTTAACATGGTAGAGCGGAGGCAACGTTCCACGACCTTCCGGAAAGAAATTTTCGTACCACTGATTGTAGTACTTTTCTTTCTTCTTTTTAATTTAGCGAAGCCACCGAGTATCAATTCATCTCCTACCCACATGTTCTCAGAGTTTGAAGAAGAAAACGTAGAACAGAATGAAAGTCATAATTGGCTGTGAAGTACAAGAACAAGTAACCAACTACTTGGAGGATAAATTATAACATCGTGAACGCTTCTACTTGGCTGTGAAGTAACAGTTGTAAGATGAATTATTATCGTGAGAACGAGAAGTGCCTTAATCAATACGAGCAAGAAGACTGCCCGCAAGTTTCTCTACGACCGCGGCTCCGGAGTCGGGGTGTTCCGGTCCCAAGCGGGCCTTGCGTCTAAGGACTTTTTGTAGCACAGTCTTTTTGATGATCTCAGAAAGAAGATGTTGCTTTTTTCCTTCCATCACCTTGGAGTTGATGGACGGTTCTCCTGCCTCCATCGCCGTGCTGGATGGTTCTCCTCCTCCCATCGCTTTGAATGGAGGTTCTCCTCCTCCCATCGCTTTGAATGGAGGTTCTCCTCCTCTTCCCATCGCTTTGGACGGAGGTTCGATCTTTGCAGCTCCTTCCGTATTGTTCGTTGATGCACACACAGACTCAGAGGACGAAGGCAAACCCAAACGCTGTTTCAACAATTCATCGACTGCTGCGTACTTCAGTTTTTGATAGAACGCTTCCAGGTTTTTACGTGTAGTCTCCATTTCGCCGTAGGTGTAGCCGCGGGGTAACTCTTTGTCCGCCCCGAATATGGATGATGTTTTTTCTCCCCTCGAAGGCCAGACGATCACGGCTCCCCTACTATTCCCCTCACTACATCAAACGCACAACCTACTAAGGGAGGAGCCTCGATCATGGTCTGATAAAGATGGGAGAATAAACATCATCCATACCAGACGAGTGCACGTGGTTCCAGATCTCGGCTGGCAGGAAGGTGGTGTCCTTTTTCTCATTTTTACCTTTGACAAAACTGCCCAGAACCGACTGGAGGCTGAGGGACGCCGCAGCAAGAACGAAACGATATGTCAACATCATATTTGTTGATTTGCAAAAGCCAACACCAAGAATGAAAACTGATACTGAATAATCGAAAATAAAATAAAAATGCTCTGTTTATTTATAAGCGGCCTATCGGCCGCTAGCTTTGTCCTTGAGAAAACTCCAAGTTGCTGAGTAATAAATCAATGGCCAGGCCAAAATTCTATGCTTTCGCTTCCTCTGTTTTCATGTGGAGAAAAAGCAATATCGTCCTGTGGTTTTGAGTGAATGTGAAAGGCGAAGCTCAAGTAAACATATTCAACATAAGTACTCCAATTTTCCATCAATACTCACCATATTTGTGGGATTCCACATGCTACAGTGGTGGGCTGCCTCTGAGACCAGATAGTTTCTAAACACTAGAAGATTTGTTCAAAACATTCACAACTATTGGGAGACTAGTTTTTCGGTCTACTTATGCAGTTTTGCACATAATCGCGTCAGAGGCGTTCACAACCATGACAAAACTAGAAGTTCTTTTTTTTACCGATAATTTGTTGGACGTCTGTTCCTTCCAGGCCTAAAACCTAAGCCCATCACCATCAACCGCTAAGGCACTTCAATCAAAGTTCCTCTGCAATGTGTCTTCCAGCATTCGCTGGGTCCTCCAACATGCGCACATTCGCAAACACACTCTGTAACATTCCTTCTCTTGTTAGCTGCTGTAAGTGGCGAGGTTGTCTCTTCCGCTTGTGTGGAATCAATGGATTTTTCATGCATCCATTTATAAAAAAAAAAAATTGATCGTGTACAGGAGGCAGTAAAATACTGTGTGTGGTGGACTAGACGGTGATTTTTAATCAAGAGAACAATAGGAGCAGTACAATAAGTAGACAGTTTTCTACTGCACGTCGAGGCCCTTCTGAGGTGCGGCCTTCGAGAAACACGACCTCATGTTCCTCCAGACTTTCTCACCACAATCTTTGTCTAGATGTTGAAGATCATGAATCCAAAGAAATACTAATATTATGGAGTCATACCTTCTCCTTATTCATGTGTACTAGTACCTTTCAGCGTCACATGGATGCCATGTGTTCGCTCCGTGTTATACTTGTAGCGAATCTTAAACACATGGATGGCCGTATAATTATGTTACTTACATCAACTTCATTATACCTGCTTCGTGTAGTACTAGTATGTTTATTTCATTTTCATCACGTGCATGTCAAAGTACTTTAGTCATACCGTGTTGCATGCTTACTTACTCCATACCGTGCACGTAATCGCAAAACATCACTTGGCAGGAATGCCAGAGGCCATTTTCATCCAGGTTGCAAGTCAATGAGGTGAACAGGTTGGGCGACTCGAGGATAAGGAAAGAAAGCTCTTTTGCAATGTTCGCGGCTTCACGACTATGATCTGTATGATCTTTATGATCAGGTCCTTTACTATAATTTTCACCCTTACTAGATGAATTTTCAACTTTATCCTCGATAAAAATATCTTGGTTGTGTTTATCCTCTTTGTCGAAGGTTTTGTCGTCTTCCCAGGATCGGAGGATGTGGTCAAGACCACGCGTCGTATAACGGAGTAGAGGTGGATCACTAGCTTGGTTTGGAGCTACCGCGGTAGCATCCCTGCGTGCATCATTGCCCCTTTTTTCGAGTAGAAAAAGAGCGAAGGATGATGCTGAGGATGCTTCAGCGGTAGCCTTAATTTATCAACATCCACCGTCCACCTCCCAGGGCGACCGGTCTCGATAGTATACCCGAAAGTTGTGGTAATCTTCACAGAAATACGCTCTTCATCGGGCTGGATCAAACTTTCAAGGTCTTCGTCCTCGACTGGAGGTCGTGGTCTTGTGTTGACGTCCTCTTGATGATCTCGTAGATTGCGTTTGTTTTCCTGTCTGAAAAAGACCTTCGGGTAGTAGGCATTTGGTTAAAGGTCGCCGAGTTGCATTCTTCAGAATGTCCTTGACCTATTTCCCCCTTGAAAAGGGGCCAAGGATGGTAGTGAGGAATGTAATTCGGAAACCCTTAATTTGGGTTGTTTCTTTGAATTACATTGTCAAAGAAAAAAGCTCGCGCGTCTGGTCCTTGCTCGATGTGGCGACCATTGCTTCCAGTCTCCATACCCATATACAACGGAACGTCGGAAGATGTTGTGGTCGTTCTTGCTTCTTTTTCTTGCTCATTGGCAGACGAAGAACTAGCCACCTTTTCAACATTCTTGGTAGGCGAAGAAGTGCTGGATGAAGTAGACTAGACGGCTGCAGCTGCTCAGGAGTTGTAGTACGCTGTAGTAATTTGGTGAAAACATTCTGCGAGAGCCACCCATGTAGCAGAAGAGGGTCAAAGTCTTCTTGTCGTAAATCGAAAGGGGACAAGGCTCTATCCTCAGGCGCCTGGCACGAAAACGCTCCTTGGTTAGGGTGTGCTAGGCTGCATCTCGGTCCCTTCATCTTGGCCCCTTTTAGCTTGTTGTATTTCATGAGAATACAGAGGAAAAGGGTACCAAGATGCCGAGAAAGGTGGAGAAAAGCTGGCCTTAACATGGTAGAGCGGAGGCAACGTTCCACGACCTTCCGGAAAGAAATTTTCGTACCACTGATTGTAGTACTTTTCTTTCTTCTTTTTAATTTAGCGAAGCCACCGAGTATCAATTCATCTCCTACCCACATGTTCTCAGAGTTTGAAGAAGAAAACGTAGAACAGAATGAAAGTCATAATTGGCTGTGAAGTACAAGAACAAGTAACCAACTACTTGGAGGATAAATTATAACATCGTGAACGCTTCTACTTGGCTGTGAAGTAACAGTTGTAAGATGAATTATTATCGTGAGAACGAGAAGTGCCTTAATCAATACGAGCAAGAAGACTGCCCGCAAGTTTCTCTACGACCGCGGCTCCGGAGTCGGGGTGTTCCGGTCCCAAGCGGGCCTTGCGTCTAAGGACTTTTTGTAGCACAGTCTTTTTGATGATCTCAGAAAGAAGATGTTGCTTTTTTCCTTCCATCACCTTGGAGTTGATGGACGGTTCTCCTGCCTCCATCGCCGTGCTGGATGGTTCTCCTCCTCCCATCGCTTTGAATGGAGGTTCTCCTCCTCCCATCGCTTTGAATGGAGGTTCTCCTCCTCTTCCCATCGCTTTGGACGGAGGTTCGATCTTTGCAGCTCCTTCCGTATTGTTCGTTGATGCACACACAGACTCAGAGGACGAAGGCAAACCCAAACGCTGTTTCAACAATTCATCGACTGCTGCGTACTTCAGTTTTTGATAGAACGCTTCCAGGTTTTTACGTGTAGTCTCCATTTCGCCGTAGGTGTAGCCGCGGGGTAACTCTTTGTCCGCCCCGAATATGGATGATGTTTTTTCTCCCCTCGAAGGCCAGACGATCACGGCTCCCCTACTATTCCCCTCACTACATCAAACGCACAACCTACTAAGGGAGGAGCCTCGATCATGGTCTGATAAAGATGGGAGAATAAACATCATCCATACCAGACGAGTGCACGTGGTTCCAGATCTCGGCTGGCAGGAAGGTGGTGTCCTTTTTCTCATTTTTACCTTTGACAAAACTGCCCAGAACCGACTGGAGGCTGAGGGACGCCGCAGCAAGAACGAAACGATATGTCAACATCATATTTGTTGATTTGCAAAAGCCAACACCAAGAATGAAAACTGATACTGAATAATCGAAAATAAAATAAAAATGCTCTGTTTATTTATAAGCGGCCTATCGGCCGCTAGCTTTGTCCTTGAGAAAACTCCAAGTTGCTGAGTAATAAATCAATGGCCAGGCCAAAATTCTATGCTTTCGCTTCCTCTGTTTTCATGTGGAGAAAAAGCAATATCGTCCTGTGGTTTTGAGTGAATGTGAAAGGCGAAGCTCAAGTAAACATATTCAACATAAGTACTCCAATTTTCCATCAATACTCACCATATTTGTGGGATTCCACATGCTACAGTGGTGGGCTGCCTCTGAGACCAGATAGTTTCTAAACACTAGAAGATTTGTTCAAAACATTCACAACTATTGGGAGACTAGTTTTTCGGTCTACTTATGCAGTTTTGCACATAATCGCGTCAGAGGCGTTCACAACCATGACAAAACTAGAAGTTCTTTTTTTTACCGATAATTTGTTGGACGTCTGTTCCTTCCAGGCCTAAAACCTAAGCCCATCACCATCAACCGCTAAGGCACTTCAATCAAAGTTCCTCTGCAATGTGTCTTCCAGCATTCGCTGGGTCCTCCAACATGCGCACATTCGCAAACACACTCTGTAACATTCCTTCTCTTGTTAGCTGCTGTAAGTGGCGAGGTTGTCTCTTCCGCTTGTGTGGAATCAATGGATTTTTCATGCATCCATTTATAAAAAAAAAAAATTGATCGTGTACAGGAGGCAGTAAAATACTGTGTGTGGTGGACTAGACGGTGATTTTTAATCAAGAGAACAATAGGAGCAGTACAATAAGTAGACAGTTTTCTACTGCACGTCGAGGCCCTTCTGAGGTGCGGCCTTCGAGAAACACGACCTCATGTTCCTCCAGACTTTCTCACCACAATCTTTGTCTAGATGTTGAAGATCATGAATCCAAAGAAATACTAATATTATGGAGTCATACCTTCTCCTTATTCATGTGTACTAGTACCTTTCAGCGTCACATGGATGCCATGTGTTCGCTCCGTGTTATACTTGTAGCGAATCTTAAACACATGGATGGCCGTATAATTATGTTACTTACATCAACTTCATTATACCTGCTTCGTGTAGTACTAGTATGTTTATTTCATTTTCATCACGTGCATGTCAAAGTACTTTAGTCATACCGTGTTGCATGCTTACTTACTCCATACCGTGCACGTAATCGCAAAACATCACTTGGCAGGAATGCCAGAGGCCATTTTCATCCAGGTTGCAAGTCAATGAGGTGAACAGGTTGGGCGACTCGAGGATAAGGAAAGAAAGCTCTTTTGCAATGTTCGCGGCTTCACGACTATGATCTGTATGATCTTTATGATCAGGTCCTTTACTATAATTTTCACCCTTACTAGATGAATTTTCAACTTTATCCTCGATAAAAATATCTTGGTTGTGTTTATCCTCTTTGTCGAAGGTTTTGTCGTCTTCCCAGGATCGGAGGATGTGGTCAAGACCACGCGTCGTATAACGGAGTAGAGGTGGATCACTAGCTTGGTTTGGAGCTACCGCGGTAGCATCCCTGCGTGCATCATTGCCCCTTTTTTCGAGTAGAAAAAGAGCGAAGGATGATGCTGAGGATGCTTCAGCGGTAGCCTTAATTTATCAACATCCACCGTCCACCTCCCAGGGCGACCGGTCTCGATAGTATACCCGAAAGTTGTGGTAATCTTCACAGAAATACGCTCTTCATCGGGCTGGATCAAACTTTCAAGGTCTTCGTCCTCGACTGGAGGTCGTGGTCTTGTGTTGACGTCCTCTTGATGATCTCGTAGATTGCGTTTGTTTTCCTGTCTGAAAAAGACCTTCGGGTAGTAGGCATTTGGTTAAAGGTCGCCGAGTTGCATTCTTCAGAATGTCCTTGACCTATTTCCCCCTTGAAAAGGGGCCAAGGATGGTAGTGAGGAATGTAATTCGGAAACCCTTAATTTGGGTTGTTTCTTTGAATTACATTGTCAAAGAAAAAAGCTCGCGCGTCTGGTCCTTGCTCGATGTGG